AGTATCTTTGGGTGAAGGGCATTCAAGTTTGTTCAAATGAAGGGCCACTCCCTTTTTCAAGGGGAGATAATAAAGAATTAGTGGAAAATAAATAGCATCTTTTAAAAATCTTCTTCTCAAGAAGCACAGGGCCAGGAAAGATGAAACTCATGTGGAAGCATCCTCAGGTAGTGTAGATTCAAGTGTGTTCAAATCATAACCCCCGAGGGTAGGGTGGGGCCACAATGGAGGATCAAAGTTTTACATAGAAATATATGGGAAAAATATTTAAAAATCTTCTTCTCAAGAACAGCAAAGCCATGATGACTCATATTTATATGGAAGCATCTTCAGGCAGTGTAGATTCAAGTTTGTTCAAATCATGACCCCTGGGGGTAGGGCAGGGCCACAATGAAGGATCAAAGTTTTACATAGAAATATACAGGAAAAATCTTAAAAAATCTTCTTCTCAGGAACAACAAAGCCCTGATTGGTCATATTTATATGGAAGCATCCTCAGGTAGTGCAGATTCAAATTTATTCAAATCATGACCCCCGGGGTAGGGTGGGGCCACAATGGAGGATCAAAGTTTGACATAGAAATGTTTAGGAAAAATTTTAAAAAATCTTCTTCTCAGGAACAGCAAAGCCCTGATTTATCATATTTATGTGGAAGCATCCTCAGGTAGTGTAGATTCTATTTTGTTCAAATCATGACCCCCTGGGGTAGGGTGGGGCCACAATGGAGGATCAAAGTCTTAAATAGAAAAATATATAGGAAAATTTCTTCTTCTGAAGAACTTCTAAGCCATGATTAGTCATTTTGATATGGAAGCATCCTCAGGTAGTGTAGATTCAAGTCTGTTAAAATGATGCCCCCTGGGGATAGAGTCGGGCCACAATGGGGGATCAAAAATTTTACATAGGAACATATCTTCTCAAGAACTGAAAAACGTTTAGTCATTTTGATATGGAAGCAACCTTAGGTAGTGTAAATTCAGTTTTGTTCAAATAATGATCCCCAGGGGTAGGTTGGGGCCCAATGGGGAATCAAACGTTTTATATAAGAACATATAGAAAAAATATTTCTTCTCAAGAACAGAAAAGCAGAAAAGTTTAGTCATATTGATATGGAAGCATCCTCAGGAGTGTAGATTCAAGTTTGTTCAAATGATGACCCCTGGGATAGGGAGGAGCCACAATGGGGGATCAAATTTTTACAAAGGAATATATGGGAATTTTTTTTTTAAATCTAAAGTACAACAAAGCCATTTGTTATATACTGACATGGAAGCATCATCAAAAAATTCAAGTCCCCCCCCCCCCCCCCCCAAGTAATCTTTTCAAAACTGAACTGATTTGTGCTTTTGCCTAACCAATGTGCTCAGGTGAGCGATGTGGCCCATGGGCCTCTTGTTTACAGCTCTAACATTTATAGTGACTTGATAATATGTACATAACATTTTTCCTTGTAAACCCTCTATATATAAATTGTACCATAACTTAAATTTGTAGATTAAATAAAATGTGCAAAGCAGCAGTACAATCTCTTTCCGTTTCTTTTTTTTTCCACTTATAAATATAACATATATATATATATATAAATATAAACTATATGTATAAACCATGTCTTTCTTCTTTGTCAGTACGTCCATTGTAGGAAAAAAAGACACAACCCGCTAACGTAGAGAATTATTTAAAGATTCTTGCAGCCCAACTTCAATAACTTTATGATTCTTTTACCTTAAAGTTGACAGATATTTTAAAAGGTTAAAAAATGATTTGTTATAACTAAGTAGTTTTGATTTATTTTCACTAATACATAACGATACAGTCAAACATATAAATATGGCAAATTTGTTCAGAACAACTCATAAAATTTATTTAATCATATTGAATATTACATAAACTTTTGCATCATTACAATGAAAAAATATGTATATGTATTATCAAGAGACAGATTAGGTATGCACAAAAAGGAAGTGCATGACTTTGATATGACAAAACTTACTCCCATATTTGCAGTAGTTATACTGTCCTCTTCTGTATATGCCTTGCCAGACATCTTACAAAGAGTTTCTATTGGTACATACAAGTGAGGTAACTATATTAAATATTGTATTTGCTCCACCAATGACTTTATCATTTTTTTTAAAGATTTTAAGACAAACTCTCACTGCCCAATTCTAAATTTTTGTTGCTATAATGATGCTATAATGATGCAATATTTACATGTTTCTTGCAACATTTTATTACATAATTTTGCAAATCATAACCATCTTACCAGTTACATTTAAAAGGATTAAAATGTTAATGTAAAAAAATAAAAAAAAATAAAAATGAACTGAAGGTCTTTAATAGCCTAACTTTCAATAAATACTCAATCATTCTACAATTTTCTGGGGCCTTTATTTCAGCAAATACTATACAGTTATGGAATGGGTATGAGAGAACCCTGAAATGGCAAATTTATGGTCCCCGAGGGAGGAATCTATTTTTCAAGGTGGTAAAGCAGTTTCCACCTGAAGGGGACCATAAATTGGCTCCTAAATACCCATTCTATAACTGTTTTATTATACTGAAACGATTAAAAAAAGAGTATATATTAAATCAGATTACTCCAACATTTTATAAGACAATAGAGGCATTCAACCAAAAAACAAAAAAAACTAAAAAAAACTAAATAGTGTTAAATTACCTATTAACTATAATAGCATCTTAACTAGAATACAGTAATATCATTTCAGTTGATTCTAACTTTGAAAGCCATGAAGAAGGCTTTAACATTACATCATGGACCTCAGGATTCTTGGAATTCTCCTCCTATGAAGAATTTTGATTGGTTAAAAATATTAATGAATATTAATGAGGGAATAGCTCTGGTTTCGCAGAGAGTAGTCCTCTGCTGGGGGTGGGGGTGGGGGGTAATAGTATACTTCCAGAGGAAAATATAAATTTTCTGTTCTCATTTTATGATGAGTAATATACACTTATCCACTGGCTGTGAGTGGGATAGCTCTTTTATCAAACCCGCGACAGGAACTATTCCCCGAGGGCTTGCCCGAGGGGAATAGTTCCTGTCAAGGGTTTGATGAAAGAGCTATCCCACTCACAGCCAGTGGATAAGCGTTTTATTATACTGATGTATATCATAATTTCTGAGGGTTGGATTTACCTGAAACTACAGTTTTATAGTAAAAACATGAAAAAAAAAATTATAAAAGTCTTGAACAAGTATTTGGAATAAGATAACACTGCTAGAATTAGCTGAAATCCTGATGACGTCACAATGCTACTGAAGTCAGGATGACATCATAAGTCTATAGATTGATTACAGGAAATCAAAATTGGCGGTAAAAATTGCATGAAAATTTTCCGAGGGTTGGATAGCAAAAACTATACCCCGGGGTATAGCTTTGCTATGTGTGGAAATTTTGAGACTATAAAGATAGTTATTTTACCTTCTTAACTTTATATAGGAAACATTTTAACAGAAGTATAATAATAAGAGGTATTATATAAATATTGTAAGAAGTTGAAGGTAACATTAAAAATTTTTACCCCCAAGAAAACCACTGTCAACAGCTGAGGTTGACAATGTTTGTTTTTTTTTCAATGTCACCCTCAATCATATACAATATTTATTATATTAAAGTATTATATTGAATAAATAAATATAACAGTGAATTGTGTATACATAAACATTTTTTGGAATATCACCCATTGTCAAGAATTGTTGACTTTTGCAATGCTTTATCATGCTGAAGGGCATGGTTTCATCATTAAAATTTACACTATTTAAGAGTATAATATAATAAAATACTTTATACAGCATAAATAGTATTACAATTTACTATTAAAGGTTCAAGAATTCAGGTTTAAATTTATGACATTCCAGCAAACCAAATTCATAACAAATACAAAGTGTCCCTGAATTGTCAGAAGTTATGTTATACTAAAAAGTGGAAACTTTGCTGATGTGGAGTAAATTGATGAATTCAAAATAGTTGTCAAAATTTCCACTTGTGAACTTTCACATTCCTGTTAGAGAACACTGCTAAATACTAGTAGATTGTCAAAGTTTCCACTCGCAATTTTTATGATATATTGAAATCGTCAAACTATCAACCCTTCAATACAACCACCTTTGCAGTAAATTTATGTAGGGTATTCAAATACAATCTAAGGACTTCTAAACATTAGTATAAGTAAGAATATCTTAACAAAAATCCTAGTCACATAAATCTCACTCCAACAAATTTTTTTCTGTAAGCCAAGCATTTGTAACTGTTTGTTTTATTTTTCATGTACTGCAAAGCCAAAGAAAGGAATGAACATTACCACTAATGTACGTATATCAATGGTGAATGTTGTGTTTAATTAAATATACTATGGATATCATTAATTTACAGAATGTGTGATCTTTTGGGGAACAAGCGTATAAATTTTAAAGGAAGAATAAACCCAAATTCAACAATCATAGATTTTGATGGGATATATTGAGATACCTGTTGTATTAAAATAGGTTTGATCTAAAACATGTAATGCCCAGATTTACATATCGATGTCCATAAATTTAGAAGGGGGGGGGGGGGGTCTGTTCAAGTACATGTAAGTTAACTGTATTTGACACCTTTTCATTCATAAATCCTTATACACTTTATCGAACTGATTTTCCACAGAAGAAAAAAAAAAGCAAAGTTTTGAGATTCACAGTTACCTGAATTCAGTTTAAAACAAAGCATTGAGCCATTATGCCGTATAGTTATTTTTCAAAGATAACATTTATCACAGTTTAAATTTAACAATTTCTAAACCTCTCTGAAGTCAGAAAAAATAACAATAAAATAAAAATTTCAAATCGCATGGGTTGTCTAAAAATAATTTAAATAACATATTGTCTAAGTCATGCATCATGCAGAGTGAATCAGTAGAGATAACTGTGTATGTATATATATATATATATATATATATATATATATATATATATATATATATATATATATATATATATATACTGTACTTATAGATAAGAAACTGATAGTTATTGTGTAGCTGGTTCACTTACTGCATTTGCGTAGGTCGTGGAATGTAGATGACTAGATGTAAACATACAAACACACAAGCATTTGTTCAAAATTGTACTAGTTTGACATTTTGTAAATGCCAACTGTGACATATTGATTTATCAAACTTCACTGAAGTTCTAAATATACTCTGTCCCTGAAAATCACTTTATGGTGAAGATCATCACTTTGAAATTAACAGTTCCTCCATCCCTTTGGTGAAGATCATTGAGTTGAAATTAACAGTTTCTCCATCCCTTTGGTGAAGATCATTGAGTTGAAATTAACAGTTTCTCCATCCCTTTGGTGAAGATCATCGAGTTGAAATTAACAGTTCCTCCATCCCTTTGGTGAAGATCATCGAGTTGAAATTAACAGTTCCTCCATACTGACTTTCCAAAGCTTTTTTGTGACTTTGTATCTTGCAAGATCCTTCCTTGTCACCATTCCAACAACCTGATACGAAATAAGCACATATTCAAAAATAGCTCAACAATGTAGCCCTCTCCATTTTATTTAAGGGGGGGGGGGGTACAATTATAAAGGATCTCCATAATAGTGCAAGTGCAGGAGTGATTCACTCCCACATGGCAGGCGGTAAATCTAGTACTGCCGACTCCAACTGTCTTGGATTAATGTTTTTCGATGATATTCTCTACCTCGCTTAACAGCTTCAATTCAAACCTTTCAGACACATTAACTATGTTGAAGTCAATTCAAATAAACATAAAAAATATCAAAATTGTTATGAATGGTGGCGATTATGGACTAAATTGAGCAGTTCGATGAATCAGTAGTCATTTGTGGTCTCTACATTTATAACTTAGTACTATATTTTACTGCTTCTGGACAGATTGCATTATTCTATGTAGCATTGTTTGCAACTTTATATTTCTGGAAATTAACTATAACGTAGCAAGTATGCCCAAGAAGTTGGAAACCATTCTTTTTTGGTGAAATGAAGAATATTAATTAAAAATTGCAATCCAGAACAACTGGGAGTCAGAAATCAAATGTTCTCAATCCCCCCCCCCCCCCCCCCCAAAAAAAAAAGAAAAATGGAGGGGAATACATTATTGCAGCTAAGTAGGTTACTACTAAACAGAAACACATGTATAGATGAAATTAGAGTAGAAATATTGCAGAATTTAATATTACATGCACAACAAAATTGTAATCAGCATGTACAAGTATACAAACAATTAATGATAATGTTTGATTTTAAAAATAAGATTAACATGTAAGTTCCTAGATTATCCACAACAATCATATATCTATGAGAACTAACATGCATGTGTTCGTACCTGGTGATGTTTGTCGACCACCACAAGGTGCCGAAGACCAAGAGCTCTGAACAACTTAAATACCCTTGGATAAAGAGAATTCTAAAAAATAAAATCAAGTAAAGAGAAATAAATATGAAATTTTTAAATACACATAAATGATGCATATTTACATGTATATAAGTCCTGATTTATGCTTCATACTACTTCATAATACTTACATCTGTAACACAATATGCGGCAGGATTCATGTATGGCTCTAAATTCATTTCACAATTGTCACGTTCATACTGGGATATTTTAATTTGCTGCAATAGATACAAGTATATTAAATTTTTTGATACCTTTTCATGAAAAGAAACAAGCTTTTAACTTTCATTATGAAGACCTTGCAGTTATTAAAGATACCATGATTAGATAAATGTAATATGAAAAGAATAGCCCATTTAACATACGAAAGAGCTAAGTTCAATTTTATGTACAAAATAGACCTGTCCGTGTATAATTATTGACTGTCACTGATATTTGAATTCAAAAATTAGTAATTATAGAGCAGAGTCTTCATGCTTTCAAGCAGTAATTATAGAGACTTCATGCTCTCATTAAGAATGAAATTGTTTTCTTTCAAGATTATTAGATTGGAAAGCATTACTATTAAAATTGCATTGTTTTTGAATTCTAAAGATAACTGGTGTACCAATATTTAGTACATTCAACTAAGAATTCAAATATGATTGCAACCTTTCATCCAAAAATCATATATTTTACATCAATAATAGAGGTAACAATTTATATACAGTTAAAGTTCATTATCTCAAACTCAATGGGACCGAGAAAAAACTTCGAGATATCAGAGGATTCGAGATATCAAGGGTAAAATAGTTAAAGAATATGTGGTTGGGACTTCCAAATCACTTCGACATATCCATGGTATTCAAGATATCAGTGTTTGAGATCTCGAAGTTAAACTGTACTTGTAAATTCCTGAGGATCAGAGGTTGTGCTCTATTTGAAATATTAAGATAAATATTAACCATTTTTGGAAGAAATTCTCCAAAAGGGAAACATAATTCATGACACTGTAATTCTTGCAGACACTCTTGATAAAATTGTGTCATTTCAGACATCATATTTTAGATATTGTTCATGTAATATAATAAGACTAAATTTTTATTATATTGCTTGTCTGAACAAGGTGAATTTTGTGAACCTAGCTCTTTACTTCAAAGTAGTATGCACAGTGTGATTAAAATTTACCAAGAAATAACCAACATTTGAAAGAAAAAAAAAAATTATTTATGTATCGTTTATGAAGTGTCTCAAAATACTTACTCTGATAGGAGTAAACTTTGGATACGCATCTCTAAAATCCTTAGTTGTCAAATTCAAAGTTTGATTATCTCCATATATCTAATAAATAAATCAAGTAAAATAAAAAATTGACCAATCTTGTGCTTTACCATCATTACAATGGTCCTGATTTGAAAAAATCCTAAGAACATTACATACTGTAAACCAGCTTTCTTTCAACATTTGGTTAACCTGCAAGTTTGTGTGAAAATTGAAATGACTTAGAGTTTGTAGCAGTTAACAAGAAAATTACTTTTGCATTTAAAGAGAAAGACTGAAAAATCAACAAAATAAACCACTGTGCATATGTTAGAATGATAGAAAATTGCAGTGAAAGAAAGTTAGTTTACTTTAATGAATTACATTCATTTCATATTTAAGGCTTACCCTTTGCTTTAAAAGAACTATTAATTGTGATCTTAAAATTATTCCTCTGTAGGTTCCAAATGACATTTCTCCATCCTCTGATGACTACAATATAGAATTTTGAAAAATTATGCTATTTAAATCATTCTTATTTCATATTTTGATTTATTTCTCAATAAATTATAAAGAGAGAACCCTGCATGGCTTTTACAGATTCATATCTGCCAGCTTTTGCACTGTAATGCCCGGGGACTATTTTTGCATTTGCAATTGTGACGTCACAATATGTTTTCCTTTCTCTCCATTCTTAATGACATCATGTACATTTGATGTCACAAATATCCATATTTAATATCTTAAGAGTGTTAACGACCAGGAATACAGAGAAATTCCATTCATAGTAGGAAAAATGTATTTGTATTAAAATATGTACTAAAAAGGTTATTGACTGAATAATGGGAAATATGCCCGCTCTCGGTCTTTGCGCAGATGCAGTCCTCACAAGCTCTGTCCACTTCATTGTGCAAAGACCTACTGTATTTTCCAATATTCAGTCAATAACCTTTAAATATGTCGCATTTAACTGCATGGCAACTTCATTATCATCTGAGTAGTAAAATGTATACAAGAGAGACATTTCTTAGTTTGATTAAAAGTCACTAAAATCATTAAAATATATTTTTTTAATACATGTATTATATTTTCATTCTTAATCTAACAATCTATTATGTAAACTTTTAAACTGTAATTCTTCCTTCATAAAATTCTTCAATAAAATAAGTTTTTTGTTGCCTTGACAAGGATGCTTTCCTCACACAATTACCGTTTCCTTGTCTTTCTTCATATTAGAAATTATCTTTTACTTCCAAATTATAAAGCATTGTACAAACTTTAAGTCTGTTCTTTATAATTCATACTAGTATATACATGCAACTGCATTTCTGAATAGATTGAAGAAATTCAGTGAAACACACCTACACTTCATATATCAGGATTAAAAGTCTCATTATGATGAAGAAATCCAATGAAACACACTTACACTTTGTATATCAGGATTAAAATTCTCCACTACAGGGAAGCCATTGTGTGTCTCTTTGTTAAGAACCTCCATGATTCTGCCAACAGACTCCCTCACTCGGAACACAGACACAGGATGACTCATCACCTCTCTAGTACGAAAATAAAAACAATAAAAACAAAATTCATCTTCTATTTTTCACACTATATAAGTACTGTAAATACACACCTATAAGTGGGTTGTATTTTTTAGGTTATTTCGCCTCGGTCAATATTGATCTTTTTCTGGTGAATAACAAACCATATTCACCACCGAAAGAGTCCTTAATTGCATAGTATTTACCTGTGTTTAAATAGTATTTTTTGAACTTGATTAATATTCAAACTTATTCTCAACACATCAATTTCATAAGATAATCTTCGGAGTTGTTTAAAAAACTACACATTTCGCTGTCAAGAAAAATACCATTGTTTCTAGGACTTGCTTATGTCAGACGTAAAGTTTTGGACCATAATTAATAACTAAACATTTCGCTGTCAAGAAAAATACCATTGTTTCTAGGACTTGCTTATGTCAGACGTAAAGTTTTGGACCATAATTAATCAAACTCCCAAAAAATCTGGCTTATAGGCGAGTATATACTGCATGCATTTTAACATACAAAATGTTAGAATGATAGTAAGGTTTGAAAAATTAATATTTGTTTTATATTCAATTACATTCACGTTAGCATAAAATCTATGCATTTTAATGCAAAAAAATGAAAATAAATTCACTTAATCAATAAATTCTATATCAAAGTTTGTTACAATCATAAAATTTTGCAAGGAATTGTTTCAAGAATTTGTAGGGGATCCCAAAAATACTTCACTGTATCCATAAATTTGCTATATCCATGTTCATACTAAAAAACATTTCACTGTGTTTAAATTTAAGTTGTATGTGCCTCATGCTGGAAGTTACCAGTAATATAAATATTTGGTACATGCATGCATGAAAAACTATATTTTTTATACATGCATGCATGCACATACTTAATATTTACATATTAAGCTTCCAGTACATGTATGTGCTCCATCTTCCAATGTAATGGTAACAAAATTATGAATTGAATAACCTTAACTGTTGTACGTACATCTTGTCACCCCTGCTTGAAATCTATATCCCTTGCAAGCTAGCTTCTATAGTCAGTAAAACACCCAAGTTAGAAACATATTTGGCAGTCTTAATTTATCCATTTACAGAAAAGTTCACTTGCCTCCTGATAGACAGGCATTTCACTGTGTGCTTAAGATATAATACAAGCTAATTAAAGCATACCTGGCTGGAAGATTTGTTAATACTGATGATGGCTCCCATCCCAGGATGGGCACACCCTGTATGTGGATATGCATGTCATAGATTCCCTGTAGATTAAAATATTTTTTTTTAAATAAAGGATTGTTCCTGAATATTTTTAATTACACTCTGTTTTCATATTTCTTTTTTATCAAGTCATAATGTGAAATTTGTTCATTTGATGGAGTAATTAAAAAGATGTACATATAATATATAAATTGATCTTTTTAATTTCTTTTCATTGTTAACTTACCTCATTAAAAATGTCCCCCACCCATTTAGCCACAATGAGAACAATCATGATAGGTAGACCGAACGTGATGTTTCCTGTAGCTTCCATTATGATGACAGTAAGACTTATTGTCATACGTACAATACCCCCTATAAATACAGAAGTTTAGTTTCATTATCATATCATATTGAATTAGGGGAATTGATTATATGTAATATCTAAAAATTTCATTTAAAGAAGAGGAGGATTTTTTAAAAATGAAAATGACTCACCTAGTTGAGCTGCAGCTCCTATTAAAGAATACTTTCCAAAATCTACCCAACCCTGAAAATATTTAAGTTTTACAATGTAAGTCTCGGCTTCTCAAATTTTTTACAAGGCAGCAACATCTGAAGTTTTATTTTCTGGGAAGGTTTCTATCTTATAATGATCAAAAAAGAAATTATTTCCAAATCTCCTTTGTCTCTAAATATTTCCAAAAATCATAAACTGAAATGAGTTATTGGTACTGATTTTCACCTTATACAAAACAGATATCATCCATCATAAAACTCAAAATTTTACTATGATTCTTTACTGATCTTCTCCAATTTGAAGATATCAAATTTTTAACTTCCCCCCAGTGGGAGGGAAAAAACACAATTGTTCAAAAAGCATGTGAGTTGTTTTCATCAGAAAGGGGTGAATGGGTCATAATTAATTTTAAAAAGGAGTATTAATTACCGGGTACCCTATTGTGTGGAGTGTAAAATTTCAAACTGTAGAATATGTAAGCAATATAGGTTGGTAATAACCATAGGCAGTATCATAACATATATCACTCTATAAGGAATCTATATTTTAGATTCCTGGCATATAACTGGTTTTGATACTGTCTAATATGTCTCAACGTTATTTATAAATTAAAAAATTCCTGCTCAAAATTCTAATGGAAATATTACAGGTAAATAGTAAATCTGTGCTTCTGAAAAATGTGAAATTTATGCAAAAATATTCTTAATAGTGCAGAATTTTCACATTTGATATGCCGATCTTAGTTTTCATGAAACAACCCCTTCAAATTTACCTACATGATCAACTGACATTTGCAGTTGTTTTCATTATGCATGATGGAGAATTTGTTTTAAAATCAAAAAGTCATCCAAATCATAAGACAGTTAGGAAACAAATTAAGCAGAGATTCAACTCTGCATGATTGTAATCAGGAAATGACAGCAAGCTACAATTTCTTGTGTTAATTGTTAATGAAGTCAACACAATACACAAGTCACACTGTACATGTAATTATACCATTTGGTGACCCCAGAACCTGCAATTAAGTTTGATTTATTAATACTTTGGAGAACTTCTGAATCAGCTATTTCTTATCATTGATAGAATTAATAAAAGATGTTAAATTCTAGGTACAGAGGCACATTTAAAGAAATAAAGTGGTGAAGCATTTTCCAATTCCCTGTGTACACAAACTTTTATGCTTGTGTTCTATTTTGTCAAATAAAATGCATAAGAATTCTATTTAAATATGATGTTTAAGACATCTAATGCCATTCATTTTTCAAAAACAGTTTATTTTCAAGAAATATATACTTCACTTTGGTTTATATTTGAGATATTTAAGATGAATTTGCTGGATTTCTTGATTTTAGCATATTTCTCACAAACATAATATTTGGATATACATGCACATGCTCATTTAAAACATACATGTATGTTACATGTCCCTTTTTACAATTCACTACCATTCAACCATCACATTGATATCTAGATTATGGCAGCAGTGTGGAAAAATTTGGAGGTACCCATTAAGTGTTCAATATATTGAACTTAAAATGCTATTTCATAATATGCTCAGGATTACCAACTCACTTTGACATTTCCCTGGTATTCAACATAAAGGTGTTTGAAGTACCCTTTTTTTTCTCAAAAATCCTCATAATAACTTTAGAACTAACAGGGATTTTAACTCTGTTCTTCAAAAAACAAAAAACAACATAATTAAGAGAGTATTTACCACATCTGGGAAGATATAGTTGAGACAGATCCCCACCAGTCGTCCCCAGGCAGCACCGACCAAAAGACCAGGTATAAAGAGGCCACTTGGTACGTAGAGTCCATAAGTCCAACAGGCCAGTATAAACACACACAGGCAGTATACAATGAGGGTGGCTGGTGCATAAGTACCTATATAGACAGATAATTAAAAAAAAACCCACAGAATTGTTGTTTTACACTGGAGTTTTAACAATGGATAAAACATGGAATTTTTATTTGCCAGTTGGGTCAGGAAATATGATTATTCATGTATAGGAAACAATTAACCTACAGTTCTGCTCTTGATCTTGAGCCAGTGCAATACAAGCTTGGCTATACATACTTATTATAGCAAAAATTCCTTTTCGAACAAGATAAAAATTGGAGAACTAAAATTTTGACAATATATTGTGCATAAAGATAAGAAAACAAGTTCAGTGTATACTAAAATTCACATTCAACTAAATCATACAAACTACTGACAATAGAAAACTGATAAACCTTTGGCGTCATGAAAAAGACTTTTGACGCTATCTTCTGGAGACTGGAATAGAATGGAGGCTGTAGAACTATACTGTCCATCATTGCAGTAAAACTAAAAAGGCAAAGAAATAATAAGTGACTGGAAATGTTTGATTTTATTTTTTTACTGCTTTTGACTATATCTTATACAGAACTGGTGCTTAAATGACTGCATGGTCACACTTACATATACATGTATATATACATATTACTTCCCTTATGAAACAAAATACATTTACAAGTATTATTAATCAATGCAAAGCTTTTCATTTTATATATAACGGGAACAAAAAGAATTTTTAAAAAAATTGTGACACATCAAACATCTTCACAGCTTCAGCCATAATCAAATCTTCCACATATTTGTCTAAATTATATATATGCATTTTGCACCAGTACATATTTTGTAAAATTCTGTAGCATGCAGTCTGTTAGAATGAACATTTAAATTACTATTCCATTTATTAAAAGATATAAGAAAGTTTGGACATGAAAAATGCAACAGAAATTTACACATACAAATGTACTTTTTAAAAATCATTTTAATCGTGAACAATACCTATACAGTGTAAGTTGTTTTAATTGTGTTTAATATATGTACACTGTTTATTGTTTGGGTAAGTCTGATATCTGTAAGTATGAATATTTTGAGTTTCTGCAATTATTTTGAGTTTGTGCAATGTTTGTATAAAATGTTAGTTATTTACATACAATAGCTGTACAGTGTTAGTTATTGTAATTGTGCACAAAATCTGTTTTAGTTATCTGTGTACAATACCTGTACAGTGTTAGTTATTTAAATTGTGTGGGATACCTGTACAGTTTTAGTTATTTGTGTACAACACCAGAACAGTGTTAGTTATTGTGTGGAATTCCTATTATACAGTGTAAGTTATTTTAACTGCAATACCTATACAGTTTTAGTCAAATATGTACAATACCTGTACAGTTTTAGTTATTTGTGTACAACACCAGAACAGTGTTAGTTATTGTGTGGAACTCCTATAATACAGTGTTTATAGTTATTTTAACTGCAATACATGTACAGTTTTAGTCAAATATGTACAATACCTGTACAGTTTTAGTTATTTGTGTACAACACCAGAACAGTGTTAGTTATTGTGTGGAACTCCTATAATGCAGTGTTTATAGTTATTTTAACTGCAATACATGTACAGTTTTAGTCATATGTGTACAATACCTGTACAGTTTTAGTTATTTGTGTAAAACACCTGGAAAGTTTTAGCTATTTTAGTTGTGTGTAATACCTGTATACCGTATTATTGGTTATTCTAATTGTTTGGAATACCTTTCCAGTTTTAGTTATTTGTGCACAATACCTGTACAGTGTTACATATGGAGTTATTTTAATTGTGTGGAATACCTGTACAATATTGGTTATTCTAATTGTGTAAAATACCTGTACAGTTTTAGTTACTTGTGTACAATACCTGTACAGTGTTAGTTATTTGTACAATATCTTTACATTGTTATTTATTTTAATTGTGTACAACAAATGTAGAGTGTTAGTTATTTTAATTGTGTAAAACACCTGTTATTTCAACTGTGGAATACCTGTACAGTATTGGTGTCCTGGTCATGTATCATGGGAGTACAGTTATTATTGAAGTACAGGGAAACATAACCAACTGTGGCAGTGATGATGGCTACAACCATTGCCTCAATCACTCGATCTCTACCTTTATTTATGTACCTGAAGTCAAAAATTAAAGTAAATCCTGTTCAAGGCCAATCTTAAGCTGATCAACAAATAACTTAAAAATCTATATATTTTTTTAAATTCAACAAGCAAGATAAAAAAAGGAAAATTTCACAGTTATTTGAAGGTACATAGTTGATAAAGATTTTGACTGAAAGATTGGTACTTTAACCCTGTTGACAGCATTATATGCTTGATAAATTTGCCAAGAAAACACTTGCCTTCTCCTAAATTTAGTTAAAACATAGTTAAACTGGTTAAATAAAGCACCAAAAAGCCCACCTGCAAAATATAATGCATAAAAATTTACAGTTCTTTGTGAGAATATTTCTATCTTTTTTGGCTCTGAACTATTATTTTTGCACCGAGAGTGTCATAAACATACAGAGTCAAATACTTATATTTACCTTTGTTGTCACATAAACTTTCAAGAAATTTTTTATATGTATTAAAAGAATAATCAACTTTTTTCCAGATTATGACTCTAACCTCACATTTTCATTTACTGACAAACATCTTTAAATGCAAGTAATTTTTAAGGATACGACACTATTACAACATGGTTAGGGATAAAAACATGATGAGATTATGCTCAAAAGAGACTGCTATAATCACAAAGAAAATGCAAGGATTTTTAATGCATAAATGTATACAAATTTTATAAACTTCTCGTGGAAACCATTTCAAATTTAATCTACAGTTACTTTTAATCTGTTTCTTATTTTAATGTTTCTATTTGATAGAAAATCACACAAAGAATTTGAAATATTTGCAAATGGGGGGGCTGGGGGTGGGGGAGGGGGTGGGATTGATAAATTTACGGTCTGAAACTGCTTTAGAATGGAAAATGATGGTGGCTGTTCACATTGAGTTAGGGAGTCACTGATTGCAGGAAAATTAGAACAAAAAGAGGAAATTTAGCAATAGCATATGACAGGAAGTCGCTAAATACAAGTGGTTGCTATGACAGGTTTGAGTGCTGCATATACCGGTACACAAGTGTTTATTTGTTGTTAAATAAAATTTCCTGTTGACTTTTAATCTATACGTGATTCATATCTTACCTAATACTCCCATCAATATAAAAATTGGAAGTTCAAAGGCAGAGTATGATGTTGTCTGAAAAAAAAAAAAGAACTAAAAGTGCTAGTAAAGTACATGTATGTTAAAACAACTTTGCATTCAAGTATACACATTTCTACAAATCAAACCATGAAGAGAGAGAGAGAGAGAGCAATGAGATAGAGATTCTGACAACATGTAAAGAACTTACATCAAAATTACCAAAGTTAAACAACCCAGGATAAGACAGATCCCAGGGATGACCTTTTATGTAGCTTTGTATGACGTTAAGTGTAAATGTAGACATCATGGAGGCAAAAAACTAAAAAAAAAACACATATGTACATAATGATTTGATAACAAATAAATCAAACTTTACAATACCTGTACAATGGGTAAGGTAGCAAAATGATACCTTGATATTTTTCACTCTTTTCCCCAAAAGTGACATTAATCAATCTTAAGCAAATATACATGTATGTACATAATGATTTGATAACAAATAAATCAAACTTTACAATACCTGTACAATGGGTAAGGTAGCAAAATGATACCTTGATATTTTTCACTCTTTTCCCCAAAAGTGACATTAATCAATCTTAAGCAAATATACATGTATGTAACACAAATTTACAAGCCATTCTCAGGTTCATAATAAACTTGCAACTTTTGTATCAAGTATGAACTACCAATGTGTTCTGGGAATCTTTTATGTTATCATCTTATATAATATTTGTAATCAAAATGACATTGTTTTGAGTTTTCCTTTGCAAGAAAGCTTGCTGATGCTAAATGATAACTGAAATTTTATTAATATACAATGCAGTGAAAGACAATTTACAACATTGAAAAGAAGTTCTTTAATCAAACACTTACTATTCTCCATGCTAAAGCTTGGTTCCAGAAACTAGCTCCCTCCTCCAGACTGAACAGCACACCCCCCACTGGTGCCCCAAAGGCAGCAGACACCCCAGCTGCTGCCCCTCCAGCCACAAAATCTCGTTTTTCTGTGTCAGCCCGGAAAAATTCAAATATCTGTAATATATATATGTACACTGCTAGTTTCCACAAATTTTCTCAATTCTTACATTGTGCAGTACATTTATTTTCAAAAATTAACATTTAATTTTGTCTTTATTTCAAAGTTTTCTTGACATATAAAATTACAATGACAACTTAGAGTGATATACATGTAATTACAAATGTTGTAACACATACTCTTAAGTCAAATTTTCTGAATGTGTCTGATCTTCCTTGAGAGATTCCAGCTGCTATCACAGCACCAGAATGTATCATTGGTCCTTCCTATTGAATGAGCAACACAAAGATTATTGATGGAAATTCATTGAGCTTCCATCTTATCAAAATTATGTAGTACCTGTACTGTTTATACAAAATGGTCCTGAATCAAGTGGGTTTCCCCTCAATGTTATGAGTTTCAACAGATGATTGAATGAAGCTTCTTTAATAATTACAATTTACTTAAGATCAAATTAAATATTACTAAGTTTTGCTTCTTAACATAACTTAAAAATAAAATTGTTCATGACTTTAAATTCAGAAAATTTAAAGTTTACTTTAAAAATTCTAAAATGCAAACCTTTCCTATAATGAGTCCACCTGCAACTGAACTTATGACTCCAATGACCTTTACAACAATGGTTTTCAAACGAACAACATGTGGTACTTTGACCCCATTTAGGTAGCACTTAATCTGTGGAATCCCACTTCCAGCTGCCACAGGCTGAAATGTATTACAAATGTATATTTAATAAGAGATGTCATTTTATGTTTAAATTCAAGATGAAATAATGAAAGCATTTAATGAAAAAACTATAACAAACCAACAAATTACATGTTAGTATGGATCAATTGTATATTTTAAAAACACATAGAATGAACCATGTTCTTTATATTACCAGGTATTCCTTGATTTACAGTGAATCTTTACCTCAAAGCAGGCTGTCAGAACTGCTGCAACAAACACAAGACCCCCATTGATCCCTGCCCAGACAAAGAGGGGGATCTCCATACATTGGTCGTCCACACATTTGTCTATATCTTTAGCAGTTCAGAAAAAATAATATATGACACAATTTCTAAACACGTAACTTAAGGTGTTATTAAATCATTATAAAATGTATGATATGACATACAAGGGGGCTGCTTGATTTTTAAGACTGTAAAAATATGTTCAAATATTCTAATTTGACATTGAAAGTAGCTTTTTTAAGAGGAATTAAAGCCAAATATAATGCTATGGTGGAAAAAATTATGTCAGTTGTTGAAAATTTTATTATATATATTTTTTCATGATTAAAATTCACTAAGGATAAGTATGAAACATTTCTTATTTATCACTATGTACGAGGGGCATTTATAATTTAATGAATATTAAATAATAAAAACTGTTTAACATAGTTTTTCAAGAAAATTGATTGAAGAGAATCAAAATTTAATCAATTTTCTACAAAACTGTAAATAAATTAAATTTTCTAAATAACGCGAACCCGAGATCTTGACGTGTGACGTAAACGACGTCTGCAACACTATAGCAAAAAACCATGGGAAGTGAGGTTCCTAACCAGTTAGAGCAAAGGGCATACTGTAAAGTAAGAGCGCTTCTTGGTTATAACCCGACAGAAATTAAAGCTGATTTGAACAAAGTTTATGGATCTTCTGCACTCTCCTATCCAACTGTTCTGAGATGGGTACGTCGATTTCAAGACTGTCGGCAGACGCTTGCAGATGACCCTCGTAGTGGAAGACCTGCAGCTGCCATCACCCAAAATGAAATTGACACTGTGAAACAGATCATTGAAACTGATGCAAGATACACCGTTAATGACATTTCTTCTTTCACTGGGATCAATTCGTCAGCAGTATTTGAAATATTAAAACACAGACTAATGTTGAAAAAAGTTTGTGCTCGACGGGTCCCCTACATTCTAACAGATGAGCAGAAGAGGGTACGGGTAGAAATTTGTCGGCAGTTATTAGAAAAATATGAACATTGCGATTTCAGGCGTTTAAACGAAATTGTCACTGGTGACGAAACGTGGATTTTCTTTTTCGAACCAGAAATAAAACGAAATAATAAAGTTTGGGTGACTGACGTCAAGGACAGACCACAAATTGCACGGCGTAGCCGCACAGTTCGGAAAGTTATGTACGCTATTTTCTTTAATTCGAAGGGACCCGTCGTACAAATTCCAGTCCCAGAGTCTACCAGTGTCACTGCTAAATTCTACAAAGAAAAAGTCTTAACCCAAATTGTGTCACATTATGAAGAGACCCGCCCTCGCACTGGAACCCGCGGCATACATTTGCTTCATGACAATGCACCAGCCCACAAAGCCTCGGTTGTTACCGAATATTTGGCAGAGATGAACATTAAAACTTTACCACATCCTCCATACAGCCCTGATCTATCCCCTTGTGACTTTTGGCTGAATCCACTCATCAAGGATGCCTTAAGAGGACGCCGTTTCGAAAGCCGCCAAGCTGTAGGAAGTGCGCTATACCAGTGTCTGAAGGGTGTTCCTAAATCGGCCTATAAATCGGCTTTTCAGAAATGGATTCAAAGACTGAAAAAATGTGTAGAAGTTGGAGGAGAATATTTTGAAGGACTGTGATAATCTGTATCTGTGATATTTTTGTTGAATAAAATGCAGCGAATAAATATTCATTATTTTTCAAATACCCCTCGTATAAATTGTGATTATGATTTTGCAGTTAACACAGTAAGCTAAACAAAGGATACATTTTTTGATGATGCTGAACTTGAGATCTGTAGATTTGATGACACAATAGTCAATGAGGCTTGCCACCAGTCCAGTCAGAACTCCAACAAAAAACATGACTAACCATCTTAACATCTCAATTACCACAATATCCTGTCAAACAAAAGACTTATTAAGTAAAACTTTACAAACCATTCATGTTGATAAAGCACTCCTGTTTTCCCAGAAGTATGAATGAGTACTTACCCTGACAGACTTTGTTTTCTCCTCCATTTGGTATAACTCATTTTCACAATCATCATAATCCAAACTCTGTAATACAACACAGTCCATCAATTAATCTACTTTCATTATCGTATAACATTAAAAAAAACCCAATGCAATTGAATTAATTAGTATATTGACATTAAGTTAATTAATTTCATGCCAATTGCAAGAGAAATAGCTATACAAACCTCATATTCTCCAGAGAGGACCTTCTCTGTTGCATAATTAAGTTTATTTTCAGAATCAGATTCATCTTCCTCACTTGATTGATTTATTACCTGAAAGCATAAAAATTTATTCCCTATTTTCAACCCTTCTTAAGATTTGATATATTTAATCATTTTCATAGCTCGGTACAGGGGCCTATATACTAAGTATATAGGCCCCTGCTCAGTATAAACTTATGATAAACAATAGTAGCATTGTGCTGAAACAATGGTTTACTGAACTGGATACTTCATATTTTTGGCTGGTATAGTATAATCAATAGGGTATATGTTGCTGACATGTAGCCATACAGTATGAAGAAATAGTCATCATCAAGCCTGTATACTACATCTAATTTGTCCAAATTAGGTTGTATGCATACGACCTGACCTGAACACTGCTGAATCTGATCTAAATCTGATATTGCTTATGGACTGATGAAATGTCGATCTAGTTTGAGTGAATTTTTCAACATTTTTTTCTGCATTGTTATTGACATTTTATATCATACTGTTGTAATACATACCGAAGTAGGTCTTCTGTTAATCAACGGAGTTCTCTCGGAATCATCCATGATCACGTGAAAATCATATGTTGTTTTGCTTCCTTATTCCAAGAACATGTCATGTTTACATGATTGAAAAAAACAGAGGACTTCCGAAAAAGAAAGTGAAAGCATGTCAACTCTTTCTAAAAAAATTCATGCGATTTGTTTATTATTTTCTTGAAAAAAATCTTCACTTTACCATATAGATGAAAGTTTTTAAACAGATGGAAACTATTAATTTTTTTAATGAAGATCAAAGTATATGAAATCTTGGCACTCTTAAATTAAAATTATTTCTATTGATTCTTACTATATCGAAACAATTTAGGTCGACTTATCTGAAAGATACATGCCGTTCAACATGGCGGAGGAAGACGACCCGGTTGTGCATGAGGTATCTTTTAGCTTTTTATTCTTTAGTTTCCGTGGGTTTCTGGGTTTTATCTTATTTGGCATTACTGTAAAATGCATCTTTTATGAGCTTTCGAACGAAAGATTTTGAATTTAAAGTTTTGAATGAAATTAGTTATTGCACCACATGCCATCACCATGTTTGCAGTTCTGAAAAAAATCAAAACAAAACCCATCGACGTATAGTCCAAAAATTACGGTAGCTTTATTTAGCTACTGGAAGTACCGGTAGCTTGTTTTAGCTATTTTAATGCAAGTTTTCACAAGTTTGCTTTTATCAAAATAGACAAAAATTGCAAGTATGTGCACAGGGGCATCTTATCCGCTCTGTTCTCTACTACACATATAAAAATACACAAGGGAAGAATCGAAATTAGGACACGATTTGTAAACAAAGTCAAAAAACAACTTACTTGAGAAAAGTTTCACAAATCCCTATATGCACTAGCGCAAATGATGTCCAAGCACTTATCCAGGCTAAAATATTCCAAATATATCCAATGTAAATAGCTTTTATCCAGATAAAACTCCTGCTTTCTGCACAGTTTGAAACTCTTCGCCCAAGAAAAGAAAGCTCGACAACTTCAGTTTTTTTTCTTTTTTCATAAATTCTATAATACATTTATTCGAATTTTAAAATCAAATTTGGTGCAATAAAGGACAAGGTATGGTAACGGTCGAATCTGGCCCCTTATTTGATGTAAAAATCAGAACACAGTTAAAATTATCATAATTTGTAGTTAAGAACTTAAAATGGTGCTTTATTTAAAACCAGCACTAATTTTGATTCAAAGCTCGCACAGAGGCCACAAGAGGGTGCAGAAATAGGAAATTTTCCTGAATTTCCTCAATTCTGGTGGAATTTCGGTAAATTTGAGATACTTTTCACTTGGAAACATAGAGCACAAGCTTGCCTATCTGAAATTTTTATACATAAGATGCATCTGACACTAGTGTATGAGATATATAAATTTGGTAGATAGGCAAGCTTGTGCTTCATGTTTTCTGAAAGAAAATGTGCTGTAAAATCGATGAAAATTTGCATAAAAATGAGAAAATTCGGAAATTGACATATTTTCTGACCTCCTGTGACCTCTGTGAATCCCATAACTTAGAACCAATACTCATTTTGTGGCAGGGTTGACAACAGGTTTTTTATTGATAAACTGTTGCATCATTCTAAAAGACACCCCAAACCAGGGGCCAAAAAGGGGTCTTAGCCTATCTTGTCCTTTGATAATTAAATGACTCTAAAATTATATTACCTTCATCCTTACCATAAGACAAATATTTTTTCAGACATTTCACTGTCGAATTAGAATTTACCACTCTCGATACAAAAGAGTCCCGAAAGTTTCCGAAAAACGATAGTCGTCTGTGGACAAGTTATCTTTTCTTGGGTGAAGAGTTTTAAACTGTGCAGAAAGCTGGTGTTTTATCTTGATAAAAGCTATTTATGTTAGATATATTTGGAATATTTTAGCCTGGATAAGTACTAGGACATCATTTGCGCTAGTGCATATAAGGATTTGTGTAACTTTTCTCAAGTAAGTTGGTTTTTGACTTTGTTTACAAATCGTGTCCTACTTTCGATTCTTCCCTTGTGTATTTTGGTATCCAGTCAACTCGTACCCATTCCGACTCGTAACCAAACCGAGTTGTACCCAAAGAGTCAACTCGTACCCAAAATTGAAGTCATAAAATAAATAATAAAAATATTTCACTTTTTGATATATTTTCATAAAGATATCTGATTTATTATTCCAATTTAGTTACACTACTTATATTTTGTAAAATAATGACAATTAAATTAAATTTGTTTGAAAAATTCAACTTGGCATATATAGATATACATGTATGTAGATCGGGCCTAGATAGATTCTTTATTTCCAAATCAGGGCCCTTGCAGGCATCACAAACAACAAGCATGATTTATGCAATTTCCAACTGCACAGACGAATTATGTGTATACTAAATAATCTGTAGTACATGTCTTTGTGTAGTATATACACTGTATATGTAAGTAACAGTTTTGGGTACGAGTTGACTCCTTGGGTACGACTCGGTTTGGGTACGAGTCGGTTTGGGTACGAGTTGACTGTAAATCTGTATTTTTATATATGTAGTAGAGAACAGAGTGGATAAGATGCCCCTGTGGTATGTGACTACAAATATTTGTACCATGGACTCTTAAAAAAGCAAAATGAAAGGGTTTGATAATGCAGTTCAAATGGTAATGAAACTATGTGTTTAATTTACAACACAGTACTGCTGAAGTGTATGGTTAGTTTCACTAACCTTGGATAACATGTATGATTAACAATCCTCTAAAGCTCAACCAATGGGTGTGGATATCAAATTTGATACAGAAGAAATTAGAATTTTATGATAAAATTGAAAAGAAAATAAAGTTCAAGTTCCTAATTTTAATTGTAATTTTATTTTTGTGACACATACAATATTTTGGTTAACAGAAAAAAGTGCATCAAATATGCATAATATGTATTGTTGCAAAATACCCCTGAAAAAAAGCTCTGTGTTAAAATGACTGTTGAAAAATATACACAAGCTATGAAAAATTTCAAAATACCTAATCCAATTCAAAACAAAACTTGAAGTCCAAATTATAAATATCATGTTGGCATACATGTATTAACTTGAGTGTGGCTTGGTTAAAGAGGCTGAAGAATGTAATGAAATGGTCAGAGAAGCTCAAGTTAATGACTCAGGTTCAAACAGCCCTCAGATATTGTCTTGGTAGAGAAATCATGTTCCTTTGTTAAATGCAAGATGGTGGAATCATTTTGAATGTATAAATAAAACAACAGACACAATTATTTTTAAATTTTTAATATTAAAAATACCCATTAAATTAAGAACCAAGGAAATATAGGTAACAAAGGCAAAACCAAAATGTATTGGACCCTCTAAAATTCCTTTTGATTCCCAAAAATTTATTTCAAAGGCTCATAATGACCTTTGGTTTTTCAAAGTTTGTGTAAATACCGACACAACTTATAAATATTTTTTTGGTGTTCTTAAAAAGGGGGGTGGTCACTTGTGTGTAAGGGATTATGATACATACTTTTTATTCAGTTAATAAACTTTAAATTGATAATTCATTCATAATTTCTACTTGATCATCAATAATGTACCAGTAGTGCACAGATAAAACTTGTGTGTGTAGCCTTTTTTTTATTGTCAGATTGATGTTTTTATTTCCAAAAATTTCATTCAGATAGGAAAATCGCACTTGAACTATTAATTGATAATTCATTCATAATTTCTACTTGATCATAATTAATATAGTGTACAATTTCTAAAACTTCTATGTATAACCTGTGTTTTATTTTCAGATTGATGTCTTCATTTCCAAAAGTCTTGCAGATAAACTGTATTTACTTCAGGTATGACAACTGACAAATGCAATATAATAGAAATCTTTGTTGTAAGCATTAAAATATAGATTTTATGACAGATATTCTAAGAAATTTGTACATCTGAGTTTATATTTGTAGAAAACATCTCTAGTCTTTTTTAAAAACAAATCATCAGAGATGAGCATGTTATACATTTCTAAATTCAGACCAATGGTTTAATGTAATATGTTAAAATTACTCTTCATTTTCCAGAAACGTCTCTAATTTTTTTTTAGAATAAATCTTCAGAATTGAGCATGTTACACATAATTTATAAATTCAGACTAGGTAATGGTTTAATGTATGTTAAAACCACACTTCTTATTTTCCAGAAAGAAACATCTCATATTTTTAAAATAAATCTTCAGAGATCAGCATGTTTTATACATTAATAAATTCAGATGAATGGTTTAATGTACGTTAAAATCACACTTTTTTTTCTAGTACCCTGTTCGTCCTGGAAGGATGACTTATGATGATGTAGATATTCTCTCTGCAAGAGTTAAGCCGGTTCAGAAGAAAGTGAGTGAGAAGTAAAATAACTATAGTTAAACTTCATTATCTTGAACACCAGTACCTCAAATGCTATGGATACATGTATGTTTAAGTGATTTGAAAGTCCCAACCACTTATTCTTAAAGTATTTTACCCTCAATATCTCGAATCTTTCTTTATCTCAAAGTTTTTTCTTAGTCCCATCTAGTTCAAAATAATGAGGTCTGACTGTATTTCTGTTATTTCTTGTACAATAATGACAGTTGAGGTAAGTAACTCGATGTTTTAATTTTTTTTATAAATTAATTTAGGTTGAGGTTGAAGCAACCATCAACACTAGAAGTCCTCATTATGCCAGGAGCAAGGGAGAACAGATTGCGTTGAATGTTGATGGTGCCTTTGGAACTTCTTCAGATTCTTTGTACTCTAGGTAGGGAGGAAATATACCACATTTTACTTGAAATTCAGATAACTGTGGATAATAAAATAAAATGTTTTATAAATTTGTAGAAATAATTGTCTACATCAAACAAAAGCAAAAATTTGATTTTTTTATGAGGTCATTATTGTAATTTCCTGCAGACTAGAGTAAATTGAAAGTATATAAATAATATGAATAGTGACAAAATTTTTTTAGTAGTACATCACAGGTTTATTTTCTTTATTTTTTTTTTTTGGTAGATAACAAGTATTTACATGTATTTAATGCATTGTGATTCTTGTTTCAGTGACAAAATGGATAAACAGGTGCTAACCTCAGTTTCCACAGGGGAAAAATCTGGAAGATATGCTGCAGGGATTTTCAAAGATGGTAACTTGACAGTATAAGTTGTAAAATTTAACTTATTATATTTGTTGTATTGTTCCATAAGAGAAGTAAGATTTAATACCCAATCTTTACAATTTTGCGAAGTCCAGAATGCAAATGTCACCCTTAAATTCATACAGAACTGTAATTTCTGTGTATAGAAAAAAAATCCCAGTTTTATTTAATATTTACAAAATTTTTGTGGTAAGTTTAAAGTTAGATAATTTAACAATTTGCATGATTTATGTTGTTTATTTACAGGAGAGCTACATTTGACTCCATTGAGTGCTATTATTCAGATGAGACCCAGTTTTAGTTACCTGGACAGAGCAGATCTAAAAATAAAAACTGAAGTGGGTCCTGCAGGAGATGGGGGTCAGTCTAATTACAGAACATTGATTAAAATTAATTGAAACTAAATTTTAAGGTTTGTATATGAAGGAAAAAATTAAGTGCATGTTTTAAGTGACATCTGCAGCTACAGATCTACCTTTTATCTGAGCCAAGGCTGAAGTGACCTCTTCTTATCAAAGGAGTCTGTCATCTGTAAACTTTTTACCTTTTCCACTTCTTCTCCAGAACTACTGAGCCAATTCCAACAAAACTTGTCACAAAGCATTCTTGGATGAAGGGCATTCAAGTTTGTTCAAATGAAGAGCTTGTTCTCTTTCAAGGATAGGTTAGAGCCACAATAGAGGAACAAAGTTTTATTAATGTAGAAAAAAAATCTTTGTCTCAATAACAGCAGGGCCATGATTTAATAGTCATACATGTATTAATGTGCATTTATATTCTCATATAGCATAAATTCAAGATTGTTTCGATCATGTCCCAAGGAGTTAAGGCAGGGCTACAATAGAAGATGAAAGTTTTACATTGAATTATATACACTGTAGTGAAAATTCTTTAAAAGTGTGCTGGTTAAGAACAATAGGGCCATGGTTGGTAATATTAAATGCAAGCATCCTCATGCCATGTAGATTCAAGTTTGTTCAGATCATGGCCCTAGGGTGTAGGTTGGGACCATTGTTCTGAAGACCGGTAGCCAGGGTTAATCAGGTCAGTTTTTTTTTTGGTAGGTGAGTCATCACAGGATGAAGAGGAGGAGGTAAAGCCAGTCACTGTCAAGTTTGCCCAGCAGGAATCAGAGGAGGCCAAGGCTCGCAGAATGGCCTCGTTTAATTACCTCCAGAAAAAACAACAGGAGGAGGCATGGCAGCCCCTTAACTATCACAGTATTAGTGTCAGTGTTATTGCTATAGAATTATAATTTTTGTTATTAATGTAATTACAAGTAGCATACAACTGTATACAGGGAAATTTTCACCCCCTTTTTATTTTCTCCCTCATCCCAAGTGGGCAAATTTAAAATAGGTTGAATTTAAAGGAGACATCATTATCTCTTAAACATAACTAAATATGGGCGAATTTTGAACTGGACAAAATTTTTTTGCAAGTGTGGAGGGGCGAAAATAACCCTGTATACAGTACATGTATATGTATAGGAGAAATATTGTTTAACCTTGAAATCTGAAATATGGCAATGCAGTTCTAAAACTTTGAGATATCTAAAGTGTTTTAGATAGTAATGTTTTAACTGGAATCAATTATATTAAGAAAGGCAACTCACTTAGACTCAACATACATATAATTATCAAAGTTCAACAGTACCATAAGTTTATAATGGCAAACAATCCTGTTCTTTTTTTGATCCATGAAATTTCATTCATGCTATATTAATGGAAGTTTCATACCCAAATACAATGACTTTATGGATAATTGAAACATTGGTAGCTTAATCCTGTTGTTTCATTCATTCTCCAGATGAATCTATTCATTTGAAACTTAATATTTTTGTCTAAATTTTTCAGAGTGGTAGAGCTGAATCTGAGAGGCTTCAGTTGTATGCTGGGAAGGGTGATGAGTTGTCAGAGTTCCAGTTACAACCTGGGGAATACCTACAGGCCCTCATGCCTGAGACAGACCAAGCAAAAGAGTAAGCATCCTTTAATTCAGCTCATGTGGGTAACCAAAGCATTTTGTATAATCCACTCCACATTGTACTGTGTTAGTATCACAGACCTGAAGTACTGCTAAACTCCACTTATATTGAAATAATTTGTATTTATTTAGATAGAAGGAATGGTATCTCATTTCTTTGCTTCTAAGTATTGATTCTTTGAAACTGCTGCTGCTTTTGTTGGATTTTCTCTTTTATTGAAAGCAAAATTACAGTCTGTTGAACTAATAATTAGATGCAATGCATGAAAATATTATATATCTGTAGATTGATCTTATAAGTCCATAAACACAATTTTCTGATAGAAATTATGCCTGTATACTGTAAACCAACTTTTATTCGCGACGACTTTATTTCGCGATTTACCGGGGGTAAACTAGTTCACGACGATTAATTTTCACAATCAAGCCTTTTTTGGATCTCTTGTTAATAGAAAGAGAGACTTAAAGGACCGGTTCGCGGTGAGAAATATTCGCGATGATGAGGCTCTGGCGAACCTTGCGAAAATTTCTCACACGCAAATAAAAGTTGGTTTACAGTATATGATAATTAACAGAGAGATGCCTGCAATGCCCAGTAATGTATTGTCCCTGATACAACTGAGAACCATGCCACTACAAGACCAAGTCAAAACATTATTAACAAATGGTGAGTTGTAATGTATACCTATACATTCATGCAAAATTGTGGGAAGTTCTGATTTTCAATACATCAGATTGATGTTTGTCATTTTGAAAAAGGTTGCTGTTTCACATTGTAGAACATCTGTGGAATGTCTAAGTGGTGTATTTTCTTATATTTCTTCAAACTTATGTAACTTCTTTTCTTCAGCCAAAGTAATCCGTTTTAGCCAGTTGTTAGCACTGCTTCCTCAAGGTGTGGATGCAACAGCTGTTCTCAGATCTCTGCAACAGGTGGCAGTATTGGTTCAAGGCTGCTGGGTTGTCAAAAGGTTGGTCTGCTAAGCATCAAATATCAATGAATTAAGATTTAATACTAAGACTATATCAAATTAGGGGGGATGGGAGGGGATGTTCTCTCTCTTTGTGCAACATTTTGGTAACAGTTTTTAAATGTTACATGTATATGAAAATTTACATACTGAATTTCAATCTTAAATTCATAATTACATGTACATATTATACTTTTATGACCAGTGAGATTTTGTATCCAAAAGAGGCTACAAGTCCCCACAGTGGTGTATCAGCAGAGCATCTTTGTAGAGGTAGAGACTATGTGGTGAGTGTTAAGTGTAGAGATAGTAATTATGGTAAATTACTGAAATTACAGAAATTACCGAATCTGTATTTATCTTTGTAGAGTTATAATTTTAGTGCCTTTGATGGAGTCATTGGTGTGCAAATTCATCCAAAAATGCATTGCATAAAAATTACATTAAATAATTATATTATTACATAATAGTATAGAATGCACATACTTGATCATTTTTAAATTTGAGAGATACAGTTTTGATTAATATTTCTACATTTTTTTGTCTTCAGATGTGGAGATTCACCCAGTCTAGACATGTCACAAGGAAGGATATTGCGTCCATTGTTAAGGTACGGTGCTGCATGTCAAAATTCTTTCTAATCTTATTCATGTTCTTTGCACTTGATTTCAAGAATGTAAATGAAATGGTTATATTGTAGCTACCAGCTGAGGATGTCAAAGACATCCTTGAACAAATCTCACATATTCGAGTTAACTGTGGTTGGGAATTCCTGTTTACGTATGACTTAGATTTTACATGCAGGTAAGGTGGAATGTAACATTTAGAACAAAAAAATTAATGCACAGCTCTGTTTGAATGAGGGTATTATGTGAGTTTACTCACAGTTCCTCTAGTTTCAATTTACTGTGGAATCACTAATTTTCATGGGGGTTTAATTTTTGTTGTTTTTGTGGTAGGGAGAGATCCACAAATTCATGTCCCCCATAAAATGTAAAGTTTCATTCATATAACAACTGAACAACTGAACACTTCATCCACGAAATTAAATCCCACAAACCAAGATTTTTTCCTCAAACCAGAAACATTTGACCCCACAAAAATAAAATGTTTTACAGTATCAATCAATGAACTTTTATAGAAATTTATTATAATCTTCATCAGTATTTTAACACCAGTAAATATGTATATTGTATGTACCACTTTTCCCCAAAAGAGATATAATTTTCTGAAATACAGGTATCCAGATATTGTTCAAAGACAGAAAATGTTATGGGAAGCTAAATATCAGGGTCTGGCCAAACTTCTGAAAATCCCCAAGGAACATGATAAGAAGTTCAAAGACAAAGGTATAGTTGATATTGAAAAGTTTCAAGCATATGAAAATGCAACAAAGTTCTATTTGTTAATGGGTTATTTTATACATGTACTTTGTGAATTAAAATGAAAATACTCAAGGTAGTTTTGTTCATAAGAATGTATTAATATAACTAGAGGGTTTTTTTGCAAAATAATCTTGTAAAGATTTGGATAAACCTTTGGCAATTTGCATAACTTATTGAAACTAACGAAAAGCAATGCTGCAAAATTTTAGTTTCTTAATATGAATATGAAACATTGTTTATAAAATGATTTGAACTAAAATGTATTTTAAAGAACCACCCATTTCACCGGGGGAAAAGCCAACAAGACGTCGCAGAAATTCCTCAAGGTCCTCGACAGGCACACGCAGAAAACGTACACTAAGTGGCCGGTCTTTGTCCGATTACAGTGATGCAGAAATGGATGCCATCAAACAAGATCTAGAAAACCATGACGATTTACTTTCCAGAAAAGAAGAGCCAATGGAAGTGTCTTCTACTAAACTTACAAACTTTAATGGTACCATAGAGGTCACTCCAAATTCTGACTGTGATACTACCAAGGGAGAAAACTCTTTTGATTCTCCTGAATTTAAACTTGAAATCCTCAATTTTGTGAAGGAGAAACTGTATACAAGATTTGTGGTTAGTGCAAGTGAACTTCAAAGATTATTTCAGATGCATCTCGCTCAGAGTCCCCCAGGGCAAATTCTGGCAACAGGTGTGTCAGATAAAATCCTGGAGGAGTCCGCCTTAAAGGTTGGAGGGGTGCTACTACAAAATCAGGTCAGTCTTAGAAAAATAAGAAAAGTATTCTTGTAAATATTTAAATAATAAAGTGTGTTTTTATTGTCATCCTAAGGGGATATGATGGTTGCAAGCATTGATTGTAGAAAAATTGAATGAAGTGCAAAGCAGCCATTGTGTGTTTAATTGTATTCATCTGCAAAGTTAAAGAATATGCTGATCTTTGTGACACAATGTTATTGTAGTAGATATACAAATATTTTATAGATGTAAATACAGTAGTAAAAAGAGTATGTCATTGTATATTATAGAACTATCACAAGGTACATTAGTAAGATTTCTTTTTAATATGGAAGAAATCGATTGAAAAGTGAAGTAAACATCACTATATGATACAGAAATTTGATTCTACATTGAGGAAATATATAACGTACCATTTACAGGTAATACTCTGTGCATAATATTTGTTTGTATTAATGATAGTATATTTAAGTGTCTGTTTTTGCAGTGGCCACCAAATTCTCAACAAGAACCCATATATGCCTTACCAAAAATTGGAGATAAACTGGACCCTGTACGTATCTACCTTTAGTATTACAGTAAAACTTGTGTAATCCAGACATCATAAAAATTAGCCGGAATAGACAACATTCAGGATTAGACGAAATTCTCAACAATTGAATTTAGTTACAGGAACTTTAAGTTTACATCGTATTAGGCAAGATTTCGGAATACACAACATCCTGATTAGACAAGTTTCACTGTACATGAAATATTCCACAAGTTTATTATCTAAGTAGTATGGCATTTAATATATTTCAAATTAAGTGAATTAGTGTTTAATTGATAGTGGATGTGTCTTTGTATGCTGTCTGTGTTTTTTCTTTTTTAATAGGCTCGTACTGTGTTGTTGAATGCCTTTACATCTAGTCATAAGATTAACAGGAAACAGTTTATGAAGTCAGTAGAGGAGCAATGTGGGTTTACTCTCTCTGAGCAGGACACAAAGCTATTACTCAAGGTGAGTTACCAGGCAACAGCTGTAAACATTTTGTTACTCAAGGTGAGTTACCAAGCAACAGCTGTAAACCCAGTCTCCCTTGCAGAGTTGTTTGTTCCTCTCTCAGACACCTCTGCAATGAGCTCGAGTCAAGATTTTTGACATAAGGTAAAAAAACATGATATTCAAAGGATTATTTCAAATTCAACTAATAGTTCTAGATCTACATGTACTTATATAATATATAAAGTAAATATATACCTTAAAAGACAAACATTAGTGCAGAAATATGATTATAATGAAAACAAACACACTATTTCTTGACAATGTGCGTAACGCTATGATATATGTGAGCCTATGACAGTGGTAAATGTATGAGCTGATGGTAGAGAGTGCTGTAAACATTCTGTTACTTAAGATGAGTAACCTGGCAACAGCTGTTAACATTCTTAGAATTTTTAAGGTCATTTTATTGCTTTGTTCTGGGCCATGTTGTTTCTAAATAGTTGTTTTCAGTATTATCAGGTACATGTTTCAGAGAGAGAGAGAGAGAGAGAGGTGATCATTAAATACAGCAAGTGCCCTAGTTCCAGTTGGCTCCTTTTAAATATATAAATGATACATGTAGTTATACATGTGTTTCTTTACAGGACTATTGTGTCCAGAAAGCCAATAGCTGGATGCTGAAGGGAACCATTCCTGCCACATGACCCCGGCTGTTTTATAGTTGTACTTAATCCGCTTTTGTTAAACTGTTGTTATAATAAATTATGAGATGATAAACTTTTGTCATGTTTCATTTCAAATGAATGTGAGGAATACAGGGACATGCACTTGGAATTTCTTGATGAAGTTTTTAGAAAAAAGGTTTTTTGACATCTGGGATATACTTACTTGAGATAAAGAACAACTGTAATTTTTCAAAAATAATATTCAAGCATTCCAATTTGGAGACTCAATTTATTGAAATCATTCCCTCTCCAAAAAAGGATAGTGCATAAGTTTTTTAAAACCAATTTTAAAGCTATCTTCTAAAAAAAAACAATATTTAACACTTGTACATGTATTTATATCTAATATACAAGCATATTTATGTATTTAATACTTAGACATGATCATTTTTTGATGCCATCCATCTCCAATTGGACAAGGGGGAGAGGGTTAAATGTTTTGAATAGGAGTAGGGAAGTCATTTGAAAGAACATCAAAACTATATCTGAGCAGTTTTTTGGATCTTGTAGACCCCATGTAATGCATTCAAATAATCACAGAGCACAATCGAAACTGAAGCAAAAGACAGAAATAGAATTCATATGCATATGTAGTGTGCATTCTAGTTTATGAGAATCCTCATGCATCATTTGTCATGTTGAATGTAAAGATGCCAACAAATTTTGACAACGTAACTCAGTCAAACTACAATCTTTTAGTGTTTTTTCAGCTTATTGTATACATGCTTGTGGTTCCACCCTTAAGTCTATCCTCCTTCAGCAGCTGTTTCGGCTCTGTCCACTACACCCCCCCCCCCCCCCCAAGGTATGCCAACTGGAGTGAACAGGTCCCAGCCCAGCTCTGCACCACTACTGTTCTATTTTAGCTGTCTTACCACGTATCTGCCCTTTTTTACCACAACCACATAGATGCTGACTCCGCCTCCCTACACAGACCTCCTATCAGTCTCCTCTCTGCTCCAGTTATGCCAATTGCGCTCAATGCCCTCCACAAAGACTGTCCAACAAACCCTCTTCATCCCACTTATACTGTGAAAAACCAGACCTTCCATCCATTCTGTTGACAAACCTTCACAAGATCTTGGTACTTAAGGTTTTGTGGTTATATACATCCTCTATTCTCTCTTCCCATGGTACTGTCAATTCCATAAGAATTGCCTGTTTTGTTGCCACTGACCAAATAAATATGTCAGACCTCCTGTTTGTAACTGCTATTTCAATTGGAAATTCTAATTTATTTCTCAGGTCTGCCAGCATCTGCCAATCTGTTGCTGTCCTGTGCATACCACTTCCTTCAACACAAGCTTTATGTCCCTTTTCCCCTTCTTTCACAAAGTTGACAGAGGAGATGGGTGAACAAAGCATGCAGAATGCCTATAGCTTCAGATATATAAAGATCATATTCAATTTGTGAATTTAGTATTTACAGTAAAGTTCTCATTATTGAAATTTATGAAATAATGACAAACAAAACTTTTCTGGTGAAATTTTTTCTATTACATGTAATAAAAAAAAATATGTGGTATTCTTTGGGTTCAAACCCTAGCAATGAAAATCCAGAGTATCATTTACTTTTGAGACTAACACACTAACCACTATATATGCTACACAACTCCTGATGAACAGTGGCATTTAAATCCTTAGATGGGGGGGTTCACCCCGAGGGGGAGGAGGGGGTTATGCCCTCAAGCACCTGTGACTGAGAGAAGGTTACTCCTCCATACCCCCTTCGCTGAAACTTTGTGATGGCCCTGATATTTCAGAATGTTTTGCAATTTTCCTTTTGCACCATTTGTATGGTCTGAGAGATATAAACAAACAGGTTTTTAAATTCATAGTAGAATTCACCTAGTAAATGATTATTAAAGCTCTTTTTGACACTGGTGGATATAAATATTGTCCATTGAATTAAGCCCAAAGTTTTAAAGTACCAACACATATATGGATCAATATTTTTTGCTTAAAAAAATGATTTTCATTTGATTTGTTAACCTGTAATTAAAATTTGTCATATGTTTATTAATTTGACAATTGGTCTTTTTTTTTTACACAGAGACTTTATTATTATTAGACATAGTAGTAGCATATAAATAATAACAATACATTTAGTTGAGCTTTTTCAGATTCTTAGATTAAAAATTCATAGCTGGTGATAAAAATTGAGTTTAAAATATATCCCCCCCCTTTCAGCAACAAAAGTTTTGGTGTGAATAGGTGATACCTGTAAAAAAGGAATTTTTTAAATGTATTTTCAGTTTACATTAGTTTCTACAGTGAAATAGCAATTTTTACCAAAACAATCAAATTCAAAGAATTGTGGTCCCCCGCTTTCGGTGTTGTCTTAGTGGTTGGGATGCAATTATTTATGGCAAATTGTAAATGTCTTGTTTATATGTCCTGTCTTGTCTGTCCACCATACAAAAAAGAAAGAAATTTATTGAGTTAACAAAAGTTATGGCAAAGATTAAAGCTTCTCAAAACGGCAACAAACTTCAAGGTCATGAGGTCAAATATCCATAATACAATTCAAAAGGTCTTGTCACAAGTAAAGCACTTTTGAAAAAAAAGAGTCCTGTCTCTTCTGGAGCAAAAGTTATGGTCAAAGTTGACATTTCTGACAAGTAGGTCAAAATTCTAGGTCAAGGTCATGAGTCAAAAATTATATATCTTTCTAAAAGGTGTTGTCATTGGTAATGTACAGGTAAAATATAAAAGCCCTATCTTCTCTCATTCAAAAGTTACTACCAATGTAAAGACATTGAAAAAGACTATAGATTAAACTTTAAGTTCAAGGTCATTATATCAAAAGCCTGAGTATGTTTGGAAAAGCCTTGAGAGAGGTAATGCACATATCAAATATAAATGCCCTACCTTATCTCATTCAAAGGTTATCAGCAATAAATTTTTTTGAAAATTAGGTCAAACTTCAAGGTCATGGCGTTAAAAATCATAGTACATTCGGAAACGTCTTGTCATACATGAAAACCAGAGTACATTAGGAAAGCTCTTGAAAGAGGTAATGCACATGACAAATATAAATGCCCTATCTTCTCTCATTCAAAAGAAAATTAGGTCAAACTTCAGGGTCAAGGTCGTGGGGTTAAAATCATAGAAAATGTATATTTGGAAATGTCTTCACGCAGATAATGTACTTGTCAATTAGAAATGCCCTATCTTGTCTCTTTCAAATGTTAGCAGCAATGATATTTTTTTGCAAATTAGGTCAAACTTGAAGGTCAAGGCCATTGGATCTAATATTAGAGCATATTCGGAAACTTCTTGTCACAGAAAATGCACTCATCAGATAGGAAGGCCTTATCTTCATTCATTCTTAAGTTATCACCAATGATTTTTTTTTTGTTTTTTTTTTTTTTTGGTTTTGTTTTTTGTTTTGTTTTGTTTTGAAAATTAGGTCAAAATTCAAGGTTAAAGTCAAATGGTCAAAATTCATAGCATGATCAGAAACATCTTGTCACAGGTAATGCACATAAGTCAAATAAGAATACCCTATCTTCTCTCCTTCAAAAGTTATAATCAATCTTTTTTTTTTTTAAGTAGGTCAAACTTTGAGGTCAAGGTCACGGGGTCAATAACAATAGTCTATTTAGAAATGTCTTGTCACAGGTAATGTACATGTGAAATATGAAAGCCCTTTCTCTTCTGATTCAAAAGTTTTGAAAAGTTATGTTAATTTTTTTGAAAAGTAGGTCTAACTTGAAGGTCAATGTCAAGGGGTCGAACGTCAAAGTATATTTGAAAATTTCTTGTCACAGGTAACGTACAGGTGAAATACTCTTCTCATTTACCTTATGTTATAGTATAGAAGATATATTTTTTGTTTAAGAATTAAACTAGGGGTGTCTATGAATTAAAGGTTATGACCAATGTTAAAGTTTTTGTGACAGAATGACAGATGAATGAGATTAAATGTCCCCTCGCTTTCGCGAAAGCGAGGGACAATATTAGTGATGGCTATATTTTCCTTTGATTTTCCAAATAATTTGTTTTACCAAATAAATTAAATTTTATGAAAATTCATGTAAATATTTACCCGAATTTAAAACTTTTAAAAGAATATTCCAAATTGATTACTTTTTAAAAAATTGACCTGAAGTAGGTGGCGAAATACGCGGGTGACGAGACCCCTCAGTACTGTAGGTCACATGATAACAAAATGGAGAATTTATCAACAGCTGCCAGAGACAGAGTCAATTGGTTGTCACGATTGCGTTTTAACAAGTGAATTTGAGAATAAAGTAACTGGACAAAGGGGTCAAGATGGCAGGAAATACGTTAACAGAGGCTGGTGCTTCTTATTCGAAAGCGGTAAGATTGAGTTTTCACTTGATCATGATTTGATGTATTTTAATTAAGGACATTCGCAACGTATCTTACTTACTGATAATTTTTCAAGATATTCTTAATTTAAGATTATAATGCCATCAGATGTTCATAGACAAAAAATCAGCATGCATTACCAGGGGTTTTGAAAAGATATCATTTCATGAAAATTCTTGTATAATTTAAAGAAAAATATATACAAAAATTACTAAACATATATTCTAGATGTTTTGTTTATCAAAACTTGTTTAAGAAGAAGTGTACAACAGCATATAAAGACATTAAAATGTAGCAGACAGTTCCTTTAAGTATTGGAACTCTTCAACTCCAGAGAAAAATACAATAAAGTTCAAACTACGTTGCGTATGTCCTTAATTCGTTCCAAATTTCGAACCAAAGTAGCCTACATTTTCATTTTAATAGCGAGACAAATGTATTGTGTTCGTTCATTTAATTTGAAAAGTGTAATTTTTCCTATGAATAAAATTTAATAGGGAGATAAACATGTATTTAAATATTTAAGCTAGCTTCCTCATTAGGCCTATTTAATTAATATTCCTGCAATTTCCTCTAAAAGTTATAAATTAATCAACACATACATGATATGTTGTAAGTAACTTACCACTCCATATAAATTAACACTATTTTGTTTGTCATACGAAAAAATGCTAATTTAATATCAACATGATCATCATAAGCAAATATATTAAATTTGCCTCTTTTTTTTTTTTTGAATTTTTTATTTAGTTATCAACTTCATATCAACATAAGCAAATAATTAAATAAATATTTATTTCAAATACACAACTAATCAATTCCAAGTCCAAAACTCCCAGAGACATAAATAACAGAAATTAAATTTACAACTGTTAAAAATTACTGGTACTTGATATCTTGCAGGCAATTAAAATTCATTAATATGGAAACATCCTCAGGTTGCAGTGTAGATTCAAGTTTGTTCAAATACATTATGACCCCCTGGGGTAGGGTGGGGCCACAATGCACTTTATGAGTTTAACATATAAATGTATAGGAAAAAAACTCTAAAATCTTTTCTCAAGAACAGCAAAACCATGATTAATCACATTGATCATGTTGATATGGAAGAATCTTGAGGTTGTGTAGATTCAGGTTTGTTCAAATCATGACCCTGAGGGGTAGGGTTGGGCTATATCTATAAAGATCATGACACCTGGGGATAGGGTGGGGTCACAATAGGGATCAAAGTTTTACATTAAGTTTAAGGAATACATGTATATAATAGAAAAAAAAAACTGCTGATGAAGAACAGCAGGGCCATATTGACTCAGTTGAGCGTTGTGGCCCATGGGCCTCTTGTTTAGTATTATAATTCAATTCTCACACTGTTAAATAAATATCTTTAAAATTATAAAAGATTATGAGATAAAACCTTTTAAATTCCATCTGTAACTTATTTAGAAAGTTCACTTGTAGTCAGTTACTTTTAGTTAATACTGCAGCATGCAGGTCTGGTGTTCAATAGCCTGTATGTTGTGTTTATTTTTATTTTTAGACAACTTTCTGAATTAGACCTCTACATTAGAATATACCTTGGAAATATTTGTAAATTGAAAGGAACTAGAAATAAAAATAAGATTAACAAGACTTTACAAATTTATTACCAGTTTTACAGTTATAATACAATGTAAAAACCTACCGGTACTTTCCCCAACCCAAATACATGTATAAGTAATGGATATATGCCGAATACTGTTCTATATGTAAAATTATCAGACTGTTTGAGGCCCGTTAGGGCCGAAAACAGTCTGATAATTTTACATATAGAATTGTATGAGGCATATATCTTAATTAAAACATTGCCATTTAAATGTCCAAAAGTTACCCGGAGGAGTCCGATAATTACACAATAGCAGTTCAGGCATCAATAGTTTTCTACCTAAAACCATCTAATAAGTAGACAAAAGAAAAGAGAAAGTTTTTTTTTCTTTAGATTGTAAAACCAGTTAGTGAACTCTTGTTTCATTCATTCATTCAATGGCAGTCGTAGCAGGAACTATGGACAGTGGTCAGGTGATGAAGGATATTTTTTAATGATTCGGAATATTTTTTTTTATTAAGTGCATTTGACTTTGATACAGATACAGTGTTTCGATGATATCTTCAAAATGCATTCAAAGTAAAAGTGTGGATTTTTATCTAAAATTTTGATTGGATGATATGATGAAAATCTTGGGTTTTAAAAGTGCGGTCATTAGCGAACAAACCTCGTTAAATGAAGAGATTCGCAGACTGGATCTTTATCAGAAATGGATTTAAATTGGCTTATTCACAGTGCTGTATCGAAAACGCTTTGCAAAAACCGAATGGAAAGTATTACTTTTGAGAAAGGTTAAAACTCCAGTTTCATTCTTCTTGGATTTGCTATTTTTAACAACTTATTTTCCTCGCGTTCGCTTTCCCTGAATTTTTTCTCCGTAACTTTTTTTTTTGGTCTCTGGACATATTAAACCTTGATTTCACTCTAGTTGTTGTTTTTTAACTACTGTCTGATTTTGTTATCACTGCCGTCCGATAATATATTATTGGACTGTGAATTATTATTATCGGACGGCTACAGGTAAATTTTTAGACTGAAAGAACAAAGGCATGACGTCACAGCAATGTTTTAATTGAACTTAAAGTAACAGAATATGAGGGACTAAGCAGAGAAAACAAAGGGGAGATCCCAGTATATGAAGAAAGTGTAACTAGCAAAGCCAGCTGTCTCCCTCTCCAATCTAGTCATGTAGCTTTATATAGAAATGAGAACAAAAGCATCTGTCAAAGAACTTCTTGGCCAAAAGATGAAAGAGGGCATTTCCAATTTTAAAATGGAAAATTTACATTGGGATGTAAATGAAATAATTAAGAAAAAAAAATTGATGGAAACAAAATTAATTTTATTTGGTCATCTTTAATTGCAGGTTGGGTTTGTGTATCTATTTAATCTGATTGTGGGTACAGGAGCACTAACAATGCCACTGGCTTTCCAGAATGCTGGATGGTTGCTGAGTCTGGTCATCATTGTATTGCTGGCAGGATTCAGGTGGGCCTGTTGAACTCTTTGATATATTGAAATCACTTTGGATCATCATATCTGTCTCTTGAAAAGTAGTGGGTATAAAGTGATTTGGGTGTCCTTAGGTCCGTATGTTTCACATGAATGCAATTCAATGAAACTCCCAAACTCTTTATTACATATTGGCAATGTGCATCTCCTGTTTTACATTTATGTTATAGATATATATTGTACACAGAGTAGGGTTGTGCTACGAACAGAATTTTTTCTTTATCTTGATTGAAACAACTGCTTTAGGGTTTAGGGTTTTGGAGTTTTCAAAACCTCTGTTACCCATTCTGTTGTTAATTGATCCAGCTTAATATGCAGTTCTATGTTGTAGACTCTTTTGTCTATGAATATACATCACCATTTCACAAAGTAACTTTCTCTCTCCCAGTGTTTGCTTTTAGTATACTGGTATACTAGTAGAGCACTGGAGTCAGATAAATGATTTTAATTTCAGATTGATATGTGTTTACATAGTTTATATATGAATTGCACAGAATTAGTAAATTTATCCTTTAACAAACAATTATTCCGGTTTTATATTTTGTAGCTACATGACGGTAACGTTTGTACTGGAGACTATGGCTACAGCCAATGCTACCCTTTTTCTGCATAAAAAAGCTGATATTGTTTATAAAGTGAGTTATTAAAACTTCTTTCAACAAGACGAGTGGGACATAAGTGACTCATTTAATTAGGAACTTGTGATTTAAAGTAGCACAGTACTTGTATTGTGAGGGCAATAACATTCTAGCTAGGTCATTTCTCGTAGTCAAATATTTTAAAATCATTCACACTGTTGCAATAATCATCATGAGGATATGAACTGAAATTAATCACCAAGCTATGAAAAAAAAGTGCATGTTTTAAATTGTAAGTTTCTCATATAAGGTCATTGTTAATCTCAACTCAGATCATCTTTGCAAGTCACAGGTTTAACCAAGATCCACTTTTATAAAACATCTAATGAGGAGAAAATTGATGTAAGCTCCATAGGGTTACTGACATTTTATGAGAAGATCACAGTTTTAAATGTCACCAAATCATTAAGATTTTGATTTAGTCATATAAGATTTAATGAAGCTTTACGTAGAAAAAATTGTGGTCGCCCACTCTTATTGGTTGGGATGCAGTTATTTATGACATACTGTAATTGTCTTATCTGTGTGTCTTGTCTGTCTATCATACAAAAATGATTTGAATTTTTGAATTATTAAATGTTACAGGCAAGATTAAGGTTTCTAAAAACTGCATCAAACTTCTTGGTCATGAGGTCAAATACGTACATTCCAAAAGGTCCTGTTATTTATTAAACATGTGAAAAAAATATGAAAGACCTATCTCTTCTGGTGCAAAAGTTTTGACAAAGTTGAAATTTTTGACAAGTAAGCCAAATGTCTAGGTCAAGGTCATGAGATCAAAATGATGCAAAAGTTATAACCAATGTGAACTATTTTTAAAAGTAGGTTAAATTTAAAGTTTAAAGTAATGAGGTTAAAAAACTAAAGTATATACTTAAAAAAGTTTTGTCATAGGTAATGCACATTGAAATGAGAAAGCCCTTGGTCAAAACTTTTGAATGAAAGAAGATATGTTTAAAAAATTGTGACAGACGGACAGATGAATGATGAATATCACACATATGTGTGATATATGTGGGGGACAATAATTCAAATTATCTTGATTTTTAGCTCACCTCAACAAAGTTGAGGGAGCTTATGTGATACCCTCGACATCAGCATCCCAGGTTAACTTGTTTTTAAAGCAGATTTCTTTTCAAGTACCTCTATGCCCTATATTGATCAGAGATGAATGGTGACCAAACTTAAAAATAGATGTATCGATGCACACTAGTGGACTTGCTTTGGATGCTTGGTCTGACCTACATTTTATGGATAAATGACCAGGTGAAAGTTTTTGGTACAGGTCTGTTATTTAGAAATTAAAAAGGCCCACCTGAACCAAACTTCTTTATATATGATGCATCAAGGGATGCACACTACCAGACTTGCTTTGGATGTTGGATTTGACTTACATTTTACATATGAGTGACCAGGTGAAAGTTATTCAAGTAGGCTCATTCAATTTTAACTTCAAGCCCTGTCTGGACCAGACTTGCATGGATGATGCATCTAGGGATGCACGCTATCAGAGTTGCTTCAGATGCTGGATTTGACCTACATTTTCAGGATGAGTGACCAACAGAACTTGTATTTTTTTGAGCAAGTGCATTCCGAAGTATTAACTATAAGGTTTATCTGGACCAAACATGTTCCGATGATGCATTAAGGGATGTAAACTACCAGACTTGCTTTGGATCTGACCTGCATTTTCTAAATGAGTGACAAGGTTTAAGTTTTAAGAGCAAGTCCATTCCCAAGTAACTGTAAGCCCTACCTGAACCAAACTTGCATAAATGTTGCTTCTAGGATGCACACTAATAGATTATTTGTTTAATGTGGGACTTTTCCTTATAAAAGATAGCATCCATTGAGCTAAGCTATATGTATCTTTGATTACCTGTATTAAGCTTTTTAGAGGGAATAGAACTGGCATATACCAGTATCTGTTATAATAATTTTCAAAGATTCTTAATTAAAAATGAATGCATTTTGAAACTACATGTAATGTCAGAACTGTTAGTTCAAGCATTTACAAGGCAAAATTCCAGTATTCTATTTATCTATCACTACACTAAATCATTAAAGATAAAGATTTATTTGAAATATGAATAAAGCAGTTTTGACAACTCAAGTGCACTGTAAAGCAAGAAAAGAACTGCAAAATGTAAGTGCAGGAAAAACAAAGGTTGTGTCTTTCACATGGTTGTTATCGTCAATGTCAACGATGTCAAGGTCACATGTTTTAGTGAGCTTTTCTGATCACCCGTTGTCCGTCGTCCGTCCGTCTGTCCGTCGGTCTGTCCGTCCGTCTGTAAACTTTTCACATTTTCAACTTCTTCTCAAGGATCACTGGGCCAATTTTAACCAAACTTGGTACAAAGTATCCTTGGGGGAAGGGGAGTTTAAATTGTTAAAATAAAGGGCCAAGTCCCCTTACAAGGGGAGATAATCAAGAAAAGACAAAAATAGGGTGGGGTCATAAAAAAATCTTCTTCTCAAGAACCACTGGGCCAGAAAAGCTGAAACTTATATGAAAGCATCCTGGGATAGAGTAGATTCTAAATTGTTAAAATCATGACCCCCGGGGGTAGGGCGGGGCCACAATAGGGAATCCAAGTTTTACATTGAAATATATAGGAAAAATCTTTAAAAATCTTCTTCTCAAGAACCACTGAGCCAGAAAAGCTGAAACTTATGTGGAAGCATCCTGGGGTAGTGTAGATTCTAAATTGTTCAAATCATGACCCCCAGGGGTAGGGCGGGGCCACAATAGGGAATACAAGTTTTACATTGAAATATGTAGGAAAAATCTTTAAAAATCTTCTTCTCAAGAACCACTGAGCCAGAAAAGCTGAAACTTATGTGGGAGCATCCTGGGGTAGTGTAGATTCTAAATTGTTCAAATCATGACCCCCGGGGGTAGGGCGGGGCCACAATAGGGAATCCAAGTTTTACATTGAAATATATAGGAAAAATCTTTAAAAATCTTCTTCTCAAGAACCACTGAGCCAGAAAAGCTGAAACTTATGTGGAAGCATCCTGGGGTAGTGTAGATTCTAAATTGTTCAAATCATGACCCCCGGGGGTAGGGTGAGGCCACAATAGGGAATCCAAGTTTTACATTGAAATATATAGGAAAAATCTTTAAAAATCTTCTTCTCAAGAACCACTGAACCAGAAAAGCTGAAACTTATGTGGAAGCATCCTCAAGTAGTGTATACTCTAAATTGTTCAAATCATGACCCCGGGGATGGGGGGGGGGGGGGGGGCACAATAGGGAATCCAAGTTTTACATTGAAATATATAGGAAAAATCTTGAAAAATCTTCTCAAGAACCACTGAACCAGAAAAACTTAAACTTATGTGGAAGCATCCTGGGGTAGTGTAGATTCTAAATTGTTCAAATCATGGCCCCTGGGGGTAGGGCGGGGCCACAATAGGTATTACAAGGGGGGAAGTCTGGTAATGAACAGTATGGCCAAAGTTACTCAGGTGAGCGATGTGGCCCATGGGCCTCTTGTTTTTTTTATTTTTAGCATGAAACTTGTAAGCAACATTGAATTGAAGCAAGCAAATGTGAGGAATAAGTTCTGATCATCTTTTTTGAAGATTGTATCAAAATTCTCAATCATCCGACATTTATGTCTATGGAATTGACACGATGGTAACTTCTTCAACTTTTCTGTGCATGCGTACAGTAAAGAGGAAGAAGTGAAGCAATATTTTTGTGTTGGGGCAGACAAAAATTATTTTTACTATATTTTTCTCCATAAAAGTAAATTTTTTAGGTTCTGAAACTTGTAATTTTCTGAAACCTCATACTTTCAAGAATTAAACAAAAGTTGCATGTATCATGCAAAAATTCTACTCTTGTTGATTTTTCCATCTCAGTGTCTCTTTAAAAAGACATTTTTTTCTCTTGGAAATAGAGAACAGAGTCTGTTCGAGCTAACATTGGAGACTCTGCAGAAATTGCATCAGATGCAGACATTTTCCAGGATGAGAGAAGCCCTCTGCTGAAGAGTGATGAAAAAGGTGTGTATAAAGAAGAGAAAAGTTTGTAAAACTAATTAGGGCCCCGCAGCATTTGAGTGTGCCCTGTAGTAATCACTGTCTGTCAGTTCGGCTGTCCACAATTTTTCTGTTTTTTCCTAATAACTTTTCTCATAATTGTACTAAATTGTTCAGATATGGTACATGTTTGTTGTTTTAGTAGGCATTAAGACATGATTCATAACTTTGTAAGAATGAATGTGCAAAGAGAGATATTAAGTATTTAGTAGAAAATTATATTTTTCAAATTAGCTTCCATAGGATTACCGTAGTTATCTGGCCTGCTGCAGAAGATCCAGAGCCTAATCTTTATCTGTCATATATATATATATATATATATATATATATATATATATATATATATATATATATATATATATATATATATATAATATCCCTGATAACTGGTCAGTTTTCTGAAACTGATTTCTCTTTATTTAGAATTCTTTTGTGATTCTGATTTATTCACTAAATCAGCTTAAATTTTTTGAAATTTGTTAAAGATCATATGTCATATGTGAAAATATTTCTTGTCTTGATCATTATCATTTTTCAGCCATAATGCCCATAGTCAGTGTCTGCATGATGCAGCTTTGTAAATAATTTCAAATAATTTCTTTTTCATGACAGCTGTCAAATGCATGTTGTCTTGCTTTCCAGATAAAACTGTTGACCAGAGTAAGTTTAATACATTATGTAGATGTATAATTAGCAAGAAAAAACCCTCAAAGTGTTTCTTCTGAATGCAGAAGTTTTGGGTACATATTGCTATTTTCTTATTGGATAATCAGAAAAAAAGTAGTTTTCTTGTAGTTTTCTTCTTAATCAAGAAATGATACAATCCAACATTTTAAAAAATATAAATGAATTTATTGCATAAATATCATTGATAATAGTAGAGGTTGAAATGACAGCTCAGAGGTTGAAAAAATGTCTACATTTAATCGGTAATGTCACATTAGACAAATAATGTTTAAACTAATTAATTTTCTTGTAAGATTTTCACTGTTACATTTGTACATTACACTTTTACAGATTTGTTGCATAAAGGAAAATTTTTGCAAGTTTCAGCTTTTAATAATTTAAGCTTCCCTGGTATACTAGTTTACTCAAATAAAACACCCATTTGTACCGAAAATAATTTTAACAATATTTTGTTTTATTAAAAAGGTATTTATTCATATATTTATGTAATATTTCTTTCATGTAACAACTAAAAGGTAATTTCCCTCAAAATAATGATTAATGTGAATGCGGTGAATTATTTTTGTAAATCAATCCAGGAAACATATTTTAAATTCCTAAGAGGAAGGCATTGGGGAAACATTATTTAAGTAGCCTTTTAAAATATGGGGAAACATTGTTTAATTAGCCTTTTAAAATACTTGAAGTGACAGAAACAATTTTAAAAATTTATGCATTTTATGTAATTTGAATGTCAAAAACCATAGAACCATGCATTAATTGGACCTTGATTTATAATCAACAGCTGGAATTATATCCTTGATTTCGTTAATATGGCAAAACTGATAATCAAAAATCAATTTTCATTATTTATATTGTAGATTACAGAGATGATATATTTGATATCAAAGAGAGGGTGGAGTTGGTAAGTTTATTCCTCACGTGATAAAAATGTACTTAATACATGTATGTGCATGCAGAAAAATATTTTGTGTATTTATGTAGTTATCTAGCATGAATGCATTTGTAAAATATGACATAAATAAATTTCTGCCATCTAATTTTCATTTTCTTAATTTCAGGGGAAACTGGCAGAGCTGTTTTTTAATAAATGTATGTATCTTCTGGGTTTAATGTAAACATAGATACTTACGCTTTTATTTATATTATTCAAATTAGTGGCAGAATCAATATGCAATACCAAATGTTAATGCTGAAAAAATATGCATGAAGGCATTAGAGTGTAGTGGATATAGTGTAACTCTGTATAAATTTCCCCCATTTCCATTAACAGTGAGTAGATTTAAATACAGTCTGCTGTTGAAATTTTAGTATTTTGAACATCGAACTGTACAAGGATCCAAAAGTTCATAGAATTTCTTACTAAAATTTATTGTGATGTGACTAAAGCAAACAATAGACATATTTATAAAATAGAGCCATTGTGCAACAATACTGGAAAATTTCACCACATTCCAATTACCATTAAGGTCACACAAGCTTTCTTAACATGGACAGTTGTAAAATCCGGGGGAGTCTTCAACGTAATGTCAGGTTAGGTATGTCATGTTACGTTTTAGGAGCATCTCATCCTTAAGTTCAAATCGACTTAGAAATTCTACAAAACACTGCATTCTTTTCTCCATTTCTGCTCTTGAGAAAAGCCCATCTTGCACCCACTTTCTTCATATTACGATCTTTTTTCAAAACATGCTCCATTGTTCCATATGATGTTCCGATTTCAGTAGCAATGTCAAGCACAGTTCATCGGCTGTCCACATCTATTAACACTCAATTTGTCTATGAGGAAAAAATGACCCTCCAAAAGGCAGCCACATTTCAATGTTGTCTAACGATGTCATGATGAATAACAAATCATCAGTTTGAAAAACTAAATATCCAGTAAAATTGATAAAACTTTCACACAAAGATTTATAAGAGTTCAAGCAATCATAATTATGCATCATTATTGTTTCATATACCACTTAATTAATGCATTTTTTTCTCACAGTGAGTATTAAGAATTGAAATGATAATGAATAAATAAATGTCTCCCATGAATTTTCAAACATCTGTTACTATGGCAGCTGTCAAAGTGTTATTTTCATGAATACATTGTATTTAAAATATTTTTTATTAAGAAAAATTCAACAAGCGTACATAAGTTCATCTGTAATTTTCAAGCACTTCCACTAATAAATAGATAAAATATTTAAAAAATTCCATGAACTTTGGATCAACCCTCGTACATTGATATTATGAATATGTCAAAATGAGTCTGCAATTCTCATTTTAGTATAAATCTGAGTCTCAACTAGTACTATATCCTGAGCAAATAGATGTCTCAATTTCATTTTCTTACCACTGCAGCCTTGATCTCATCATTCTCCTTTTTTCTATTGAAAAGACAATTTTCAATTATCTTGATCCATTGATAATTGTAAGAGAGAGAGAGAGTAGTTGCTCCCCTCCCCCCTAATATAAAGTTGTACTAAAGTGATAAACATGCATTACACATAGTGGAAGCACATCAAAATTGAATAATTGTTTGTTTTTTTTTTAGGTCACCTTAGTCACTCACATTGCTATCTGTTTTTGTCCATTGTCCTTAGTCCTCCATAAACTTTTGATCATTTTCAGCTTCAATTTAATTTCTGGAACTGCTGAACCATTTTAAATATTTTTTTCATATAGCTTCATAGGGCCAAACCAACAAATGTATTCTTCAAAAACCTTCCTCTTTTCTCTTTGACATCAGTCAGACTGTTAACATGATTGTTTTGTTTGTTTGTTTGTTTATTGCTTAACGTCCCTCTCGAGAATTTTTCACTCATATGGAGATGCCACCACTTGCATGGATAGCTACAAATTTTGACCTATAATCGGCACTCAGGGCCATTGAGCAGTAAGGGATTCTTTTTCGTGCCAGCACCTACTGTGACACAGGACCTCAGTTTATACGGTCTCATCCAAAGGACCAGTCTCCACGTCCCACAGTGGGATTTGAACCTGCAACTCCTTACTCCGCGACTCTAGAGCAAACGCTCTAACCACTGCGCCAAGTGGGTGACGTTAACATGATTGTAATTAGCAATGAACTCTCTACCAAAATCATGAAATTCATGGCCCCTGGGTTCAGGGTTCAGGCTCCAAGGTGGGACTAAGTTGGTCATGTACTGCAAATGCATTTCTTATAAAATTTTGTTTCCTTATGAATATCTAGCAGGCAAACTGTTCTGCATTATTTTTATAGATGAGTACTCATCCTTTTACCCAAAGTGTGAAAATTATACTCTTTGGTCCATGGTTTAGGCCCTAGGGTGGGCCTGTATTGAAAATATATCTTGTATGGAAGATATAATATACACTGTATACCGGTATTTAAAAATCTTCTCTACTCATGGGCATTTAGCAGGCTAACTGTTTACAAGATTTTAATAAACACAGCCCTCAATTAAAATTGTGAAATTCAGTAGTTCAACCAGGTCCCAGGATGGTCATTTATTGAAATATAGTACACCTTGAAAATCTTATTTATCAAGGATGGGTTTGGGAGGGAGGGGGGCTAAGATGGTCATATACTGAAATTGATTATACCGTATTTCTTACCCTCTTTACTCCGGGACTTCTTAGAGACAAGCTGCATAAATATGATAATGATTATAAAGATTTAAGTCCTCAACAAATGGTAAAATTTTTGTTGCATAAGTCCAGTCCATTTCCAGAAGGGGCCAAAGAGATCAGCCTGAGAAACTCATGATACTCAGGTGACTGTGAAGGCCCATGGGCCTCTTGTCATTGGAAAGTACTATTCTTGGAAATGTTTAATTTGTAAGAAAACAATGATTCATTAAAACATGTTTATATAGTGAACACAGATATAGTGAATTTATGCCATTATTGTAGACTTATAATTTCACCCAGAACAAGAAAAAACTGGATACATGAACCATTATCATGAATTTGGGATACATGTATAATAAAGAAATTTAGCTTCCCTGGTGTTCATCATTAATTATGATTTCCTTATTTTGATTCTTATCTGGAGTTGAAGAATTTTAAGCTGACTTGAATGTTTTTATGCCCCGCCATGAATATGGCTGGGGCATATAGTGTTTGTCATGTCCATCTTCCATCCTTCCGTCTGTCCTTCCGTCACACTTTGCGTTTAGCTCTGTTCAAAGTTCAGTTTCAAAGAAACTATCCAAGATATTTTTATCAAACTTCATATGCTGATAGATGTTGATGAGAGCTGTGCAACTGCATCAACATTTTTTGACCTTGACCTTTCATTTGACCTTGACCTCACTTTTCTTAAATTAGTGTTTAGCTCAGTTTTAAAGAAACCATTCAAGATAGTGTAATCAAACTTCATAAGTTGATACATACTGATGTAAGCTATTCAACTGCATCAACATTTTTTGAACTTGACCATTCCTTTGACCTTGACCTCACTTTTCTTAAATTAGTGTTTAGCTCAGTTTTAATGAAATCATTCAAGATATTTTTATCAAACTTCATATGCTGATACATACTGATGAGAGCTATTCAACTGCATCAATATTTTTTGACCTTGACCTTTCCTTTGACCTTTTGACCTCACTTTTCTTAAATTGGTGTTTAGCTCAGTTTTAAAGAAACCATTCAATACAGTGTTATCAAACTTCACATGCTGATACATACTGATGAAAGCTATTCAACTGCATCAACATTTTTTTACCTTTCCTTTGACCTTGACCTCTATTTTCTTTAATTAGTGTCAAACGTCATATGCTGTTACATACTGATGTAAACTATTCAACTGCATCAACATTTTTGACCTTGACCTTTCCTTTGACCTTGACCTCACTTTTCTCAATTTGTGTTTCAGTTTTAAAGAAACCATTCATAATATTTTTATCAAACTTCATATGCTTATACATACTGATGTAACCTTTTCAACTGCATCAACATTTTTTGACCTTTCCTTTGACCTTAACTTCATTTATTTTAAATTAATGTTTAGCTCAGTTTTAAATAAACCATTCAAAATATTTTTATCAAACTTGTATATGCTGATACGTATTTGTGAGATTGAAGTATTCAACTGCATCAAAAACATTTGACCTTGAACTTTCCTGTGACCTTGACCTCACTTTTCTTAGATTTGCATTTTGCTTAATTTTAAAGAAACCATTTAAGATATATTTATGTAAGTTTATGCACTTATACATAATTTGGCGAGATTTTATCATCTATATCCTTCTTTTTAGATTTCAATTTCAATTTTGAAGAAACTATTCAAGATATTCTCATCAAATTTCATACACTAATACAAATTTTCATGTTGCATTACTAATATACCCTCGGCGGGGCATTCATGTCCTATGGACATATTTCTAGTTTATTTTTTTACTTTTTACAGTTGGTGTTATCTTGTTCTACCTCTGCATGGTGATATATCTGTATGGTGATCTCTCTATTTATGCTGTTGCTGTTCCTAAGTCACTCAGGGATGTTATATGGTAAATTTTACAGGATGCAGAAAACTTTTTAAGAGTATAACATTGCAGCAAAACAGTCTGACAAATTTCGGCTGAATTTTGAAATACAGTTGAACTTCTGTATCTCGAACACTGATATCTCAAATACTATGGCTATGTCGTCCCAACCACATATTCCTTAAAAATTTTACCTTGAATATCTTGAAATATTCCTCGGATGTCTTGAAGTATTTTCTTGGTCCCATCAAGGTTGAGATAATGAGGTTTGACTGTATGAATTTTTGAAATGTAGGAAGAGTGAAAGTCCTCATGCTGATAATAACCTTTTTCAGTACATACAAACACAATGAAAGTGAAAATGTCTCCTGCTCAAGTTTGAACTTGGTAAACTCAGACCCCTGCTGGGAGAGCTCTAGTCTAGACAGAACATCTGTTTACAGAATAATGGTGGTAAGTACACAGATTTTTAGCTTTTAGCTCACCTGAGCCAAAGGCTCAACTGATATTTTTTGATCAAAGTTTGTGCATCATCTGTTAACTTTTTACATTTCCATTCTTCTCTCAAGGCACTGGGACTTTTCCGTTGAATTTTGGAACATAGCATTTATTGGTGAAGGGGGTTCAAATCGAAGGGCCAAGCCAATTTTCAAGGGGGAGATTATATATTACATGTAGCTTCAAAACTGTAGCATTATGGTTTTATATTTTAGTCTTTGACCATAATGCTACAGATCTCGTAATGCAAATAAAGTACAATTTACGGCACAAAATTTTCTGCGCAAGGTTATGTACTTCTCCACTTTCCAGCATTGGTTAATCAATGACCTTTCATTCCTGAATTCTAGACATATTCTATTACCAACCTGTATATTTTATCCACCTCCTAACCCTTTATAGTCACTACCTGAGTCAATGCAGCCCTTCCATTCTTAATAGGAAGATTGTTAAAGAATTTTCATGTTTATCCCAATGAAAAACTTTCAACTCCTTTTTTGATTTGAATAGATGGGCTGCAGGCTTTGCCTATATAAGCCCTCTCTCATTATTGGCCCCATTTTTGTGTCAAGGGCAAAGATTTAACCAAACTTGAATCTGCATTGTATGGGAATGGTTGTACAAAATCCAATATGAACGTGTATCAATATATATCAATATGAATACTAATGGCCCTGCTGTTCTTGAGAAGATTTCTAGAGATTTCCACGTACATATACTTATGATAATTTTTACATTGATTTAAACATGGATCCACCCTGACTTCAGAGGCCATGATTTAATCAGATTTGAATCTTTCTACATGATGGTCTTTGCATTTCAATATGACCTGTTATAAAATGTCAAACAAAATTTTGGGTATCTCTTTAAAAAGGAATTGTTTGAAATACATGTATATTTTTCTGGAAACTTAAGAGTAGAATCATGAAAGATCACACAATTTTAAATATAAAGAGATTGCTATTGTTCAGAAAGAGAAGGGCACAATTTTTGTCAGTATTATTTTGCACAACAATGTACCATATACTTAAGGTGTTTCATCCTCACAACATCAGGGGTTCTGACTCAACATGTTGCTGTGGGACCCCTGACAAATTTCATTCACTTTATTTGGACTTGGTTTTCTCATTGAGAAGCGCCAATGAAATTGAAGTAGACAGATAATGGAAACAGAAAGGAATCAGTTGACACATAAAATGCATGTGTTATCACCAAAAGGCATTTCGCGTTGCGCAGTTGACGTGTTTTCGTCATGCTCGAATCACCTTAATGTGTTTGGTTGACAGATTAGAAAAACAATCAAGATTTGTAATTTTCCCAAAAGACGTCACTACAGTCCGCCCACAAGATATCAAATGAAAATTGTCGGGGGTCCAACGGCAATGTATTGACTCAGGACCCCTGATTTTGTGAGGATGTAGGTTTTTTTTTAATTCACGATTTATGTTTAAAATCACAGGCACTAGTCAATGACATGTTATTGTGATACATGTGTAATGGAGATAGAATTTTAACTCAGAAACAGATGCCTATGTTTAAAGTGTAAATTTAAATGACTGTATATTAATTTCTTTAAGGCTGTGTTTGCCATCACTCTGGGTCCTTTCACTTTCTTCAATGTCCAGAAAACCAAGTACCTCCAACTTTTTACCACTGTAACAAGGTGGTTAGGTAAGAAAAAGTAAAATTTCTTAATGCATTGTGAATAAAATACTAATAGAAACAAATTAGAAATAAAGTGCATTGTAATTAGAAAATTGAATAGAGATATATTTAATTTGTAATATATTTTATTTTTTTATTTCAGCATTCATGATCATGATTGTATTAACCATCATCAGGCTGGCCAACAAAAAAGGCAAAGGACACCCCGCAGTTGCGGATTTTGAAGGAATTCCAAATTTATTCGGAGTGTGTGTTTACTCGTTCATGTGTCATCACTCACTTCCTTCCCTTGTGACACCAATCAAAAACAAGAAGAACCTCTTTATCATGATTTTCTTTGACTTTATTTTAATTCTATCGTTTTATTCCTTAGTTTCCTTTACTGGAGCCTTTGCGTTTCATGAACCAAAAGATATTTATACTTTAAGTTTTATCCCTGATGCGTGTGATGCTAAAGAACCAATAACTAATTCAGCAGTGTTACAATATTATTTAGCTCTCTTCCCTGTTTTTACATTAAGCACTAGTTTTCCTATCATATCCATAACACTAAGAAACAATCTGAAAACTATGTTTTACAAAGAAGGTCGACCATTTTCTTGGTTTGTTGACAGAATTGTCTTCCCCTTAGCAGCCATTACTCTCCCCTTCATTATTGCCTTGGCAACTGATGAGGTTGAGTTCCTGGTTGGGATCACAGGGTCATATGCCGGAGCAGGAATCCAGTATGTCATTCCAGCTACATTGGTTTTGATCTCTAGAAGAGCAGTTAAGTCTGATCCATCTGTCTCCACTTTAAACAACAGATTTACCTCCCCTTTTAAGCATACTTTCTGGGTCATTCTAGTAATTGTATGGTCTGTTGTTGCTATGGCTTTTGTAACTGTTAATCACATCATAACTAGGAAATAATGATGTTACTTTTAGGTTTATTTAGTGCTTAGTTAGTATTTATTTCTGAAGTGCTGATTTTTTTACCACAAGGAAGGCACATACATTGCACTGTATTCATTTTGTCTAACCAATTAAAAAGAATATTTCTGCAGTCATTAATTTTTGTGATATTTTGCAGTTCAGTAGGAAGGTGTTACCCTGCTCCTGCAATGCAATTTTTAGATTTTTTTAAAAAATGTTTCTCTTGGGAGCATGTTATAAGTGTCCTAAGTTATAGATGAGATTATTTTGAATCATTCATGACTTCTTGTTGTTTTAAAACAGTGCAATAAATCCTCATTGCTGTTGATGTTTAAATTCTTTTAAAAATTTTGATCTGAATTTTCTATTGTTGATTTCATATAAATTGGGTAGTACATGTACAAACATTGTCAATATTTTCTTTTTACGCATCAAGATTTACTTTATAACTGTAAGGTACATCTAAGTTTTTGGACTGATCATGTCAATGAGTATGTATAAACTTAAAAAAAATTTAATTCAAATGTTTTAAAAAAAATTTTGTTTTATGTGCGATGTTTATATAAGAAATACATGTATGAACTTCATTTTTCTTTTTTATGAACATATCACAAAATTGGCTGGATATTGTTAATTTCTTGAAATTTATGTCTGTACTTGTAAGTTCTGTTTTAAATATTGCAATTGAAAGTCTGTGATATACATGTATGTGTAACTTGTTTCTGATCTAAACTTTACATGTATGTATGTTGTTGATTGGTTTTTATTGGGTGCTCAACTCACATCAAATAGCTTAAAATCGAGTATCTGGAAAACAATTCTCTTTGCAAAGCACACCTATCCATAATAGTGCAAAAAGTTCCATTCAGTTATAGAATACTATTTTTTCCTTCATTTTTGAAACATGAAAATAACAGTTCAAAAATTATCCATGGAGCTTTATGTTAAAATTTACAGAAATGCAAAAGTCCTTAAAAGTGATTGTTTTCCTAATAGCTTAGGGTCACTTTCAAAGGCAGCTAAAACTTGTTATTTATATTAATTTCACTTAATGTAGATGACCAAATTTGAAACACCCTTATTTTCATGGGATAGTCACGTGACATTAATAAGCGAGAAATAATTTTCACAAATTTTGGTTAAGTGAGCTTTTCTGATCAAAATTTGTACATTGTTTGTTGTCATCAGCAGTGGCATCATCATAAACTTTTCATATTTTCACCTTCTTCAGAACCACTGGGCCAAATTTTACTGGGGAATATATGGGGAAAAATCAGAATCAAGATTGTTCAAATCATGATCCCAGGGGGAAAGATGGGGCTATAATAGGATATCAGTATTTTAAAAGGAAATTAACTAAATGATTTTATTTTTGAAACATTCTTTTATAAAATGGCAGGGCCACACTAAATCACATTCATCTGGAAACATTCCAAAATTGTTTGCATTCAGTTTTATAGATCCTGGGGATAAAATAAGGTTAAAATCAGGGAGCAGTTTTCATGTAGTGCATGTTTACTTGTGCTGAAGAACAGCAAGGCAATAATAGTAATAACAATATTGAAGCATCCCAAGGATGTGTTGGTTCAAGTTTGGTTATGTCATAACCCTTTTTGGGTTAGGGTGGATAACTATATGGGGTAAAAAAAAATCATCTTAATTAAGATTGAATTTTTAAAAATTTTGCGATGAACAACAGGGCCAGTGTGACTCAGGTGAGCGTTGTGGCCCATGGGCCTTTTGTTATGTTTTAAATCAAGGAATAAAAATTACTTCACAGTATGCATGAATTTTTTAACCTTGTTCGCTATAAACGTGTTTTACTGTAATATAATGTTTAGTGAGAATGAAATTTTACAAGAGCATATCGTCTCACATAATTATGTAAAAAAAAAAAGTTCTTGCAAAATGATAAACTAAAAGACAATTGCATGTAAAATACAGAGTACCTGTCCAATATACAGAGTAAATATCTATGCAAAGGCTAACAGATAAGGTTTGATTATTTTTTATTGTATCAATTTATTTAACAATCTGACAATTGTACTTTATCATGCCATTTAAAAATTTAAAACTGTGATGGCTCCAACAGTGCATTGAAACTAGAATGGATCTCTGCCAAAATAGCACAAAATGTCTTTCATCTCAGCACCTGATGTGTATTAGGTGTCATTAACAGCGACAGAGATAAGAAGTGTGATTTATTTTAGATTAAATACGTAAATCAATTGAAAATCTATCAAAGTTCTATTGTTAATAGTGTTGACATTAAACAAATATTTTTATCTACTGAATTTAGAGTTTCATTATTTGTTTTATTGGATAAGAATTCTTGAGCTTGTGTAAAGAAAGTTTAAAAGTGGAATAACTGCTTTTCAGTTAGGTATTGACTATTGAACATTTTAAAAACAGTTAGAATTTTGTATTGTCACGCTAATAAATTCAAATAATAAATTGATGACAATGATAGTGGGCTTTTCACTCCTCATTGATAGTTTTTTTTTTCTTAACTTTGGAAGAAAATTTTCTTATGTTAAGAAACTGTGATGTATGGATATTCAAACATAACTTATTCAAGCACTTGCAACTGCGCTTTTGCAATACAAGTAAAATCATAGTTTGTTAATGTAAAAGGAGAAGACCTTAATTATCTCGTTCTCTTCTTTATTTATAGTCACCCGCGTGGCGCAGTGGTTAGAGCGTCTGCTCTAGAGTCGAGAAGTAAGGAGTTGATCCTTACGTCGCAGGTTCGAATCCCACTGTGGGACGTGGAGACCGGTCCTTTGGATGAGACCGTATAAACCAAGGTCCCGTGTCGCAGTAGGTGCTGGCACGAAAAAGACCCCTCACTGCTCAATGGCCGTGAGTGCCGAGCATAGGACAAAATTTGCAGCTCTCCACCAGCAAGTGGTGGCATCTCCATATGAGTGAAAAATTCTCAAGAGGGATGTTAAACAACATACAATCAATCAATCTTTATTTATACATATAAAACAATGCTTGACAAGGTATATGCTGACAACAATAAAAAAATCAAAAGATATATATATATTGATAAGAAATTATAACACCAATATTGCCTTGCTCTCACTTAATACTATAGGCAAACAATATCTTTAAATTAATACAGGTACATGCACACATATAATCTCAAAATGACTGCATGATATATAACAAATGAAAGTACATGTAACATTAAAAATAAAGAAAAACAATATTTTATCACAGATTTTCATTTATCAAAAAGAGTAAAAATTATTTTTTCCCTCCTTTATCATAAAAATCCCAAAATTCATTGTCTTTTGTAGGGGCCAGTTTTACTGTCCCTTGATCAGGAGGGGGAGTAATAGGGGGTGTTTCAAAGACTACCTCTTCAAATTCCGGTTTTGCAGGGTTTTCTTGTTTTTGAGTTGGTTTCTTTTTAACTGGTTTCTGTTTAGTAGGATTGGGTGCAGGTTTTGGTTTTGGTGCAGCATTTCTATTCCAGTTTGCCTCGGCTTTGGGAAGGTTGGTGAAATAATCGTTCCAACTCTTTTTCATACGTTCATTCAAAATGTTGAATTCAGCCCATGTACCTGAATTGGGATTGAAATTATCGTACCTAAGAATTTTTATTTTTGATCATTTTTCATTTTTTACAAGTAGTGTAATCCTAATACAAATTGTGTGCAAAGAGAAGAAAATAAAGGGTAGAGCATATTAAAGCTTTTTTTAAGCTTTTGCTTTTTTGGCAACAGTTTCTTCAAAATAACTCTGCCAAGCCTTTTTCATCCTGTTGTTGATTACATTATGTTCTGCCCAAGTGCCTGTAAATTAAAGGGAATATGTTCAAGCTTCCAAGAGGTTTGGCTATGTATGTATATACTTCTACAATTAAAGCAGAGAGAAGTATGCTTCAAAAAGTATTAATTAGAAATTAACAAGAAGGAAGAAAAGGATTAAAAAATTGACAAGATGTTCATTTTGCAGTGTGTGTATATATTCCACATAAAATGCATCTTTTTTAAATGACTAGTTTCAAATATGTTATTAAAAGCTTTGATGTTTGATTGGAATACTGTTCTTCCTAAAAATACAGTAAACTAGCTTGTCTAATCTGGATTCCAAAATCCTGTCTAATATGATTAAATCAGTTATATTTCAATTGTTTAAAATGTTGTTTAATCAGGAATGTTGTCTAATCCGGCCAATTTCTTTGGAACCTGTAGTCTGTCCAGATTAGACAAGTTTTACTGTATATATAAATGCTTGAAGGTTTTTAACCAATAATGTTAGTTGGGAGTTTGAACTGCTATTGATCTATCAAAAATGCATTTTTGACACAAGTCAAAAAAAGTGTAAAAATTCTGCATCTGTAACATACAAAGGAATTGATTTTTAGATATTCCTCATTAAAGTCTAAAGAAAAAATTATAGAATTTAGACTTTATCATGTATTCTTTTACTTGCAAATTTTAGAGAAGTATAGAAATATTCTGCAAATTAGTAATCTTTCATTTACCATTACTTCTTTTAGTGTAAAAAAAAAAAAATAAGGATTCAAATTCTAGGCACTGCATTAGATGATACTTACTTAATTCATCCCGTTGGTAGCGCCATTTGTCTGGGTCGGGAACCCGCTGTAGGTGAACAGAATCTGTAAATGTTGACTTTGTTGTGCTGATTTTGTGATTAACGTTGTAACCAGGGAACACATTCATCCTCATAAAATTTCCTAACTGTTCGTACTCTGGTTTTAAATTTTTGTCTATGGTTGGAACTGAAAGTGGTTTCCGCACTCTGTAAGCAGCCTCTTTGTCTTCTTTCTGTTTCTGCATGGTTCTTTCAACCACTTTTTCATCATTAAGTAAAGATTCGCAGATTTTGCTTCCAAACTGATGGCGGATATTTTCCGGCAAATCGACAGCTAAGCTTCTTCTTGAGGCAGGCCTTGACCCATTTGCAGATTGATTAGAATCCTGGGGTCCTAGTGGGAGAACTGTCTCAATTTTTTCCTTTTTGTGCTGTGAGTAGTTCGAGTTCTCCCTCCTGCTTGGAAGGTCCATATTTCTTGGACGCATGACGTCTCCCATCAGACTGTAACTGTGAACACTTGGCTTTCGGCCATATTTATCTCTGTTGTAACTGTTTCTTTCATTGAGCCCAACTCTATTCATTTCCTTTAGCATGTTTGAGGCCTCCATTGTCATCAGAATCTTTTGTCTTGGGGTTGGATCCCCATCCCTCATTCCTTCATATACATCCATTTCAAACTTCTTGGCCTCTTCTTCTCTTTCTTGTAGAGATTTCCTAGCAGACTCTACTGCAGATTTCTGTTTTTCTATATCTTTCTTAGTTTTCTCAATGAAAAGTCTTTTCCCTGTTTTTGTGAGGAAAAAAATAATAATCTTCCACAAGGATTTGTTTATCTGCCTATTTTTTTTTAACTATCTGGGGGGATATCAGTGATAAGTACTCATCAAATTACATGAATTAAAAAAAGTTTATCCTCTGTAAATATATGCTTCCATGTAAACATGTATTTTTAAAATATGAATTTCAAGGAATGTCACATAATGTGCAGCAATGTGGTTAAAATACAACCCAAACTTAGCTGTTAGTATGCTGTTAAAATATTATTCACTGTAAATCAGATTTTTATAGAATTAATTTTCACCATAAGTATGAATTTATTAATAAAAATTAAAATAAAAAATAAAATTAATAAATGAATAATAAATACTTTTTAAATTAATTAATAAATTTGTAAATACACTTGTTCTCTTAAATACTTACCTGAAAAAGCACATTACTCATTAAATTCAATGCACTGTTTAAATGTGCAATTATCTTATTGTGACATTTAATCTTCAAATAGTATAATAATTAACCTCTCTATCTAGATTTAAAAGCAGACAAAATAAATTATCTAAAAATCTTAAACTTTATTTCATTGCCAAATTTAAAACAATGCTTATTTCAACAACACTTAGAAATCAATTTTTTGCATAAGTGCTCCATGATAATATGAGCCAAAATTTTTGAAAAACAATTAAAGAATGAAATCAATGTGTGAACATATGTAATATTCTTTCAAGTCACCACTCAAGAAGCAATATATATATATATTTAGATACAGTCAAACCTCGTTATCTTGAACTTCATGGGACCAAGAAAATATTTTGAGATATCCAGGGTAAAATACTTAAGAAATAAGTGCTTGGGACTTCAAAATCACTTTGACATATCCATGGTATTCAAGATATCTGTGTTCAAGATACCGAAGTTCAACTGTATATATTCAGCAATATGGAATGATTATATCAGAAAGAGTGTCCAAGAGAATAAAAGCTAGGGTATTATTATCTGGGATATACTGATTTCCTTCAGTAGGTTTCTAGAGAGAGAAAGAAAGAGATACTATGCAGGATAAAACTACTATTTGGGAAGAACAATATATAATACTGAAGGGTTAATTTTCAGCATGCATTTATAGATTACATTTAATTAAATTACTCTACCTAGATCTAGTATTAAACATTAACATTTAATTACTAATGCTCTGGCATGCAGGTATACCTTTTAAGTGATTTTTTACAAATTCAGGAACCATATAACGCTGAATATATTTGCGGCCACTTGGTACTCTGTGGGTTTCAAGGTCAATATTTTTTATTGCCTCACGCTCCTCTGGGTCAAAGACCTCCAGAGCAGTGCCAAAGAGAGTGTGTTTGGGCATTGCTTCTGTTTTTTTACTTTGTGTTGGTGCTGACAGTACCCTTACTGCGGGAAGGTGCTGTGTTTCCATTGCAACTGTCATCCTCAGTGCACACTAAACAATAACCGCACACAAAAAACACATTATGGGAAAGTGTTAATTAGAGTGAAAATCTTTTTAAGTGTTTTCATAAGTATGCATTAGTTATAGTATGACTCCAGGTTTGAAACTGTCAAAAACTGTTATATATAAATATTCCTATTCATGCAGGAAAGTTGAGAAGTGAGGGGAATTTTTGTACACCTACTATATCTATACTATATACATAAGATGTGGGTTATTAATTAAATCAAAACTGAATTTTTCTCCGAGAATGCAAGGATAAAGTTATCACAGAATTTTTTTCTTTTTTTCTTTCTTGTTTTATTTCAGAACTTATTTTATCTTAAAATATTACATGTACAAGTATATAAAGATATACTGATATATATAGAAGCTCCTTTCTCATTTAATTAGTTTGCATTTTGGTTGTTTGAAACACATTGACGAAAGCATAGTTAATCACTTTGCATTTTGGTTGCTTTAATCATGAATGTGACTCATCAACATGCAGTCATTAAGCCAAAATTTTACATGAAATAATTATGGTAGGCACTATTTCAAATCCTAGCACACCTGCCACATATCATTTTCATAGAATAGATTAGTTGCAACTGCACACATTAGCATTTTTCCCGAAAATCACAAGAATCTATAAATTTACACAAGTAAATTTTCATTTGAAAGCTATCAAAATTCAATTATAATATAAAGAAATCAATTTACTTCAATTTAAAAATTTTATTGATCTTTTATTATACTTGAAATTTTACCTAGACCTATTTCATATTTTTTTTAAATCGGTAGAAAAAAAACACTGTCAATGCAAAACTTTATAGTTAAAACACGAAATATAAAAGAGTGCCAACGAAAGTTTGCTTACGTTATAAAGAAACACTTTTCCCAAGGGTGGCCATGTGTAATCAATCAGTTGCTAGGGGCGTGGTTTACATTTAGTGCGAAAAACGTGTCCGAAACTGCGCACATTTAACCTCCTTCAAAGCATGTGTATTGAATAAAATATATATATATATTAAAAGTTAAGCAATGAATGGATGACTTTCTTTTATCTTCTATAAAAAGTCAAGATAATGACTTGAGGTCACTTAAAATTGAAACATAATAATAAAGGAATATTCTTGGAAAGAGTTATCTATTTTTTTTATGACGAAGTACACAGTTCCGGTTTTCAACCGACCTCCAAAAGTAAGAAAATGCGTTGTTTCTATTTTAAAGCTACTGAATAAGTCAAGTAAATCATACAACTTGTCCCAATTCTTAACCAGTAAGAAGTTGTAGTGGTTTATTGCAGGATGTCAAGTAGATGCTTATTACGTAGTCTCCGGACTGTTGGTAAACATGGAAAGGTGCCTCTTCCAAGTATCATAGGACTCATTAATAGAGCTAGCCTTTCAACGGCAGTGCTCAGGAAAGCACAACACCCACACTACCCAGCCGTAAACATCAGCTACAATCCTCATCGGCATGTAGCGACTGCTGAGAAGAAATTTGAGTGTTTCAATATCCAAGATGCTAAGGACTTTCAAACCAGAGTGATGGAAAACCCTGTGCCTGTAGTTGTTGACTTTCATGCAACGTAATTATTGCATTCTTAACATTTAATTGTATAATAACATTTATTTAAAGAAAATTGCACATTGGTTAATGTGTCTTGATGTGTCATTGACAGACATTGCTCTTCAGCTGGGTGCTAGTCTACTAAACAGAGAATGTTTAGAGTATTTAGAATGCTGTTTATATTACAATTACACAGTTAAAAATTTTGCATCGATACGGCTTCTTTATTGCATTGTTATATATGCAGTAAACATCAAAAGACCAAAAGTTAATTTGATGGTCGCAACAAGCGTCAAACAAGGTGTACAAGTTGAACACAGGGACTAGTAGCTGAATGTCAATCAATTTCAAGCAACCAATGATGGACCTTAATTCACTTGATTGACAGGGGTATACAGACCAGGTAAATCTGAGGATGGTGCTTATTATCTCAGGTTTTAAGCAATATATAGTGTATTTTTGATATTAAAGTTCAGATAACCAAAATTAGTCATAAATATATGGAAGTATCCTTAGGTAGCATAGATATTAGTTTGTTCAAATCAAGACCCCAGGGGTAGGGCAGGCCACAATATGTGATCTTAATTTTACATATAGGATATATATAGAGAAAAAATCTGATGATAAAGAACAGAAGGGTCATGGTGACTCAGGAGAGTGCTGTGGCCCATGGGCCTCTTGTATCTAGATTCTGATGAATGCTGCTATGCTTTCACAATTCTATTTCCTATTTTGACAGGTGGTGTGGTCCCTGTAAACTCCTTGGACCAAGGCTTGAAGCAATTATTTCCAGCAAAGGAGGGCAGGTTGCATTGGCAAAAGTGGATGTGGATGAAAATGTTGAAATTGCCATGGAATATTTGGTAGGCTTTTTTTCTGTTTGTCCCCCGATATTCACTGTAGTTCTATATGTGGCATTTTTTGTGTGTAGATTTTAAGTAGTTGACAATTATTGGGATATAGAATATCTCAAAATACACTTCATGGGTTGTTTACAAAGTTAATTTTATAAACCTTCTGGTGATGTTTATTAATAACTTCTTTAAAATTAATATGACAGTCGAATTTTATTCAGATATGTCAAGTTTTAAAGTCAATTACAAGTCTAATAGAAAGTCTAATAGAATGTGATAAGCACCAAACAGGAGCTTTTGTTATGGTTATCAAAAAAGATATGTCAAAATAATTCGGCAAATTCAAGGTCATAAATTTGAACCTCTTGTTAAGGGTTTATTTTTCAGATAAAAACGCATATTGGTGTAGAGAAAAAAAAATCATTTTGATAAGGTCAATGTCATGAGCTATTATCAGATTTTTATTTGGTCATATCTTTTTGATGCATGCATTATAGAAGTAATAACTACATCGAGTGCTAGTTAAAGAAATTAGTAATTGAAAACTAAAAACATTAAAGTGACTTAAACAGTAACTTTTCATTATCTACAGGTTGAATCCTTGCCAACAGTTATTGGTTTCAAGAATGGAAGGAAAATGGATAAATTCATAGGACTGCAGGAAGATGATGTAATCGATTCATTTGTGGAAAAACTAGTACACTAATCATACCTTAATGTCCATAATTATAATACACTCAACAAAATAATGTTAATTGATTTTTAAGTTTAATGCCTCTATCACTGAGGGAATACCAAGTGGCCTGTATAAATACATTTCACAGCTTGTTGAACCAGTTACTTTAAACAGTCATCGAACATTTCTTTTTCATGTATGTTACATGTATATTGAAAATCATTGAATTTCTGCAGCCTAATTTCATCTTAATTTCTTACTTGATTGCATGATGGAATAAGAATTTATACTTGTAGGTTGTATCTAATGTACAGAGAGTCATAGATATCTATGAATAAAGATACATATGAATAAATATTTATTCAATTAAATCTATATGGTTCTAGTTGTTAATGTTTGGAAAAAAAATGCAAGTTTATTTGATGTGTAATTTTTTACAAATTGCACTTTAATATAATAACACAGAACAAAATGTAATAATTTGGAAAATAATGTTAAAGGTTTTGTAGAAAATCTGCAGCTATAAGTGTTGTCAAGGAGTATCATTAACCAGGTAATCATGAAACAGTGCAAGTATTGGTTTTAAAATGCTACTTGGTTAGTCGGATATATACATTTTACAAAATAAGTAAAAATGTTCATAAATGTATTCCAACAAATCCCCAATTTTATTTAACATTATATACCTTTAGATTTGATCAAGGCTTTCACGAATAGGATTGCTTTGATTAGTTTTCACAGTTTATCTATTTGAGTAATTGATGACTTTCATTATTGTGCGATATACCGGTAAGTATATTATACAAATTTTGAAGACTTGCTTATAATTACCTCATTTAAAAATCTCTGATATAATGGTCACCTGTACAAGATTAAGAACTATTTTTGAAGAAGATACAGATCTGCTGAAATTATGGAAAGCAAATCCATTAATTTTAAAAATTTTCTTGCTTTTCCATTCATGCAAGCTGTTTCCCAGTCTCATCAGAATGTTTTTGCTGTATGACAGGATATAATATTACATCCTGAGCTGTTTTTGTCATGTGTTGAATTTTTTTAAATTTAATAATTCAAGAATAATCTTTTTAATAAGATATTGTGTTTTTTTAAGTATTAACTTTATATGCAATACATTTGTGTTATAAAAAAAATATTAGAATATATAAAGGATAAGATATATGTGAAAATTGTAAAGACATTACATTAATACAGCTACTATTCAGTATATATCATGAGCAAAGACAGTTAGAAATCTAATGAAAAATCATCTGAGTAACCAGGTACTCAATCAAAAGAGTAACAGATAGTTGATCCCAAAAGTTTTATTTTATTTTGCTAATAATAGATGGGTACATTGTATATAAGAAATTTATCATTATAACAGTAACTTTGACGAGCCAAATCACGTCTTGTTGATAGGTTTGGACCATCAGATCAAACTCGAGCTTTGCGTCTTGTTTGATCTGATGATCTGTGCCTGTCAACTCAATGTAATATGGCTCTTCAAATCAAGTTACTGTTTTAATAAAATACCCCCAGAAAATGTATTCCCATACATGATCATGATAGAGCCCCATATTAACTTCAGAACCCCTGTCTCAGGGGCCATGAATTTCACAATTCTGGAGCTCAAACAAGCACCCTATCTCATCATAATCATACCTTTAGTTTTTCTGCTAAATACTCCAGAGCAGAGAACAAGATTTTCAAAGAATTAATGCATTTTCACTGCATGATCAATAAAGCCCCCTCATTACTCCAAAATCCCTGTCCCAGCTAGGAGCCATGATTTTCACAATTTTTTTGAAGAGGCATCTTGCTCATCATATTACCTTGGAATTAATTCGACTGCTTAATAACTAGGACGAAAGAAGAAAAAATTCAAAGAAATAATGCATTTTCATTAAATGATCAATAGAGTCTTGTCCTAACTCCAGAACCCTTAACCCAGGGCCATGAAATTAGAGGCACTCTTGCTCATGAAGATTTTCAAAGAATTAATGCATTTTTCACTACATGATCAATAAATCTCTATACCCTTACTCCAGAACCCCCAATCCAGGGGGCACGAATTTTACATTTTGGAAGAGGCCCCTAGCTTGCTCATCATATCTACACCCTTAGTTTGTCTACTATATATCCAAGGGGAGAGGAGGATTTTTGAAGAATTTATGCATTTTCAATATATACTCTACAGAGCCCCACCCTAGAAACACCGACCCTGGGGCCATGAATTTCATAATTTTGAAAGTTCAATGCTCATTACAATAATGCCAGTAGTTTGAATGTTTAATGTCCATGAGAACATTGATTAATTTTGATGGTTTAAGCCCCACCCTTCAGGCCCAGGGGGATTGGGCATAATATTAAAAAGAAATTGTTTCCTGTCACCCATAGATGCTATCTGCCAAAACTGGTGGAAATTTGTTCAGCAGTTCCAGAAAAGAACCTGAAATTGTTTAAATACATTAACGGATGACCTAAGTTGCTTGATGGATGATGGACAAAAACTCAGGTGAAATAAAAAGTTGTGTACACATTAACTATATTCCTTTACATTCCATTTTCTTTTTTTTCTGAATCATAAAACAATTCATGTACATGTATATGGTACAGTCATTTTTTCTTAAAATTTGTATAGAGTAGCCCCACCCTAGCCAAAAGGGGTCATTACTTAACTAAGCTTGAATCCACACAACTTGGGATGCTTCCATGTTAATCAGACACATGGCCTTGATTTTTTTCTTTTTAGATTCCTGTATGCATGAATTATACAAAGTTAATCCCTGAATTTAGCCCCTGCATTCCCCCTGGGTTAAAATTTTAAAAAAAACTTATGTTTGCATATTAATATGATTTAGTATGGCGCTGATACTCTTAGAATTTAAATAGTCTTTTTTAAGATATATTCTCATATAAAACTTTGATCCACCTCTTATTCCACCTATTGTGGCCCCTTCCAGGGGTGTAGCGAGGACTTTGATGAGGCAGAGGCATAAATTACAGTGAGGGGTCTGGGGATGGCTCAAGGCCCCCATTGGGTCCAAGGCAGTGCCCTGTTTGGGAACCCCCTGATGGAACGTTTGAAGCTCCTGGGTGACAAATTCTCTATCCACAAGGGCCATGATTTGAACAATTTAAGAATCCATGTTGGGAAGGTCTCACCCAAGTTTCAACTTTTCTGGTTCCAGTTGTTTTTAAGAAGATTTTTACTTTTCTTGATTATCTCCCCTTTGTAGATGACAGGGCACTCTAATTGAGCAAGTTCGGTTGAAATTGGCCCAGTGGTTCTTGAGAAAAAATCAGAAATGTGTAAAGTTTACCGAAAGGCGGGTGGACTGATGGTCGCCAAACAACGGGTGATAAGAAAAGCTAAAAAGAAAAGAGTTGGACAGTTTCACAGTTAGTAATCTATACTAGCAGTTCTATAATTAACGTGTGATATTGATAGTTTACAACTCTCAACTACAGGACATTTTCATGAATTTCTCCATAAACTAATACATATCATCATATATGTATTCCATACCTAGTTTGTCAAATTCAAAACATCTGGCCCCTTATTTTTTGTCGAATAGATTTTATAATGCATACAATAAATTTAAAAAGCATTTTTAGTATAAATGTTAACTGAAAAAAATGAAAATTAATACATGCACATGTATTGTAAATCTTGCTTAGACCATCTTTAAAAAATTAATTGTTTGCCCTCTACCGACCGACTAAAAACAGCCCAACTCAAACTTTTTTTGATCTTCAGAAAACAATATTTTTTTAAATTTATTAATAACTTTTTTTTGATGTTTTTGAATAAAAAAAATTTGCCCCTACTCACTATCCAGTTTTTTTTATCCTGAGATGGAAGAGGGCAAGCAAAGATTTTTTTTTAAAGATGGCCTTATCACGATGTTCCAGAGAACTTCATTTTTTAATTCCTTTTAAACAAGTTCTTAAAAGGCGATAAAATAATACTGGTCATGAAAATGTCTTTGTATTGAATCAAGTATGGTATATGTAGAATTTGTCAATATATCTATAATAATCATGATCAATCTTAATGTTTGATTAGACAGGTATGGCTGAAAGAATCTTGTCATTTAAAACTGATTTAAATACAGTCAAACCTCGTTATCTCAAACTCGATGGGACCATGAAAAAGCTTCGAAATATTCAAGGAATCAAGATGTTGAGAGTAAAATACTTAAAGAATAAGAGGCTGGGATTTCAAAATCACTTTGACATATCCATGGTATTCGAAATATCAGTGTTCGAGATACCGGAGTTCAACTGTAAAATAGGAAAGCATAAGAACATATCTTGTTTATAGATCTATCTTACAAACAAACACTTACAGCATATGAAATTTAAATTGAAAAGAGAAAAAGATTTCCTAAAATAAATGGATACAAACAGATACTCCTGGTATGAAAACCAAGCACCTGAAAGACTTGAATATAACAGTAAGCAAAATGACAGCAAGATATTGTCGAAAAAAGTATATACCCCGGTATCACTAATCAATATTTCTATCAAAATAATTAATGGTCCATTAAAAAAGGACTTTTATTATTATTTTTCAGCCTCTGAATCTTCTTTCATCACAGAAGTCTCTTCATTTTTATTTACAGAAGCCTCCTTTGCTGCATTTGGGTCACTTTTATTTACAGAAACCTCCATTAGTGTATTTGGGTCCACTGGGTCCAAAATCCCTTCCTGAGTCATCAGAGTGTCTCTAACTTTTGTCAGGATCTCGCCTAATAGATTCTGTCCCTTCCATGTCTGTTTATTCCAAGCTCTTCTATCCTCCTTTGCTAACCCTATGCCCCAGATTTTGTCCATAGGACTTGCTTCAACCAATGTTCTTGGATATGTTGAAAATAAAATGTCTTTTAATTCTTTATCCTGGGAAAACTGAAAGCAAAAAAAAAAAAGGTTTAACATTTAAAATGAAGAAATAAATTACACTGGACTGGACAGTCTATCAGGTTCAACTCACTATTCAAAACAGTATAAATTAACCTTTTAAAGTTATGGCAGATCAATATGATTCTTGAGGCATATTCTAAAAAACACATACATTTATATTTATAAATCCCTAATAACCACCAAGATAATTAAACAATGTTTAGCTATATGATCACTATACCAATCCTATATCAATCCTTTGAGACATCTATTAATTGTCCTTTTTTCAAAAGCAATTATTCTCCTATGAAAAACTTTGATGTGGCCCCGCCTAGATAGGAACCAGCATGATTTGAACAATCTTGATTATGAATCAAATCAGGATGTTTGCATACTTTGACAAATTTCGGAGCATTATAACTAGAGACTGAGGCATCAGTCTTAATCTTTCAGCCCTCTGATCAGTAAATGAATCCATCCATCCAGTGCCCATTATAGCATTTTAAGTAAAAATAATGATTGTTGTCTACATAATGCTCATTAACATGAAATTTATGAAAATTCTAACTTAGAATTTATACATGTGCATTAATCCTTTTATTTAAAAACCTACTTTTTACAAAATGTCAATTGAAAAGGATAAATTATGTGGTGTTTAATATTTCTTCAGTGGATTCATATACATGCATGTATATCACAAGCACTAATGTTGAACATTCTTCTGTAAACTGACAGAGGCTCCTTGAAGGGTATCACAATGGCAGACTAAACATTCATTCTAGCACATTACAATTCTCTATCAATGGAACAAATGTATGCTACATGTACTTAATCTATTTTCAAACACAATACCTTTGCCATATTTCCTTTTTCAACAATATTTCTACAATTTTTGTCCCACAACTCTTGATTAAAGTTCTTCACGTATCTTCCTTGTTCTTTCATTTCACGTGGTTGATCTAATGCCATAATAATTTCTGCACTATCTTTATCCTTCATCAGTTCTAGAGAAAAATTAGAAAAGTATGAAACAATGACAAGGCAACTAAGTAACTTCCTTCTTTTGTGTGCATCAACAAATAGTGAGTATACATCTACTTTGAAACTGTAACCACATTTGATAAAAATATCAAAGTGGAATTGTTAAACATTGTTAAATATAACCTTTAACACTTTTTTATTGTATCAGAATCAGAAGTTGGTCTACAAAACTGTATAGATGTTTTAGGAAAATATTGTTCAGACTGGAAATTGTGTGTTAATATGGATAAAACAGATGTTATGATTTTTTCAAGAAAAACAGATGATGAAACATCATTTAGATTTTATTACAATCACCAAATGATTAACATAATGAATGAATATAAATATTTGGGTGTTGTGTTCAGATCTGATGGAAAAATGAAATTTGCAGCTGAACAACTATCAGAACGTGCTAGGAAAGCATATTATGCTATTAAATCAAATTTTCCTGCAAACATTAATTTTTCAGCTGAAATTATGTTAAAATTATACCAGTCAATGATAATACCAATTATTACATATGGATCTGAAGTATGGATAACTGACTTCAAATGTGATTTAATGTCTTCAGACCAATTTCCTTTTGAAAAAACACAACACTTAATATTTAAAGACATACTAGGGGTACATAGAAAGGCATCAAATCTTGCTGTTTTATGTGAATTGGGTCGTTTTCCTTTGTACTATTTATGTTATGAATATATGTTTAAATATTTTAAGAGACTTAAGGAAATGGAAAACAAACATGATTATAATAATTATTTAGTGATTTCTGCATTTAAAGAAGACAAAAAACTTGTATCTAGAATATCTTGGCAAAGAAAACTGTCTTCATTACTACAAAAATTAAATATCACTTCTTTGGATATTTCTCACACAACCTTGAAAAACAAATTACAAGAGCATTACCAAAACAAGATACATGAACAACTGAAAAATATAAGCAAATCAAACTCTGGAAAGTTAGCTTTTTATAGTAAAATTGTAATTCAAAATGAATACAAATTGCAAAGTTATTTAAAGCTGCCTTTAAAGAAAAGTTTTAGATCTGTATTAACAAAATTAAGGATCAGTGCCCATCCATTGTATATTGAAACGGGCAGATACTGTAAACCCCCTATTCCTAGAGAAAAACGTTTATGCTATTCATGTAAATTATTTATTGAAGATGAAAAACATTTTGTTCTATACTGTTCAAAGTATGACCAATTTAGATGCAATTATACTGATATATTTAATGTAAACACATATACTAGTGATAATCCCATTAGAAAAATTGTCAATCCTACAAATATTACAACTGCTAGAAGGATATGTTGTTTTTTGAAAAAGTGCTTTGACACCAGAAAAGAAAGTCAGCAATGAATACTTAGAGATATGTGAATATACTCTACATTATTTTGTTCAACTCACATTTGTCATTTTGTATATGTATGTATTATTCTTGTTAATTCGTTTTATGTCATGACTGTATGCCGACATGGTAATTGTCAATAAAGTGAATTGAATTGAATTTTTAAAAATCAATGAAAGAAATCTAAAAAGGTGAACTTTTCATGAATATGTAAGTGATATGTACCTGCTTTCTGATGCATCATATATTGTTCGGCACAATTATACTTTAACCCATCAACCTCAAACTCTGTCATATACCACTGACTATAGACAGAGTGACTCCTCCAGAAGTACTCATATTGTTCTCTCTCATCAGGTAATTCAGAGTTCTTATTCCAAGCTCTCCCATTCTTATTCTTCTCCTTCGATTGCCCCTTGTTTCCTTTCCAATCATTTTCCTCTCCTCCATTATCCTCATTCCATCTATTTTCCCCCCATCTCTCATTCCTATTTTTCTCCTTAGATTTTCCTTTGTTTCCTTTCCGATCATTTTCCTCCCCTCTGCTATCCTCATTCCTATTATTTTTCTCCCATCTCTCATTCTTCCTTTCCTTGGTTGGTCTTTCATCACCACTTCCACCGTACAGTCTTTGAATCCCTGGTTTCTTTTTTGGTCGGCACCCTTGATTGTCATTACCTCTATGTCTATTTCCATGGTCTGGGTTTTCCCCTGAGGGGCCTTTTCCTCTATTTTTGTATTCTCCCTGATAATCATAATTTTCCTCTTTGTCTGTGTGATTTTTGGAATGTTTTTCACCCATGGCTTTTGTTTCGTCTGAATGGTCGTCATTAGATTCCTCTTTCTCTGTCGGCTCTGATGTTTCTTCTCCCTGCTCCTCACTTTCCTGCTGATATTCAGTGTTTCCTGTACACACTAATTCTACAGTTTCCTGATTATCGTTATCACTATGACAGTTTTCTGATGTGCTTGCCTCTATACTAGGTTCTTGTTCCACTGCAGACTCAGCTGGCTTTTCTGTTTCCACTAAATCACTTGACTCATTCTCAGGCTTGGTTTGGACAATTTCTGGTGAGTTCAGGCATTTTTCTGTTTCTGCATCATTTACCTCAAGATTTTTTAGTGCTTCTGTCACCTGATGTTCCAAGTCTTTTTCTGCCATACCTGAAAAAAAAAATTCATTCCATTTATATATATCTTTATCATATATATTCATTTTCTAGCAAAACTGCACAAAATTGCCCATTATTTTTTCTTTCAATTTTCCTGCATCTGCATGCTATTCAGAGATATTATTTATACATAAGATATGAGATTCCATTAGATCTTATCAGCAAATCTGTGATGTGATATCTCTGTGGTCACTGTGTGTATTGACTTATAAGACACTCAGTATAAGCATATACACTGTACAATAATGTATTGCGATATTGGATGTTACTAGAAATATTCCTATTCCTCCAACATATCACTGCATTATAGTATATGCATACGTATAATTTGTATTCTCTTTAGTGTAGTCGTCCAAAATTGAATGTTTTAATTATAACATTCAAAATGTGAACAAACGATACCCTAACTTCAGTTACGGTACTTATTGTACATTTCTGTGCAAGTATTCGTTGTATCAGAAGTGGTATACATGTATAACGTTACACATCAAGCATCACGATGTAGAGAAACCGAAAGTTGTTTCTTACCATTTCAACCTTAATATCATTATTCTTTTTCTTAATAAAATGAAATCCTTTTTATCTAAAAGAAATAGTGTCTATTTATTTAAATTGCCTGAGCTAATTGCAAATTAGTCCTAAAACTGGTAAATAGCCAACTAACACCACCTGCTTACCTTCCCTATCTACTTTCGTTTTGAACTCCTGGAAACCCCCACATTATTCGCTGGTATGTACTTTAGTCGTTTTTTTTTTAAATGTGCTAAAATTAGTAAATTTTACAACAACTAGGAAAAGGGAAAACAAATCATTGCAGGTAAAATTCAAAACAGACAATAATATTGATTTGACAAATTCAATGGAGTGCATTATTGTTTAAATCATACGTTTATAACAATGCATACCTTCAGTCTTACTTTTGCTTGGGCTCTTTGATTTCAGTTTTGTTATACGCTATGTCTGATGTGTAACTAAGTTTACCATTCTTTGCAGCTGAGAGGCTTATATATTGTAAACAAGTTCTTTAATATTCAAGTTGTTGCGAATATGTTGTGAAATAACGGTTTCACTAAAATCAGTAGAAAGTAGATATCCTTTTGACAGGGACAAACAGTTTTTGAAGGGTTTGAATATGTATTTTAAATATAGAAGCATAACACGATAAATTAATTTAAATTGTGACTGTATCCTAAAAAATGATAATGTTAAAAGGTTTTATATAATTGATTTCAATAAAAAGAACATAGTCTCAGTATGCTGTACAATTTATTGACATTACAATCAAGTTTAAGTAAACTTTATAAATATTAAACACAGACTAGATTAAAGAAAAGAAAAATGTATTTAAAAATAACATTTTAAGAATACCTCAATGGCTTATTAACATATATTGCATTTATATATGTGCTAGCTAGCTATCAATCATAATACAAGTACAAAAACAAAAAAAAATCTTACTATGCAGGTACGTGTTTACCAGTTTGACACACAACACAATAATTTGCAAAATACTGCATATATTTTTTTTATCAAATGACACTTCTTTTCCAGATTGCTGTACTGTTTGTAGTTTGTAAAGATGAAAAGATCAGGAGGTGAAACATCGAGTGATGATTGCAAGCAGGCAAAGGTGTTAAAATCTAATGAATCAGTAGATACTGCAGAAAACATTAATGATGACGAGAGGCATTACCCAGAAAAAGTAAAAATGTCTGATGCTGATGATAAACACAACTCATCTCCATCAAAAGATAGAGTCTCAGTAATGAAGAAGAAAATTTCTTCCTCTGATAATTTAGAAGATTCAAGCTCTAGACGAGGCAAAGATGGGCAAAACTCTTCTCCCGAAAATAATGAAAGTTCAGGTTCCAAAGGGGAAGAAAAAAGGTACCACTCTTCTACACACAAAGATAAATCTCGAGGTTCCAGTCATGACAGAGATACAAGTAAGCACCACTCTTCTCCACATAAAGATAAATCTCGAGGTTCCAGTCGTGACAGAGATAAGCACCATTCTTCTACACACAAAGATAAATCTCGAGGTTTCAGTCGTGACAGAGATAAGCACCATTCTTCTACTCACAAAGATAAATCTCGAGGTTCCAGTCGTGACAGAGATAAGCACCATTCTTCTACACACAAAGATAATTCTTCAGGCTCCAGACAGGACAGAGATAAGCAACACTCTTCTTCTCACCCCAAAGATAAATCTTCAGGCTTCGGAGGAGACAAGGATAGACATCTTTCTTCATCACGCAAAGATAAATTTACAGGATCCAGGAAGCATAAAGATATCAGTGAATACTTTTCTGCAAGTTCCAGTCCCAGACGTAACCAAGATGAGCAAAAGAACTCCAACCCAGATTACCCCTCAAGTTCCCAAAAAGTAAAAAGTCCAAGGAGAGAATCTCGGTTTAATTCTGTTGATTTGATTGAGAAAACAAAGTTAAATTTACAAGACAGCATAACTTTAATGAAACAAGATTACTCAAAGGACAGAAAAGAACACTTTCATTTCTTTTTTGGAAAGGTTTCGCCGTTCAGTAACTTTCATCCAGCTAAATTTGACCTTGATGGGGTCACCTATAGCTGCAGTGAGCAGTATATGATGCATCAAAAAGCAGGTTTGTTCAAATTTTCAGTAGATGGTAATAATATGTTGTTCAAAGTAAAGCCATGCTTCATTGTGGTTGAATGTGATGCTTTTAGATTACTGGTACTGTGAATCTTAGCAAGTGGAATTGTCAACATTTTTTCACACTAATTTGTCATACTTCAATGTCAGCTTATATGTTGTAAGGTAAAGTGAACTTCTATATATGTAGTCATACCACTTGGACTATTATTTTTCATAAGAAAAAATTAGTCTTCACACTTTCAATGCCAGAAAAGTCATTTTCAAAGCTCACTCCACTAAATTAAAAATGACCATGCAGAAAGGGAAAAAAGTTTCTTCCAAGATGACAAAGTTACAGTGGTATATTTAGGAAGTGATATTTATTTTAACAATAGCTTTGAAAATGGTTTTTAATATAGATATTTTATTAATCAAAATACAGATAATGAAGAAGGATTTACATGCTTACTTCTTAATATGCTCAAAATTTAATGTCCTTCCCACGAGATATTACAGTGTTCGCTCAGTTTATTATCTTGTTCACATGACTTATCTCATTCACGTGAATTAATATCTTGTTTGCACCACATATAAATATCTCATTTGCTTGACATATTTTCTCTTTTGAAAGACATTACATGTATCACATTTGCATGACTTATCTTATCATCTCATTAGCATGGGATATCTCTTTGCACAAGATGTTATGTCATACACACATTGTTAAGTTATTACCTTGTTTGCAAGACTATTATCTCATTTGCATGGGTGCACAGTATCCTGGTTTCATGACTTATTATTATCTCATATGAACAACTTATTGTCTCATTCACATGAGGTATTATATCATTTGCATGACAAAATATTTCGTATCTCATTTGCATGTTTTATTATCTCATTCGCATGAGGTGATTTTTCTATTCAATTTTATCTCTTTGTTATGATAGTATATTAGGCTGGCCATAGACTTGTACAGTAAAAGACAGTTACAGCAAACACGCTTATAATGAATTGACACTTACAGCAAAGTGATTTTCATTTCCCTTGGCTGTAAAATACATTATGAACTTAACAGATATAGTGAATTACGTTTATAACGAAGCAAAATCATCCATCCCTGGCACTTCGTTGTATGTGTTTTTTACTGTATATGGTATTGGAAGTTGATTTCAGTATGTGGGTAAGGGTAAATCAGGAAATTTTCATTATATATATGTGTGTAATGAAAATAAATTATTTTTTCAATAAATAAAACAATAAATAAATATTGTACAACAAAAAAATCATTACATAATTTTTGTCATTCCAAGTTATGTACTGAACAATTTTTAGATGCCTTCAATTTTTATTCAGGAATTTTTTACATTATACATGTACCGGTAATACAAATTCAGTTTTAAAAGTAGCAAAAATGATGTTTTGTGAACATTTTATCTTTGATTCTTTCAAGATGGTCACAAAAATAGGAAAAATTTCAGGAGATTGTAAATAATGCAACTTGACTTATTGATAACTCTGTTTTAGGGAACAAATTAGCTATATGAATGAATGTGAATGATATAACATCTTGTTCAAATGACATTATGAGTTGTGTGAATAAGATAATAATATATCATGCAAACAAGATAAATCTCATTCAAACATCATTATGAGGTTAAGAAAAATGTGTCATGCAAATGAGATAATAGGTCATGCAATAATATTTGCCATCATAAAAATATAAAAAATATTTGTATGTCCTAAATATATTATTGTAGAAAGTTGTCATAGCAGATTTTTTTAATCCTCCATTTTATCAGCTGAAGCATTAGATGGTTATTATACTATGTTTCTTATTAGACAGTTATTTTTTTTTTAACTTTATAGGACATGGAAATTGCTTAAAAATACTGTCATTCCTCACTGTTTTGACCAAGCTTTTATTTTTTTGATGTTTGTAAACAATCTTTCTTTATGAACAACTGGGTTTAAGTTTTGTAAAAGGGGGAATAACCTATAAAAACTTTTTTATACACCCTAGACATTACTTCTTGTACTTTTCCTTTATAGTGATATTTCAAGATCCATATCATGCCAATGAAATAATGAAAGCAACAGATCCAGTAAAAATGAAAAAACTAGGAAGACAAGTGCAAAATTTTGATGCCAAACACTGGGCTAACATCAGTGAAAAGGTTGTGAAGAGGGGGATTATGGCAAAGGTAATGATTATCTCTTTATCTCTCCAATTCTTCAAAATAATTACATGTATTACATGTCCAAGATGTTCAGATTTGATCAAGATGAATATAAAATAATCTGATTTGGTCAATCATAATTGAGATTAAATCCTTAAAATTGGAAAAGTTGTTTGTTGATGAATGTTATCAAGTTGCTTGTTCCTTTTTAAACAAAAAATGAGTAAAGTTTTGACTTTGTATATAAATTAAATGTTTCCTTCCTATTCTTAGTTCAAACAGAATAAAAATCTAATGAGAGCATTGATTGCCACATTCCCCTGCATTCTGGTGGAAGCTGCACCACGTGATCGATTGTGGGGAATCGGACTTGGTGCGCAAAACCCCAAAGCTCACAGCCGAAAATCCTGGAGAGGAAAGAACAAACTTGGCTACTTACTTACAAATATTAGGAATGAAATCATGAGGAATGAGGGACTATTTTCTTGACATTTTTCACTGTAAAAATTTTAATGAAGATTTTATGTTTTCTGTATATTATGTAAAGTATACTAAGAGTGCAGTACATGTGTATGTGCTAGCTTCACAATCGCTTTTTATTATGGTGCCACATCAGGATGTGTGCGCCCTTTAGTAATCACCATGCAGGTTTGTCTGTCATCAACACATTTTACGGGACGATAAAGTCGTTAACTTTCAACCCATATAGATATCATATTTAATGCATTGTTTGAGGATGGTTTAGAGGATTGGGCCTACAGGTTTTGTAAGTCAATTGGTCAAATGTCAAGGTCAGAATAGTTACCATTATCATAATACATATATGTGATATTTATGCAATATTTAGTATTTTTCTTATCTTACCAACAACACTTACCATAGGTAGAGAATGGTTAAAGGAAGACACCAAAATGAAGGTCAAGGTCAAAACAAAAGATTATTACCATAAACATTGTGGTGCAGTAACTTAGACATTTTGAAACCTACTTTGTGTATAGTAAATCTACATATCCCTTCTACACACTTTGTATTTAGTATATAAGTAGAGAATGGGTAAAGGAAAAGGCCTACAGGTTTTAGGATCACTTACTCAACTTTGACATTTTGTAATCTACAGACTTCATATGTAGAGGTAGATGGAAACTGGTTAAAGTGAGGTATCTATAGGTTTGTGGGTCACTTCATAAAGATTGAGATTATGGATTTGATATATTGTTGTGTATGTATAAATGGTTATTCTATTGTTCAAATCACTTGAACATGTCATCTAATTCACTGCACAATTGAAAGAGACTCCTATAGGTTCTGAGGACACTTGAAAGACCATTGTTTAAATTATTTATATAAGCATACTGTGGGACCCTTTATGACTTAGTCAGTTTTTTTTGGGGGGGGGGGGGGGGGAGGGGGGGTCTATCATTTTTTCTATCATATTTATATTAGCAAGTAAAGCAGGTGAATTCAACTAGTGCAATGATTCTTTACACTTGTGCATTGATTCTGTACTCTCATTTTTGTGTTTTGGATGGTTGTTTTGTAGGCATCTGTTATCATCAAAATCCTAATGTGATATTTTTTGGTGGTAAATCACAAAATAAAGTATTTAATGACCAAGATATCATGTTGGACGATGGACGAATTCATTTTTTCTATCATATTTATATTAGCAAGTAAAGCAGGTGAATTCAACTAGTGCAATGATTCTTTACACTTGTGCATTGATTCTGTACTCTCATTTTTGTGTTTTGGATGGTTGTTTTGTAGGCATTTGTTATCATCAAAATCCTAATGTGATATTTTTTGGTGGTAAATCACAAAATAAAGTATTTAATGACCAAGATATCATGTTTCTATTTCTGAACAGATCTAACTGTCTCTGTTCCAAGAAGAGGCCGTATGCCATTTACCAATATTTGTTGTAATTGGTTTTGGGATTCAGAGAAGCTGGAAAATATTTACAAGATTATGACCAATTGATGGATGACAATTCCTGCATCTATATCTTTAAAGTACATGGAGGATATTCAATGTTTAGTAGTTGAATATGAAATTTATTTCACAAGTAGGACAGATTTTTTTTTTTATATTTTACAAGTGCAAAGCACCAGAACCCTTGACCCAATGCTCCAGAGTTTCACGAATATGAATCATTTATACCTTTGCATGTTTATACAACTTTGTACTCTGTTAGCCTCCTAGTTGAAGAAGAATTTCAAAGAATTAATCCATTTTCACTATATAATTAATAGAGCCCCTCCTTAACACCAAAATCCCTTACCCAAGAGCCAGGAATAAAATGATTTTAGACAAGTCATCCTTGCTCATCATAATCATGCACTTAGTTTCTTTGCTTAATACCCAGGAGCAGAGAAGATTTTCAAAGAATTAATGAATTTTTACTATATGATAAAAGGACCCCCATCCTAACACCAGAGCCCCTGACCCAAGGGCTCATCATAACCATGCGCGTACTGTAGTTTATCTGTTAAATACCAGTATCGGAGAAATTAAGATTTTCAAATAACAAATGCATCTTCACTACATTAACAATAGAGCCCTGTCCTAACACCAGAGCCCCTGACCCAGGGGTTAATTCATCATAGCCAGGCACTGTTTGCTAGATACCCAAAGACAGAGAAGACGACTTTTACAGAATATATGCATTCTCACTTTATAATCAATAGAGCCCCGTCCTTGACGCATAGGCCACGAATTTCACAATTTTGATAGAGAGCTCAATGCTTATTTTTAAAATTACAATCTTTCCAACAGTTTTACTGCTTGATGTCCGGGAGTTCAAAGATACCACTAATTTTGATGGTTTTAATTCCACCCCTCAGGCCCCAGGAGGTGGGGACCATGAAATTTATTTTTTTTTAGATGTCATATTCCAAAATTGGTTCAATGATTCCATAGAAGAAAGGGCAATATTCAGATGTTAACACACGACGATGGACGAATTCAAAACAGATTCTAGAGGCAATAGATCACCCGAGTAACTCAGGCGATCAAAAATCAAATAATATCGCATGTACCGCGATTGATAGATGTTTGACCATTAGATGAATACATATGGAGCGCACAATCAACATAAACCCAAATAATTAAATATATTTTTAATCATTTGAAGTAGGGATGGCAGTTTGTAACCGGTTAACCGATTACTCGGTCGGAACGATGGTAATCGGTTAGAAAATCTGTAATCGGTTAGTCGGAAAAAAATGAAATGTATGTAAATTTGAGCGCGACTTTCTTAAAATTCACGTTTATAAATGAAACCTCTGTATACACGTTGATAATTTAGCGTTTTCACATAGACGTCATAAATTCCTTGATAGTATAATTAAAGATCTTCATATAAAATAAAAGAGATATCTGTAATTTTTATTTATTTATTTATGTTTTATTTATTTATTTATTTATGTTTTATTGCGCTCATTAACAATTGATTAAAGCTCTGACAATTAATTGAAGCGCACACCAATTTCATGTATATTACGTGCAATAATTCATTCAATGTCTTCCAATAATGAAATATATTTTCAATCATCTGAGTTTACATTAATTAGGCTATGAGCTTCACCAGAACGAGACCTCCTTATATGAACACAGGAGATGTTTATAACTCCATTTTTGGGGGGTGGGGGATAACGTTTTTCTACTGAAAGTGAAATTACTATTCAAACACATATTTTTTTTCTTTCTGTTTCGTGCATAAAATTCAATTGTCCTAGGTGTAATACCATTTTGCGGCAGTTACTGAGAGATCCAATCCCCCAACCCCCTCCTCCATCGTAGCTCTATCCCCGAACTACAATTCACATCATTCCTTTTATTGCAACAATTACAGCTGTATGTTGGAAAATATATGCCAAAGTATTCCAGTCACAAAATCCCTTAAATTTGACACCTTGCAGAAATCAGTGTCCTTGTGATTATTTTCACTGCTGCAAATTTTGACAGAAACTTGATTAAGAAATTTAATAATTTTCATTTTTTACATATTTTTTATTATAACCGGATTTCTGGATAATTGTTGTAATTATACCAATCAGAAGAAATCGCTGGACACGTTCAGGAACAAGAAAAACTGCACTATTATACCTGAAACATAATTTATCTAGTAAGAAATCTATTGATACTCATTCCCCTTTTTTGTTGGTCGAAGAAAGCAACAGAAGAAAGTAAAGTATTTACGATAGAGGAATCTGAATAATTATTTCAAAATACTAAGAACCAAATCCAGAAATGTCTGTCAGTGTATTCTATTTCGCTTTACATGTAAAAAATTGTTTACAATGTAGTATTGAAAATTTCTTCCCCCAAAAAGCACAGGCACCTGACTATGGGTGGTTAACCCCCCCCCCCCAAACACATTATGAGAATTTTAAGCCACGATAACTTTTTGCAAAAATAAATTAATTCTTGGTATATAGTTTCCCAGTTTTGCTAAGTTTTAAGTGTCTTGTTGGTGATGATTGTTGTTGTTGTTGTTGATGGGGGTGGGGGAGGGGGGTTCCTTCTCTGACCACCATGGAAGCTTCTAACTACCCTATCTTGTTCTAGAAGGAAATGTTGTTAAGGACAGACGACACGTTCTTCAGTTTTTGAATATTTTTCATACTTTTTTCATACATTACGAAGATATAAATAACAGATATTTGAGAAACGTATCGTCTGACCTTAATTGAGTGAACTCGCCACCGTCGACTCAGTCATAATTGACATCTTTATGAACAGCTCTATGTAAGTATACCGCCCGACCCCCTCTTGCTAATTAAATTGGCACCATGCAGTGAACGGCACCATCTGTAATAAAGATTTTGTAACATTTACAATTCTGTATTGGGTAATATTGAGTGACATTATAATAAATAGTAATTCTCTGTATGTAAAATTTCTGTTCTAAAATTTAGTGAATTCTTGAAAATTGCTGAGATATACAGTGGTTCATGCTAAATTCCACCTAATTTTCTCACCCAAACCAAGGTCCCTGCCCAAACATCATGTAGACATATCGAAAAAAATATTTATTATGTAAGAATTAGAAATATGAAATATACAAAAAAGATGTAATGTGTATGTTCCTTTGAATTAAAAAAAAATTAACATGATCTAGTAAAAGAGATCTGGACGGTCCATTGGAAAGACATTATATTTAGCTTATAAACCCCTCTGAATAATTAACTAGAAAGGTCATAAATTGCTTCCTTTTTTTCAAAGGCAATGTCTTTTTAAAAAAAATAAAATAAAATAATTTTCCTTCTTCAACCGGGGTTCGAGTAGGAGAAAAACGCTATTAAAAAAAAGTATAGGGAAAGAGAGATAACTCTTTCAAAAAAAAAAATTGCTTTCCATTTACAAGTTCAAGAGCATCAAAACGTTTGAATATCCTGCGCATGCGTACATCTGGTTTGAAATTCGTAAACGGATTGATGAATTAATGACATGTGAACCGAGGAAAGAGTAAAAGTTGTCGTAATTCTGTGAAATATATGTACAAATAACAGTTAGTAATAAATTTATAGGAGAATCATGGATATGGGAAGCCTTAAAGTTGGTGTCAATGTTGACATCCAACGAACTGACGGTAAGATTTCGTCTCGTCGGTCCCGTTGCTAACTTGTTTGAAAACAGGGGCAGACGAAATGAAAAAAGGTTCATTACAAGTTTGCATGACTAATTTCGTTGGAATTTAATAAAAGTTAATTGGGTTAGTGTAATCATTTCAAGGGTGAATGAAAAGATGTATTTATTGCCAATATAAAGAAATACAAATGTTCTATATTTTGAATTTAAAGTTTGACTTTCAAAATTGAACAGCTTTACTTACCTGTTATTTATTCCTCGAGGATAAGATAAATAGCGCCGTAATTTAAAAATTTCCTGAAGTCATTTTGTAAATAACAATCTAATCAACAACAGTGAAAAGATTTAAATTGCCATTTTTCATTGTGATTTTAAAACTCCTCAACAGAATTGTCAAAGATATATAATAACTGATGTGTAGATGTCTTGCAAAAAGATAGTGTAGACTTGTTTATTTAATTTGTAGTATGAGAATATTTCATCTGAAAGTTTTATTTTCAAGTGAGAAATTGTTGGATCAGCAGAGCTTTTGTCCACTTTTCTTAGACCTTGTTGGATTTGCAATATTTTGGGTTTAGAAAATATAAAACTGGAGGAGAGTGAGACGAGTGCAAGGGCAGTTAAAGTGTCATAAGATACAATATGTATCCCATTATAGCTTTATATTTTTATCATAATGATTCAGGAGTGATGCCAACCCCCCCCCCCCCATTTTTGAATTCTCTACTTCATGTATCATGTATTGGTTACTTGTAGAAAATCTGAAATTCTGGGGAAATGAATATAATCTTCAGGATGATTGATTTGACTAAGTGACCACTCTAACTTGGTAGTGTTTTTATCAGGGTGCGTCGATTTACCCAAAAGGACCCAAAAGAACCCAAAAGGAAACCAAAAGGACCCCCATCCCTAACACACACTTTTTCCAAAAACTAATGTTTTACTTTCAATAAAGTATGAGAGTGTTCATTAAATAGCAAGTTTTCCCTTTCATTTCTAGTCCTTTTGGGTTGCTTTTAATTTCCTTTTGGGTCCTTTTGGATTCCTTTTGTGTCCTTTTGGGTAAATCGATGCACCGTTTTTATCATACATTTGGCAGTTTAGTCCATTAAAAGTTGAGCCTGAATGTCTTTACAATTTTTTGTGTTGAATTCAAACACTGAATATGTGCTGGAAATTGCTCAGAGTTAAACATATTTTTACTGATTAGGTTTGTTAGCGACTGTCTTTGGAAAAATAGCGGGTTCATCAATCTCGTAAATGGCGAGAGGAGGCTGTGCCATGTTTAAAAATGATCAACCCAATACATTTCCATAAACAGTCATTAATAAACCTATTAAGATTTATTTTCTTGAAGACCATAATACGAGAGACATATAAATAATTCCTAATATTATAACTAGTAAAGAGGTGGTTAGGTGTTTGCCCTATTGCCAGATATAATGCTTACGTGCAGGACACAGAAATATAGCCAGCAGTCATGTTTTAAAACCAATAAAAGTGCATCATTTCAGTCTGATTGAAAATAATTTAATTGATTTCAGGTTAATTGTGTTGTTCGATATTTTAACTTTAAATTGTAGGTCGCATACATTCTGCTGTTATAAGTGGTCTAAATCCAGAGGCAAAAAGCGTGACAGTGGAGTGGTTTGAGAAAGGTGAAACTAAAGGGAAAGAGGTATTGTCACAATTTTCATAAAAGTCTGATTAATCAGCTGAAAAATCTGTACACAGTTGCAAAAAAGAGGGCAAAGTTTGTATGATTAACAGCCACTTCGGGGGAAAAAAATTAATGATGATTTCATTGGTACTCAGTCTTCAAACTGACGGTTGAAAGGACAATGCAAAATTACATTTACTAAATATATATACATATATATGAATTACTATATATAGCACTAAGTTATCTAGTTCGTGACTTCACTTGATGCTTGCTAAATTCAAAAACAATTTTATTTTTACATGTTGCAGCAAAAATCTGTTATGAACAAGTTTCACAATTTTTTTATAGATTGAAATAGAGGCCATCTTTTCTTTGAATCCTGACTTAGCTCCTGCTCAGCCCCCTCCTAGTAATAGAGATATCCAATCTTCAAAGGTTTGTAGATTTTGAATTTTTGGGAATTTATGTAAAGTTTATTTTATGATAGTATTCTCGCAAGTTTTTATGCATTTTGTGTTTAAACAAAAGCGATAAATTATGCATTAAAATTAATGTTGTATCATTACTTGTTTAGAGTAGTAGAATTCCAAATGCTGGAGATGGTCCTAAAGCTGTCCGAAAAGGTAGTATAAAACTAGTTAATGCAGAATGTATATTCTTTTTATAAAAAAATTGAGGAGTCAGTAGTTTCTAACACATTTTTCGTTGTCTAAGTTATATTCTTGAAAATAATTTTCATGTCCCTTTAATTCTTGCTTGAGTTTATGTCATTATGTACCCAAAGATATTTTCAGTGAAGATTTTGTTTAATGTAAGGCCTAAAAAGATATTGTAACGAAACCGAGGGTATAAGGTTATTACTTAATCAGTTAATCGTGGGCCGCTGTTGGTTACTGGTAACTGGTCAAGGTTGAAATGGTTATCCACAAAGTTTATATACAATCGGAATAATGACCAATTTTTGGTCCACTGAATAATTGGCGAAATGACCAATTTTTAGTTCACTAATAATATCTGCACTAGAACCGTGACGAATAACACGTTGTAAAGTTTATGATATTTATTAAGACGATCAAATGGTTCAATTATAAGCACAATGATAAACCTGGTTGGTACAACGTTGTTTGGTTAATACAAAGATGACGAACCAATGGTCAATCCAGGACGTTTCTACTCTGAATGACTCTTCACTAATGATTTCGTATACATAGACTTGGTACTGTTTGCACATACCACTGTCTTACACCTGAAGTATACGGAGTCGCAACCCAATGCAGACTGTCTTCTAAACACAAAACAGCTGTCTTTTATAGACAAAAGTTGTTATGATGACGTATAAACGTCAGATACCAATAACGTCACAATCAATATCTAATTTGTAAGTTAGCGGGTTTTGACCACTAAAATTACTTAATAACGTTGTACCTATATAGAACATATACAACATAACGCTTTGTAATTACAATACATAAATCAAATTGATAAAGTTCAAATAATAAATCATTGTTCAATTCTTTCGTTCATTGTTCATTGACAAATATTTTAGTAGTTTATACACATCGGGTTCAGGGTCCGTTTATTCGGAACTTGTCAACAACAGTTAATCCGAATTTCACAGGTAAACTTATCGGAACGTAACAATATGTTTATTTCCTGTAACCCGACCGACCCATTCAATTTACCCAGGGGTGGATTTTTTTCTGCCAAATCTGTGTTTGCTCTTTGGTTTGATCAATCAGCTGATTCTTTTTATTCAAAAAATATTAATTGTATCTTTTATTTCAGATATAAAATATGCAACTTAGTCAATATTTACCTTAAATATAAAGAGTAATAAATTCCCCCCACAACTTTTTGAAGTTCGTTTTCTGCCGCTAGGCAGCCATGTTGGGTGTCCACTATAAATATAACATCTGAATAATTCAGTTCCGGAATGTTTGACCCCATTATTCATAAGCAAAAAAAAAAAATAAATAAGTAAAAAAAAAAAAAAAAATTCCCGACCTACTGACCCTTGATTTTTTGGGAATGTTACAGGAAACAAACAAACAATTTTTTTTAGGCCTAATGTTGAAAGAAAATATTACTGTTGACCCTGAAGCACTTTCTATTACAGCACCGTCCTCTGCCAAATCACGACAGAGTTATGCAGCTAATTCTAGAGCATCAGTGCCAACCCAAAATGGCCATGCTGAGCCAAAAAATGATCCAAAAGCACCTGTTGGGGGTATGTAAATGTGATGGTCATCAATATTTTATTGATTCGATGAAGTAAATTCCCTGAAAGAGAGAAAAAGTGGATTTATTGTTAAGCTGTCAATTGTATTGACACAGTTATCAGTTGAGAGGGTTCTCTATTGAGTGTAAATTTAAAGTGTTGAACTTCCGCTCCAAATTTGCAATGTGAAAACACACGTTAAAAGATTCCTCTTGTCTATCAGATCTGTTTTGTTTCTTCACACAATTAGTCCATCTTGTATCTATGCTTCCTCCAAATGAGATCTCTGATTAAACTTCACTTATTAATAGTGATTTGGTCTATGGTCATTTTTCAAAGGTCAACATTGCTGAAGCTGCTATGATGAAATTTTTATGCTGTTAAAAATAAGGAAGTCTCAAAATAAGAAATAACTTTACTTCTCACAATAGTACTTTATGTTTGCTCAGTGTGTCATGACCATAATTCAGAGTCATTTCTCAAAGGTAAAGGCCATTGTAACATTTGTAAATGTTAAACTAGTGACCACACTCATTTCCAAATCTTTTTGAAGCTGGTGAAATAAACATTTTGATACTTAATATAAAAATTGTTTTTGCAGAATTTTTATAGAATACAATTTTTTCTTTATTTTCTGAAATTGATTGAAATAGTTTCTTTAAATAATACTATTGATAGACAAAGGTATTTCACATCTGTAAGATGAAGACTTTTCTTAATCTAATTTCAAAAATTAATAGAATGTAAACGGTAATGTACAAGTAGAAATAACTGAATGTCTGATAAAGACTGGATATATGCAGGATCCTGGGAAAGTTAATTCTTTATTAGTTGGTGACAACTTAAAATGCAGTGTCTTTGAATTTGTATACTCTGAAATTTGCAGTTGTGTTCAATCATGACAGTGTCTACTAGTTAACAGTATTGTGGAGATTTTTTTTATCTTCTTTAGCTCGCAGAAAATCCAACTGTGTTAAGGAAGTTGAGAAAATTCAACAGAAGCGAGATGAGAGGAGGGCCAAACACTTAGCAATCAAAGAACAGAATGAGTCCAATTTTGATACATCAGATCCAAACTGGGAGTTCCAGGCCATGATAAAGTTAGTGATTTACCTTTATTACACCCCCCCCCCCCCACACACACGCACACTAAAACACACACACATTCACATTCATACACAAAGATAAACAAAGAAATTGAAGGGGACTTACATGTAGTAAACTGATGCTATAATTTTTTTTTTTTTTTTTTTTTTACATGTTTGTTTGTTTGTTGTTGTTTTGTTTTGTTTTTTTTAGTTTTGATACCTCCCTTCCATTAGATTATGTCTCTGTGACTCAAGAATATTAAATCACATGGAGTTCTATTTCCCAGTAATAGACCAGTAGTAGTAATATCCAGCTGAAGGCAGTAAAAGTGAGCTAAGAAAATTACAGAGAAAAAACTTTGTTTCTATTATAAAGGAATCTGTAGAATGATTGAGGCATTTTGCAGGCTTTTTTAAATTTGAGTGACTGGTTTTGGAAGTACATGTATTGCTACAATGCACAAAGTTGGTAGTAGAAATCAATTGATATGTTTATTAGGTTTGGATAAGTTTACATTAAATGATTGGAAATTGAACAAGGTATGGTAGAATAAATTATTAATTAGATATTGATTGGATGAGGTGCCATCCCTGGTTCCTTAATCAATATATGCAACATGTAGCTCACTACATGGTATAAACTATGTTAATATTGCTGATCTTTGCTAGGTAAGGCTTTTCTCTTGATTAATTTCATCTCAGTAACGACAATAAAAACACATTCCAAAAAAACATGAAACATCTTGGAGAGTCTGATTGATTACATTTTTGTTACAAATATTGCATCAATTTAAAAAAATTGGTCCTTTGATGAAATCCTTCATTTTATAAATATATTTATTAGGGATGTCAATTTTGTCAATAATTAATATTCGAATATTCAATGAAAGTATTCGAATATATTCGAATATTCGATAAAATAAATAAAATCTGGTTTATTTTAAATACTGGTATGCATCATCCTACTCTCATGAAAGGTTTAGCGTTATTCTTATACTGAAGTAAAATTGTATGAAGACTTTTGTATATATACAATAAGGAATTCCATTTGATATTTGTCAATGTTTGAAATAAATAATTGATTTAAATGTAGAAAAGGATAATTTTAACAAATGTTACATGTGTATTTTATTTTATAGTAGCTCCGAGGAACCAGTCGCCTTACCAAGGACAAATACACATTATCAACCTAATAAGAGATATGATTATAATCTTTGATACAATGTTTTTAAAATATAAACAAATATTACCATAGACAATTTTCCTAGGTAATTAACTAATTTCCCGATAATGAATATAAAATTCAAGATTATGTATAACCCGAGATAATTAAGTAATTTACCCATTTATTCTGAAATTGAGCCCTCTACAATTGATAAGTTTACTCTTCAGGTCTTTTAGACATTCTAAGAAGGTTTTCATTTTGTTGTCCTCGATTCTAGATCCGATCGTATTTATTTAATAATAATTTAATTTTGTTTGTATTCTAGCCCCTGATTGGTTAATATCCAAAAAGGAACACAAATTATTTCTGTATAACCTGGTTTGGTATGGGGACACACCCCCCTGACAACCAGCTGAATCATCTGTATCCATACAATCCTCTCATTTCCAGTCCTCGGGATTCATGGAAAATTCCAGATTTAATAAATGTACCTTAAACTTCAAACAATAATTCGATCTTACCACATGTAAACAAGCTGCTAGGCCTATGTATCAGTTTTTACCTCCCCTCGCTTCCCATCACTTCCGTTACTACGGTTGTATTATTGAGCGGCAAATTTGAACTAATAAAAAGCAACGAAATTTTACACCCATAGTTATTTAATGATTTTAAAATTAAATTATAAGGAATGACTCTAATTCTTGGCCAAATTATTCGAGTATAACCTGGTTTGGGTCAGTTTACGCTGTTTTATAATCTGCTTCGCGGATTATAAAGCGTAAACTGACCCAAACCAGGTTATACTCGAATAATTTGGCCAAGAATTAGAGTCATTCCTAAAAAAACTAGGAAAATACGTTTTGTATTATACATAACGCATTGTTGTATAATTCTTTAATACCTTACTCAAAACAAAATAATTTAGTAGATATATATATATGATAAGAAAGTAGTGAAAGAAATCAGGCGATCAAAATTGATCGCTAGTAAATTAAACAGGGATAATTCCAGCACTGTTCTAATCAAAATTTATTAAACACAGTACTTCTTTTTATGAAATCTGAAAAAAATACCGAATATTCGAATCTTAAATTCATATTCGAATATCAACTCATCGAATGAATATTCGAATGTTCGAATATTCGTTGACATCCCTAATATTTATATATATACTTTTTTTTTTGAAAGTTTCAAGTTTTCAAATAAAGGTTTTATATGGAGCCATTTTGCTGCTTAATCCTTTTTAAAGATTTTGTGGGTACATGTGTGTGTGTATTTTTTGGATGATTTAAATAAGTTTGAAATGTTATGCTTTATCATTATTGTGGTCAGTGTATAGATTAAATTTGACCCATTTCATTGCTGTATGGGAAATGCTGCAGTTTTCTATCTGTGATCTTAACATTTTAATTGGTGACTCTGATGGATAAAAAGCTTTCTAAAAAAAAGGGGGGGGGGGTTGGGGAGGGAAGAGTTGATTTTTAAAAAAATGTTTTCCTGCAGTTTAAATGTTAAAATTTTACATCATTTCATTGGTTTGCAAGTGTAAGATGCAAGTGTATTTTGCATGTTAACATTGCATGTTAACTTTGACATTGTTTGTTGTTTATTTTTCCAGAGAATACAGAGCTGGTCTGGAATTTCGGCCACTGACTTCCTCCGATCCCATTGTCAATCATCAAATCTGTGTCTGTGTTAGGAAACGTCCACTGAACAAGAAGGGTAATTTACAGCTTCAGATTTGCTGTGCAGTGGACTTTGAAGAGAATTTTGTGTTACTCATGGTTTCATCTTCAGTATTTTACATGCTGGAAATGATAATGATATGTAAATTTGTTTTTCATAAATACAAGGTGCAGTTTGCTTATGTTTGCATGTAAATGTTTTTTTAAATTTTTTTTGGGGGGGGGGGGGGGGCAATGATTATATACATGTATTGTGTCTAAATGTTTAATTTTCTATCATTCAGAAGTTACAAAGAAGGATGTGGATGTTTTAACTGTTCCAAACAAAGAGTGTACTATTGTACACGAGCCAAAGTTAAAAGTAGACCTGACTAAGTACCTAGAAAACCAGACCTTCCGATTTGACTATGCATTTGATGAGAATTCCACAAATGAAATGGTTTACAGGTAGGAATTCTGAAATAATCTTTCACTTGATTGAAAATATATACTGGGTGTATAAAATGTAAATTGTTAAGAATATGCTGTTTTGTTATAAACGCAAAGTAATTTTATTTGTTTTGAAGGCCAGAATTTTACTTGTTATAGAAAAAGCAAATACCAAAATTATTAGATTCATTAAATATGGTACTGTGATCATTATTTTTTTAAACCTTGGATATTTAGAATCTGTAAAACGTTTGCATTAATTGTGAGCAATTTAATTTTTAGTCAGTTTTGTGTGTGTTGAGGATTTCAATTTAACAACATGTATCCATATTTAAAAAGAACTTGTAGCCACTATTGACCAAATGAGAATTATGTTGTAGGTACACAGCAAAACCACTGGTGGAGTGCATCTTTGAGGGGGGTATGGCTACCTGCTTTGCCTATGGTCAGACAGGGAGTGGGAAAACACATGTAAGTCGTGTACATTCTGTTGTCAAATGTATGATACTAATTATTATAAAAGCATTTAAGCAATATTTCGATATTTGCTTGGATTAACTTTGATGTTCTGTGCATGTTTATCTTCATTCTTAGTTACAGTCTCTGTACAATTATCGAATTTCAGTGTATCTGTACCTCAAATATCAATAAAAAGTGATTAAATTTTAAAATCCTTAATATTTCATTGCTATATATGACATTGTACGGTATGTGATATAACATTTCATTATAGACAATGGGAGGAGATTTCTCGTCTAAGGGTCAGCAGGACTGTGCAAAAGGAATTTACTGCTTAGCTGGTAAATACAAATCTGACTTTGATGTTTTCAAAAATCTGATTGCTGGAAAACATGATGCTTTGGCTTTGTTTGTAGGCTATCCAAAATAAGGGTTTGTTTTACTTCAGGGTCTGTACTTGTCAGGGGTCTTTGTTTCAAAAATTTTTGAGAAGGGGAGGGAAAAAAAACAAAATTCAAACTGAGTACCAGTTTATTTGAGGTCACCCTTTTTAATGTATAAACAGACAACATAAACATTTTTCCAAAATTAAAAGTTAGTAATGTACAGAAAATAGTATTTTGCAAACATTTATTCCTCATTTATATTTTTCCACCATGTGTAGTTAAATTTATAGTGTCACAATGTGCTCTTTCCATGTGGACTTTTCTTTCTTACTTTAAATTTTAACTTGAGTGAATCCTTTGCCCAAAGATGATGTTAAGGGTAAACTGTTTAGGTTGGCCTAATATAGTTTATTAAAAAGTCTTAAACATTTGAAATACTGTAAACATATTACATTTGGCCGTGTATATCTATTTAAAGTGTATGGTGGAAAGCAGCTTCAGGCAAATCAAGTACACTGCTAAATGTCTTGTATACTTGTATATAAATGATGAAATATACATTTAGAAATGCACTAAATCAAATGTACGCTAATTTGTTTAAAAATAAATTTCCGCAAAATATCGTACATGCTAAAGATAATATATTTATAGTAAAATAATCTGCTTGAACCTTACCTCTCTTTTACATCTAGTTATCAAATTCTTTGCTGCATTGAAGAATTCAATTTTTATGCACAATGCTTGTATATGCACATGTATATCCTTTTAATTTGCTGTAATACTTACTTAATTTAATCATCTTATATTGCAGCTCGGGATGTTTTCAGACTTCTCAACACAAAATATAAAAAGTTGGAATTAACAGTTGGTGCAAGCTTTTTTGAAATATATAGTGGAAAGGTAATAAATAAATCAGTGTATTTATTTAAAATGCATCTTCAAGTTATCAGTGCTTCATATTTTCAGTTTTTATTTCTATTAAAACTAATTAATACCTTTTAATTTTATTTTATTCTGTTCATGTATGTAATTTTAAATCCATTGCAAAATTCCATGCAAGTTTTTAAAATGACCATTGTTTTTGTCAGGTGTTCGATTTGCTCAATAAAAAATTGAAACTAAGAGTGCTAGAAGATGCCAAAGGACAAGTGAATGTAGTTGGACTGAAGGAGGAGCATATAGATAGCGCTGATGATGTGTTACGATTAATCCAGCATGGGAATAATGTACGGACATCGGGGACCACATCAGCCAATCAGCACTCTTCTCGCTCACATGCTGTCTTGCAGATTATTGTACGGAGAAAGTAAGTAAACATCTACATATATTTGATAAGATTTGAGATTTAGTCAATCAGTTACAATGGAATTTTTATGCCCCCGGATCGAAATATCCCGGGGGTATATTGTTTTTGTCCTGTCTGTCTGTTTGTCTGTTTATCTGTTTGTCTGTTTGTCCGTTTGTCTGTTTGTCTGTCTGTCTGTTGTCAACTTTAACCTTGCCCATAACTTTTGATTGGTTGGAGCTATGACTTTCATATTTCACATGTGTATTCCTTGTGGCAAGACCTTTCTTTGGGTACCATCATATTTGACCTTTTGACCTTGACCTTGGAGTTTGACCTACTTTTGCAAAATTTTATGAGACTTTAACCTTGGCCATAACTTCTGAACAGTTGGTGCTTGGGGTTTCAAACTTCACATGTGTATTCTTTGTGACAAGGCCTTCCTTTGGATACCAACAACTTTGACCTTTTGACCTTGACCTTGGAGTTTGACCTACTTTTAAAAAACTTTAACCTTGGCCATAACTTTTGAATGGTTGGAGCTAGGGCCTTTATACTTCACATATGTAATCCTTGCGACAAGACCTTCCTTTGGATATCAACCACCACTTTGACCTTTTGACCTTGACCTAGGAGTTTGACCTACTTTTGAAAAACTTTAACCTTGGCCATAACTTTTGTATGGTTGATGCTAGGGCTTTCATACTTCACATATGTAATTCTTGTGACAAAATCTTCCTTTGGACATCAACCACTTTGACCTTGACCTTGACCTTGACGTTTGACTTTTATTTAAAAAACTTTAACCTTCGCCATAACTTCTGAACAGTTGTATCTAGGTCTTTCAAATTTCACAGGTGTATTCCTTGAGACAAGACCTTTCTTTGGGTATCAACATTTCTTATCTTTTGGCCTGGATTTTGAGTTGCATTTGAAGAAACTTTAACCTTCGCCATAAGCTGCCGTACGGGGGCATCAGTGTTTCACAAACACATTTTGTTCTTACAGTAGTTAATAGAGTCATTGAGGGCATATTTATTTTGTAGAAATTATGCTTTAAAGTTTCAGTCTATATCCAATTAACAAAATGAAATTCTTTCATTCCGGAGTAATTACCCCTTTTTTTTTTTTTTTTTTTTTTTTAGAAATTCAAATAAACTACATGGGAAGTTTTCATTGATAGATCTTGCAGGTAGGTGTCCATGAAATTTTTTTAGTACCAAACAAACAAGTGCATAATATAAAGTACCAAGTACTTAAAGCAATTGTAAAACACACATGTAAAGATATATGAATTTTTTTTTTGCAGGTAATGAACGTGGTGCTGATACCTCTAGTGCAGATCGACAAACTAGAATGGAGGGAGCAGAAATTAACAAAAGTCTTCTTGCACTAAAGGTGAATGATTATATCATTACATCTGTCAAGAAATTTCCATTCTTCAGAGTTCTAATCCTAAATTTGGAACATGACTTGAAAAAAAAATTGAGAAAATGGTCAAAAGTAGTGACATTTTGTCCATCAGTGGGATTGTTAGTGTTTGATGGAAATGAAACTCACCAACATTACAAGTGTGAATTGGAACCAAAAACATTTTTAATGAAGATTGTTGTGTTTTGATACCCTTGATAAATCCCTCTATGAATTATATTTACATGATTTCAAAACCATTTAATAATGATGTTATCATAAATTTGGAATATGGTACCCATTTTAAAAATTATTTTCATTTTGGAAGAGGTCTGTTGTCAACCTCTATTTCACAGATTTGAGAGTCCTGCACTACATGATTTAAATGTGTTAAATGTTGATGGTTAAAAACTTCATTCATGTTTCATCAACATACATATGCCCTGAAAAATTAAAATTAAGATTTTCTGTGTCTTCTTTCTGAATTTTAGCTAATGATTTTTATCTTGCCTGTAACTTTTTTATGATGTAAAGTAATAGCTAATTATGTGATTTAGTCCAGGTCAACATAAGGCATCACAAGGTACTTTGATGTCACCATGGAAGTTGTGCTGCCAGCAGCACAAATTTGATAATTTTTAGTTTAGGATATGAAACATGATGTTTTTTTCACCAACAGGAGTGCATACGTGCTTTAAGCAGGAGAGGGGAATACCAGCCATTCAGAGCCAGCAAGTTAACTCAGGTGCTTAGGGACTCCTTCATAGGAGATAACTCCAGGACTTGTATGGTGAGTTATATTTCTTAGACAAACTTCAGTTTTCCCAACTTGAACATCCAAATAATAAAACAGAGACTTCAAACTTGAATATCATGGAATCATAATTGTTCGTGGGTGTACCAATGCATATGGATATTGTGGGTCATCCTTACCAACAAAGTTGCATCCCCATGAATATGAACTTTGCGAGTGCATTGGTTCATTGAATAATTATTTAGCCATGAAAATTATGTCCCCACGAACCAGTAAAAAGCCTACAAACATTGACCCCCAACGAATTAAAATGATTCCACAATTATTGAAAAAAAAACTTGTATATAAGCATTTTATAAATTTAAAATAATAAAACAGAGACATGAAACTCAATTGATTAATCAAATATACAACTTTAATACAAGAAATGCATCCAGTGATTTCCCTTTGACAGATTGCTATGGTTTCTCCTGGAATGTCGTGCTGTGAACACACACTGAACACTCTAAGATATGCAGACAGGTAAATTATATGTTCCAACAGATGTTTGTCAAGAACATCTAAACCCTAGTTTTCAGTGCCATTATCTATCATATGATAATTTACTTAATCTTATAAACAGATGCTGAATTGCTGACAAAAGTGGATGATGATCCCACTTAATTTTACAAGACAACATTTACAAAATCAACTGAAAAAAAATTTCTTTTGATTACAGAGTAAAGGAGCTTGGGCCGGGAGGACCTGTAGAGGGAAAGCCTGCAGAGATAGCACTGCCAAACAATATCAACTTTGGAGCTATGTCACCACAGAACAGTGATTTAGCCAAACTCAAGACCTCCAATGTAAGAAACTAGACTAAACAGCTAGGGCCTCTGCAAATGCATACACTGTAACTTGAATTCATTTATTTGCTGAAATTTCAGCTAACTGCAGAGTTTTATGTAGATTTAGTGTAAGGTGCAAAAACATTAGTCAGAGTTGAAATTTATAAGCAAAAATTTAAAGAAATTTTCCACTTGTCAATGTTGACAGGGGTTTAAAATTCATCAAATTGAATGAAAGGAAATTTTAAAAATTCAGAAAAACTTTTCAGTCTTCATATGATCTTGAAAATAAGCAAACTTGTCAAAAATTCAGAAAGATTATCTTTGTTTTGAATCTCTCCTGTGTTATGTAAACATGTGGCAGACAGAATGAGATGATTCATATTCTGATTTTATTATTCTGTTTTTAGCAAGATGAGATTCCTGATGAGTTGCTGACGTTTCATGAAGCTGTCAACCACATTCAGGAAATGGAGGAAGAAATCATTGATGACCACAAAGCTCTCATAGAGGTCGGTATCAAATCATTGATGACCACAAAGCTCTCATAGAGGTCAGTGTCAAATCATTGATGACCACAAAGCTCTCATAAAGGTCAGTATCAAATCATTGATGACCACAAAGCTCTCATAGAGGTCAGTGTCAAATCATTGATGACCACAAAGCTCTCATAAAGGTCAGTATCAAATCATTGATGACCACAAAGCTCTCATAGAGGTCAGTGTCAAATCATTGATGACCACAAAGCTCTCATAGAGGTCAGTGTCAAATCATTGATGACCACAAAGCTCTCATAAAGGTCAGTATCAAATCATTGATGACCACAAAGCTCTCATAGAGGTCAGTGTCAAATCATCGATGACCACAAAGCTCTCATAGAGGTCAGTGTCAAATCATTGATGACCACAAAGCTCTCATAAAGGTCAGTATCAAATCATTGATGACCACAAAGCTCTCATAGAGGTCAGTGTCAAATCATTGATGACCACAAAACTCTCATAGAGGTCAGTGTCAAATCATTGATGACCACAAAGCTCTCATAAAGGTCAGTATCAAATCATTGATGACACAAAGCTCTCATAGAGGTCAGTATCAAATCATTGATGACCACAAAGCTCTCATAAAGGTCAGTATCAAATCATTGATGACCACAAAGCTCTCATAGAGGTCAGTGTCAAATCATTGATGACCACAAAGCTCTCATAGAGGTCAGTGTCAAATCAAGGGAAATTCATTTTTTTTTTTGATGAATTTTTCATACTGTATATCAAAGGGGATTTTTTGTTTTCGCCTAAAATAGATTTATTGCATTGTGCGTAGTATAATGATGATGATTAACAGTTAAGAATAGAATAATTTGTTTATATAATTATTTTGTAAATAAATTTGAATCTACTTATATATCCCCAGAATACACAGAAATGGCTGATAGAAGATAAAAAATTGGCGAAGAACTCAGATGAGGCTGACTATGATGTAGAAGGTAAAATCTTATACATGCATGTTAGATTTACATTGTATACTATTGGAAAAATGACTAAATTTTCTAAACTTTGGTTTATTTTATCAGTTCAAAAATATCCTGTGTTTGTAAATTTTCTGCATTTCAAATTATTTTTAGAAGCACTGGGCCAATCTCAAACAAAACTTGCGTAAAAATATCTTTGAATGAAAGGATCATTTTTCCCTTTAAGTGAAAGATTGCATCTTTTTTTCAATAGAGGATAATTAACAAATTTGAACTGGTCATTTAAAAACCCTCTTCTTTTGAGTAGTTAAGCAACTGACTTAAAATTTCCTTAAAGGTTGAAATATGTAAAAGGATTTCAACAAGATGAACATCAAGTGGTTTGATGAGATATTTTAAGAAAACAAAAATAGTCTTGAAAACAAATGAGAAAGCTTCAGTTTGAAATTTTAGATAAATCTGCTAAATGGCAGCAAGGCTATAGTTTGTCAAATTAATGAATTGATCTACAAATATACATTTGAAAAAAAATAATTGAAATATTTTCTTTTCATTTTTTAAAGCATATGCAAAGCAGTTAGATTCTCTTTTGGCAAAGAAAATCCAAACACTGACCAAACTGAGGGGTAAGTATTTCTGTAAATGTGTATTTTGATTAGGAATTAAATATATTTGTTTTTATACGTATCCATTACAATTGCACTTAAAATTTTGTCATCTTGAATGTAATTAATTTGTAATGATGAAATTTTGCTGTACTTTCTAAATCAAACATTGGTAAAATCCATGTTGCAACGATTTTAATCTTACTGTATTAAAACATTCATTCAAAAATTTTTGTGTTGGTTACGTCAGTTTAAGTATTGGAATGGAATAAAACCACAAGGAATATGGCATTTCAGCTCATTTCTTTTCTCCTTATTTTCAGAAAAAGTAGCCAGCTTTAGGAAAGAGATACAGGAAGAAGAGAATCTCAGTAAAAACATCAAGAGTAAGAAGAAATGAACCAAGAAACCAGAGGACATTAATCAGAAAATGTTACCCACCGACTACATCATGACATGTCATCTATGATAACTCACGAGGAGTACCGAGTATGCATGCCTGCTATCTGTGATATTTTTTTTTTGTTTTCTGCTTCCCAGGAGAGATTAGCTCACTAAGTACTTGTACTTGTGTACAGAGATTTTGTTGACAAGCTTACACTGTGATGACAGAAGCCTTGTAGACCAGTGTCCATGAAAAAAAAAACTTTCTGTCTCTTCATCTTTTCCTCTCTAGTTCTAATTCTAGTCTTTTGAGGGTATATATGAACTTGCCAGCTGTTGTAAGGTCAGTGTTGTGTCCATCATATAACTTTACTCATGAATGAAATGGTCACATCTATATCATGTCTCATTGAAATCCACATTATTGTAATTGTTACATGGGGCATTCTTGAATGTCAAGTTAAAAAGGGGGGAGGGGGGAAGGAATAGAAGTGAAAGTGTCAGAAAATGAATTAGAACAGATTGAAATTTCACTAGTCATATTAAGATATATTTCAGTTTATTCAGAGTAGAAGGTTGATTTTTTTTTTGTATTTTGATTAAACAGACTTGTGTTGTTGATTTTACATGTAGCTTGTTACACTCGAAAATTATTACCGGTACACTTAAAGGAAAAAGAATGTGATGTCTGAGATAAATCTATCATTTGTATTAAATTTTCATTCTGCTGATTTTTGCACATCTACCATGAATACTTTATTTTCTGTAAAAATTGAAATGTTATTCCTGTTATTTTCTTAAATACACAATTCACTTCTCAAAATGTGTTCATCCCTGGTTGAAGTCAATATTGCACTCAGTGTTATTTGTAACTAATCTAAAACACTAATTCCAATATTTTGTGTCGAAGAGTTCATGGTTTACATGTGCAATAAAGAAAATAATGATGTACTGTATTTCTGTTCTTTTAATAAACCTAACTATTGTCACATGGAGATTTTTTTTTTATTATGGATGCAAACTTGGTTGTGTTTTTGTTAATGGTGATGTTGCTGAATAAGCACAACAGAATATGTGTAACAAATTTTTGTTGTTGGAAATCTTTTGTGGTGAAATCGTATTATTGGTAATCACGTCCAAAACCATAAATTGTCATTTCATGTACTGTAGAACATGCACATTTACAATATGCATGACAAATTTTCTTTTGTTGATACTGTTTTGTGGTGAAACGTTTATTCTGTAATCACGTACAAAACTGTATTTTGTCATTTTTTATGATTTCATGTACATTATCACCTTTTTTTTATGTAAATATGTACATGTACATTTATTTAATAAAACATTTCGTACTTCCCGTTTTCAGCATATGTATATAACTGTATTGTACTTGACATGTTTGTAAACTACATGCTTTGTAAATATTATGTATAACTTAAAGAACTATGTGTACAAACCCCAGACACAATAGGATTATATTCAGCATTATTTATATTCTGTTATTATTTGTTAACTCAGTAGTTAGAGAAGTAATAGACTTACATGGGAGGGTGATTATCTATATGTACAACATGTATTTACTACTTCGTTTATGTATTTTTCAGTCCATTATATTTTTATAATTTACCTGTAAATTCAAGAAGAATGGGTCTGAAATTTCAAAATTGGAACAGATATATAAAATTTTATGTGAAATAATAATTCTTCATTGGTAGGGGTGATCATTTTTGTAATATTTGTAATATTATTTGTAGACTATATAGTAAGTACTATCTAAAGATAGAAATTAAATTTACATTTTCTCTCACCTGACATTCCAAGTATAAAGGTAATATTCACAAGTCTAGCCACTTCTTCAGTTCTTATTCCATTGAAGACAAATATTATGAATTCTTTTAAGTTTTGTACACTTTTAGAATTATTACACTTAAATGCAATTTTTTTTGTTTAGTATAATTTTTTGAAGTGAATTTAAGTCAGAAAAAACAATATTATATCTTTTCTTGTAGATTATCCACATTAAAAACTGGATAATGTGCAAGTGGCATCTGTGATTTATTATAGACTGGCGTAAGAAATGTGATGAATCAAAAAAAAAAGATATTTTTTAGGTGTACATGTAAAGTGCAGAGTTGTAGAGCTTACTGAATTAGCAACTCGAGATGTTTAGACTGCTGTAATAACTGAGGTCACAATGAATAAAGAATGAACAAAGATATTTATTATCTGTCATTTTTATTTAGGCTAATATTGGCCTTGGGGTACAGTCAGTATATATGCAACTCTCATTCATTATTAACAAAATTTACATTTGCAAATGTCTTTCTTTATATGACAATACAAATTAAATTGACATTCAATTTTCAATGACATGCAGTTGGTCATGTGATCAGACCTTTTTGCTTATAGAAAGCAAACTGCGCGAGACATTTGGAAAGTTCCGGCTATGATGTCACATGACGTCGTAGGTACGTTATGTTGCATTTTCATAACAAAGTCTAAATAGAGCGTATTTTTCTTTGTAACATGAATAAAAGTATAAAATATAAGAAATAAAATATCATTTTTTAGAGTTTCATTGGGATATGACATGAAGTTGGTACGTGACCAAATCTACTAAAACGCCCTTTGGGCTTATAGGATTTGATCACGTAACCAACTTCATGTCATATCCCAATGAAACTCTAAAATGATACCTTGTTTCTTAATTGCAAGCATGTAGAGTATTATATGATGAATTCAGAGGAAATTAAGAAGCTATATAGTATCAAATTGTAACTGTGGTAAATTCTTCTTCATGAGTAAAAGTGGATCATTTTTCCTTAGACTGTGAATGACTGAAAACAGTTCCTCTAGGTGTATGCAATTCTGAAACCATAAGACAAGAGGGGATAATTACATTGAATATTTATCTGTGTATGATATATACAAAAATGATATCTGGTATTGTTTTAGCATTCAAGTATGTTTGCCCAGGAAAGTAGACAATTGGACTCCTGTCCCCGACATTGAATATTGGGGGGGGGGGGGGGCTACTTTACCTCTCTCTTTTTCTATACTGTATATAGTTATTACTGTTAATTGAAAGTGACCTCCATCTTTTATTACATTTTTAACAAAATCAGATTCAAAGCGGATAATTTGGGATTGCATAAAATTTCACATCAAAATCCACAGGGACTGCTAACATGTTATGTTTGATTTTATGTAATCACTGTATATACAGCAAGAAGTGTTTGTGAAACACTGATGCTCCCGTATGGCAGCTCATAGTGAAGGCTAAAGTTTCTCAAATGCAAGTCAAACTCCAAGGTCAAGAGATCAAACATGTTGGTACCCAAAGGATTTGTCAGAAGAAATACACTTGTGAAAGCCCTAGCACCAACTGTTTAAAAGTTATGCCAAGGTTAAAGTATCTTAAGTTTGTCAAACTCCAAGGTCAAGGTCAAAATAAATGGTGTCCAAAGGAAGAGCTTGTCACAAAGAATACAAGTGAAATATGAAACCCCTAGCAACAACCATTCAAAAGTTATGGCCAAGGTTAAGGTTTTACAAAAGTAGGTCAAACTCCAAGGTCGAGGATAAATTGTCAAACTATTGGTACCCAAGGGGTCTTGTCACAAGGAATATCCCTGTGAAATATGAAAGCCCTAAACCTATCCATTCCAAAGTTATGGCAAAGGTTAAAGTTTTCAAAATTAGCTCATTCTCAAAGGTCAAGGTTAAAGGGTCAAAATTGTTGGTACCCAATGGAAGGTCTTGTCACAAGAAACACGTGAAGTATGAAAGCCCTAGAATTAATCGTTCAAAAAGTTATGACCAAGGTTAAAATTTGGTAAAATTTTGCAAAAGTAGATCAAACTCCACGGTCAAGAAGTCAGATATGTTGGTACCCAAAGAAAGGACTTGTTAAGGAATACACATGTGAAAAAGAAAGCCATAGCCTCAACCAATCAAACGTTATGGGCAAAGTTAAAGTTTTTGCGGACAGACGACAGAGCAACAGCCAGACAGATGACGACAGAGCAAAAACTCTTCTAGAGAACTCTAAGAGGTATATTTGATATTTTGCACATATATTGCTTGGGGCTTTTGTAAATTATCATGGTTACCAACTTCCTTGACCCTTGACCTTTGACCTACTTTTCAAAATATTGTGAGAACCCTTTGCTTGACAGACAACAAAACTACACTTGGTCCCTTTAAGGAGTAGATGACCATATTGGTTTTGATGTCACAAGATCAAAGGCCAAGGTTCAAAGTGGAAATAGGTAGAATTTTGAATGAAGGAGTGGATGATCTCTATTAATTTTGAGTAACACAATCCAAGGTCAAGGGCCAAACTGGTAATAGGAATATATTGACTGCTCCATATCTTGAGAATCCTTTTCTTGACAGACATCAAACTTGTTACATTGTTTCTCCTTAAGGAGTAGATGACCCCTATTGCTTATAAGGTTCATGTCAAAGGTCAAGGGTCAAACTGAACATAGGAAGATTTTGACCACTCAATATTTTGAGAACCCTTTGCTATCAAACAGATATCAAACTTGGTACACTGGTCTACCCTACGGAGTAGTTGACACTCTAGATTTTAAGGTCACAGGATCAAGAGTCAAACTATTCTAGAGTTAGGACGATTATTGTCTGCTCAATATTTTGAGAACACTTTGCTTGGCAGACATCAAACTTTGTACATTGATTCCTATAAAGGAATAAATGACCCCTGTTGATTTTTCGGCCACAAGGTCAAGGGTCAAACAACATAGACACTAGACATAGGAAGATAATATCAGCTCGGTATCTTGGCATCAGATTTGGAACACTGGTACCCTCTAAGAAGTAAATTATCCCTAATGATATAGATCAAACTTAGTATTATGTTTGTCCTTGATTAGTAGATTACCAATTGTTTTACTATCATGACAGACATTTAAAAGTCGTTCCCTTTTTAACATTCAGATTGCCCATGGGGGCCATATATGTTTCTCAGACATTTTTTGTTGTCTAAGCATTGTTATTTTTGTCAGAAATAGATTCAAATATAAGAAGGATTTTTTTGTTAGAAAAATCTTCCGACGCAGTGCTAACTATACGTTTTTTTTCAGTTAGAGCTTTTAAAATATTTTATTAGGTCTGCCTCTTCTTGATTAAAACCACATTTTTCATTTATACACACAAATATTAATATAGTGTTCCCATTTTGATTTTTATGTCCCCGTATCGAAGATTCGGGGGTATATAGTTTTTGCCTTGTCCGTCTGTCTGTTTGTCAATTTGTCTGTTTGTCTGCAAAAACTTTAACCTTGCCCATAACTTCTGATTGGTTTGAGCTATGGCTTTCATATTTCACAAGTGTATTCCTTGTGACAAGACCTTTCGTTGGGCACCACCATATTTGACCTTTTGACCTTGACCTTGGAGTTTGACCCAGTTTTGCAAAATTTTACTGAACTTTAACCTTGGCCATAACTTTTGAACAATTGGTGCTAGGACTTTCATACTTCACATGTGTAATCCTTGTGACAAGACCTTCCTTTGGATACCAAAAAGTTTTACCCTTTGACCTTGACCTTACTTTGGGTACCAACATATTTGATTTGCATTTGAGAAAGTTTAACCTTTGCTATAAGTTGCCATACGGGGGCATCAGTGTTTCACAAACACATCTTGTTTTTTTTTTCTTTCAGAGCGAAGAAGCGGAAACTGCAAAGATACCAGAACGAGGAGCAAAGTTGCAAAGGTGAAGTCAATATTACTCCCTTGCAATCTCCTTTTTGCACTTTTGCCGTCGCATCTTCACTTTCGTCCTGGCATCTCTGCACTTTACCCCCATCAGAACATCACACTTCATAGTGTAGGTGTACTCTCTTGTCCATTTGGGAGAAAATGTACTCTGAAACATTTATACTGTGCAAAAATTCAAGCTGGTAAACAAACTTGCTTTGACCATTAAGACTCTCATGAAAAATAAATTCATCACATTGCAATGGTAAGATGTTGTGAAAGAACTTCAAGATTTCAGTAAAAATATCAAACACTTTACAGTCTACATGATGATGTCAATGGTAACTTCATAACTATTTGTGGCTCAAGGTCCTTGTGTTAGTTATATCAAAAATGGATGTTAATAATATTGTTTTATCTTTTGTGCTGTAAAATATCTCAGGTGTGTTATTTCCAAGTTTAGAAAGAATATAATCACCTTGAAGATAAACTACAAACGGAGAGGTAGACCGACCTCTACTAAACGACTTTTTGCAGGAGCGGCGGATAGTTTCTGCATGCCGACTCAAGTGGTGGGGTATTTTATGGGGATGTGGCCAATTATAGAACGGTTTGTTGTTCAATATGTGGTACTTCGTTACCTCTGATATTACCATGCAAATGCGATGATTTCAATCTGACGTCAGGCCATGAAAAATTTGTTTCATGTTTTACATATATGTATAAAGCACAGAGAAATTCACTCTTTGTAAGGATACTCACTCCCGCCTCAACGGGGTTAAACTCTCGACCTACGGAATCTGCCTCCTACATGTAGCTGTGCAGGAACCGCTTGGCTATCTAGGCAAGTCAAGTCTACCTTTTTTGACTTGCCTAGATAGCTGAGCGGTATAGTGTTCGTTTTGTATTAACGTCTTTTATACCACTTCCGCCGCCCATACCCCTGATCATATGGTAAAAATGCATAAATTCTTTACCAATCTTATTCTCCCCCCCCCCTGTATACTTAGCAGACAAACTAAGTATATGGTTATGAAGCAAGGGTGTCTCTTCTTAAATTGTGAATTTCATGGCCCCTGGGTCTGAGATTCTGGTTTTAGGGCGGGCTCTATTGTTCATATGGTGAAAATGCATTACTAGTAATTCTTTAAAAATTTCCTTCTTTGCTCCACGGTATATTTTCAAACTAAGTGCATGGCAATTTGGATGAGCATGAGTTACCCTGCCTAAATTCATAGGGACTTGGTTCCAGGATGTTTGGCGTTTATGCAAATTATCACGCGAGCAAACTGATTGATCACATCATAACACCCCCCACCCCCCCCCCCCCAAAAAAAAAACTATAGAAAGTTATTCCTTGAATACAATGTACTTTTCTGAGGCTCGAGCTTTTGTACATGTAATTATATCTTGATGCAAATGAAATCAATGAAACAAAAGATAATAAATTTTAATCATTAATCATCAAATATATTATACGTGTATCTATATTGATATTGAAACACATTGAAACATATCATTAATATATATATTTTAGTTTCATTTTCATTTCTTTGCTAAAAAAAAAAAGCTTTTCGTTTTATAACATCTTTCTTAGAGGTTATTCTGATACAATCATTGTTCAATGTGAGGTAAATGAAACAGCAATTGGTTAATTTAAGTTGTAAGAACGTCACACTAAAACCAAGTAAAGATGATTAAATCTATTTGCTATTTGAGTATATTCTTTCACCATTTTTCTCGATTTGTACTTCTTTTAAATGCTGTAATTTTTGTTGAAAACTGATAAATTGTTTATTTTTCCTGTTGGTCTATTTTATTATATACAAACCTAGTGTCAAAGAGTACAGCGCCACCCATTCGGTCAATTAAAAATGTTTCTAGTCCATTACTCCCAAAAAAATGGAGCTCGCATCAGAAAAATGAACGGTTTCAATTTTGATTCGCTTTGAGAAACTGTCATGCCGTGTAAAGTTTCACATCAGACGATGGTCTATGGAGCGTAAAATTTAATCGCCAAAAATTCACATGGAAGATATATAGTAGCTAGACACAAGTAGTCAAAATAACAGGTTTTGCTGAAGTTTTTTTTTCATCATGAAAAACACAAAGTAAGTTATACGATTATTGTAAAAATCAATTTTAATGCATTGCATTCTAAAACCAGATAATACTGATCTTGAATACAGAGTATCAAATCCCAGTCCAATAAACAATTTTTTGGGGATTTTCGGTCAAAGAGGATCATAACTCAAACATTTTCGCACGTGATCTGCAACTCTGCTAGTTTAATCTACATGTAGATATCCAAATTTTAATCCTTAATCATTCAGAATCAGCAGAATACACCTGTATTATATACCGATACATGGATGATGTTGCGCACATCTGTTTTCTGATCAAGGTTTATTTTAATGTCTATATTTCAATCTCATCCAATATTGCAACAAAACATCTTAGAGTGAAGGGATTTTAATAAAGGACTTTTCCTTTCAATGGATTATAAATTTCAAGGTTGTTACAGTGTGGAAAAATTGTATTTGACTCATTGAAATCATGACCCACCCTTCATCATGACTGGGTAGGGGTACAAAATGGTTAAAAGACTTTCGTAAGAATACACTGAAAATTCATTCAAAATGTTCTTTTATGGAATAGCAAGGCTATATAATGTGCATGATACGTGCCTATTTAGAAATACTTTCAGTAAACTTACTAACAAAACAGGAAATAAGTTTTTCATCGGAAAGAATGAACCTCGGATGTTTATTTACTCCGTCTCAAAAATGTTTACTTAAGTAGCACAAGAATGTACTGTAAGGTTAAAAAAAAACAGGAACCACCTATTCCAGGAACACTTATTAACGAATTAACATTTTCCAAATACTTTCACTAGAAAAGTGACCAGGCCTCAGGCTTGGCGAAAAAAGTGAAAAAAAAGTTGAGCAGCCACTTATTTATTAAAAATGTTTTTTGGATGTATTGAAATATCCTCTTCATTAAACGTTATAATCATGATAATAAGAGAAACCTGCAGAAAAAAAATAAACGAAGTATAGTCCGTCGACATATGCATTTGCCAGAAGCCGCTGATAGCATCTGCTGTGATCAGCCCATCACCTCAAAGTATATGTGTGCACACATTATTAGTTCACTCCGCTTATAGTTTCTTATTTACAGTACATCAGAATTGAATGCACTGTCTTCATTTTTATCAAAGTATAAAATATGGTGTCATATCACCAAGTTTTATATTTTAATGAAAATGTGTGGGAATACAGCACCTCAAATAATATTGCAGTATATCGCATTTGAACGCACCTTGTAAATTCAGTTTTTACCCAGTAATGATAGTAAAATTATTTTGAATTGTAAAATACTATAGTTTGCTATGAGCTTTTTATAGATCGAGATACTACACTATATTATATTAACAATTAACTGAGAAAAGCTAATCACTGCGTAAAACAATTTTTCCTGTAGGACTCAGCATTAAAAAAGTTTAAGTTTAAAAAAGATGAATCTAATGGTCGACATGCTCTCTCTCTCTCTCTCTCAAAGGGATTATCATCAAATAAATAACCCATTATTGAAATTCCTTAAAGCTGTTTCAATTGCTCAGTCGTATCATTCGTCAGGCGTACTTGCGAGTGATATATGAGAAGTTACGCGATAACTCTTTTTATTCATCTTTAAATACCAAGGTAGCAAAATTTACACTAATATTTATGCTACCCGGTATCATTAACCCCTGTCGCAGGCTTACTGCTCTTTGACATGAACTGCGGTGGCGTGCTGATTGCTCGAGCTGTTTGTTGGTAGCATTAATCCTCATGGCGCACAGTATAAAAATTCAATGAACAAAAATTGATCAAACCACGCGGAAGTTAAAACATAGATATCAGAGATGCCGAGTCGAGGATTTGGGATATTTCAATAGAATTTTATCCGCTACAAATTCATGCTGTCCTCATAGTGACAAAAATTTGTCAGGGGGAAAAGAATTGCGTGTGTGCGTATTACGTTCGTGTTGCAAGTCAAGCACTTTGGAGGGCTTCTATACATTTTCTAATCAGTAGCAACCCATTTCCCGTTGTTAAAGATAAATTATATCGAGGGACCTATTCTACCATCTCTTGTCATTTCAAGAGTATCATGAGAAATGAGAATTAAAGAGTGAAATCTTAAAGATGAAAACTGTTCAACTGGATTCGCGAAGTACTTGAATTTATCAAAGACTTTATTTTACATCATTAGCGCGGGGGAAAAATGATAATCGTCTCACATTTACTACGAAACTTCAGTGTTTTTGTTTTCTTGATTTTCTGTGTCATTAAGAGCACCTGTCTCGAATATGTGACAAAATCCACGAAATACGGGAAAGTGAGAGGATCCGTGGAAACTGTATACTCAGGAAAAAAGATTGAGAGATTTCTAGGAGTCCCCTACGCCTCTCCTCCTTTGAACGAATTGAGGTTTGAGGTAAGCATATATTAAGTTTATGTAGTTTGTGACTTAAAGATTTTTTTTTTGGTTTGTTAGGAAATTTCTGGGGGTTGGAAATTTTTTGACTGGGGTGGACCCCCCCCCCCCCCGGAAAAAATTCCTGGATCCGCGCCTGCCAGTATATACAATTGCTCTTCTGGTAAATTGATGGAATATTTTCAAATAATAAGGTCAGACGACACGTTCCTCAATAATATATAATTTTTTCCAACAATTTGTCATTGAAGTATTGCTACAATAACAAGTATTAAAAAATTGAGGTACCTTACCAGGCATTTTTGTAAAATATCAGAGGATGGTATTTACTATATAATCCTATGAAAAATCTTTTGATTTGGGAATACCAGAATTTTTTGGTGTCTTTATCCTCTTAGACATTTTGAAATTACAGGTTAAAATTACAAGATAATGATAATTATGGTTAATTTGTGTATATTACGAAGAGATACAAAACAGATATTTGAGCAACGTGTCGTCATACCTTAATAATTTGGATTAAGTATAAAACTTAAATAGTTACCTTGGTACCCTCTGTAATCAAGCCATTTACAATATACTATCGTGTTACTTTTTTCATATAGATGATACTGCATCTTCAATATTTCCACGCATTTTCAGCCCAATGGAAATACAAGCACCACAAATACATATGTTGTATCATAATGTATTTTTGTGATTTAATATAGATTTATATATAAATTTAAATATTCACACTTACAGGTTCAGTGTGAGGGAGGATCGTTTTTAACTTTGTTCATACATGTATTGATCATAATCCAAATTTTATTATATCTAAAAATATCAAATCAATATACCAGAAAACATAACGTCTTGTCGGTTATACTCAGTATATACGATACATGTATGTAGTTATTTTGTTCATTGTCTTTTTTTTCAATTGTATATCACAAACTTTATGGACTCAAAGCCCCTTTAAAATTATAGCATTTTCCACTTCTCTATTGAAATAACAGCTAGTGAACGACAGAATGCTTAAAGGGACCTAGACACAGATTTGAAGTTAATATTTTCTCAAATTTTCTGTATAATATCATGACTTACATGTTGCGATAACATTTCACACGGAGAAATAAAAAAAAGAGTGTTCAGAAACTTCTTTTATTTGGAAATAATTGAAACTACGAATTTTGGGACGCGTTTGATTGACACATCCTTGCACTTTCACAAAACAAACTTTATACTTCAGAAAATTTTGTTGTGTATTAATGACAAATATCAAAACTATAATCCAGAAAATTCAGAGTAGAATGTGAGAAAGCAAAACCAACTCATCAGTATTGTCAGTCCGTGCTCAGTGATGTGTGCAGAGTTTAACAAATCGAACACACCCGGTGAAATGCAAACATTAACAATAACAGAGCTCGTGACCTGTTTACAAAAACAGATGTTTGACCTGATGTAAAGAAAAATTTCGTTGTCGTTGAATCTTAAGAATATTCATGTAAGTTCAATTCATTTAACTGATTTTATTTTTTGAATAAGACTTTAAAATGTAAACAATGCAACCGTGTCCAGACCCCTTTAAAGCACAGTGATGTATTGCCGAAGAGAAGCCCACTCGAGTTTAAGAGTCCATTCGATCTGAATTGAGACCCCTCCCCCATAAAAACCTCAGCATAAAATGCAATAGTACAATCTTATTGTGTAGGAACCCCAGCATATACGTGTAATGCAAAAGCACAATTTTATTGTGAAGGAATTACAGCATAAAATGCATAAGTACCATCTAATCATTTCAACGATTTACAAAAGTCCAAAAATAAGGGTCTGCCGTTTTTATGAATAGATGGTTATGAGAATACGTAAGGTCACTATAAGGTTGATACACCCTATCGATTCCCAAGTCACCGATCATCATACGTGGGGTAGAGCGTGCCAAGATCAATATCAAGTCGCGCTGACCAGCAAATTTTATAAACGATGACCCATAATAAATACCAACAGTTTCAAACCATTTGGTTTTTAGAGGGGGGGGGGGGTGCTCCAGTAAATATTTCTGTTATCTCTAGTCTCCTGGAAACAATAAGAGAAAGGAAATGGTAACATTTATACCTTTTTGCAAAGTGACATTGGACTAGCTAGAGTACTCTTAGAAACAAAGATTAATCTGATTTTCCTCTCTGAGATCAAAAATTTGTTTAAAAAGTATTTAAAAAGTTATTGTTTTATAATCTGAATCCCACAGAACCACCATAACCACAAAATCAATGTGTACATACTTGGAGTATGCCTTCAGAACAGCGAACCTCTTTATCGCCGTTCTTGAGTTTCAATGAGTTACTCTATTAATTTTTCTGCTAATTAGAGAATCTTCAGATATGAAAACAAATTTCCGATTTTCAAGTGTAGGAAATCTACAAAGGAAATTTTATGCAAATCATTAGCAGGGAATGCTAAGCGAAATTGGTGCAATTAAATGTATGTTAGAAGCAAGTATTCGTTTGTTTCCAAAGCCAGTTAATACAAAACTCATTAGGACGAGTTTTTCAATGTTTGCATACTTGCACTTGAAATTAAAAAGAAATGAATTAGGACAAAAAAAAAAAAATAAATAAAATCGCCTTTACTAAACAAAGCCTATTTGTTTCTAATTAGTAATGTGTTAAAAAGTTTAATGGCTAGAAACCCAAGATTAAATAGATTTTTTAAAGACAAGATTTGGCAGCTTTAATATACATGTAATAGTATCCGTAGATAGAAATATTTTCTTGTGTCTTATCCCGATATTCGTTTGTCGGGAAATAATTGAGGTATATAATAGTGTTATATTAACCAAGGAAAAACGAGGATTCAATAACAATTTACTCATCACTTCGTTAGAGTTTAGTAGATTACATATCCACGCGTGAAAAATTGAACACGAAAACTTATCATTAGCTGGGAAGCAGGTATTTTGGAGTTCGTTAATTTCAACCATGGGTAAAATGCTCAATATAAATGACAGGGATCAATTATTTCGGTTGATAAACTGTCCAGGAAGCCTATGGTTTCCCGATTTCTTAGATTTTCAGCAGCTTTACTTTAAAGTTTGCGCACAATTTGATAGAAATGTACCACGTCGTAGATTATTTCCTATGTTTAGGAATTTATACAGTTTCTGTGACTTTCTTCTGTTCAAATGAGCTTAAAAGACATGAAAATATTGATCCATTTTATATAATTCAACGGAATTTTTTTTATCTTAAAAAAGGGGGGGGGAGAAATATTGTCTCTCTCTCTCTCTGCCATGTACATGCATTTCCATTTCATCCTTGTATATTGCAATAATCAAGAAGCGGGGGTGGAAAATCAAAAAAAAAAAAGGTTAGTAGAATTAATGAAGGCACACCGATAACTTTTGTTTGTGATCTTAATTACTTGCATTCCCTTTGCACTTTAAACTTTGCCGAAAAAGAAATCTGAATTCTGATGGAGTAATTTCATCCTTGTGAACAATTTCGAAAGCTGTGTAAAATAATCTTACTCTCGCCAACAATTTAGATGATATTGGCAAACACGCTGGATCGTTTGTTTATCTAAGTATACCCCGACCTTACTTTCCTCATTTCTTTTGTAAATATTTTGCTTTGATGTGAATATTTTTTTTTAATGCCTCAAATAACTTCAATCCATCACTGTTGGTATTTTTTATGGGAAGGATGATATCGAAAACCTGAAAATCGATAGAATTTTATTGTCTATAAATTCAATTTTAGCCGAGAATTTTATGATAAACTTAAAAAGGGAAACAATTATTGTCTATTTCTAGTTATCGATCTATAATGCATCCCTTATTGAACATTTTAACCCGATATTTCAGGTTGATAGAGCTGTTCGTTTTTATTCGCTAAATATTTCTAAAATGAACTCATTAATAAAATTCAGACGTCAAAAGAACGCCAACAAAGAAATTTTCTAGTGTAAAAAAAGCGACGTTCAGACTATTATTTCATTTTTTTTTTATTTTTTATTTTTTTGTATTTGACAGTTTCGTAGAGTACTATAATTCATCATGTAAAAAAAATACAGTTGAACATCATTATCTCGAACACCGGTTATGTCGAAGTGAATTGGCAGTCCCAGCTACTTATACGTTTTTTACCCTGATTATCTCGAATCATCGGATATCTCGAAATTTAATCTTGGTCCTATCGAGTTTGAGATAACTAGGTTTGACTAAGTATTCTCTTAATATTTTAAAGAGATGCAGGCATTTAAACATCTTTTTAAAGTTTTGTAATTGATTGATTGATTGTATGTTGTTTTACGTCCCATTCGAGAATTTTTAACTCATATAGAAACGTCACCATATACCGGTGAAGGGCTTCAAATTTTGACCTTTACTCGGCACTCAGGGCCATTGAGCAGTGAGGGATCTTTATCGTGCCAACGCCTGCCGTGACACGGGGCCTCAGTTTTTAAGGTCTCATCCGAAGGACCCGCAACTTTCACTTCAAAGTGCCGAGCGCATGGCGAAGGAACAGTTGCTACCCATTTTTTATCGACTTAGGTCTGTCGCGTTTTGTTTTCCAGCATCCCGTACCCCCCGACCCCTGGAATGATGTACTGGATGCTCTTGAGATCCCCCCTGCGTGTCCTCAACCGGGAGAGGGTGTAGCCTACATTGAATATCATGTACCAGACTTCAACCATACCAGCGAAGATTGTTTGTATCTAAATATTTATTCGCCAAAGGTAAGTACCTGTATATCATGTAAACTCTTTCTATTCTTTCTATTTGAACAATTTTGTATAATATGTCGCACGACGTGACGTATACACTGTGTATATTTTCTTGTCCCGAATTTTGGGGGCTTATGATGTGATGTGGAGTAAAGGTCGAATGGCCAATTATTCTACTTTTGCAGTCAATATTCTCTCTTTGTTCTTGTATAAAGGTGCTTGTAGAAACTTCAAGCAAAACCGGCTCATATATTTCAAATCACACAAGATAACTCTACGCGGCTACGATTTTAAGACTTTTAAAATCGACATTCTCTTTTAAACAATCACGTTTTTGTGTGAACAGAAACTACTCACGAGGCGAGAAATATTCACCTTCAAAGTCGATAAAAGACACTTCGTTCACTGTCCTTATCTGGAAAAAAAATAAAACGCGCTTATAATCATTTCTTTATGCACATTCTTATAGATTAGTCGTGAAAAACTGTAATCGTACATTTGCAGCTCTCTTGGTAGGACACAATGGCCGCAGAGATTAAAGTGGTCTTTCCTTGAACACTAGATAGTACAAACTACAGGTAAGTGTGCCGATTCCGATTCTACCTGTAGTTTGTACCATCTTGTGTCAATCGGTAATCCTCAGCTGACCCCGCTTCGCTCCATACAAACATCGGATGTGATTGGTGGAGGAATATGAATCAAATTAAAATTGATGTACCGTTTAACTCATTTCACATTTCGCATTGCATAAAGTTGACCGGGGAAAAAATTCTACTTTGTTTAATTTGTTTTTTTTTAATTACAACTCTCTGTTAGTAGTAATTGAAACAGATTGCTGGACGTGCCACAAAGTAAATCGGAATTCAAAGGAATAATATTTGTAGGCATTTCGGATAAGATCACATGATTGTTTAAGCATAGTGGCTGAACATCGTTCACATCCGAGGTTAGTTGCGAGATACGAGTCCCGCGAGGAGCTCCGAATGATCTAGCGTTGATTAACCTGGTCTTTCGTTATCGAAATATATAAAATGGTCCTATAAAAAAAATAAGATCATAAAAGTTAGTACTAATTCGTGAAAGTTTGAAAAAAAAAAAAAAGAAATCCTACTTTTTTTGTTTGCTTGTTTGTTATTTTGTTGTCTTTGTGTTTCAATTGTCACGTGTCAAAACTAAGGTTAAATGTAAAGAAAGTAACCTCACAGAGGCCGATGATTAGTGATAGCGGAATAAAGGAAAATTGTGTAAACTCGTTCATGTTTTTTTTTTTTTCGAACTATGTATAATTCGATAAATTTATAGATTTACATGCAAGATTATTCGACCAAAATGTGATTTTGTTTCACGAGAAATCATTCCCGTTGAGACATATGCAGTTCTTAAAGCTACATCAAATTCTTACTATTTATTTATTTATTTATTTATGTATTTATTTATTTGTTTAGAAATGCTCTTAAATTTATTTTTGTTTCCTTTTATAAAAAAAATTTATTAATTTTTATACAAAATATGTATATTATATATTAATTTTGCATTCAAAATATTTTTTTTAAGACAACAGATATTTGAAATATTATTTTTGGATGTTATCAGTCGTATAACATGCAGTACGACCAGATCTTGTTACATGACCGACGGCATCTAAAAATAATAAATCAATACTTAAGTAATATGAATCTTCCCATAAAGTTACAACAGAAATTAAAATTGTTTTCGGACTCTGAAGTTACAAAAATGCATACTTTAGTAGTCCCAAATTTGAAATTTCGCAAAATAAAAAAAAAAAAGAAGAAAGAGGGTTCACATGTAAAACGCCAAACGTTATGATATCTGCATCACAATGCTGATTTCACGTGTTGGTTTGTGCGACTTTAGATGAACTTGGGCGTAAAAGGAAACCGCACCTAAAAACTATGAAATACCCAAGCTTATTACAATATTATCATATTTTTGGTAGTTAATTCTTATGATGACATCAGTTGAGATTTTAAAGGAGGTATTCATATTTGGTAGGAAAAAAAAAAGATTTCATAAGATCATTAACTTCACGCTAATTTTGCATTATGAACACGTGTTTCACAAGAACTTAAAAAGGATCGTTGTTATATAAATAAAATAGTTTGTGATTGGCACTTATAGGGTAAATGAACTCTTCTTCAGATTAAATTTCCCATATGTTATTTTTTTCTGGAAAATCTTATGAAAAAATGGAGAAATGTTATCGGTCATTGTGATCATTATCACAGGAACTTCTTGTTATATAAGAAAAGAAATACATGTATGTTAAGTATTATATGTGCGATAAGTATCACTCTTTTTAAATAAACATTACATTGAAGTTTATATATATATATATATATATATATAATCATTTTGAGTATTTTAGTCAGTGCTCGACTTAGGGTTTATATATTTTAAAATCAAGTAGTGGTTGGTCTAGAGATTTTGGATGGAGCGGTAGGGAAAGGGTTCTATAATGAAAATGAGATAATAATAAAAATCGAAAATTAAAATAAAAGTGCAAGCAAGCGAAGAAAATTTAGCATGGAGAAAGAAGGGAGTATAATTTTGAATAAGCGGTGACAGGTAAAAATATATTTCGTTATTACTGAATATGCTATTTAAATTTCAAAACATGATCCCCAAAGATGTGTTCTTAAATGAAAACTTAAAAAGTTTATGCTTCTTGAATAATCAGAAACCCCTTTTCCAACCCCACCCCCAATTCACATCTTTCATGATATTTCTTTTTAAAAAATGACCAGTTGTCTATTCTGCATATCTATAGTTTGATTGAATTACATGTGTTAAAATTATCTCGAATAAAAAAAATGTATATAATGTAAAATCAAGATTAACAGATAGAATTAGCCGAATTTGTACATACGGCCTTTAACCATAGAAAAAAATCTTTGCAAGTGTAAATTTATATAATTTAATGGGAAAAGTGACTTATAGGTCCAATGGGCCGGATCCAATTTAGTTTAATGTTTATTTTGTTTACAGTATAAATTACAATGTTTGTAATGCACAGTGTCACTATAATAAACGATTACTTACTTACTTACTATAGATAAATTCCTTCCTTGCGTGGAAAACATTTTTTCCGTGTCATGGATAGAATATAAAAGACAAGAATTTATTCTTAATTATTTTATCCTCGTATCTCAAACCCTCGGATATCTCGAAGTTTTTTCTCGGTCCCGTCGAGTTCGAGATAACGAGGTTTGACTTGGTGGCCAGAGGAGTATTTGAAATTGATGAAAATATTTGCTTAAATAAATTAACGCTACAGTTATAAGTCTAACAGTAAAAAAAGAAGTTGAAAAACTTTATTTTATTAAGTCTGAATTTACAACAAGCTCTTTACTAATTATTTTATAAAACTGTGCTTTTAAGGTTGTAATCTACACATATCGATCGAATGAAATAAATGATACATACTCCGCTTAACTTTGCTGTAATAAAGTTTATTTATAGACCGTAAAGGAGAAGATATTTCAGTATACCTATCAATTTTACATGCGCTATACATGTACTAGTATTTAGTCACATGTAATTCCTCATATGAGATTTAATGTGCAAAAAGATAGACATGCAATTTTTAAGGTAGAGATATAACGTTCTCTCTCTCTGAAGAAACTCATTTGTTGTCTGTACTTTTAACTAAATATTCCTTTCTTTTTTGATGCTTCTATGTTAGATCGAGTTCCCATAGTGCAAACTGTATTTCCAACATTGCATAATTTCAGATCATTATAGTGATATATATCGTGCCTTTTAGAGATAGGAGCATTCAACTCCTTTGAAAATACAAGCGAGTGTATGGTTACAAAACACACAACCCTAAAGCTCAAGTGTAGCTACATTGATACGTCTGAAATCATTATCTTACTCTGTTAAAGTTAAGTAAATATAATCAGATCTAAAGAAAACACTTAGGTACAGTTCGATCATTTGAGGAGTCCTCTTTAACCCCAAAACAGTGATCTAAGGACGTGAATAAAAGGCGAGGGGTACCGATTGTCGTAATACAACACCGCAATGTCACAGGGTTTTAGGAGAGTCGTTCGACGTCTTTTATAAATGATTAACAGGGTAAAATGAAGGGATAACTGAGACTATAAATGTCAATTTTATTTGTCTCCTTTTTTTCTTTCGGGCGATAGATGTTAAGTTAAATGGATAACGCTCCGCTTCGTATACGTTTACTGTAACAAAGGACGAACAACGGAAATGAGGTGTTATTGTTAAAAACGGCCGAGACACATAAAATCTCAAGATCAATTCAGCTTGACACGTTTTTGCTTTCTACAATTTTCTTTTTAGGTCGCTGTACTTCTGTTTATCGAATTTATTTTTTTCTCTCTCTCTTATATGAAGCAGTGCTTTACTATGATCTGATCTCTTCCGGGTCGATACTATTGGTTTTTGTCGCTTTGGGTATTTTTGTTTCCTTGGAACAGTCTTGTAGCATTAAAATATTGCTGATAAAACTCCAAAGATCATAAAGATCACCGGGACTATATTTTTGCTGCCATAAGTCTACTAGTATATAACGCACAGTTCGATTTTTAGTCAACATGGTTAAAACTCTTTAAAATTATTTCAACATTAGAGAAGTCTCAATGAATCCCTAAAATAATCTTTTAAGAGAGTATTTCATATTAATAAAATGCAAATAGACCTGATTAAATTGTAAATTTCAACCTTGTCCCCATTCTTGCATTTTTAACAAGCTTCAAGCACGTAGTATCATATTTGCCCCTTCCCCCCACTTTTTTCCGATAATATTTTTTTTTCTGTTAATTTAGTATGGAAATGTTCATTCCAGGGAGGTTTGTATCCCTCCACACTTTTTGTTGCAGTATATCAAACCCTTCCACATAAATGAAATACTGGTAAAAAAAAATTGTCGAAAGTTGGACCCCCACCTCTATCCCCGAAATAGGGTTCTCCGAGAGTTTGGACAATCTTTTTTTTTAAGTTGGCTTGTCACTTTTTCTTTTTCTTTTTTTTTTTTATCTTTTCAATTATTTTTTTCTGCTCCCCATCCCACCCACAACTTTGAAAAACGATGCAACTGTGTGTGTATGTCAGAACCTGTAGTCGCCCGCGTGGCGCAGGGGTTAGAGCGTTTTCTCTAGAGTCTTGGCGTAAGGAGTTGTTGATCCGTACGTCGCGGGTTCGAACCACTGCGCGACGTGGAGACCGGTCCTTCGGATGAGAACGTATAAACCGAGGTCCCGTGTCGCAATAGGTGCTGGCACGATAGACGACCCCTCACTGCCCAAAGGCCATAAACTCAAATTTGCAGTCCTCCAGGCAAGTGCATGATGGTGTCTCAATATGAGTGAAAAATCCTCGAAGGGACGTTAAGCAACCAACCAAACAAACAAACTGATCCTGTCAATTCCAATTGTCTGTGCAAAATTCGAATAAAGAGTTTATAAACTCTTGATTTCTGTACAATTAAATGTAATAATTTTTTATGCATTATTAAAGACAAATAATTCTTTCTGGGGACCTTTTGGTGGAATTTAAAAAAAAACAAAACTTGTTTTGCGATTCCATGTGTTAACAACATATTTTAGAAAAGGATAAAGGAAAAGGAAAAGACCAACATTTTATAGCTATCGAATGCGTCATCTTCATTAAAATATTCTTCTGCCTGTCTTCTTCCTATCTAATCATTCTGAAATATGTCGCTATTCTTGTTTCCGGTTCCTGTCTTTGTTTTCCGCAAATAATTAACAAGCACTCCCCTGCTTGTCAAATCTACCCACATCTGCCCACAGTTGAAATGTAATTTATTTAATTATAGGTGCAATTATTATATTGTCCAACAATTGATGTTTTGCAACATCGTAGAAAGTTAAGGGGTAGGGTAAATTCCTATACTCTTTGACATCGGTTTGTTTTTCAATCCATTTTAAATTTAATAAGAATTCGAAAATATTTTATTACGCATTATTTCATCTAGCATATTAAAAATAGAATTTAAAATTTAAGGTTTAAGATGGATAGAAATCTTTATATTATTAAAATTCTCAAAAAGAGATCCGTGATAAACAAGCTTGACTGAGTCAAAATAAATACAGCTGTATGGAGATAACAGAAGCCATTTGGCGTATAGGCATCAACTTTATAGGTGCATAAATTGAACAAATTTAATAAACAGTGAGTGTATTATGAACTGGGTATATATTCAAATTTTAGCCTTGTTGTCTTGCAGAAGTGCATATGTTTCCCTGTAAACTTTTCTTGAATTACACATTACTTGAATATGGTAAATATTAATATGGCAGACTTGGGCCTTCTGTATTTCAAATTTTTTATCCCAACAGTGAATATATTTCTTTCAAAAACTTTGACATCGTTCTTTGACCCCCATCCTAGCTCTGCAACTATGATTTTGGTTAAAATTGGCTCAGTGGTTCTGGAGAAGTCGGAAAAATTACAGACAACAAACGACAGACATACGGACAGAGGGACGGTAGATTCTTTACTAGAGGAAAAGCTCACTTGAACCTTGGCTCAGGTGAGCTAAACCCATGCTTAAACGAAGTTGACTTCATTGATACATCAAACATTAAAATTTGTATATAAACCATTTTTGCAAGATATCACGGCCATAAAAAACGAGCAACATTTGTCTAATGTTCAAATCTAAAAGATAAGTGTTTATTTGACATTTTCTCGCAATTAACTGCCTAATAATGTTTTCCAGGAAAAAATGCATTGTTAAGACGTTTAAGTGCATCTCACTCCAGCTCCCTCTGATACGAATTAAAAATATCTTACACAACAGGAAAGGAACAGAACATGTTACAAGGAAGGGACAGAATGAAAGTTACAATATGATTCCTTTCGTCCAAAGTTCTCTCAAAGGAAAACTACATGTATTTGTTATTAATGACATACACTTGAATAACTGTAATTATATATTGACCAAATTTTGAATTGATGCGCTCATCAAATCGGTAAATGCTCCAAACACGCATCGATTGAATTAATATTAGCAAAAGTTGATTTGATGTGTGCATCTCTTCTCAATTCAACTGATTTGTGCATCATTTCTTTGTTGAGTTTGGAAGAATTACTCGCTAAGATTAATTAAGATCTCGATAAAACTGATTTGTTGATTTCTTTAACTCAATAGAAGATATTCTTATTTTACTGTTTTGTTAGAGAAATTAAAACTGCATTATTTTTTAAGCAAAACATCTGTGAAAGAGATCATCATTATTCAAATTATGGAAGATTGATTGATTGATTGAATGTTGTTTTACGCCCCGTTTGAGAATTTTTCGCTCATATAGGGACGTCACCATATACCGGTGAAGGGCTTCAAATTTTGACCATTACTCGGCACTCTGGTCCATTGAGCAGTGAAAGTTCTTTATCGACTACCGTGACACGGGACCTCGGTTTTAAAGGCCCGCAACTTTCATTTCAAAGTACCGATCGCTTGTCGAAGGTACAGTTGCTACCTATTTTTTATCGACTTGGTCAGATTCGAACACAGGACCTTCCGATCACGGAGCGAGCGCTCTACCGACTGAGCTACCATCACGGTTTGGAAATGTTGACTTGGAGATATCATAATTGAATGGTTGCTCCCTCTTAAGGTCAAGATCTAGTAAATGACTTTAGACTGTCTTTTTGGTGCTAGATCCATTATGACGTCATAATCAGTTTAAACTTTCTTTTTTCCGTACTTTACGGCTCTAATAGAATAATGTAGACAATACAGTTTTTTCATAGAATTCAATTTGAAATCATGTGAAAATTAATCCCGAAACTTATATTCAATTTGATACTAATTTAAAGAAGAGGATAAGAAGAAACAAATTACCATTTTCTGAGAGACTGTAGGCAATCTGGATACATTTCCTTTCTCCAATAAAGAAAAAACTCCCATATTCATGACTGATTTTATTAATTTTTCATCAGAAAAGACAGTTTAAAATATGATTTTTCGTCCTGTTTACCTACAAAATATGCCCCGATACACCTTATTTGACCAAGCTATACTTAAAAAGCATCTTTAAAGGAACTTATTTCTCAAATTTGAAAAATCTGTAGGCTCCTTTCATTTACTAGATCTTTACCTTAAAGAATTGCGCGCATATTAATTAAATTAATAATAATAATTATATCAATCAAAGAGAGCAATAATCCAGTCAATTGAATTGATGAGCGCATTAATTCAGTTTCTTGAATAATTACCCTCTTCGTATGACACAATGCTTCAAACTCTTAAATTGAAGTGTTGTGAAAATCGAAGCAATTGATGAAGTCATTAGAAGAAAGCATCAATTCAATTATTGCGTGCAATGCAACAAATTAATTTATATCAACAATTGAATTAATGCGTGCAATAATTCACAATATTGCATACTAGTATGTCATTAATAAGAAGAGAACTTGAATTGATGTGCGCATCAAATGAATTGATGATATCGTTACTTCAAAGAATTAAAGACAATGAAAAATATTTGAGTTTATCTTAATTGCATGGTGCTCATACGTTATGATTGAAGTAATCATACTGAATGATAATATATTCGTTTTCAGAATTCAAACAAAAGTAAAAAATACCCAGTTTTATTTTTCGTTCATGGCGGCTCGTACTTCAATGGAATGGGTGCTATGTTTGAGGGAACAGCACTATCGGCTTCTGATATTGTGGTTGTGACGATAAATTACAGACTTGGACCGCTTGGTAAGTTTTTTTCCTCGAAGAAATAAATGGAATTTGGAGCTGCTTTGAATACTCTTTTTTCGATTGTATTTTTAGATAAACTGAGTCACTTAGGTGACCTATTGCTACCCGTTTTTGTCTGTCGCCGTGCGTCGTCCGTTACATTTGAACATTTTCAAATTTTTCTCTGGAACCGCTAAACCAATTTCAACCAATTTTGGCATAAAGAATCTATGAGTGATGGGAACAAAAATTGTGAATTTTATGATCCCTTAATCTCGGTGGAGATTCGGCTCGGCTAGATATTTGGTCCGACGCCTCCGCCTGACGGTGGAGGTGTCAGACCAAATATCTAGCCTAGCCGAATCTCCACCGAGATTAATAATCCCTTTCCCCCTAGGGCCTGAGGAATGGGGCTAAAACCACCAAAATTAATGTAATCTTTAAAAATCCTCTTCTCCTGGACATCAAGCAGTCAAACTGTTGGCATGATTGTAATAAGCATTGTGCCCTCTACCAAAATTGTGAAATTCATGACCCCAGGGTGAGAGGCTCTGGTTCTAGGGCGGGGCTCTGTTGACCAAAATAGTGAAATTCATGACCCCAGGGTGAGGGGCTCTGGTTCTAGGGCGGGGCTCTGTTGAATATATAGTAAATATGCATTTTTTTTAAATCTTCTTCTCTGCTCCTGGATATTAAGCAAACGAACTAATGCATAGTTATGATGAGCAAGGGAGCCTTTTCCAGAATTGTGAATTCCATGGCTCATGGGTCAGGGATTCTGGTGTTAGGGCGGCCTCTATTGATTATGTAGTGAAAAAGAGAAAATGCATTAATTCTTTGAAAATCATCTCTGCTCTTGGGTATATTTAAACAAACTATGATAAGCAAGGATACCACTTCCAAAATTGTGAATTTCATGGCCCCAGGGTTGGGGTTCTGGTGAAGGGGGGGGGCTCTATTGATTATATAGTGAAAAAGCACAATTTCTTTAAAAATATTCTATTCTGCTCCTGCTTATAAAGCAGAGAATCTAAGTGTGTAGTTATGATGAGCAAGAGTGCTTCTTTCAGAGTTGTGAGTTTCATGGCCCCTGGATCAGATGTTCTGGTGTAAGGATGAGGCTCTATTGATAATATAGTGAAAATGAATTAATTCTATTAAATAATCCTGTCTGCTTCTTAGTATTGAGCAGATAAACAAAGTGCATAGTTATGATGAACAAAGGTGCTTCTTACAATATTTTTAAAACTTGTGGTCCCAGGGTAAGGTGTTTCGTGGGGGAGGGAGCTCTATTTATAATACAGTGAAAATGTGTTAATTCTTTGAAAATCTTCATCTTAGTGCATAGTTATAATGATGGGGGTACCTCCTCCAAATTTGCGAATATCATGACACTGGGTCATGGATTCTGGTGTTAGGGTAGGGCTGTTTTGAATTTGTAGTAAAAATGCATTATTTCTCTCAAAATCTTCTCCGCTAATGGACATATCAGGGGAAAATGGAGTAAAAGTTTTAATAAGCAAGGGTATTTTTACCTGGTTTTTGAACATCTGGAGCATTTGGTCAAGTGTTTTGGTCTTGGCCAGGCCTCTATCAATTTGTACTCTATTGAGAGAAGTGATTCCCCTTTGCCATTCAATTTGATATTAATCACTATAAATAAGTTATTTGAAAGGTTAATAGAATAAGAGAATTACACAAGAATTTTTATTGTATAATACAAAAAGTACTTTCATAGTTTTAATGATCAAGTAGACTTGTAAATGATAGATAAAAAGAAATGAAACAAAAATAATTTATTAAATGTTCTTCAAAGATCAAAGGAGACCAATGTGAAAGGTTAATTATGGGGTTAAAAATAGTATAGAAGCAATGATAGTTTGATAATAATCTGTGTGGTTATAGTGATGAGTAAGGACAGATTAGAACTTAATTTATGAATAGGTAATAAGTACTAGAGTAATTATTTCATTGATCCAGATCATCCTATTTCTCTTGCTATTGCGCAACAAAGCTTCAACTATCAGTTTATTTTGGATCCTCTAAATTGTTGTATTATACTCAGGTGACGTTAAAGCCCCTGGGTCTCTTGTTTAGATTATGCAATAAGGCGAAAATATTAAACAACACATCGTCAAACTATGAAAACCTATTAGTATCAAGTTTGAAAATTATTACGTTTCAGTTGTCTCGTAGTTACAAGAAAATTATCTCGTTATTACGAGAAAAGTTCTGGTAAATACGAGAAAAGATCAAGTTATCAAGAGAAAATACGAGAAAAGATCTTGTTAAATTACGCAATGCTCACATGATGTTTCTCTAGATGAAAGTTTTTTTTTCTCTTTCCGTGGTTCTTTTTAAATTCCTGTTTCAAATACATGTAATTGCGGGTGGAGGAATTCAAGGTCTATTGAAGCAAACTATGACCGCCACTGTCGGATAAAATGAGGACGAGTGTCCCCCTAAAATAATTTTTGAAATAAGAAAGACACAAAGACCTAATGATTAAGGTTTAGTATTTTTTTTTTTAATGTATATAAGAGACTACAAATAAACACTTTTAAAATTCACACTACTGTGTAAAAAAAAATTACAGCTCTACTATGCTACGTTTTTCGATTAATTAAAAAACGTTTTAATGTACAGAACAAAGGGACTTCCGGGGCTTTCGAGGGTCTCGGGATCTTTCCTCGTAATTAGGAGATTATTTTCTTGTAAAATTTACGAGGTTTTTATGCATAAATTTACGAAATCTTTTTTCGTAAAATTACGGGATAGTGAGGGGCTTTTGTTTTACTTTCACTAATAGGCTTTTATAACAAATAAAAAGCGGAATGCAAGAAAAATTAAGAATTGAAACGATAGAGTAAATAACATTAAATTATTTGAAGAATTTAAAATCCTTATCAGACTTTTTCTGTCATAAAAGGATTTTTAGCATCTGGGGACCCGGAACTTGCAGGGAATTATGGGATGATGGATATGATAGCTGCTTTATGGTGGGTCCGCAAAAATATCGAGGTCTTTAACGGTGATCCAGACCAAGTGACTCTGATGGGCCATAGTGCAGGAGGATGCAGTGTTGGATTTCTTATGATGTCACCTTTAACGAATGGTAAAAAAGAAATATTTTTCATTATTTCTAAATGAAAGATGAATGTGCCTCCTCTATGTCAGTTTGATATTTCAATAAATTTCAACAGAGGACAAGAAATTCTAAGATAAATATATTACTATATCTTTGGCAATACGTGGGTGATTCAGAATCTGGCTAAAAAGTTAAAAACCTAGCCAGGTAGCATATGTTTCTTTTCATATGTTTCAATAGCATTTTTTAAGTGAAGAAAAATTGTAAAATTAACTAAATTTCATAGACCCCATCTTAGGTGACAAAGTTATCCTTCCCCACTTTTGCCTATATCCTAAGCTGTCCACTCCCCCCCCCCCCCCCCCCCAGCTCTCATTTCAAAATTGAATACCTCCCAGTCATCTAGGGCTCGTAACATAAAGATTGCGAAGTTTTTATCTAAGGACTTAGGTGCAATCTAAGGACCAGCCTAAGTACTACTTAAGTATGTCTTGTACCGTAACATAACAAAAACTAAGCTAGGATTTACCTAAGTCAAACTTATGTTCACAATATTTCTTATGAATAACCCGTTTTTTAAGTTATTAACATATATTGAGAAAAATTATTCAGTTATCAATGTTTTTAAATCGACGTCCTCTATTATAAGTTTTAGTCAGGTTAGATTATATTTTGTATAGAAATTATAATTCTGTTAAAAATGACTCTTAATACATTGTATTTGAAAACAAATATTGCACATTCACGAAATGGCAAGGGTTCATATTAATTACATAACTTGTGTTTAAAACACAAGCACTGCGATGTTTTCAGTTTAAATTTTGTTGTTTCTGTTTGACAAATGTTTACTCGCTTTATCATTGAAAACATGGTACGATAGATCTACTTGAAATTGAATCGCTAATAAAAAAGTACAAAACAATAGGGACGTTTTGAATGCTTTTTCCCACGATGTATCAGCCCCTGTCAGCTAGCAAAGACTGCATGTAGACGTTTTATGATATACAATGTACCTATTTACAATTAAATTACTGGATCAAAAAGAATTGTTTTCAGAAGATAATTTTTCGTATGTCTCCAACTTATCAACAGTTCTCTCTCTATCTCTCCTCTCTCTCTCTCGGACGTTGTGAATCCCTGTCTAAATCCCCACTTGTCGCGTTCTACATTGAATCTAATTTACAGACACTCTTTATTAGCTTTCTAGTCATCATCCTCTAACTCACCGACAATTTTTCTGTCTCTTAAAGTCTATTTCACCTCATATTTTCACAGTGAACTTAAAAATCCAATGATTATTTTCTTTAATGCATAATATGAATAGAGAAATGTTTTAACGTCGAGATTCAACATTTAATAGTTCTAAATATGTGTATGAAATAGTTAAGACATACTTGAGTCACTCACCTCTACCGGTTTCGCCAAGATTGTCAAATCTTAGCACATTTCTAGTTACGGTCTTAAGTCTAAGATTGCACTTAAGTCCTTCTTAAGCATGGTCTTAGACTTAAGTACCCTTTCTATTACGACCCCCTGAATTCTATTTTCATATTTTATACAACCAATACGAAGAGCTTTTCTTTATAATCTGTTTAAAGTGTCATGATTTTAGAGCTTTGAATGAAAATATCAAATATGCTAAAAATATAGCTTGGAAAAAAAAAAACTTTCTCATGCAGTGATCGCTTTCTCACATGACGAAATACACCGTTGATTTAATCGACCTTATATCATGATAGGTTCATTATAATCCTTTGAAAAATATCATAACTGATAAAGAAAACACATCTATCTTTTCCTGTCGATTATCCCTTGCTGTGCTCAGCGTTTCCGAAAGCCGTTAAATCTGATTTGGTTGTGTCATGATCACCCTTATCGCCATTTGTATGGAAATAAATGTTGGCCCTTGCGATTTTAAATTTAATACCTATGCCATTTTGATAGGTGTCATAATAATGTCGATAGCATGTTTCCGTCAAAAGTAGGTGATATCTTGATGTAAATAGGTGAAAACTTGATGTAAGGATTTTGCACTTGTGTTCTAACAGTATAACAGAATCGGTTTCCCTGGCCCCCTCCGTAAATAAATAAATTTAAAGAACTCAAACCTTGGAGAAATATTTGAATAAAATTGCGGAATCAACGCATCTCCTGGTATGTCAGTTCTTTCCTGGATTCAGAGTTCGAGTCTGAGGATCATAATTAATGAAAGCAAAAACATTTTACCAGTCAGAAAAACTAAGACTTCACTTTCACGTTTTTAGCTGAAAGAAATTTAATACTTATTAAAGCTCGTTCTTACTTCTAAACACGTCGTGATAAATTTACATGAAGCTGTTAGTGCATAGTAAACCAAAGTAAAGTCCCTCGTATACATATGTGCGTTATTTGTGGTTATTTGCCGGATGCCTCACATGGAATCAACTGTGGTCGGCCGAAGCCGATCACAAAAATTTAAAAGAAAAAAACCCATCTAATTAAAATAATTAAAAAACTGGCATATAAGATACATTTTATATCACATGCGATTCGTAAACAACTGATAAGGGTGATAAATCTTACCAAATCCTTATTGATTTCGAATAGATTTTATTTGATGGAAAATAGTCCGGATTAAACAGGCGTCACCGTAGGAATAAATTCGATATAAAAATAACATATACCTACGATTTTGTAAAAGGTTTTAGTGATAATGCACCCATTTGTAAGATTTATAGCTAAGTAAGCAAAATTGAAATGGTGTAGAGAAAGTTCCATAGTTTAGTAGTTGCAGACACGGGTTCCTCCTCGCTATCATGAAGTCGTATCTTGAGTTTCTCTGTTTCCGCCAAAAAACCTTTTAGATTGGTTAAGGTTAATATGTTATATTTGAATTGTTTATGCAATAACATCAATATAACAATTAAGGTCTGACGACACGTTCTCAAATATCTGTTTTGTTTCTCTTTGTATGATATATAAAATATATTCATAATATTAACATTATCTTGTGATTTCTAAATTTTTTTCAAATTGTCTTAGAAAACATATATAACAACAATTTTTATATTGACAATTCAAATGATTTCCATTAGGATTAAATAGGAAACACACCCTCTGGTATCTTGCACAAATGCCTGGTAATGTACCTCAATTTTTTGTGAGGAAACTTGTTAAAGTAGCAATACATGACAATTTTTTGGGAAAAAATTATTTATTATTGAGGAACATGTCGTCTGACCTTTAACATAACAATCAGCTGTTCGTCTGCTACAGATCATGAGCCCTTGTAAGTTAATGGAGGCGAAGATTTGAATATTGCTTTCGGTACTTAACTTTTTAATGGAAGATGAATATAAATATGTATTTTGTAGGTTTGTTCCGGAGGGCTATAGTACAGAGTGGTTCACCCCTGGCCCATTGGAGTTACTCGGAAAAAGTGATGGCTCCGAACATCCATTTTAAAATTTTTATTTCGTCTATTGGCTGTCTGCAGAACAGCTCTAGACACATTAAAGAATGTCTTCAAAAAATACCCACAGACGTCATGCATAAGCACATTTCATATAAATATGTGGTAGGTCTTTATCGCATCCTTTTATTTAATGTAATCCTGCAGCAATGGACTTAAAATGCATGTATTTCTGGTCTTATTTAATAGAACTTGTCTTATTTTCATTATATGCATGTAACTTTGAAACGGAAATTTATATTAATATTTAATTTACAATAAATGTCGGAACTACGCATCAAATCTAAATTTAATGATTTCTACCCACATTTTTAAAAAGGGAATATGATACCGAGTAAGAAACATGAATCTTTATTAAAATAAATTTACCATCAGACTCTCTCCAGATCTATCTAGTCTTAAAGTTCGTACCTACATGTATTTCACTTCGAGAGTGAAATTGATCATATTATTTTATTTTTTAAAGAAAGAGAGAAGAGATGTGTCATATTTCTTGACAATGCATCCAATCATTAAATTTACGCGCATTATATTAAAAAAAAAAAGGAAGTTAAAGATGATCCTACACTCACAGTTTTTATGCCCCCGAAATGAAGTGATCGGGACATATAGCGTTAACCTTTTCGGTCCGCTTTTCCGTCATAGTTAGTTTTCCGGACTGCTTTTTTTCCGGGGGGGGGGTGTTTGTAGATAATGAGCTGATTTTTGTTATTTGTCTTTATATTGATGACCTAGATCAATTTCGAGTTTCAAATTGAAATTTTCACGAAAGTTATGCCTTTAGACTTTGAACATATCTAATTTTTACTGTTTTCGGACACCCCCCCCCCCCTCCCCCATGTTTGTAGATAATGAATAAATTTTTGGTTTGTGTCTGTGTATTCAGTTCGAGTTTCATGTTGATTGACTCATTTAAACTAAAACCATCGTCCTCAGATTTTGAAATTTTTTAATTTTTCACCTTTTTCCTCTGTGTGCATATTTCACTGTGTTTGTAGATAACGGGCTGATGTTTGGTATGTGTTTTTAAACTGATGACCTACAGATCAAGTTCTCTTTTCACGATGATGGACCAATTATAACAAAAGTTACTAATATTGCCCTTTAACTTTGATTTTTTTTTTTCTTTTTTGATTTTTTTCCCCTTTTTGTTGCTGTGCTTGTAGCATCTTCGCTAGCCAAGGGTTTTTGATCCGCTACTCTCCTCACAAACAGGGTTTGTGAGGAGAGTAGCGGGTCAGAAACCCTTGGCTAGCGAAGATGTGCTTGTAGATAATGGGGATGATTTTTGGTATGCGTCTTTGTATGATGACTAGCAGATCAAATTGGGGTTTCATGTCGATTGACCTCAAAATTTTATTTTATGTTATTTTATGATTATTTCAGTTTATTTTTCATTTGCTTTGTGATAAGAAAAACAAAACAAAACTTGATGTGTCGGTGGGACACAAGTCATCGATAAAGCAATTTCAAAAATATTTGAAAGTCCAAGGATATGAAAATATTAAAGGGTGGAAATGAGAAAAAATAAACTAAAATATTGGTGCTTTTGTTTTCTTGAATTATTTGTTAATACCACAACACACTTTAGCTGCATAAAAATGAAAATGGAGATAAACTACTGTAAATACATGTTTGTTTTTAAAAATTAAAAAAAAAAACAAAAACAAAAAAACTAAATAATACAAATTTTTCAAAATCTTAGGGTAATAACTTAATATTAACATATATCCTTTTCCTTAATAAATAAATATGTCTTTAAATAGATAATGCATATATGTGAAATGTTCTCCTTATTTTGTTTTCAGTTCAAGCGAATTCCAAAAATTATTCTGTCAACTTTTTGAATTCACCATAAGCAGTTTTGTGTTTGTTAAAAAAGCCTAGTGTTTAATTTGTCCATTTCGTGTGAGAGCCAACAAAAGGGGAGAGGAACAAGTTTTAGAATCCAGACTATCCTTTTATAATCCTGTTCAAAACTTGCATAATGATACGCTGGGTTAGTATATTTAGATGATATTCTCATATTTCGTCTGTTTACTTTTAGACATCCCCGTCACTTACTCCACAGTTTCGTCCTGTAGTGGATGGATACATTCTCCCGGATATACCAGAGAGATTGATAAAGACCGGGAACTTCCGGGTGGAAAGTGTCATGACTGGTGCGACTGAGGATGAGGGTCTAAATGCAGGTACTCTGGCAAAACGAAGTAACGTAAAATATAATTACGTTATTTATAATTCCCTTTACATATTCAACATTAACTATTTCTTCAACATGTTCATCACTATTTTTTTTTAGCAGTGCCCCTTGTAGGTTTATTTGGTGGAAATGAAGAAGGGATAAAGCAATTAATTACTCTAATGTATTGCTTCCAAGGTGATTTGCCAAGTGTAGCCAACATTGTAGGTAAGAAAATTACCAAGTACGTGTAAACATATATGGTGACCAAATTTGCATGGATCATGATACATCTAGGGGTATACTTCACCAGACCTGCTTTGGATTCAGCATCTGTCCTATATTTTCCGGATGATTGAAGAGATCATAGTTTTTGGAGCAGGTCCATTCTCGAATAACTATATGCGCTTTGCATGGATGATGCATCTAGGGATGCACTCTACAAGACCTAATTGTTTCAGATGCCTGACCTGACGTATATTTTCTGGGTAATTGAACAGATTAAAGTTTTTGGAGAGAGTCCATTCCAAGTACATGTAATTACAAGCATGATGCAAATAAAAATTCACACTACCAGAATTGTATCGTAACCACTACAAGTTCTTTGGTGACAAATTGCATGGAGGATGCGTGCAGGGATACACATTTTCAATCTTGCCTCGAATGCTGGATTTGTCATTCATTTTCCACGTGATTGAGTTGGTTGAGGATTTTGGAGCAGGTCCATTTCCAAAATAAGCTTTGATTGAACTGTTAATGCATACTTTGCATAGAATATTTGTTTGACAAAGAGAGAGGTACCAGAAAAATATCGTGGCTATAGCTCAATCAACATTTATAGAAGTAGCAGCATCATAGTATATCGTAGTTAGTTTAGGCAAGATTCTGGTCAAAGGGCGCAATAACCTCGTTTTATTCAGTAACGATGTACATAACTTTAGTGAGAACTGAGAAAAATATGGGAAAAATAAGGATAATCCGACTTGTGAAAATGCAAAACATGGATTGGCAATTTTGTGAAAATTTAAATGTGCAAGTAATTTGTTTTAATTACTTGTATATAGTCACACCACCTGGTGGACGTACTAAAAATCAGGAATAAGTTTATGAAACTAGCGCACATTTTTGATGGGTTAATTCATAGGGACTTGAGACAATCTTAGCAAAATCGGGTATATAGCCTATTATACTACATGTATATACCCGATTTTGCTAAGATTGTCTCAAGTCCTTGTGGGTTAATTGAGGCTGAGGGAATTAATTTTAAAGACTTTAATTAATTTTTTTTTATACGGGGGTAAGACGAGTGATATTTATTTGATTATATCTGTAAATGTCTACTAGTTTGGTGTTTTTTTTTTTTTTTAAATTTCAGACATGGTATTAGATCAGTATTTATCATGGCCATTGGAAGAAAGGGAGAACTTTGTCCAAGACATCTTCTCTGACGTAAGCTTCCAAGTTGAAAATTACATCAAATAAAGTTATTCCTGGAATATGAAATAACCACACTTCTCATGGACCAATTACTAAAGTTAGTACATGTACAGTGTAATTTAGCGTTATTCACGCTGATGATGCCACTATTTCAGATTGTCGGGGACTATTACATCACAGCACCTACTCATAAATTTGCTCAGCTGATGTCATTACGCAACACACCTGTCTACCTCTACAACTACGAGTATAAATCAATTTTAGCCCAGTCGAAGGGTGGGTATTAAATACAAGGACCATGTAGTGGAACAGGCCCGTAGAACGCGGTTGGGGGGGGGGGGCACTTTTTTCTGAGTATAGTATTTTGCTATAGTAAATTTTCCGTTAGATGCTGCTTGACCCCCCACTTTCTGATGTTGTAAGGTCGAGCACTGGCAAATTCCTGGATTTGGACAGTTAATTAAGTTTAAAAAAAAAAATCTTTTGCTTACCAGATAATTTTGGCAAATTGCCCCCCCCCCCTCCATTTTGGTCAGTTTAGTGTTTTTTTTAAAACGTTACCCCCCCCCCCCCCACCGTTGAAACCGTTGCTACGGGCCTGTGGAAGATTTGCTGGTAGTTGAGTTACAATCATTGAATTTGCCACATTTAATGAATTCCATTGTCTTATCGAAATTCCTTTAGTTGAAAATATACAGGTGAAACCTTATCTCGTAAATGTACTTTTTTCCCAATGGATCATAATTCCGCGAAATAACACGTTGATAGAGAATTACGCGGATTTCTTGGATTGCCATTTCATTAATTGCACTTTCAGTACGCTGTGATATATTTCCAGGAAAAGTTTGTGACCGCATACATAGTGGAAATTAATCCTACGTGGAGAAAAGTACATCTATAGTATTCTTAGAGACACAGTCATAATCTTATTTTTAGTGTATGATATTTGTATATCATAAATATGAGTATTGTGAAATTTTGTCAAAGTCAACTGCACTGTGAAGTAAGCTGACAGAGAGTGCTATATATTGCATGTAAGTGCCGACAAACTGTGACAAAATTTGTATTAACCGCACTACATGTTGCTGTCGAACAAAAACATGGAGTCGGAGCAGAATACATGTATTCACACATGAATGCATGGCATTTATTGCAGATTCTGTCAAAATCCTCGGTCTACCAACATATTTCACTGCCTTGGTGACTTGTTTGTTTTCTGCGCACACGTATATACCACAGGTACTTCAGAGCTCTATTTTATAATACCGCGGGTATGATTTTTTTAGTAAAACGTTAATTCTGCGTTATTTTTTGGATTTCTCTTATGGAATACATTGTAAATATGTACTAGAAGAATAATTCATGAAAAAAATACATAAAAATATTTTTTGACCTGTGGGGCATATTGGAGGGGGGGGGGGGGGTCCTGTCCACAAGTACCTGTGGTATAAACAGGAGGGAGGAGCAAAGCAAAATGTTTGTGTTGGGCCAAACAATATTTTTTCCGTCGTAAAAGAAGATTTGTTAGTTTCTGGAAGTTGCATTTTATGAAACCTTATACTTTCAAGGATTGAACAAAATTTGCACGAGTAATGCAAAAATTCTAAACCCCCGCCTAATTTTAAAATTAGTAATATAAATAATTTCATATAATACATGATAAAATATTAAATTCATGTAAAATATTAATGAAAACCTGTATTTATAAATATAGAAGTGCTTTTGATTTTAACTGAGTGGCATATTGTAAATTTGGTATTTTCTACCACACGGTAAACTAAAAAGTATACAATTTGGCTTGGACAACAGCAAAAGAGTTATTTCTGAAGCACTGTAATTAGATTATAGAATGTAATGAATAAATATTACAACATTCTATCAATATTACATATACCTAAAAGTCATTCCTTTAATGTATTTCTAACAATATATTTATCTTTTTAAATGTCATTTTTCTTAGGAGTGACACACGGCTCTGAAATATTCTACCTCTCGGGATTCCCCACGTCTGGTCATTCACACTTCAGATTCGATGACATCGACAAGAAAATGTCCAAGTTACTAATACATATGTGGTCAAACTTCATTTATAATGGGTAAGCAAAGAGTTAGCAATGTATGATGATGTATAAATTTGTAATGTAAAAAATGGATCATGTTGACATTGAATATATCATATTTACCTTAATTAGCCTAAATTTATTTGCTCTTCATGCACATAGGCACTCCCCAGCTTAATTGTTAAAAAATATATATCTACTATACTATAAACATGTTTATAGTATAGTAGATATATATTTTTTAACAATTAAGCTGGGGAGTGCCTATGTTCATGCACGTATATCAAATCACGAGGTCACTTAATTTCAGATTACCATCTCTGGTTCCACATAGGCAGTACCATATGAATCGTTACAGAATTAACAATCCCGTGTACACCAAAATATATCAGGGAATCAATAGACCTTTTATAGAGTCATCTACCGACTACAAGGCCAAAAAACTAGACTTCTGGAACAATAAAATCCCACTATATTCCGAGACAGTGTCTAGTGACGTCATACCAAGCCCAGTGCAAAAGACCTACGTAATCACTGGCCCAGACCACTGGGCCTTAATCGCCGCGTGCATTGGACTGGCGGGCTTGGTCATGTGCTTAGCAGTTGGATATTGCAGGGCCAAACTACAGCTTCAGAATCTCCATCGTCAACACTGCGTTTGTATAGCAGGAGAGATAACAAGTAAAGACTTGAAGAAGTCAAAGTATTTCAAAACGAACGTTTGATTTCAGCATAATTTCAGTCTCATTACAATTCGAACACTCACTTCGTTCACAACACAAAAGCGATAAAATATCTAGAGGGTCATAGGTTCTAATTTTAATTAGATTGTCCCAATTTTTTTTTTATACGTTGAAAGTCTAATATTGATGTCTCTGTATATCATTTACAGTTGAAATGTTTTCTTTTCTTTTCTAAAATTTTATAACTCTTGACAATTTTTTCCCTTATAAATATGATTCTTCAACTTTTCTCTTTGAGAAAACCATGTTTTACATTATTTAGCATTGTCATTTTGAGGCATGATGGATGTTTTTAAAAGAAATAAATCTTTTTGAAATAATTTATTATTATATTGTACAAATAGTCACTTTTATGATCATTGCTAAAGGCAACAGGTGGCGTTATACTTCAACAACTGTGTATACTTTCATGTATAAAGGAATATAAGATCTTGAACAGTAAGCTGAGGTTCGTAAAATGAGGATTAGTGAATTGCCTTGGGATATTAATTTTTCACACAGCAAATAGAACTTTTCTCAAGAAACAAGGTATAACACTCATTACCAATGCTGTGTATGGACTTTTATTAAATGTACACAAAGTCAATCTTTAAAAAATATCTTTGAATGAAAACATTTACTGACAAAAATACAAAATAAGCTTGAAAAAAAATTCAGTCTTAAAATAATCTTCAGTTATCCATGGACAGCATTTCCATTTATGCTCAGTCTATGCACGGATACAAAATGATCATAACCATTCTCAATGGTGACTCTCAGGTGAGTGGCTCTTTTATTGTTGACAGGGAATTCCTCTTGTTGGAGTGCATTATCTGTAGAATCAAGCTCTGGAAAGAACAGAAGTTTAATTTATTGCAGTTAAAAAAAAACCAGTCTAATGATCAGTTTTCTGATAATTCTGAGTTTCTGTTTTGAATGCAAGAAATTGGTAAAGCATCTGAATCCTGCAAAAAATTTTATGTGCAACAGTATTTGCTTGATTATTTTAATAGGTGATTTACATAAATTTTGTGAATACAGTTCTTGAACACCCCCCCCCCCCCCCCCATTACTTTGTCAGTACACAGCAATATCTTATTGAACTAGTTCATTTATGTGAAAAAGTAAACCAATTTAAAAATAACAATTCCAGAACACATAAGTGGAGCAGATAGTACATGCTGAAAAATTAAAACCATTTGAAATTAACTTTTTTTTTTTTTACTCTTTAAGTTGTGTATATGGAATTTATCATTTTCAGACATGGCAAGTAAACTGCCAGAACTGACAAAGTCTTTTATCATATATGTTTGTTCAGAACAAATTACGTTTGTTGTTTTTTAAATCAAAAATTATTTGCAATTTTTACTGATTCTATTCAGTATTGGCTGATTGAGAACTGTCCAAAAATTGGATTGATTTAGAAATCTGAACATCTACCAACTTTCCCAAAGGAATTAATATTTTGAACAATATGTTCACGTCTTATTAAGAAATGTTTTTGAGTGAATGCGTGAAAATGAACTGAACATAAAAGATGCACAATTATCAATTTCTAAGTGATTTAGTAATAGCATTTACTCAAATGAACCTTTATTTCTTGCTAAGAAATTCTTGTTTTTGTCCTTCACTCACAAAGAACAAAGTACGTTTCAATACAAATCTTGCTCTGTGTTTTTCTTAAAAATGAAAGTGATGTTAAAAAAAAAAAATAAAATAAAACTCATGCTTTCTGAATCATTGAAATTCCATGCAGAAAGATCATACAAATTATTTTTCTCACGTACATGACCTTCTAAATGCTAATTGTGATGTCATAAACATGTGCATTTTCCGGTATTTTCTTTAAAAAGTTGCAGAAGACACCAATTTTCAATGGAATTTTCTTTCAGATAATATATTTGTCCTCGGACATTGCCCACAAAGATTTTGAGATATGTGATTTTTCAAAGATTTTAAACGACATATCTGAAAATTAAAGTGGGCGAAGGCTGTGGACACTATTTTCTTAAGGAAAATAACTCTTGAAATTGGTCATTTTGAGGCTTTTTCTGTTTAAAATAGGAAAATGCATCAAATTAATGATGTCATATTTCCAGAATGTACTCCTTCATGCCATATTCTTTCCTGATTTATCACAGTCATATATTCAACTAATATTTAAGCTTTTTTCAAAACATTTTTAAAACATTAAATTTTTAGGGCACAATAAAGCTAAAACCGTACCTTCTTCTCAGCAGTAGAATGAGAACACTAGATTCCTGATTCATGAATTAAAGGTTCAATAACTAAGACTGGTTTATAAAAACATACCTTTTTCAAGCAAATCTTCAAAATTTGTTGGTTCAGTTTCTTTGCTGGTTTGAAATGATATTTTCCTTACTGTTAAAAAAAAAGATAAGAAACATTTTTTTTTATTATTTACACCTTGAAGTACATGTATATGGCTAATAAAAGAATCAAAATTTAAGCAGACTTTATTCTAAATTCTATTTCACAGGTAAAAAATTAGTATCACAAATGTAATGTAATTCATGAAAACTGACCATAAAAACCAATTATATTTAAGAACTGAAAGGTTCAAGGCACCAGTTTCAGGGATATGCATGACTATAGACGAATTTCACATTTACGAAAGTTATTTCCCTTTGCAGGGTCAATCTGGGGTCAACCGGCGTAAGACACTGTTTTCCCTCTATGACATTACCAACTTTTTGGGGCAATATCTCGCAAATTAAAGCCGTTTGAATTAGGGATGGCAATCAAAAACAGAATTCCTAATCAGTTAACTGCAAAACGTTCTGACCGATTAACCGTTTAATTGTATCAAACTACACAATGTCATTTTCTTGACTTTTTTTCAAGTAGCTCTATTCCAATGCACAAGAAGTCTTTAAAAAAGATGTTAGAGGTCAAAATCATTCTATTTGTCTTTAGTCTTGATCAGAAACTACGCACATATTTTTTTTCAATAGACAAGAAAAAATTCAGAAAACCATGAAACATGCCTGAGATATCGTGGATAATTTTCCAGAGCGGATGTCACACAAGTTCATTTTTCATTGTCACCATAACCAAAACTACCGGTAAGTCTAAAATGTATCATTTAATTTACAATGTTTGTATTATAATTTAATTTGATAGATAATTGCAAAAGATACACACACCAATTCACGGTGCTCAACAGTGATTATTATCATTAAAGAATTAGAGGGGTAACGACATGATGTTTTAACAGTAATTAACATATCTCAGACTGACCAATAACCAGCAATTTTAATCTGGAGAGCCATAATTACCTCCCAATCAGCCTAAATAAATATATGAAAATGCTAAATAAAACATTTAGGAATTTCTATTTTAAAAATGAATTTTAGAACATTGCCTTCAATTTTACATATATCATAATTTTTTTTCGACTAAGCAATTACAGATTTTCTAACCGATTGCCATTGTTCCGACCGAGTAATCAGTTAACCGGTTAGAAATTGCCATCCCTAGTTCGAATATGTTCATTATGTTTTTCATGTTGCCCCATACTAAGGCAATTCAGGTACGGGTCAAAACTGTCCGATTCCATTTGAAGGTTGAAAATATTTACAGGAAAATTACAAAGGATATAGTGACAAAAATGAGTGTTACGCCAACAACGGGAGATAACTCTTAAGAATGTGAAATTTGTCTATTGAACTTTATATGGTTTTGCAAATCACTCTGATAATTATGTCATTATGAATATGTAATAAAAAATATATAGATTTGAGCATTTGTGTTGATGCAATGACAGCAATATTACAAGACAAGGGCTAAAGTGTTCTACCAGAAAGCAACACAAACAAGGGTTTGTACTGCGGCTTACCATTATAGCATGCTATTTCAATGCGTTGTATACTCATCATGGATGAAAATGTTATGATGAATTCTTGTGGATATAGACCTGTTGATGCCCAAAATGTTTCTTGGTCCCTGAAAAATAGAGATTCAGTTGCTGTAAAAATAAAATATTTTGTTGACTTAAAAAAAGCTACAGATCAAGGGCTATGGAAAGTGTTGAACCAACCAAAATATTTCATTTAATTTTAACGCCACAGCTATATTATGGCAGGATTCTTTTTAGATTATGCAATACAATCCCTGATACTAAAACATGTGTAATATATCTAATAAAATGTATACCTTTCCGGAGAAATTATATTATCGATATAATGCCAGGTATATGTGTTTTAGGAAGAATAAATTAAGAAGGAAGGTAATTTTTTCATATTTCAAATAAAGTGTTGAATATGTTTTCTTTCATATTTTTTTTTCCACACAGGGAGCATGCTCCTGAACTTTTAATTGGCAAAGATATGAATCTTTTAGGCATAACTCCCCTGGTTATGTATATACACACAATGAAGATGATTATAGGTGGAAATGACTGTAAAATATGGCGAAATAGCTAGATTTTTATTACAAACCCGTCAATTATGTTTTCAGGCGGATGATTTCCATCACTGGAAGTCGCTAACACAACTTGTGCGCCAGCACTTTTCAGAGCAACATCAAACATTAGTCCTTGTGGCGTTGATGGCAACAAAATATTTCGTCGATGTTATTTGAGTGCTTGAAAAGAATTTTGGAAATCTAAAATTTAAACTCGAAATTCCGGTTTTGAAAAATATTAATATGTATTCATAATTTTACTTATAATTCAAAGTTGGAATGCCTAGTGAATGATTATATAAAAATCTTTCTTAATATATCAGCAAAAATACTTCAATTAGTAACATAATGTAAATATTTTCCCAACATCCCGGAATTTATCACGCTAACATTTTTGTATTTTGTAAATGAATATTTGGCGCCATATTTCAAACAAAATGCGACATAAGTGCTGGCATTGGATTACAACTTTCTGCACATCAGGTAAGACAAGTCGCAGGAGTCGGCAATTTTATCATTATTGATTAAACAATATAAACAATATCCAGTGAGCTCGCGAAGCTCACTGCTTGTGTACATTGTTTATTGTTATGTTTGTTGATTTAAAAAATAAAAGCAGTCAATCATAGGAGCTATGACTATGGCAATGGGGAGGGAGTTATTTAAAGAAGATAAGGGAGAGGAGAAGGATATGGAAAAAAGGGAAAGAAAACAGGAATTAAGGCCAGGATAAGAGCACAGGTGCTTGAGGACAGGACCCCCCCCATCGATATAGACCCCCGGGCCTTTTCTCTCATAAATTATCTTTCATTAACATATTTGTGATATAATCTATACCAACAATTCGAAAAATTACCTAAAACAAACATTTTATAAAATCTACCCCACTCTCTATATCTAAAAATCAACAAGGTTAATTTATATATATAGGGTAGGGTAGTAATTTTTATAAAATGTTTGTTCAAGTCAATTTTCCGAATTGATTATATAGAGATTACATCATAAATGAGTCATCCATATATAATTCATGACAAAAAAGTCGAACAGGCCAGGGGGTCTATATCGGGGGGGGGGGGGGGGGTCCTGTCCTCGAGCACCTGTGGATAAGAGGAGCTTGGGAGAATGAGAGAAAAAGGATGGGAAATATTCAGAGATCCAAGAAGGATCAATGGGAGGAAAGGGAAGGATATCCCTCCTCCCCCCGGGGCCAGAGTGAAATTGTTTCCTATGGGTCTGTACCCTGCATACTATCTGTGCCTTGTATCTTTCTGGAATCAATAGGCCCCTTAGTCTTACACTATTATCAAAGACATATCTCCTTTGTTATGGTATATATGGTCGATCCTTGCTATTATCAGATTATATACAGGTTTTGTCAAGTAAAACATGTATATAAAACAAAAATGGGATACTTTGTTTCATATTAACTGCATGAAACTGATCATCTAGATTTACAATGTGATTTTAACTCTTTCATAATAAAATTGCATCTTATTGTACATAATGTGTATATATAATTTTTTGAATTTATTTAATGTACAGATGGTGCCATCATTTGGTAGACTTCTAGCAGCTACTTTGTATCAATATGTCTAATGGACACTAGGCCATTAAAACTCAGGAAAACAGAAGAACAGATTCCGCAAGGGAAACAATTGAAAGTCCCAGCTCTCTATAATCAATGCATTCGATACATAGCAAAGAATTTACATATGGTGGAAAGCTTTAGTGGATTTCCTGATCTAGTGGCATCAGATATTTTTAAGGAAGCCGAAAAGTTGAGGAAATTTGACATAGTAGCTTCCGAAATTCCATCAAAGAATGATTCACTTAAAAACATTCAGTTATTCTGTGAGGTGTATTCAGATTGTGTCCTGTCCAGTTTGAATTTATCTACCTGTTACTTAGGGTTGAATTACTGTTTGGAACACTTTTTGACATTTTATGGACTGCATTCTTTGGATGTTTCAAACTGCTTCCTAGGTGATGACCATGAGATTTTATCACATATTGCAAGTTTATTATGGTAAGTATTTGGTAACAGAGCAGTTGAAACATGATCGAGCTCATTACATACATACAGTTGAACTTCGTTATCTTGAACACTGCTATCTCGAATACCATGGATATGTCGAAGTGATTTAGAGGTCTCAACCACTTACCAGGTATTCTTTGTGTATTTTACTCGCGATATCTCGAATCTTCGGATATCTCTAAGTTTTTTCTCATTCCCATTGAGTCCAAGATAATGAGGTTTGACTATTTCTTGGACTAAAAAAAAAATTCATGCTTTCAGCAAATATGTTTAAATTGTCATTTCCAGACTTAATTCAGTAGCAGAAATTGTATTCAATACCAAATTTTAAGGATTTAATTCATAATCAATTCATAATCAATCATAAAAATTATTTCCTATGTAGCTTGTAACACGAGCTTTGATTGGTTACAAAGTCGGGTGTAAATTTCCGTATACCCGACTTGAGCCGGGGGTAAAAAAAATGTGACGTCACAATGCATAGTTTCTCTATGATAAAAAGCAAATAACATGACATCAGGATGCATTGTAGGATGTAGTAAATCTTATCAATAGCTTGAAACACAGTTGATTGGACTTGTTTACAAAGAATTTATTTGGGTATATAGGAAATAAATTCGTTATCCAGGTCCAATCAAGGGTTTACAGGGATTTACCCCAGGTTGTATTCCACACAGCCTTCGGCCTCAGGGTGTGTGGAATAAAACCCAGGGTAAATCCCTGTACACCCTTGATTGGACCTGGATAACTAATAGTATCCATGAATATTATAAATCTCCAGCAAAATGTGAAATTGGTTCGTCTGTTCTGTATGCCATTGTTTAAGTGTACTGAGTATTAAATGCATAAATCATCTTATCTTTATGCATGTAGTTTGAAGGAGCTGAACTTAAGAAAAAACTGTCTGTCTGATAAGGGAGTGTGTAATTTGTATGCACCATTTATGCTCTTCAAAAGAGGTCCAGAACATTTGACAGTATTAGATATTTCAGGTAATATTTTAACTTGATTACATTAATTTTCAACAAGTAGTAAACCAAAACCTCTTTCTCTCTCACATTTCACATAAATTGTAATAAATGTTATGTATATACTGAATAATGATTTTATTGTATTTTCTTATCAGAAAATGGATGTGTATCAAAGAAGAGTGTCCAGAAACTCAAATGCTTCACCCATCTACAGAAAATTGATGTCACTGGAACAAGTGTCAAGGTAAAAAAAAAAGAAAAAGTATTCCTCTTCCCCTTTTTTTTGTTTTTGAATTTGTAAAAAGATAGTAATAAATACATACCGGTACTGTTGAACTTTGGTATCTCGAACAGGGATATCTTGAATACCATGAATATGTCAAAGTCATTTTGAAGTCCCAACTGCTTATTTTACCCTAGATATCTTGAATCCTCAATTATCATGAAGTATTTTCTTGGTCCCTTTGAGTTCAAGATAATAAGGTTTGACTGTATGTAGTACTGGTATACATGTACACTAATGCACACTGTCACTTTTAAGGTGAAGGAAATGAGCAATGAATGGAGGCTATACCCAGAGAAAACAGACTCTCTGTTGTCTATAATTAACGAAGGATGGGCATCCGAGCTAGTTCAAAAGTGGACCGTTCAAGCCATACAGGCACAAAACAGTAACAACCAAGAAAAAAAGACGTCGAAGTTCTGCAAGTATTCTTTTTACAAGAACTGAATGCTCAGTCAAATGAGAATCAGTTTGTTTATGACTGTTTATATGTTCACATTTTCCACCTCTTCCAAAGAAAAAACTGAACCTTTCACGAAGCTTTCTTTCACAATGGAAACATTTAAACAAAGGAGCACTCCCTCTAAAGGGAGATTATAAGGTTGTATAGAAAATTGGATTGTATAAATAAAGATAATTTATTATATATGAAACAGTTTCCAGTCTTGAACAAATTTAGGGTACAAGGAAGTACAATGAACTCCGGTATCTTGAATACCAAGAGTTGGAAGTCCCAACTACTCTTTTTCTATGTATTTTACTTATAGTGTAGTTTAAATGTGTTTAGATCATTGTACATGTTGTAGCTAGATAATGATTGTCAAATCAACATGCAACCAATGTATGCTAATAGATAAGCAGTGTACTGTATAGTTCAAACTGTGATAATCTGTTAAACACAGGTAAGGGGCCAAAGTTCAAAGAAAAGCTTAAACATATATACATGTATTTGAAAGAAAGTTTTGCTCTCTATCCATTAATGTTCACTTAGAACATTAGATCATTATTCATTTAGAACAGTGCTTGAAGAACAGTATCCATTATTTTGGACATCATTTTTCTTTATTAAAGATTAATATGTATTGGTCACATTTACTTAATAGTAAACATGCTTTTTGTAGATTCCTTACTCAAGAAAAAGAGTCAGGTTGCAGTAAAGGATGCTAGTGTAGTTTCATTTGTACCGGGATACAGACTTATCCTCTACAGAAATCGCACTAAAAACCCAGTCCCTGCACAGCAGAGCAAAGTTCATACAAATACTGAGCAGGATACATGTGCCTCTATGAACTCAATAATAGATTTGTATAAAGTGAAGGATGATCCAAGATGAAATTTTAAAAAAAATTGCTTTTTGAATCATACTAAGCTAGTTGTTCTTTTCCAGCAAGTTATGAAAATGATCAGACTTTTTTTTTGTTGTTTTCAAGAATTTATTTCTAATAAATCTTTATACTTATATTGTATTTATTATAATTTTTTGTCTTTTTCGAGAATTTATTTCTAATAAATCTTTATACTTATATTGTACTTATTATAACTTTTATTTGGAAGTTTATTTTTCTAAATTTAGTTTAAGGAACACCAATTGAGAAGCTGTGCCATTAGGCACTTATATAATTTCTAGAAATGTACCATTCATCAACGAAAAAAGTAGGTCACCTTGACCTACTTTTGCAATTTCATGGCTTAATTTTACTATTTCAGATACAAATTGGCTTGGAATTTTCAAACTGTCAGTTGATGCATTTTGGGTCCCCTGAGTGTGTTAACCAAACAAGAGTCCCATAGGCCACAATGCTCACTTGAGGTACTTTAGCCCTTCTGTTCTTCATCAGATTTTTCCCTTGTAATAATACTTATTGTGGCCCAACCCTACCCACGGAGGTCATGATTTGAATAATATAAATCTACACTACCCTAGGATGCTTCCGCCTAAGTTTCAGCTATTCTGACTCCGTGGTTTCTAGGGAAGAAGATTTTTGCTATATATTTCAATGTAAAAATTGGATTCCCTATCGTGGCCCCACCCTACCCCTGGGGGTCATGATTTCAACAATTTAAAATCTTCACTACCTCCAGGATGCTTCCACATAAGTTTCAGCATTTCTGGCCCAGTTGTTCTTAAGAAGCAGATTTTTAAAAGATTTTTTCTATATATTTCAATGTGAACATTGGATTCCCTATTGTGGCCACGTCCTAACCCCGGGGTCGTGATTTTAACAACTTAGAATCTACACTACCCCAGGATGCTTCCACATAAGTTTCAGCTTTTCTGGCCTCGTGGTTCTTGAGAAGAAGATATTTAAAGTTTTTTTCTATATATTTCAATGTAAAACTTGGAATCCCTATTGTGGCCCCACCCTACCCCCGTGGTCATGATTTTAACAATTTAGAAGCTACACTACCCAAGGATGCTTCCACAGTAGTTTCAGCTTTTCTGGCCTTAGTGGTTCTTAAGAAGATTTTTTCTTTATATTTCAATGTAAAAATTGGATTCCCTATTGTGGCCACACCCTACCCCCAGGGGTCATGATTTTTACAATTTAGAAGCTACACAACCTAAGGATGCTTCCAAATAAGTTTCAGCTTTTCTAGCCCAGTGGTTTTTAAGAAAAAGATTTTTAAAGATTTCTTCTATATATTTCAATGTAAAAAATTTGATTCCCCATTGTGGCCATGCCCTACTCCCAGGGGTCATGATTTTAACATTTAGAATCTGCAATACTCCAGGATGCTTCCATATAAGTTTCAGCATTTCTCGCTTAGTGGTTCTTCATTAGAAGATTTTTAAAGATTTTTTTTCTATACATTTCAATGTAAATCTTCGATTCCCTATTGCATCCTCGCCCTATCCCAGGTGGTCAGGAATTCAACAATTTAGAATTTTCACTACCCCAGGATGCTTCCACATAAGTTTCAGCATTTCTGGCCCAGTGGTTCTTAAGAAGAAAGTTTTAAAAGATTGTTTTCTATATATTTCAGTGTAAAACTTGGATTCCCTATTGTAGCCCCCGCCCTACCCCTGGGAGTCATGATTTTAACAATTTATGAATCTACACTACCCAAGGATGCTTCCACATAAGTTTCAGCTTTTTTTGGCACATTGGTTCTTGAGAAAAAGATTTTTTAACAACCCCACCCTATTTTTGTCTTTTCTTGATTATCTCCCCTAGTAAGGAGACTTGGCCCTTTATTTTACAATTTAAACTCTCCCTCACCCGAGGATGCTTTGTACCAAGTTTGGTTATATGTGGCCCAGTGGTTCTTGAGAAGAAGTTGAAAATTTTGAAAAGTTTACAAAGGGTGATCAGAAAAGCTCGCTTGAGCTTTCAGCTCAGGTGAGCTAAAAAGTAGGTCACCGTGATCTACTTTTGAAATTTCATGACTATTTTAGATACTAATTGGCTTAGAATCATCAGACTCTGTTAATTGATGCATTTTGGGTCCCCGGAGGGTGTCAATAAAAAGGTCACTGTGAATTGCTTTTGGAATTTGATGGCTATTTCAGATAGTAATTGGCTTAGAATCATCAAACTGTCAGTTGCTGCATTTCGAGTCCCTGGAGTTTGTCAAGTAAAAAGTAGGTCACTGTGACCTACTTTTGGAATTTCATGGCTATTTCAGATACTAATTGGCTTAGAATCATCAGACTCTGTTAATTGATGCATTTTGGATCCCCGGAGGGTGTCAACAAAAAGAAGGTCACTGTGAATTACTTTTGGAGTTTGATGGCAATTTCAGATAGTAATTGGCTTAGATTCATCAAACTGTCAGTTGCTGCATTTCGAGTCTCTGGAGTGTGTCAAGTAAAAAGTAGGTCACTGTGACCTACTTTTGGAATTTCATGGCTGTATCAGATACCAACTTGCTTACAATCATCAAACTTTGTCAGTCGATACATCTTGAATCGTTGGAGTGTATCAATCAAAAAGTAGGTCATGCTGTCCTATTTTTGGAATTTCAAGGCTTTATTCTTATATATAGGATACTAAGAGGCTGAAAATAGAAGAGATGGTTGTACAATTTCTCAGAAGAGTGATTCTAGGCCTTTGGGCCTCTTGTCATGAATAAACTTGCATGGATGATGCACCAAATGATGGACACTACCAGAATTACTTCAGGTGCTGGTTCTGATATATTTTGCAGACAAGTTCAGTTTTTTGAACAGGTACCGCTACATCATTTCCAAGTATCTGCAAGTTCTAATGAAACCAAACTTGCATGGATATTGTTCTTGGGATGCATACAACTAGAAAAATTCTGGTGTGAGATTTGCCTTATTTATAGATAACATTCGTCTAGGTGAGCTTCATAGTCTTTAAATACCTACGATTCTATTTCTCCACAGAAATCTACTTTATTCAGAAAAACCTCAGCCCATGCTTATTCTCACAGGTCACACTTCACACCTTCTAAGATTAAAATTAATCTGAATTAAGCTTTTATACTTCTGCCAGTCTAAATTAGCTTGTTGGAAGAAAATTATTGGACAAATAAAGCAGGGGCAATGATTTTTTTTTGTAATGATAAACTCTTCAAATTAACCCAATTCAATTGACCTTGTATGTGAGTGAACTTCATAGTTTTTACAATTTTTTGCGTATGTCCAAAAACTGCATGACCTTGTTTATGATTTATAAATCCATCAGAATAAATACTTCAGTGTTTTCCATGTTTGGTTTATGCAAGCCTAAAACCTTGATCTCCATGTGTCCACCTATGTCTTCAGTATTGTAAACTGAATGCTGTAGAGCACTAAACAAGTCATACTTGACTACTGTAAACACATGAAAATTCAAATCCACTATAAAAAATTTCACTGTTGGTAACTGACATTTCATGGCTATATAGAACAAAATTAATATGTAATATGGGTGTCTACTGTATGGACACTGAAGCCACAAATGTGCCAAGCTGTTTGAAGTGGTTGGGGGGGGGGGGCTCTATCATTTCATCTTGACAAAGATCCTCTCAATATGATTCAGCAAATCAAACATTAATCAGCAGCAAGAATTTATTTTATTTTCATAGTAACTACAATACAAACAAGCAATAAATGATAAACATGCAAAACAACAACATTGCTTGAAAGGGTTTCACTGCATATGATACCTAGTAAACCAACAGAGGTCACACATTTAATAGGAGACAATTGGTTGGTACTAGTGGGTGGCTATATCAGTTGATGTGATCTACTCTAAAAAGATGTGTTTGACACATACATGTATAAATAGGATAAATCAAAATACTTAATAATATTCTCAATACATTAATTGTAGTAATATCGGTACATATAACAAAAAGGGGGGATGGGAATCAGGAATTCAAGGTTTTTAACAATTTTCCACAGGTTCACTCTTTGAGTTGTTACATTTCATTTCTGTGAAAATACAAGTGTCAACATTAATATTTGTGCTCTATGATCACAAAACTAATGAAACCTTTTTTTTTTTTTACAATGCTGTAACTACATGTAAAGGAAGTTGCAAAGGGGTCAACAATTTTTATTTAACAAATTAATTTAAACAAGTAATTCATAAACTCCAACACGATGCTGCATGACCTTTCTGAACTCCATAATTATCATCCCATGTTTCAGAAGTTGCCTTCTTTGGCATGATGCAGATTTTGCCAACCATTTTTTGAATGCCCAATTCTATCATTATCTATAAATAGTAAACTAGTATAATGTGGTCAGGCATAAAATTAATTCATATTTAAGGACTCCAGAAAGACTAACGATTCTTTTGATGAAGATCTCATTACAATACTATGCTAATGATATATTGAACAATCATCTCCATTTTGATGTAATAAAATGAACTAGTATTTAATAAATGATTGGTAAAGGGCACATTGCAGCTGCAGTCAAATACTGGTACACCAAATTTTAATGCCTACAGTACTAAGCTTTCAAATTCAACATGGTGAAATTTACCAGGTCTGAACACCTATAAAAGTACCATAGGAAGTTTTACTTCTTCACAATACTGACAATTCTGTAATGTGATAAACTAATTTCAATCTCCCACTTTAATAGCAGCCAATACTTCTGTAACCTTGTATGAATACACAAAAATACTACTTTTTTTTTTTACAGACATACACTCATACTTTTTAACTACAGCATTAAGCAAACAAATTTCATACAAACTATCAACACTAAAATTCTACTACATGGATCCATCATGAGCCAGAGTGTCAATCAACTTTGTGTGTGTATTGGTTGGGGGGAGGGGACTATCCACATACCCCTGAGATTATCAGGGTATTAAATCTATATAAAAAAGTACCCGGTAACCAAAAAATATTAATAAAGTGACCAAAAAATGATCTTAGGACCCCTCCACCCTCCTTTAGGAAACATGGAACCCTCGTATGCCGTATTAAAGAAATTACATGTATATATATATATATATATATATATATATATATATATATATATATATATATATATATATATATATATATATATATATATATATATATACATATATATATATTTAAAGGAATGCCGCTTGTCCATGAGAAGTTCCTGAGAGTTTATTTGATCAGTTTTGAAAAATTAAGAATTATGAGGTGCAAACTCTCTTCTACAACAGCACCTGAAATTTTATGTTTTCAAGGACAAATATGTTTCCAAATTTTTAATTTAAACTTGAATGAAAATTTAAGCTGTTCCCCACAGCTCTGTACATCACGATCATCTTGTCACAATAGCCATAAACAATTTTATCTATTTGTTCATAAGCTGAGTGTATGACTGTAAATGAACATGTTTTTTAATGTATAATTACAGTAAAACTTGTCTAATCTGGACATCAGTGGAAATTGGCCGGATTAGCCAAAATTCCGGGTTAGACAACATCTTAAATAATTGAATTTACTGAAAGGGACTTAAAATTTCCATCATATTAGGCAAGATTTCGGAATATACAACATCCAAATTAGACAAGTTTCACTGTATTAATTACTTAGGAAAAAAATCTTGCTGCAACATAAGAACTTTACAAGCAACTGACACTGTTCCTCTTGACTGAACATCATCATCACTGGTTTCTGAATTTTAAGACCTGCAACAACAGAATGAAGGACAATTTGCAAAGTGCTCAATGAATAATATGCAACATACCCATCCATTTTCAAAAGAAGATGGAAAAAATAAAATCCTGTGAAGAAAATGAACTATGTTTTGAAAATTAGAGATGAAAAATAGTTCAACTTTGATTAGGTTATCTACATCAATGCACACCTTGTTTTAAGTGGGAGGCATCCATTATACGAAAAAGCATTTAACGAGATTACGTTTCCTTTTCCTTTTTTAAAAAATAACTTTAATTCCTCAAAATGACATGTTAATCATAACTACAATATATGAGTGGTTTCTATAATCCTGAAATTATCTTCAAAAAATAAATATGCATTTCTAAAGATGCCATCCTTTTAATATCAAACCTCGACCGCCGTGATCTTCGCCTGTCTCTTGATCTTGACCTTGACCTTCGTGACTCTCTGATTGGTGACCTGGATCTGAAACAAGATAAAAAGTCATTATCAGTACCAATTTATGCTATTAAGGAAAATGTTACAACAATTCCAATGATATATGTTCATTAAAACTTTAAATAAAAAAAATAAACAAAAATTAAAAATTTCTCATTATTGTTAAATACTGGGCCTTTGGTAATATTAAATACTGAACTGTATAACTTTAAATTAATTTACACTGAAAAACAACACATATTATTAATAAATGACCAAAACTGATAACGACCTTTTGACCAATACCAAGGTGAAACCCTGTCACCCCGTTACCTTGACCTAGACCGTCTTCTGTTCTTGCTACGGGATCTGGATCGAGAGCGTGAGCTTGAACGGGACCGGGATGACCTAGAGGATGAAGAGCGTGATGAGCGAGATGAGCTAGATGAAGAACTTCTCGATCGTGATCTGGATTTGGACCTCGCAGACGTTTTGGTGTTGTCATCATCATCATCATCACTGGCACCAAGGTCATATGCACCCAAATCACCATCTTCATCATCATCCTCTTCTTCCTCCTCTTCTTCATCCTGCATAAAAAGTTAAAGTTACTCTATACAGTAATAATCTTCCACAGCATTTTATCAAGGAATGTGTGTCTTATTTTCAGTAACATACATCTTGAGGTGGAGGTGGAGCTGGCTTTGGGGCTACTTTCTCTTCTGTGGATCCTCTAAATTTCTTCTTTTTTCGACCAAACTGAAAAAGAAAACCATGTTTTTTAAAATTAAATTCAAAATGGGAACCATTAAGTTGGAACATTCTCTCACACAAACACACACACACAAAAAAAACAAGAGGCCCAGGGGCCACATCGCTCACCTGAGCACTGTGGCTAGGAAAAAAGAAAAAAATCAGTTAAGTATTGAAAAGCTTAAAAAAAGTGGTCCCAACCTACCCTAAAAGGGAGTGGGAGGGGGGTATGATTTGAACAAAATTAAATCTACACTTACTAAGGATGCTTACATAATTTTTTGACTAACTGTGACATTTTTCTCTACAAGTTTGAACTTTCATTGTGGCCCCACCCTACCCCATGGAGGTCATGATTTGAACAAACTTGAATCTACACTATCTGAGGATGCTTCCATATAAATATTACAAACAGTGGCTTTGCTGTTCTTGAGAAGATTTTTAAAGATTTTTCCTATATATTCCTATGTAAAACTTTGATCGTTCATTGTGGCCCCACCCTACCCCTGGGGGGTCATGATTTGAACAAACTTGAATCCACACCACCTGAGGATGCTTCCACATAAATATGACCAATTATAGCTTTGCTGTTCTTGAGAAGAAGATTTTTGAAGATTTTTCCTATATACACCTATGTTAACCTTTGATCGTCCATTGTGGCCCCACCCTACCCCTGGGGGTCATGATTTAAAGAAACTTGAATCTACACCACCTGAGGATGCTTCCACATAAATATGACCAATCATAGTTTTGCTGTTCTTAAGAAGAAGATTTTTCCTATATTTTCCTATGTAAAAATTTGATCGTCCATTGAGGCCCCACCCTACCCCCGGGGGTAATGATTTGAACAAACTTGAACCCACACCACCTGAGGATGCTTCCACATAAATATTACCAGTCATTGCTTTGCTGTTCTTGAGAAAAAGATTTTTGAAGATTTTTCCTATATATACACCTATGTTATGCTTTGATCGTTCATTGTGACCTCACCCTACCCCTGGGGATCATAATTTGAACAAACTTGAATCTACACCACCTGAGGATGCTTCCATATAAATATGACCAATCATAGCTTTGCTGTTCTTGAGAAGAAGATTTTTGAAGATTTTTCCTAAATATTCCTATGTAAAACTTTGATCGTCCATTGTGGCCCCTACCCTACCCCTGGGGGTCATGATTTGAACAAACTTGAATCTACACTACCTGGCAATAATTCCACATGAGTTTCATCTTTCCTGGCCCATTGGTTCTTGAGGAGAAGATTTTTCAATAATGCCATTATTTTTTTGTTATTTCGTAATTGTCTCCCCTTGTTGAAGGGTGTGGCCCTTCATTTGAACAAACTTGAATCCCCTTCACCCAAGGATACTTTGTGCCAAGTTTGATTGAAATTGGCCCAGTAGTTCTGGAGAAGAAGATGAAAATGTGAAAAGTTTACGACAACGCCAACAACAACACCAACGACAACGCCAACGACGACGACAGACAACGGACAAATTTCGATCAGAAAAGCTCACTTGAGCCTTTGGCTCAGGTGAGCTAAAAACAATGGGTTTAAATACATATACATGTATATAGTCTTCAAAAAATGTTTTATGTATCTAAATCAAGATTATTTATTTAACTCGTGTAAATTATCAACCTTTAATTTTTTTTCACTTAAAACAAATTAAGAAACATACAAAAAACAAAATACCTCATCATATTCATCATCATCAACTCTCTCCTTATATTCAACAATTTCATCTCGTTCCATGTAACCTCCACCAAACCCTACAAGTGCCACACACAAGTTGGATTTGAATGACACAGTTTCCAAACTACTATTAATATTCTTATATACTGTACATGTTAATTCAATTTGTTTTCGTAGACACATATTCATAAATAAATACAAACCAGTCCTTTGTTCCTGTTTTCCATATTTTGGTGCGTTACAGACATTGCATGTAGTTCTTCTTGCCCAGTTCACATTAGCACAGCTGGTACAAAAAAAATTATTTACATTAAGTGTAAGTTCGCTGGTATAAATACATGAAGAGCAGTGTGCTTCATTTGATTGCCTTTACAGTGGTTAACTAGTACCAAGGGTTTCCTAAATAGGGAATAGAAATACTGGCAAAGCTAATAGAGGATTGTCAAGAAACTTCGAAAAATTCTTAGAGGTTAAATCTCATATAATTAATGATATAAATAATAATATGAGAAATGCCCATTCCTCTAACATATCCTATTAAAGTATTTGACAAAACAAAGTTCAGGATATCTAAGTTTCACTGTATTTTACCCATAATCATATATGTGGATCTTTTTTTTTCTCAGAGTAGTTGATGCTTTCAGTAATAGCTACTATTTTGATTCTAGGACACTACCTAATTACCTATAGGAAAAGAGTAACTGCTGTTTACCCCCCCCCCCCCCCACATGATGAATAGCAAACCACAACATATGATTATCTTACCTCTTACACTGCCAGTCATCGGCACTAAAGAGACCTTTGCTTTTGTCTGCTAACTGTTTGCCGATCTCTGTTCCACCTTTCTTGAATACAGTTCCATCTTTCTTTTCTGTTTTAATTAGTGAATAATTTGATTAGGTTTACATGTAATTTAGTTTAACAAGTCTGCAATAAACTGTTCAACAGATCTCCATATCTAAATATGTTTTTATCAATGTGATACAAGGCTAAATATTAGATAGTATTTCTTAAACATACCATAAATGATATGTTAAGATTAATATATTTTTAATATTAAAATATGTATACATTTTGAAGTATATGAAAAAAATATTTACACATTTCTCAATTTTACCCATTTCTGAATTCTTTAGAATGAATGAAATAAGCTATGAAGTACAATTGTTAAATTCCTAATACATGTATAGATAAATACCTTGTCCGCATCTATTACATTCATTTCTTCTAGAAAAATTAACATTCCCACACCTAAAAATGAAAATGCAATCTTTGAGAAATGTTTTCTGTAAAAAAAAAAGAAGAAGCTTTTTTATTTGTTCTTGTTTATAAATCAATCAAAGCTCATCAATATATTTGGGAAGTATGTTCTCTAATATTCTGGCAATTGCTACATTATACATGATACATCAGATTACTACCAACTAGATATGAGATTTATAAATATGGAATAGGACTTAGAATTTATTACAATCCATCAAATATTTTTTTATGTCAGATATCCATAAGAAATATGATTTTCAAAAGTGAAATCTGTTTTCAATATATGACTAACAATGGAACCTGAATGCTGAACCCAGGAGACATCGATTTTAAAAGTTTGGTAAAAGGTTACAGCGAATTACAAAATAGCGGTAAAGTTTTCAATAGCTTAAGTAATCATTGTAATTATGCAAACAGTTTGCCTGATACATGAGCAAGAAGATTTTTGAAGTTTTCCCCCCCAATATATATGACCAACTTAGCTCTTACTTTGGAGCTTGAACAAAGGGGCATGGGAGGAGGGGGGAAAATCAGTTAGTGTTTATTATAATCCTGTAAACACTTTGTCTGCTACACATATTTGTCCATGAGGACAGAGGAAGATTTTATGAGGTATTTTCAATATAATCATGACCATCTCAGTGCAAAGAGGTGCAAACGGGATCCAAGATAAATGGGTTATGCACTCATTGTAATCATACACTTAGTTTGTCCACTAGGGTAGATGTTATTTAGAGGTGAAGATTTTCAAAGATGTTATGAATTTTCAATATACAACTAACATAACTCCACCCTGAGGCCTGAACTATAGGCCCAGGGGTAGGAATTTCACAATTTTGATTAGAAAGGTAGTTGTTTACTATAATCATGTACTCAGTTTGCCTGCTTAATGTCCATGAGTGGAGAGGAACATTTTCAAAGATTCATTGTATTGTCAATATATGACCAACTAAGCCCTATCCTAGGGCCTGAACCATGGACCTAGTGGTGGTGAATTTCAAAATTCTGGTAAAAGATTAAGTCTCATTTTAATCATGCCATCAGTTTGCCTGCTAGATGTTCATGAGTAAAAAATATTTTATAGAATATAATGCATTTTCAATATAGATTCAGATTTATTTGCTAATTATGGTCCCACTGGGGCAATATATGATCAACCTAGCCCTAACCTCTTACTCTAACCCCCTCTTATGTTTGTAAAATTCAACATAAAATACTTCGGGAGCAAATGACATGATTAGGGCTGTCATGGTTCCAAAATTTTTCGGGTCGGGTCGGGTCTGTAAATTTTCGGTTCGGTTTCGGGTTTTTCAGGTCGGGTATTTACATCTATTTTAAACCTTAATTTCATGAATTTAACTTGAAAAATCTTTATTTGTTACATTAAATTTACATCGAGAAGAAGTCTTACATGTAACCATGCGAACGTCTATACATCGGTGACTTGGCCTACTATTAGTCACAACCTGACCATTCCTGCTCGTTTTGATAATCCGTGACAAGTGTTTTGTTATGGAATGAAGTAAATTTCAGTTGTGATGTTTATTTATCACTGTTATCATCATCATTCCTTTGATTTCGACGCCATTTTTTGTATTGAACAGACTCTAATATATAAACCAGACCCGAACCGAAATCCGGAAAAATGGAACCGGAACCGAACCGAACAACTTGGACCGCGGTTCTTGGTTATTTCGGGTAATCATGACAGCCCTAGACATGATGTCACACAGACCCTCATGGTGACTGCATCTTTTCAAAAAGTTGTTCATATTAGATGTTAGGGTCAATTTACTCAATTACAGTGACTGAGAGGGGGATCTGTCCAGAAATCTGGTTCGAAACATTGACTGATGTGAATCGTACCACAATGGCACATGTTGTTGTTAGTTTTAATTGTAAGTTTTAATTAAAAATGTGCAAGACTGGAATTCTCCAAAAATGTGTTGCACTCCTGTCACCTCGCTCGCCATCTATGCTCGAGGAGCTCTCTAATTGTTGTTTACATTGCTTTATTGATAAAACTGCCGACTCCTTTGATCAGTTTACAACCCATATTATACTACTTCACGTAGATTAATTTGAATACAATGAATACAATGTCAAATGATACACTGAAATCAATGACCTATACAAATGTGCATTATATGTAGTAGAAAATATGCATCAGTCTGATTTAATCAAGGCCTATAGTTTCATTTCGAATCAAATCTTTGTAATTGTTTCAAAAGGAAAGACATCCCTACTATTAAGGAACAGAAAGCAGAGTAAAAGGGACATGCTTGCAAATCAACTTAAACTGAATTTAAAACCAAACGGAACAATACTAAAACTTGACATTTTAATTACAATTGCTAAGGGAGATAATTTTCTACAAACTGAAGTATGTTATTAGCATGTAGCGGGGTATACATTGAAAAAAATAAGGCAACAGCATCAATAATTACAATCATTGTAATTCAGAAAATCTCAATAAAGCGAATATATACTTACTTTGGATCTGGACAGACCCAGTCGCCTTCGTTTGGCTTAAATCGTCCAGAGCCAGACATCGCCACCACACTTCTACCAAATAGGGTTTACCACGGCATATTCGATATTGCTTATTTCACTTACCTTTTCAATGAATTTTTTTTATGAAATCTTCTATGATATATATTTTATTATATATTTTAAATTCTTCTTTACAGAAGCACATTTTAAAGTTTTCCTACAAAAATGTTTACCACGACTTTCTTATGAACGAACTCCCATGTAAAATGGGTAACACCAATCACCGAAATATTCTTCTTGCATGCCATAAATATTATTTTGTATAATCTTTTTGTTCTTTAAATGTAAATCTAAAATGATAACATAATAAATGAATTAATGTTCTTGCAAAACAAAATAATAATAATAATGTAATATAGGAAAAGACTTTATCTTTATTTACCTGTTTTATTAGGGTTGCCTGCCGATTTATCAATAAGAGTTATCTTTCTTTGGTTAACTTTATTCCTTTATTCAAATTAAGACCACTTTTAGTTAAAATATAAGTATCCAGAGTCTAGAATAATTAATATTATCAATTCATTTTAAATTTCATAGTCATTTTTTAAAACGGGCATTCTTTTGCGTTTTCTTTAGAAGTTCCTGTAATCATGGTAATTTCTGAATATTTCGGTGATTAAAGTACTCATTGTAGCACTTGCTAAATCAAAGTTATATGTGCGTTTGAATACACTAGTAATTTGAATGTTTTTCTGAAGACCAAAATTTAGATTGATTATATCCAGCTGACCGACGGTTTCCACGGAAGGTGCGTACAGGATAAGTGTACAAAGTTCGTGGCAGAATAAATGGATGAGATATATCGTAAAAATAAGATAATATGTTGACGGTGCGACCGTTGGGGCGAGCGCAGTGTTCACTTCATTATTATGATCCGCCTCTTCAAACCGCACGAGACATTTGGAACGTCTAGACTGTGACGTCACATGACGTCGTATGTTAGCTGCATTTCCATAAACAAAGTTTAAAAGTGCAAATATTTTAACAAAGAACGTTTAATCTACTATCTGCATGCAATATCCATTAACTTAAGGTGAGTTTATTTTGTGTGAATTTTTAGTTGTTGTCACCGCGTGAACGAAGTTAGCAACGAGAACAAGAAGCGATGCATTGTGGGTCAGAATTACTGCGGAAAAAAATTCTATTGAATGAATGTGCAGTAGTCCGAATTTTCTCTTCGCCCAGGCGTTGTCGTTAGAGCTCGCAGTGACGAGCGGCGCTTCGCGCCGCTCGCTGCGCTCGCTATAACTCTCCATCAACTGCGCCATGGAGTCATCGGCCAGGAAGCGTCATCCAAAGGGACGCAGCAAAGATAATGTTATCCAAGGAGTTGGAGGTGTGGACGACACAGAAGATAAACCAAACAACCCCAAAATAAATTTTAATTCTTATGCTCTATTTTCTGTGTATCTAGGGACAGCGATGCTCATTTATTTGTTAATGTATCTACTGTTTCACAGTTTCCCAACACCTTTAAAAGGGGAAGCTTGTTTATCAGAAAAACTATTTTGTGAAGAAAGAGCAAGATTCCACTTGGAAAACATCACTAATTTCGGACCCCGTGTCGCTGGGAGCTATGCAAATGAAGTAAAGGCAAAAGATTATTTAATGAAGGAAGTTAGGAAAATTCAGGAACAACTTCATGCATCAAAGAAAATGGAAATAGATTTGCAAATTACATCTGGTTCTTTTCACCTAGTTAACTTTATACAAACTAACTTTTACAGCGTATACAGAAATATGCAAAATATTGTTGTAAAAATATCAGAGCAAGAAGAGTCAGAAGATAGTTTTCTTATCAATTGTCACCATGACAGTGTTTCATCTAGTCCAGGTAATTTATAGAATATGTATAAATATGTTTCTATGAACTTTGAAATTGAATACTTTGCTTTGCCATGTTTCCAAAAGGAATTTCTAAGTTCATTATATGCCATCTCTTTCCAAACATTAGTTTTAAAATCAAATGTTCCTGTATGAGGGATCCCCCCTTTTTAAATACAAAATTGAAATTCATACAGTGTGAAATTTTTTACAGTACATTTTGTCCTCTTACATCATGTTTCCTCTTCAAACTGAAAACAAAGTTGCCTTTATACTTTTAATGAAAGTATATGCTTTAGTTTAATTATTTTTTAAGGAAAGCATACTTATGCTGTACAATTGAAATCTTTGAAATTTGACTTTAGTCAAATTTTAGAAGTTATTTATTTTTTTCTTTTTCTGTAGGAGCTGGAGATAATGCAGTTAGCTGTTCAGTAATGCTAGAAATCATACGAATAATTTCTAGATCACCCTTTAAGCTCAAACACAATGTCATTTTTCTGTTCAATGGAGCAGAAGAAAACATGTTGCAGGTATAAAATGGAATAATTAATGGGAAAACAGTTTCTTTTACCATTGTTTTCCCCTCCATTGTCTTCTGAGTAGTGCCCTGAAAATTTCATAGAATCATGCTTCACTATCTTTAATTTTTCAAAATAGAAAAGAGGCCATAGGGCTAATAGCATTTTTCAATTAATTTTTTAATTTCATTTGTCTAGTAAATAACAAAATATTATACATCTAAATAATCCTTATGCTACTTTTCATTTTCTTTCATCCATCTTATTTATAAAAAATGCTTTTATCAAATTCTTCTATTGTTTATTCAACAGGCTAGTCATGGATTTATTACTCAACATAAGTGGGTCAAATCTATAAAGACTGTGATAAATTTAGACTCAGCAGGTGCTGGGGGCTGGGAAGTAGTTTTCCAGACAGGTATATTATTAAATGCTTTTCTGATTTTCTAGTTTAAGATGCTTCATAAAAATAATGTTTCACATAAAATAGTACAATGAACAGTCATTCAGATTATACTATCTCCAATATTAGGAATTATTCTTCATCTTAAATCTGACTCAATTATAAAAATATTTATTATCCATTTTGTATTACTTCAGGGCCTGAACATCCATGGCTGGTTGCAGCATATGCAGAATCAGTGCCTCATCCATTCGGTTCTGTTATTGGTCAGGAGTTCTTTGAACTTGGATTAATTCCTTCAGATACAGACTTCAGAATTTTTAGAGACTTTGGTAGAATCCCAGGTAGGTTTTTTTTTCTGATGTTAAAATTTTAACGAATTTTTATATTATTTTATTGATATACATGTACAACCCCCCCCCCCTTTTTTTTACCACAGAAACATATATTTCATTTCTGTAAATCTTGATTTTCAAACATACATATATGAATGATAAGGCTGATATTTTTTATTTCTAATGTAATAGCAGTGTTAGATTAAATATTAAAGCTTAATATAGAGTAATATTATATGCATGCTTTTTAATTCCAGGATTGGATATCGCACACATTGCCAATGGATATATCTACCACACAATGTATGATCAGCCAAAGTATATACCCTCTGGGTGTCTTCAGCGAGCAGGTAAGAATTTGTACAACAATTCAGTTTAATATAGAATCATACATAATATACTTAAGCAGTGTGAAAAAGGCAGAACAAAATCACAAGAGGTAGACATAAATAATTTCTAAAAAAAAAAAAAAAAAAAAAAAAAGGGCAGATTTAAGGATTTAAGTTCACCAAAATGACATACTGGTAATCTTCATGATTTAATTAAAAAAAACAAAAAACTAACTGATTTATTTCATGACTCTTGAGTAATGTACTTTTAATGACTATTGAGTCTTCCTTCATAACATAACTTGAGAGCATCCTGGATTTGTCAAGAAGCATTAATTTCATAATCATAGAGCCATAATTTCATACTCACAGAGTCCCCCAAATTTTTTTACTTGTTTTACAGGCGATAATCTCTTGGCATTGATTCTGAAGCTGGCATCCAATCCTAAACTGGCAGATCCGGGTCTAGACAGACATGGATCAATGATTTTCATTGACGTCTTTGGAATCTTCATGGTCCACTATCCCCTGAGAATCGGACAGATTCTGAATTATCTGGCTGTCGTTTTGTGTTTCCTTCACATTTATAAAACATCAGCAAGATATTCTATGAAAGGTACACCTGTATATTCTAAAATCCCTGAGCTATGTTACAATGGTTATAATAGGGGAGGTTTTTATTTCAAGAGTTAAAAAAAAATCTAAATCTATACTTATCACTCAAATGACTAATTGTTATACATGTACATCTTTACCCTTCACCATTTTTTTTTATTGTAAATGTACTTGGGGGGGGGGGGGGGGGGGGTTAATTTACACTAAGTATCTATACAACTGTACAAATAGTTTTGTATGTACTTTGATATTTTATAATTTACATCCACTATATTAGAGCAGTAATAAAAACATTTAGATCTGAAAATGTGTGTAAGAAGCTCACACATGCTATATGACATCACACATATTCATTAACTATTAGTGCATGGTATTTAAGTTAATGTTGGTACAAGAAATATTTCTTAAAGTTAAAAATGTGAATTCAAGAAATAACAGTCTAGGTTTTTGAGTTTATTGGATCATATATACACTGGAGCAAAAATAATGCATGATAAATGGTGAAGCTATTTGTTGTGAATTACTATGTGCTCCAATTTTTATATTCTCCATAAACCAAAGTAATACTAATTAACAAAACATTATGCCACAATTGTGAGATAGCTCTTGTATATGGTTATTGCCCCTGATCCGTGTAATTATAACAAGACTATCCTCATTTACAGTAAAGGGGGGGGGTGGCATAAATAAGATGTCCATTCCAGTACTAGGATATTTTGAAATTTATAACCTTTTTATTTATAGTTTAAGCATAAAGTGACAAATTGAAGAGGCATAATATAAAATTCTTTCTCTTCACTCCTGAACATGTAGCAATCAGGGTTTGTGCAGAATGGTAATTATTAATGATTAGATTCCCAATGTACCAAACTTTGTTAGTTCATATTCCCTAGGTCTGGAATTTCCTCAACAGTGGTGATGAAAATGTCCACTTAGTGTATGCTTGCAGTATTTATGAACATCTACTGTAACCCGAGATTATGCTTTCATTTTTTTAATCATACATGTACATATATGTAGTTGATTTGCATGGTATTGGTTTAGCAGTGGAACATGTTAAACAAAGTTCTTGCATGATACTCTTAAAAGATCATCACCTCCCTATTGCCTCATTTTTTATTACTATTTATTATTTAGATTTGGAGGCTAAGTAATTATTTCAAAGTAAAGTACATGGTAAAATTTCATTAGTGCAATTTTATAAAAATTTTGCAAGATTTGGCAATTTTCATGAAAAGTCATGAATAATTTTTATATCTGGATTTGAATCTGCTCGCTGAAATGCAATTCACTGTGACTCGCTTAGCCCAAATAATTGAAATGTTTAAAATTAATGAGTGAAATTTTTTAATATTCAAGGACAGAACACTCTAATAGCAAAATAACTCTCTTTAGAATAAGAGCATGTATATGTTATTAAATTAGGAGAAAGCTATATTCCTTATAACCTATTTGTGTGCTTTCCATTTTGTAGAGTTGAATGCCTGGTCCTATGTGCTGTTGGTACTGTGCTTTGTGCTGACCTCCCTGTTGTCCTGGGTGCTGTGCATACTTTTGTTGGCCAGTTTTGGGCTGATAACGAGCATGTCGGTACGAGCAATGTTCTGGTTCACCCACAACACCAACATCTTCTCTGTGTTTGTGGTCCCATCCCTTGCGGTGATTCTGCGTCTACATCAGTATTTTAGAGATTACTTATGGAAGGTATACGATGTATTTGTATTGATATGTTGGTTTCTCATAACAAGTTTGAATGTATAAAATTCTACTTACTGCATGATAAATTATATTCAGCACTGTAAATCAGATTCTAATTATGAAAATTTTATTCATGTAAAAAATTGTGAGATAGTTAATTACATCATACTAATTATATGTGAATGATAGCAATTCTGTCTTACGGACAAATGCAGTACATGTGCTACCTGTCTAGAGAATTGCTCTGAATGAATATTAAGTAACAAAACATTTTTATGATTTACTAAATTTATTGGCTTCACAGAAAATAAGTCCATCTATAAAAGAAGAAATCCACTTTGATGCGTCCCTTGTGATATGGTCCATATTCACCGTCTTACTGACTGCAGCTGGACTGGCCTCAGCCTTTTTGCCTATGTTATGGATACTACCACCTCTAGTCATTAGGGAATATGTTGCATATTACATCAAACCAGACTGGCAATGTATGTTAAGGTTTTTCCTAAAAACTCAATTTTTTTTAATTTATAATAGATAATTTTAACTTGATTTTTTGGTAAATATTCCATGAGAATTTCACATTTAAACAAAAATTGTTAATGATTTCATGATTTCATATATAGTTTATCACTGTTCTGCAAATTTTCAAGTTATTATGTTTTTGATAAACTAGACATTACACATGTAATTAAGATTCATACTGTGTAGAATCTAAGTTTGCTCTTTTTGTTTTTTTAGCCTCACCCCTTTCCTATCTTCTTGTCACCCTTAGCAGTATAGCAATACCAACCCTGATTATGATGGAGATTTTCTTTGGAATGTTCTCACTGCTTGTGCCAATCATGGGCCGTTCTGGCACATCCTTGCCTCCTGATGTGGCCATTGCAGTCATCACTAGTCTGTTTGTCTGTCTGTACAGTCAGTATTTGGTACGAAGGAACTTATGTTTAAAAGAAAATATTCTAAACGACTATGTTTGTCTTCGATTCAATCATATCATTTTCTTACAAATCTGCAAATATCCTTTATAGAATTGAATTAAGTTTAGAATTTAATGAATGTACAATTGTACATGTATAAGATTATGCTTTGAAGATTAATTTAAATGATATATTTTAAGAGAATTTCTATGTTTTCTAAATCTTTTGGTATAATGTCTCCCCTTCCAGGGGAGACATATTGTTTTTGTCGATTTTCTTCTTCTTCTTCTTCTTCTTCATCCAAATTTTGTCCAGGCCGTAACTTTAATACCCTTTGACATTAAGACTTCAAACTTGGAACATAGATAGATGACATTGAGAAGGAGTGCACGCCACCAACATTTTTGACCTTGACCTATTTATAAGGTCAAGGTCAATCTTTTACATGAAAATAGAGTTCAGCCCATAACTTAAGATCCCTTTGATATTAGGACTTCAAACTTGTAACATAGGAAGAAGACCTTGAGACAAAATGCACTGCATTAGAATTTTGACCTTGACCCCTTTCTGCCTTCAAGGTCAAATAGGGAAAAAACACGATCTGACCATAACTTGAGAACCTTTTGACATTAAGACTTCAAACTTGGAACATGCAGAGGTGGTATAAAGGAAGGATGCATGCCACCAAAAATTTTGACCTTGATTCAATTATTATAAGGTCAAGGTCAATCTTTTACATCAAAATAGAGTCCAAGCCATAGCTTGAGTACCCTTTGATATTAGGACTTCAAACTTGTAACAGAGAAAGAAGACATTGATACAAGATGCACTGCATTAGAATTTTGACCTTGACCCCTTTCTGCCTTCAAGGTCAAATAGGGAAAAAACACGATCTGACCATAACTTGAGAACCTTTTGACATTAAGACTTCAAACTTGGAACATGCAGAGGTGGTATAAAGGAGGGATGCATGCCACCAAAATTTTTGACCTTGATTTAATTATTATAAGGTCAAGGTCAATCTTTTACATCAAAATAGAGTCCAAGCCATAGCTTGAGTACCCTTTGATATTAGGACTTCAAACTTGTAACAGAGAAAGAAGACATTGATACAAGATGCAACACACCAAAAGTTTTGACCTTGACCTCTTTTCTTCCTCAAGGTCAAATAGGGAAAAAACTTGATTAGACCATTACTTAAGAATCCTTTGTTATAAAGACTTCAGACATGGAACATGCAGAAATGGTATGAAGGAGGGATGCATGCCACCAAAATTTTTGACCTTGATCCAATTATTATAATGTCAAGATCAATCTTTTACATCAAAATAGAGTCCAGGCCTTAGCTTGAGTATCCTTTGATATTAGGACTTCAAACTTGTAACATAGAAAGAAAACATTGTTACAAGATGCAACACTTCAAAATTTTGACCTTGACCCCTTTCTTCAAGGTCAAATAGAGAAAACATGACTAGACCATAACTTGAGAACCCTGACATTAAGACTTCAAACTTGGAACATGGAGAGGTGGTATAGAGGAAGGGTGAATGGCAACATTTTTTTCACCTTGACCTATTAATAAAGTCAAGGTCAATCATTAACATGAAAATATAGTCTAGGTCATAACTTGAGAACTTTTTGACATTAGGATTTCAAACTTGGAACAAGGAAAGACAACATCGAGACTAAATGCACTGCATCAAAATATTTGACCTTGACCACTTTCTTCAAGGTCAAATTAAGAAAAACACAACCAGACCATTACTTGAGATCCGTTTGACATGAAGACTTGAAATTTTGTACACAGAATTTGAGTTGAGATGCACTGCATTATTATTTTTGACCCTGATCATATATTTGCACTCTTAATGTTGGTAAAGAAGGGGAGACATGTGTTTTTTTGTAAAAAAAAACAATACCCACTAGTTTTCTTTGATTTTTTTTTAGGTTGGAGCAACATATTTATGCAGCAATATGAAATCCTTCCTAGTGTTTCTAACCTCCTGTTTTGTTGTTGGTGTACTAGTAGTAATCTTCACACCGCTGGGATTTCCCTTTAGTGGTAATCCAAACGGTCCATCTCCTAAAAGAGTTCTACCATTTGTAAGTACAGCTAACATGAAGGGTTAGATGAAAGATTTTAGGCTAGAACAATATTTTTTCATAACAATGTTTCCTGGTTTTGTTGAAATAAACTTTTTACTTTACACTGAGGGAAATGCAAGCATCCTTTTTTTTTATGACTAAAACAAGACTTTGGTTTTTTATGTCATTTTAGAGGGCATTGGAGAGGATCTAAAATTTTACTTTTACATGTAAATTTTTTCGTAAATTTTTAAGTACATGTACATGTATCTGTTTTCCTGGCTGATTGACCATTTACTATAATTATTTCAAAATGTCAATTTGATATGGACATCTTCATGAAGTACAGATTGTATATATTTAATAGGGGGCCAACTTTAAAGAAATAAATTTACATTAACAGGGTTCTCACTAGGATTTTGCTAACTTGAGTCCCAGGACTCAATATTTCTGAAAAGGTCTCGTCCCAGCTAAATTTGATGCATCCCAGAAAAATTATGTCTAGTCCCAACTAAATTATTGCAGTATCCTTCCATCCATCAATAAAAATATTTATTATTTTATCAGTTTGTTTAGGCAATATTAACATATTCAAATACATAAACTGGTAATGCATTCAAGTCATATTCTGAAATACACGCGTAATCAATTGCCATAAAAATTAACTTGGTATTTATAAAGCTAAAATTAACTGTTTCATAATCAATTAGTACCCAAAAGTTGAATATATACAATCACAGGTGTCATGTGCAATGAAGTGTAACTAATCCTGTCAGTTGTCTGCACTGGGTGAAATTCACGAGATAATCAAGCCACATTGTGTATACAAGCAGTAATTATGTTTTCTAGATAAAACTCAAGATTCAAAAGTGTTTTCAAAAGAAGCTGCAGTGTGTTTACAGCTGTCGGAGTTAAATTTGGGGCAAAGGGCGTGGTCTCAAGGTCACTTCAAAGTTGACCAAATATGACATTTTATTAAAATGTTGATATTTTGCTTACTATAAGGACTAGGATCACCAAATCTTTTCAGTTGATGTATCTGACCTCATATCATGTTGACTCAAAAGTAGGTCACCGTGACCTACTTTTTAGCTCACCTGAGCCAAAGGCTCAAGTGAGCTTTTCTGATCAAAATTTGTCCGTTGTCTGTCGTCGTTGTCGTTGTTGTTGGCGTTGGCGTTGTCGTTGGCGTTGGCGATGTTGTTGTAAACTTTTCACATTTTCATCTTCTTCTCAAGAACCACTGGGCCAAATTCAACCAGACTTGCCACAAAGTATCCTTGGGTGAAGGGGATTCAAGTTTGTTCAAATGAAGGGCCACGCCCTCTTTCAAGGGGAGATAATTAGGAATTAGTGAAAAAATAATGACATCATTTAAAAATCTTCTTCTCAAGAACCACTGGGCCAGGAAAGATGAAACTTATGTGGAAACATCCTCAGGTAGTGTAGATTCAAGTTTGTTCAATTCATGACCCCCGGGGGTAGGGTGGGGCCACAATGGGGGATCAAAGTTTTACATAGAAATATATAGGAAAATATCTTTAAAAATCTTCTTCTTAAAAACAGCAAAGCCATGATTGGTCATATTTATATGAAAGCATCCTCAGGTAGTGTAGATTCAAGTTTGTTCAAATCATGACCCCCAGGGGTAGGGTGGGGCCACAATGGGGGATCAAAGTTTTACATAAAAATATATAGGAAAATATCTTTAAAAATCTTCTTCTTAAGAACAGCAAAGCCATGATTGGTCATATTTATATGGAAGCATCCTTAGGTAGTGTAGATTCAAGTTTGTTCAAATCATGACCCCCAGGGGTAGGGTGGGGCCACAATGGGGGATCAAAGTTTTACATAGAAATATATAGGAAAATATCTTTAAAAATCTTCTTCTTAAGAACTGCAAAGCCAAGATTGGTCATATTTATATGGAAGCATCCTCAGGTAGTGTAGATTCAAGTTTGTTCAAATCATGACCCCCGGGGGTATGGTGAGGCCACAATGGGGGATCAAAGTTTTACATAGAAATATATAGGAAAATATCTTTAAAAATCTTCTTCTTAAGAACACCAAAGCCATGATTGGTCATATTTATATGAAAGTATCCTCAGGTAGTGTAGATTCAAGTTTGTTCAAATCATGACCCCCGGGGGTAGGACGAGGCCTCAATGGGGGATCAAAGTTTTACATAGAAATATATAGGAAAATATCTTTAAAAATCTTCTTCTTAAGAACAGCAAAGCTGTGATTGGTCATATTTATATGAAAGCATCCTCAGGTAGTGTAGATTCAAGTTTGTTCAAATCATGACCCCTGGGGGTAGGGTGGGGCCACAATGGGGGGGTCAAAGTTTTTCGTAAGAGTATATAGAAAAAAACTTTAAAAATCTTCTTCTCAAGATAAGCAAAGACATGATTGATCATATTTATATGGAAGCATCCTCAGGTAGTGTAGATTCAAGTTTGTTCAAATCATGACCCCTGGAGGTAGGGTGGGGCCACAATGGGTGATCAAAGTTTACAGAGGAATATATAGGAAAAAATCTTTCTCTCAAGAACAGAAAAGCCATGATTAGTCAAATTGATATGGAAGCATCGTTCAAATGATTGTTCAAATGAGCACCCCCGGGGGTAGGGTGGGGCCACAATGGGGGATCAAATTTTTACAAATGAATACATGTATATGGGAAAAAATCTTCTGCTCAAGAACAGCAAAGTTATTTGTTATATTGATATGAAAGCATTGGTAGTTTAAAACCCCCCTCTCTCTCCCCCGTTAACTTTTCAATACTGAACTGATTTTTGCTTTTTTTCCTAGCCAGTGTGCTCAGGTGAGCGATGTGGCCCATGGGCCTCTTGTTAAATTTTGTGGCCATTCTTTTTCAAAATGATTTAGAGGCATATTTTGAACAGTTTAAGGCCTATGATCATCAAACTTTGTCAGTTGATGTATCTTGGGTCCTCGGAGTACGTCGACTAAAAAGTAGGTCACCTTGACCTACTTTTTGAATTTTATGGCTAATCTTTTTCAAAACAATTATGGTCATTAATTCGAATACTGAGAGGTTTAGAATCATTAAATCTTGTAAGATGATGCATCTTGGGGCAATAAAACATATTTATTAAAAAGTAGGTCACAGTGACCTACTTTTTGAACTTTGCAGGCATTCGATTTCAAAGTGTTTTAGAGGCATAATTTGGACATTTTAAGGCCTATGATCATAAAACTTTGTAAGTTGATGCATCTTGGGTTCTCAAAAAATGTAAACTGAAAAGTAGGTCACTGTGACCTACTTTTCAATTTATATGACTATAATTAAATATTTCAGGTACTAATTGGCCTAGAATTATCAAACTTTGTCAGTTGATGCATCTTTCGTCTTCAGAACAGGTCGACTAAAAAGTATATCACCGTGACCTACTTTTCAATTTATATGACTATAATTAAATATTTCAGGTACTAATTGGTCTAGAATCATCAAACTTTGTCAGTTGATGCATCTTGGGTCATTGGAATAGGTTGACTGAAAAGTAGGTCACCGTGATCTACTTTTCAATTTATATGACTATAATTAAATATTTCAGGTACTAATTGGTCTAGAATCATCAAACTTTGTCAGTTGATGCATCTTGGGTCTTCAGAATAGGTTGACTGAAAAGTAGGTCACTGTGACCTACTTTTGAAAATTTATGGCTTTAATTAAATATTTCAGGTACTAATTGGCTTAGAATCATCAAACTTTGTCAGTTGATGCATCTTGGGTCCGCAGAGTTAGTAGACTGAAAAGTAGGTCACCATGACCTATTTTTTAAATTTTATGGCTTTATTTAAATATATCAGGTACTTATTGGCTTAGAATCATCAAACTTTGTCAGTTGATGCATCTTGGGTCCTCAAAGTATGTCATCTGAAAAGTAGGTCAATGTGACCTACTCTTGAAATTTTATGGTTATAATTTTAAAAATATTGTAGGTATTCATTGGCTTAGAATCATCAAACTTTGTTGATGCATCTTCGGTCCTCAGAGAATGACAAGTGATAAGTAGACCACTATGACCAACTCTCAGGTACTAATTGGCTTAGAATCATCTTGGGTTCTCAGAGTGTTTCATCTAAAATGTAGGTCATGATGACCTACCTTTGGAATTTCAAGGGTTTATCTAAATATACAGGATACTTAGAGGCTACAAATAGAAGTGATAGGTTGTACAGTTTATCAGAAGAGCGATTCAAGGCCCTTGGGCCTCTTGTTACCACATATTTTCACAATTCTTTTTCACATTATTTTTTATTTAATTTTATTTTTTAAGTTATGTAGAACTCTTATCCATTTACTCTGGAGTAAAACTTATTTGAAAAAATAATTAAAATAACACAAAGTAGGATGAAGTCTTCAGAGATTAGTATTCCATTGAAATTAAGCATAAAACCTGACACAATATTCTTTTTTAAAATTTTATTTTGTTTTTGTATGATATATGGGTTATTTAAAGCATAATATTTCATTTACAAACAATAAATAAATAAAAATCAATAGGGTTCTCTAGGGTTCTTTAGAGTTCTCTAGGGTTCTCTGTTTAGTAGTACCCTTACAGGAAGGTTTCGATTAAATATTTCTCTGACAAATCCTAACATCTAAATTCTTCGTTTTCAAAAGCACCCAAATTTTCTCACTAACGAGGACGCGTCCACTTATGAGTCCGCGGACGCATCATTTTTAAGAACCTTGCATCCCAAGTAATTTCGCTACATCTAGGACGCAGCTTCTTGCATTAATGAGAAAAGTTTTCAAACCAAAAATATCTAAAAAATATTTGTATCATTAATCGAAAATGCAAGTACATTTACATTTTGTTAAAGTGATGTGTGAACATTCTTACACAGTGTCGACTGATTTATTCATGTTTTTATGATAGCAGGTTGGGTTAGTGTTGTGACATATTGGTTTCTTTTTTACTTTTAAGCATATGCATAGGAAATTCCATGATAAAAATGGTCTCTTAGTAAAGGAAGACAGTGGACTTTGGAATCTTCCAATGGATTACATAGGAGCAGACTTATTTCATGATAATGAATTCATTAAGAAATCTCAGCGTAAGGAATGCGATGGACCTAACTGTGGTCTGCCATATCTTATTCCAATCGGCCATATGTTGGACCCCAGGTTAGAGGATGTCTCTTTAATTGATAAAGATCTGAGAGAGAGGAGAGAATGAGAGAGAGAGATCAGAGAAAGGGAGAGGGAGGGAGGGAGAGAAAGATTTCAGAGGGAGAGAGAAAGATCTCAGAGATAGAAGGGGGGGGGGGGGGTTGTGAGTATATGAACCTAGTTTACTAAGTTTAGGAATGGGACTCAAACCATCAGCCTGCTGTCAGTCCTATTCAAATCAATATGAAAGTCATTGATGGTTGAAATACCAGACTGAATATAATTTTTACTCTGAGTCATTTGAGCATTATGGCCAATTGGTCTTCTTGTTTTGCATGTATATATGATAAATTGTTGAATTTGTGCTCATTATGGAAATGCTACAATAAAATGAAATGTCTTTTGAAATATAGGTTGAAAATGGATGTAACTTAGTATAAATTAGCAATTTTCATGTTACTCTTTGGGCATTGTTGGATATCCATGAATGATCTTGTCTTTTACTCTTCAAAAAGAGATCACCCATGGGTATAGGACAATTCTCTTGGGACACAAACATATACATTAAAACACGCTTATAGCAAAGTGCCAGGGATGGACAATTGTGCTTTGTTATAAACTTAATTTGTTATATATGTTAAGTTCACAATACTTTATAAAACCAGGAGTCGTTGGATTCCCCCGTATTGGGTATTCGACGATGCCCTGGTTTGCAATAAAAATCATTTTGCTGTAAGCATAACTTTATTATAATCATGTTCGCTATAAGTGTGTTCTACTGTATACCATTCACATCTTATCTTTGAATGGTATGGTACAAAAGTTTCTTTTATGAATTTAAGCCTGTCCCTTTACTTCATGAATAACGAGGACCCAGATGTAAACCCTTTGGTGAAGTTAAAGCTAATAGAAAGAAGAAATGTGCTACCAGAGATTGAAAGATTCACATTCCAAGCATTGGGTAAAGTAAAGAAAACATTACCAATCTTGTCAATTATGAAAGCAGCAAAATATTTCAATCTCAAACTGCAAAGATATTCTGTGTGAAAATGATTGGTAAAATTATTAAAAAATATAGATGGGTGTGATTCAGTAAAACTAAGTACTATACCTGTAATTGGTACATATATGTAAAAGGATTTTTTGCCCCTTTTTATGTTACCTATGGGAATTATTTCTGTATATATTTTATGGTTCCAAGGCCATAAAACTTAGATGAGCTCACTTTTGATCTCAATCTCATTTTTCCATTATAAATTCCTTATGAAAAGTGAGACTGAGATCAAAAGTGATCTCGACAAAGTTTTATGGCCCCAGAGCCAGTTTAACTTATGATTTGATAACATTCTTCAACAACAGGACCTGACCATATGACCATGTATATTGTGCCTCCATCTGGTGTCCAGTTGGTTGATTGGTCCATTGACCGAGGACATCCCACACCAGTGTCACAAAGAAAAGGAACCAATGAAACCCTTTACTTTGTGTATTACTCTCATGGACTACAACCTGATACTCCATGGGAATTCTACCTTGATTTTAAGGTAACATTGACTGATATTTTCTGGTTCATAAAGTGTTCAGTCAAAAAAACTTTTCTTTTACCCAAGAGTTTCAGTTTAATCAGCTCTCTGATCAAATAGTGTTGAGAATCTGTCTCATGCTTGTTAGCATTCATTAATTTGATGCATTTTTAGTTCATCTAAGCTGAAGGTTCAAGTTAGTTTTTGTTATTGAAATTTGTCCATTGTTTGTCATCATTGATGTAAACTTTTCACAATTTCATCTTCTTCACCAGAGCCACTGGACCAAAAAAGATGAAACTTAAGTGACAGGCACATATTATTGGAGGAAAGGGGGGAGAGCCTAGGATTCCCACTGTTTTTTCAAACAAAACCTTTTATTGTTGAAAATATTCACTGAAAGGGCTGTTGACTCCTCCACTTTTTGTAACAGTATAGTCAAATCGTCCCATGATAATGTATTTATAAAATTTGATTCTGGAAAAAATCTGGAACCTATGAAACTTAACAGCATAAACAATTTATCAAATTTGTCATTCTGAAGTCTTATAATACTTACAGAAGTAAGTACCATACTAGTTAACATTGATGCAGCAAAGTCAAACATATGTGCAGATGAGTCCTCAGCAGGTAGTTTTGCAGCAAGGTGTACATAAGGTCACATACTCCCCGCATTAGTGTTAGCCTGGTAACACAACCGCTATTTAAAGAAAGGGACATAGACAGGGGGACCTGATGAAAACCTTATGCATTTGTCAAACAAGTAATTCAGTTGAAGAACATGGGAGAAAGTACATTACTATAATTGTTCATTGTTTAGAAAATTCCTCAGTTTACTTTCAAATTGTTTAATTTATTGTTTGTGTTGTCTCAACAGTGGTTTAGAGTGGGCACTTTATTTCTTAGTGTAAATTGAATTTGGGTGTGAAGAGGCAGCATATATGTTGTTGAACACCATGACAGAAGCTGGCTATTGCTCTACGAGAAAAGAGTCTGGCTAAAAACCAATATGTTAATGTCAAAGGTTATGTTCGAGATGCATTGTTCAAACTAATCCATGCAGCCACTGTGCTCTCAACACTTTATTTTAACAAAAATCTTAAAATTATATCCATATAATACATATTGATTTATATTCTTGTTTACAGATGGCAGAAAAAACAGACATAGTTACAGAAATTGTCATGTGTGGTCATTATCTCCATGGCGACCAGCACATAACACCACTCTTACAACGATTTATACACAGTCTTCCTGACTGGGCAGCCCCAAATCCCTGGGTCGTCACTTACAATTTGTACCAGTTTTGATTGGTGAGAGAAGAATGCTAAAAATATAATGGACCATAGAACTTGGGCCTTTTTGATCAATTTTTACATTTTATTAGATTTATTTTTATTGTAAATAAGGGGAATTTTTCAATTGATGGGCTTTTCCCATTAATACTTACCGTACATTTTCTTTGAAGACTTCTTTCTATAATTTTATTGGTATTTGTGATACATTTTAAAACTATAGTTTTTTCAGTTGAATCTTTGTGATACATGTACTGTAGCATTTTTAATTGAACCCTAATTTTCTACTCTTTGTATATTTGTCTCAATTCAGCACATTATTCTCTTGTACACTCTTACTCTAGATAGATGTTTCGTTTTTTTTTTTTTTTGTGTCTGCTCAAAAGAAACATTGTTTGAAAAAAAAATATGTAGATGGAGCATTAAAGTTACATTTGATAACTATGGTTTGCAAAAGTTTGTACACTTGTGTAGACTACATGCATAATGTTTGTTTACCAGTTACTAGAATAATCTGTGTCTCGGGTAAAGCCCTCACCACATTTCTGTTAAACCAGGTCCATAGGACAATATCATTTTAACTCAGGGGTTGAAATATATGGTAGCCCGACGCCCGGGGCTAGTCATTTTAAGACTCGGGCAAGATAATTTAAATGTAATGATAGTCCGTTGGACGAGCAGAATGGAAACAAAATTCTCGTCAGTTTACTTTTGCTTTTCTATGTAGACTGGTTTCTTTTGAATGAGAACTACATTGTAGTTTAACTTGTTACTGTCACCACAGCATTTGAAACTTTAATTTAACTTATGTTTTCATTTAGCATAAAAAAAATTTGGGCTAGTTAGTTTGAGGTTTGGGCTAGTAATTTTTTACTGATCAGTAACCCCAGGGCTTGTGGGTTTTCCAGGAAAATTTCAACCCCTGTAATGATAGAATGTTCTGTCTAGTACCAGGTACTTAAAATTCCATAATATTTAACACAAAATATCTGTGATTTCTGTCGGAGGATATGCCATGCTATAAGCACCTCTGTATCAAATTTTCTGTGATAAATGGCAAAATTTTATTCTTGCCACACAAAAAATCCAATTAACTATATGCAATAAAACACAATGTAGAAACAACAAAATATTTTGTATCAACAAATACTCAACCATATATGTTCATAGATACATTGTATAAACATCCCATCTCATTCCGAAATATTTACATTTCCAAATATTTTTCCTTAAGATTCTTTGCAAATTAGAAGACTGTTCATTTTCTCATGAACTACCTTGAATGAGCATGAATATCTCCATTGTTACGTCATAATACCGTGCTTGACGTCAAAACTATAGTGCAAACTGTTTTGCTTTAAAAAACACAGTTGAATTGTGGCAACTCATCAGAAAAATAATGTAAATATAAGAAATGAATTTAATTTTTGAAAATTCATGAGGTACATGAACTGCAACGCTTCACGCCGGCATATTTATCATGAAGCGCTAACGCGCTTCATGAAATATGCCGGCGTGAAGCGTCGTAGTTCATGTACCTCATGAATCTTCAAAAATTAAATTCATTTCTTAAATAAATGTACCTTTATACTATATTGCTGAAAAATAGAGGAATCAAACTGCAGCATACCGTACTTAACATTTTGTAGCGACAATTTTAAAGTCAAATACAGAAAATTTGCTCAACAATTCTTCAATGGCAGTAGACTCGGCCATGAGAAAATGATGACAATGATTTGTACATGTATTGTAACCTTTAATAATATGTGTGTGTGTATAGTCATTTATTTAATATTCACTGTTTCAAGTCATTCCATTTACATGTATCTATATATTTTTGTCAAAAAGTATTACCGGTATATTAAAATCAGTCATATATAGTGTTCAAACAGGTCCAAAAACACAAAATGAATTTACAATAATATACAACGTAAATAAATGGCAAAATCCTTAATTTGTATTTTTTAAAACTGTCTTTAAGTGCAGAAAATGTCAAGACTGTCAAAATCTTTGTTTCTATTTACAGAATAGAGTGCATTATTATTTCAGAGCTTATTTTTTGCAAAAGTTTAATATGTAGATTTTGTTAATTATGGTCCAGAAAGTGGACAAACTGTGGTTCAGGCAAGTTAACAATTGACTGTGATTTTAAAATATGCAAACAATAATCAGAGTTTTAATATATTTTTATTTAATTACCAGTGTTAAACCTACAAAAAATGTGGTAATTTTATTTAGTTATTAAAAGTAGTTATTGTTAAATTCATGTTGTATTGTTTTGTGGCTTATGTTTTGTCAGTTATGTTATCAGGAAGACAATGTTAATGGTTTGTGGCAATCAGGCAGGTTTGATTGCCAAAGGCCAGACAGCTCAGTTGGTAGAACACCTGACTAGTGATTCAGGGTGCCCAGTTTTCGAATCCTGGACTGTCCATCACATTTTTCTTCCTTGCAGATTAACATTTATTGCAGATGTGGTTTATTTGTGTAATGAATAATTCTTACAGAATGATTGTTTAATTTAAAAATTTGCCTCTTAAAATCCAATGATGAATTTTTCTTATCATGTAAACATTCTGTAAACCATTAATGCAATATGTTATAGAAATTTAATCTACCCGTGTATTGTATTTTTCTTTTCCAAAGTTGATTGAAATTTTTCATTCAGATGATTTTAAGTGTTTTTGAATTATGAAAATAAGCGCTGATTTTGAAGGGTGCCTTTACAAATTCATTCATCATATCCCTTGACAAACATTAATTCAGAATGATTATGCTAAAAATAAAAAAAAAAGGTAAGTCAGTGCAAGCTTTTCAAGTTTGATCTAGTCAAATAATGAGGCACTGCCATTTCATCATTTACGTCAATATCAATACTCGTTTCGGTACTATAGCTATTGTTTACATGCCTATATTTTGGTGTATACATATGTGCTATTGAAATGGGTCTTTTTTTTTTAAGTGACTGGGTCATAAATTTCTGGACTCAATATATGAATGGGTGACATTTTTGGAAAATATGAATACAATTAAACTTCCATATCTCAAACTTCAATATCTCAAATACCATGGATATGTCGAAGTGAGTTTAAAGTCCCAAGCACTTTTCTTTTATGTATTTTAGCCTTGAAATCTAAAACCCTCATATGTCTCAAAAGTTTTATCTCAGTCCTAGCTGGTTTGAGATGAGTTTTTGACTGTCTTTTAACTGATCATAATTTCTAATGACTGTTCATTTATGCAGGGTCCCTTTACACGAACTCTAAAAAAAAATCATTTGGCTCAAAGTTTGCTGAAAAGGGTTTTTTTTTCCCCCAAAGTGTAGCATTTCATGATACTAAGATGAATTCATTGTTACAATGAATTAATATATGATGTGTGGACAATTTTTTACTGGTGGCTAATTTTAAAAAAGAAATTTTCTTATCTATCACAAGTTACGTAGAACTTCAGATATTTAAAAAGTGCATATGAATAAATATAGCTGTTCTTGAAAGGACTAAATCACAAATTATTAGACAGAAAGTAATTTGTCATATAACTGTGCAATCATACTGCAATACAAACACAATGCATAATGTATAATGCATAGAAAATTAACAAGAATTTATTGAGGTGAAATTCCATTGTATATCTCTGTTGTACGACATCTAGTTGAAATCATTCATGTTGTATAGGTAATTGTTATGCATATGTTACATGTGTTATATTTTCCTTCTATGTTAGAAAAAAAAACCCAGACATTGTGTATGTATAGAATAAAAAGAGACATACTGTTAAGTATTACAGTGAAACTTGTTTAATCCGGATGTTGAGTATTCCGAAATCTTGCCTAATATGATGTAAACTTAAAGTCTCTTTTCAATAAATTCAATTGTTAAAAATGCTGTCTAATCAGGAATGTCTAATCTGGCCAATTTCTCTGGAACCAAAGGTGTCCAGATTAGATTAGTTTTACTGTACATGTATTTGCATATTTTTGTATTTGGTGCATTCCAAAGGGTTTTTTGATGTCTATCAAATTATCATGTACATTTTTTTAAAGTAAGTATTTCATTCAAAAGATATTCAAAAATAACTACTTAATAGTATTACCAGTAAAATATTTATTATATGTATGTTTTGATATATGTCTCTATGATAAATAATATAAATATTTTTTTTTAAAATATAGACTTTTGAACCTTAACATTTTACAAGAAGTAATTTTTGTGTGAAAAGGGGGGTATACATAATTGCATATTAATTTTGTTGGTAGTAGACCTGATCATGTTTTGTCTACATCTGTTTTCTGTATGGATGCTAATTGATTGAAAAACATGTAAACCTAATACATGTATATACTGATTTCTTTTTAATGTTACCATTATTTTTTTTAATATTTTCAAATTTTGTTAATGTTTCATGTGATACATTTCCATAAAATATTTGATACTGCGCCAACTTTTGAAAATTTTTAACTAGAAATATGTCCATAGGACATGAATGCCCCGTCCAAGGTTCATTAATAATGCAACAAGAAGTCAAGGTTAAAAGTAGAAGTTGCTAAAAAAAAAAGAAAAACTGAAGAACCATTAAGATTAATACCAAACTTATGCATAAAGATGAGGATATGTTGTAGATTAATTTTTGTTCAAGGCATCACCCTGGGACAAGGGGTGTGGTCTCAGGGTCACTTCAAAGTTGACCTAAAATGATGTTTTGTTGGAAATTTGATATTTTGACCTCTATAAGGACTAAGATCATCAAATCTTGTCAGTTGATGCATCTTAGGACCTCATGTCATCATGACTCAAAGAAGGTCACAGTGACCTACTTTTATATGCCACTGCATTAAATAAGCATTAGGATGTGCAACAAGTGAGTTTTTCTACACTTTCAAAGAGAACATCTCATTTTCTCTAAAAACCACAAATGGGTGTACATGTAATTTAAGACACAAATGGATGTAGCAAAACTTTTGCATGAAAACATTCAATTTATTGCACAAGACTATGTTAAAAAACAATTCAATTTAAAATGCAATCATAAAAATTACAAACAAGGTGTGCAATCCTCCTTTCATACACTCACATTCTCTTCTACTAAGCCATCTTACACAATGTCTACTTGAATTAATGAATGTAAAACTCTTTCAGTTCTACTGAAAATGTCATTAATCAAGTAAAAATGATTTCATTTTTACAAGTTGCCAATGCCTGATCATTTTCAACACATTGACAGCATTGTCAGCTTCCTATGAAATTATCCCCCCGTTTACATAGTGGTCCTCTCCCTTCTACCAGGGTGGGGTCATAGGCTGAGGATTTTGTAGATAGGACATCACAACTGCTGATATTGACAACCTAAAAACGTACATCAGAGACAAAAAATTATTGTACATGGAATATTCAAATTCCTTATAATAAATAATTATCTGATGAAGAGTATAAATATACCAGGGATGACAGAGAAAAGAATACAATGTAATTAACTGCATGATTAGTCAAACAAAGTTTGGTAACCCTCAGGGGTGCTGTAAATTTCAAAATCGTATCTTCTTCTTTCAAAAAACTTACATAAAGCTACTTAGCATCTGTTTGGTGTCTTCTGAGGTCCTGGCATTGGCAAAACTTATAAAAGAGCAATATACTGCGGCCCAAGCACACCACTTTAACTTAAAAAAAGAAGCAGAAAAATAATTTATTTACCTCATATTATGGAGTATAATAATCACATTTCAGATCAGAAGTGACATTGAATGCATGTTGAATACTTCAGTGACAATGTGTAAAATATGCATTCAATGTCTCTTGTTCTCACATTTTCAAGTTACATGTATCAGTGATGACAGATGCTAGACTGTCTACAACACACAGATTATGAGTAATTTCTACTTTTGATTTAAGAGGAAGTAATAAATTTTAGTCAAATTGTACACCATTTCATAGCAGATGAATTACAATGTCATCGTAGTTTGTTCATCACCAGTTAAGTTGGGAGTTTTTAGTCTCAAATTGGGGAAAAAAACCTTTTTTTTTGGCATTGGGAATGGTTTCATTATTTAGGGTATCAGTTATATGAGGCAAAAATGGTGTTCAATACAGTAATGTCTTTGAAATGCAAAAACAGAGTATGTAAATTTACATAAAATTGATTATATTTTATGATAAACAGAATACCACATTCAAAAATCCGTATCATAGGCCTATATGTCAAATCAGCCTCAGGCCCCATATCAGCCCCTACAGAGAACATTCTATTACTAAAAATAAAATGGTATTGTCTCGTGGAAACAACAGTTTAACAAAAGAATGCATTCTGTGTGTTGCCAATGTAGCAAAATAAACAGGGGTAGATAATTTTAATCTACAGTTTACTATGAATAATCCAGAGAATTCTGAATGTCAAGTATGACATGTAAATTTAAAACGAGAAAAAAACATCAAGACAATGATTGGAATTTTTGTCTGTATAATGATAAAGCTCAAGAAAAAGGTTTGTTACAATTAATTTGGTAGTTATTTGATTTTCAGTGTAACTCCTTTTGTATTCTTAAAATTGTTTCGGAGCGGTTCTGCTCTGATTTACGACATGGCAACTATATGGGACTATTCTAACTGTGGTGAGGGCTTGACCTTGGTCACAGATTATTCTAACTAATCAGTCCCCAGGCTGATATGGGGCCACTTTGGCTGATATGACATATATTGATTTTTGAATCCCTATACATTATACCCATGATATTTGGAATGTTTTCAATACCTTCATCATAAGTCCACACATGCTAAAAATCATGCCTAAGAGATTCATATAGTCTGGTGTTGGGTCATCTGACGGGGTGCCGGCTTGAGGTGGTTTATACCTAGAAAATTCAAAGGTATACTGATTAAATAGATTGAATTCACGGAAAACTGTCATTTTAGCATATTTGTTGGTGTAAACTTTTATATTGTCCCATATGAAAAAGATGGCGTCACAAAATTCGAATTTACTCTGCTTCCTAAACTGAAGGGACGTGCACTAAGTTCAATTTAAAATTTTAAGTGAAAATAAATACATAAAAAGCCAATTAGAACATCGTCCTTGTAAAATAAACGGAAGTAGCTTTCCACGTACCTCACAATTTTATTAGGCCGTCTGGGATCTGACTGATTTGCAACCGTACTCATTTTGTGAGTTTACCGGAAGTATAAGAATGGGGTGTTGGTAAAATGAGTCCCAAGTAAAGGAATAACGGAATTCAATTTTTTTAAATAAAAAATAATATGCACAAAAAAGACAAGACAAAAAATAAATAAATAAATTTCCTAAGAGATTGTTTATTACTTCATTGAAATATATTACATAAGCTGATTTTTTTTTTTTACAAATGGGGGGGGGTTATTTTTATTTTTTATTTTAAATTTTATAGACGTGTCTCTATAGTGGATTTATCATGCATCTATTTACACTTTGGAGTCTATATATGTCTGAAATTGAAAATGCGCAAAGATAATAGAATGCTTAGGTAATGGGAATTCTGTTTGAGCAGAGACATAAATGAATAACATGATTATAAGTCTATGGTTTGAGAAGCCTATTACATTTTATCCTGTGCACTTTCTTGTCTACTCATTCAAACAAAAACACCTAGTATTTTTATGGGCATTAATATAGTATTTTATTCTAGGGACGAATTTAACATTAGTCCATGTATATTCTGAGAAGATATATTTTTTGATTACCAGTTAAGTTATGGAGAGTGCCTATGGCAAATCCTTAATTTTAAAAGAAATATCTATTTCAATTGTTACTGACTGATTGACTCCTTTATTCATTGATTGATTCATTAATCTATCCAATTAATCATTTTTTTTTCATGTTACTTCCAAAGAGTGGTTAGAACTACATTTACCACCTGCTTTTTTAAAAAGAGGGTGTGAAAAAGAACAGCAAGGGTCAAGGTTGTTGTGAAACAAATATGGCGGAGAAAGGGGTCTGGCGACGTGAAGACTGCATTGTTTTGATATCGTTAACATTTATCTTTGTAAACTTATCTTTATGTAAGTTTAATTATTAACATTCCTTTTACATTTTCAAAGAAAATTACCCAATATACGAATATTTATTGAGTGATTTCTAGGAGTAGAATTATCTACTTTTATTCAGCATGTTGTTGTTAATAGATGTGTAAACAAAAGGTTTTATGATAAATGATTGTTTTGATTTAATTGAAAACTTGAAGCAGGAGTAATGGTTGGCTGTATTAACTTTAAAAGTAGCATGTGATAGGTACAATTGCTATATAACAGGCTGAGCACAAAAGATTATGTAGTGGAATAATCTGTGTTTCAAGACAGGACCTCATAGGGGTGCAATGACACATCAACCTCATGATACCATACGTATCATGATATTCAGTTATGATATGATGCATATTAGTTCACAGTACGTTACAATTATTATAGATATAGGCATACATATAAACCTAGTTAGAATAATCTAACAGCCCTCAACACAGTTAGAATATGTCCCATATACTTGCAATGTAGCAAATCGTAGCGGATCTGCTCCAAAATTTTGAAGTATACAAAAGCAGTTGCACTGAAAATATCTACCAAATTAATCATAACAAACCTTTTTGAGGTTGTATATGCCTTTTGACCTAAAAAATTATCCATATAAAGATGAAAATTCAACTCATTTTCTCAACGTTTTATCTCGCTTCAAATTTGCACGCCATGTTGACATTTGGAACTCTCTGGATTGATCATGTAAATGCACTGAGTTTGAATTATCGCCCATGTTTATTTTACTACATTGCCAATACACGGAACGAATTCTATCGTTAAACCGGGTCCGTAGGACAACATCATTTTACAATGGAATGTTCTATCTAATATTAACCTACTGTGAGGAAAAAAAGAGAGTGATTCAGACATCAAAAGAGGTAGCATTGTGCACAGTGTTTTGCGCCCGATTTTGGGAAAATGTATACATGTGTATAAGTAAATATAATCTCAATGCAATAATTTAACACAAAGATCAACTGCAATGATGTAGGCAAAAACACAAATATTAAGTAAATAAGTCTATCACATTTGTTATTATAACTATTTCTTCCTAAAATGTTCATGTTTTATGAAAATGAATTTAAATATCCATTTGTCAACTTGTACTGGATTGAGGGTAGATCTTTAAGCTGTGACAATATCCTCTGCACTTACAAAGAAACAAAATAGCCTGGATTCAGAGCAAAGATTGACTTATTTAGAAGGGGAAAGTCTTTCTTAATTTTTCTTCCTTTTTAATTGGTATGAAAAAAGAAGACAGTCATTTAGTTTTTTTTTTGAATTTATATTTAAAACCAGTGGAAATATTTCTTGTGTTGACACAAAAACCTAGTAAAAAGTGTATAGTCATTAAAATACATGAGTGATGACATATGCATTAGCTTATAAGACTTTCATATCACTGTCTTATTTTCAGTCATTGTAAATATAAAGATGTAATTTCTTTTCAAATGTAATTAAATTACATTTAATTACATTTGAAAAGCAATTACATCCTTCGCTCTGTTGAATATGATATCAGTGAGATGCTGGAGATGAGTTTAGCTGCATTATTGTAGACCTTGTGTTTTGTGTTCAAGAGCTATTATGAAATTGTAAACAAGGAACCAAAAACAGATGTCTTTGATTTCAGATTATTCTGGACGATTGAACCAAACCTTTAAATCAGTTTAATGTTGTGTGAATTGAACCTTGGAAAAATGTACCGCAATATACTGTCATGGTTTATCGTTGAATTCTTAGGCCCTCACTACAGTTAGAATGCCTCCCACGTACATGAAATGTAGCAAAAAATTGCAGATTGGCTAAAAATGATTTGTTAGAAAACAAAAATGAAGTAAAAGTTGCGTTTAAAATAACCAACAAACTAATCATAAACCTTTTAGAGATTGTAGATGCCTTCCACCCAAAAAATTAATCCATATAATGGAAAAATTCAACACACTTATCAACGTCTTCTTACTCACTTCAAATTGATCCGCCATGTTACCATTCAGAACACTATGAATTGTTTGTAGCATTTGAGTTGATTAGAGTTATGGTCCTTGTTTATTTTGCTACATTGCCAATATATGCAATGCATTCTGCTGTTAAACCTGGTCCATAACATTATCATTTTAACAACAGAACATTAAATCTGAACATTATGTTGCATGATTACCAGTACTTCATGTATTATTACAGAAATATACTTCCAGCACATTTGCTAAAAATTTTCATTGTATGTAAGATAGTTTTGAAATCATTATTTTTAAAGCAATATGAGCTGCAACTTTGATATCGGAAATTTTTGTTGCAAAATTGTAATTAACTATTTCAATGACAGGAAAAAAGAACGTATATCAATTTCTGTTGTTCATATTTGCGATGGAAGAACTATTTATAAGCTCTGATTAAAGCAGAATTACATTATTGTCGTCCTGTACAATATTGATTCCTTATATAATACAATATATTCGATTGTACAGAAGTCTTTCTTCTGAAGCAATTTAATACTTTATTTGAGTCAAATTGATCAAAAAGGTTCAAATTACATAAGAATTTATCAAAATAGCACATTTTAACAGTAAAATTGAATTCTCAAAAATGCAGCTCATATTGCTTTAAATATAACAAAAACATTTTTTTTTTACTTGATACAAGGCAATCAGTCCTGCAAAAAAAAAAATGAATACAATGTAAACAATTTCACAAAAAAGTAATCATGTTTATGTTTGTGAAAATTTGTGACTACAGCTTTATCATTCATTCATCAACATTTATTAATCAAGGCAGTAACACTATAATATGACATAACAAGTATAAATTTTAATACATGTTTTTGTATCATGTTTAATAGGTGCTGGTGAACTGAAGTGCCGATGTGCTCCTTGCCATCCAAATGCAGTGAATGACACCTGCATTGCTAAGTTTCAGTGCTTCACGGGACTGAGGAAGGTAGTAGAGAATGGGGAGACAGTGGAAATCATAAGTATGGGGTGTATGTCAGAGGAAGAAAACAGCATACTTCAGGTAAATTCAAACATCTAGTTCTCAAATCTTATATTTAGACTACATGAGACTATAACAATCTCATTTATTGCGATACAGTACAAAGTTAAAATAAGATAGAATTTTTGCTGATGCTATAAAGTATCTCTTCTTTATAATGCAATTTTAATAGGTAGAACACGTGTTGGTCATATAATCTGTACCATTACTAAAAGTCTTAAGTAAGAAAAGAAGGTTAATTTTGTCATAATAAACATTTTTTATGCATTCATGAATTGTATGCTTTACTAAAGAATAAATTTCAGTGTGAAAATAAATGAACATTGTCTTCTATTTTTGAGAGGAAAAGCTTTGAAATACTGGTTGACATAAAAATGAATTACAAATGTAATTTAAAAATTATTTTATTCACAAATTATTTAATTCACACTTTTCGAAAGTAATTATGATTATATAGTTAAATTTACAGTGTAAAGTAATTATGATTATTTGGTTATATTTACAGTGTAAAGTAATTATGATTATTTGGTTATATTTACAGTGTAAAGGCCATCTAGTTCCTCATCGTATCCCTCGAACTGTGGAGTGCTGTAATGATGAAGATTACTGCAATGAATATCTGGACCCTTTCTATGTAGAACATAACAACACACAGAAAGGAGGTAGGTTTAAAATGAATAGATTTAAAAAAAAAAAAAAAATGAAACTTTCTAAAATGCTATTGACATGTATGGTGAGAAGGTGATGTATAAGGTCATACAAATGCTTTCAAATACTATTTAAGTTAGTCTCTTTTATAATGGTCATTGAGAAAATCAATCACTTATTTGTTGCTGACTGCCTACCAAAATATACTATGAGATTGATCAACTCAATACACAGTGTTTTTCCATAGAGAGTCAGTAGCAAACCTAATTTGTAATAGTAGAGGCACAATGTGTTATTTGTTGTATAAGCCATGGGATAGATCTGTAAATGAAAAACTTCTGGATGCTGCACAACAATCTATATATCAAAGTACTGTAAACATTTAGTTCCTGATTTAAAAAAAAAAAAAAAAAAGACTAACATTTACATCTGGGCAAATTTTGTTCTTTCATGGTTATGATTTCAACATTGTTAATTTTTTTCCAGACAGAATATTTTGTACTTTTCTTTGTAACACTAATCCATGTATAATATGTTGAATATTTAACTGATCATGTTCCTTTTGTAAAGAAATGACTTTCCTGGGTTTATAGCCTGTTGACCAATCTTATTCTTTAGAATAAGATATCCTATTATTAGATTATTGTGCATAGGGTAATCATGTTTCATTAATGCACACAAAAATACAGCAGTTAACTGTTGGAGGAATATTTATGAGGAATGTTTCTTAGTTTAGTTATAGTGTATAACACACATTAACAGTAAGTGATGATGTAAACTGTTTTTCTCTGCAGTGCCTGTTGGACAAGATGACATGATAAACCTGACACACCTGGCTCTGATTGTCTCTATAACTTGCTGTTTTCTGATATTTGTACTTATTGTCTCCTTGTTGTATCTGAGGTGAGTATTCAAATCAAATGAAAAAGAAACAAAATATAAAATTTCAAAGGACTTTTTACAAAAGAGTTTTTTTATAGAGGGGGGGGGTTGCTTGGAATTAAAGAAGATGCCCTGTTAGCTATTCTTCCAGACAATTTAGATTTAACATTCAAAGACTCCATAAAATGGTAAAGGCATACTTATTTAAAAAAAAAAGGGGGAGTAATATGTAATTTACATATATGTATGAAGAAATCTATGTATGTTTACTGTAAATTACATGTTCACAAAAATGTCATTGATTTACAGACATAAAAGACGAGATGTGAAGAAGGAGCCATTTATGGGCGATCATGAGGAGCACAGTGATTCCTTTATGTGTGACTCGACAAAAGGCCTAATTGACCAGTCTTCTGGTTGTGGATCTGGACCGCCCACTCTGGTATGTTTTGGAGGGTGTTAGTCAAAACTTTTGTGAATATACTTCTGTAAACGTATCACATTTGGGTGTATATTTTTTGAAACACAAAACATATATTGCCTACAAAGATGGTGAAAAAATAGTTTGATAATCATTGGAACCAGTACAAAACCGAAATAATGCTAAGATTATGTGTTGTCTTTAATTATGATACACTTCTCCATTACTCCTTCCTCTCTTCCACTCCCTCAGAAAAATTGAGGGTTCACTTGCAGGATATGTAAACCAAAAAATAATAAATAAAGAATGAATAAAATAAATTCTGACTTTAAAATGACAGGGAAAATATTGTTACAAAAATATACCTTGTTTCTAATCATTTAGTTCTGGTGTTACACCCTATATTCATTGTGTATGTAGGTCCAGAGAACAATAGCCAGGAACATTCACTTGGTTAAAAGCCTGGGTAAGGGAAGGTTTGGGGAGGTCTGGAAAGGATATTGGAGGCAAGAGGAGGTCGCTGTCAAAATCTTCTTTACCACAGAGGAGAGTACTTGGGCCAGAGAGACAGAGCTGTATCAGTCAGTATTACTGAGGCATGATGGGATACTTGGTAAGTAATATACCTGAAAGATAGAAGGGAAAGATGTGTGACAGGCTCAAAGGTATTTTTTTTATCCCTTTCATTGGAAACCTTTGGTGTTTTACTGGCTACAACTTCAGCTATGTTGCGTGTGCCAATTAGTATGCTCACTCTGCTTTTGGCAACAAAATGTTAAGAGTTGTCTTTTGTTGGCCATTGAATAAACTCAGTAAAAAAAATTTGTGTGTTGTTGTTACAGGTTACATTGCATCTGATATAAAGGGAACAGGGTCCTGGACTCAGCTGTTCCTAATCACTGATTACCATGAATACGGGTCCTTGTATGACTACCTTCAGACACACATCCTGGATGTGGAAGATATGCTCAAAATGGCACACACTGCTGCTTGTGGTCTTGGTCATTTACATTCAGAAATATTTGGAACAAAGGGTAAGCAGATGGATACAAAGTATTTGAAGAATTTATGGGGAAAATGAGACATTTTCAAATACCTTATTTGGCTGAATATAATACACACTTTTTTCCCAAAATAATTTTCTGTGAGAAAGGGGTGTGTATTTTACACCACAATGGGATTTTGATAGGTTTTTCTTTCATGTGAAACACGGCTATCATATGCACATACCGTAGTATTACCTAGAGACTTATGCAATTTCTTGCTATTTATCGCCGTATTTAAAACTTCGAAAAGTTATTGTTGGAATGTAGGCTTGTTAAAAATGTTATATTTATAACCTTTTGATAGTTAAATTAAATTTAAAAGCAAGTTAAAATTAATTTGAGCTGCATGTTCATCGTCTCCGTGTAGGCTGCCATTAACGATGTTATTTATAGATGTTCACGCATTCCTTTGCCACGTGCTTCTGTAATTATAGTACACATGTACCTAATCAGTCAGACACTCGGTCAAAAAAGTAATAAGTCATTACATTTTCTCCCCCACATCACTGAACATGTGCGCTTGTCACTTGATAATTACCCCTCAACACCCCTCCAGGCAATTAAATTGTTTACCGACTCCAAAGCATTGTTTTTACAGTTAGAGCACTGATTATTTACTGCCCTTATTAATGGCTTTGATTATTTTCTTTGTTAAAAATCGGGGGTTGGTTTGTGATCTTTCATATGTATAAGCTTGTGTTGATTACGACATATTAAACAGTTAAACGCTTGTTAAATGTAATTTTACTTTATCTTATATCGGCCTCGTGTTAAAATGATTGAGAGTTAAAAAAGGAAATATGAAGTATGTTGAAACTTAAGTGTTATCATTTACTCGTGCTCTGTAGAAAATAATATGTCCACGAAGATTACCTCGATGTATGAAGACACACATCCCACCTTTGTACATCATTTTTCACAGCTTTGGAGTTGTGTTGATAACTACACTTTACACGCTTGTTAAATTTTGATTTTATTTTTATAACATCAGCTATTTATTTAATTAATTAATTTCAAGTTCAAAAGAAGAAAATCGTAGTCTGTGAATACTTTGATGTTGCAATATCACTTGCCCTGTTAAATTTACATAATTTTCAACATGATTACCTTAAACTAAAAATAAATATGACAACTGTTAAACTTGCAACAATATCTCGTTCTTTGTTGAAATAAAATTATTTCCACAAAGAATAGTTAGAATACGGCGACGTATAATTTCAATATCACCGTATGCTAAAAAAAATTTATAATAAACTCTGTTAATACTTTAATGCAACATTATCTCGTGCTTTGTTAAAATAAATAATTTCCTCCAAATTGTCGCGATATGGAAAGTCAAGATTAAGAAATAAAAACGCATTTGAATAAAATATCGTGTTCTGTAAATTTTCGGCACTTTATCTCCGCGCCGATTTTCATAGCAAATTACCACGATTTTCAGAAGTTCAGAACACCGCTTGGTAAAATTTTCTGCTGCGTATAATACAACCGAACTGCGTTTTTTCCCCCAGTTTCAGGCTCAAAAAGGGGGGTGCGTATTTTACACCAATGCGTATTATATTCGGCCAAATACAGTATCACATTCTTTGTCTTCCTTCGATTATTTTGTTGACAGTCTATAAATAGAAGAAATCTTGCTGAATATAGTGTTAATTGATAACAAATCTAACAGCATGTGTATATTTTCACAGGTAAACCAGCAATGGCCCACAGGGACATCAAACCTAGAAATATTCTGGTGAAGGCAGATGGAAGCTGTTGTATAGCTGACCTAGGGCTGGCTGTGAGATATATCAGGTTCAACAATATTTCTTTGTCATGTTTTTTTTAAATTCCAGGGTTAGATTCCAAATATGACACAAGACAAAAAGTTAGCAATTCTTATTTCATTTACCACCCTTCTTTAAAAATATTTACTTCGTACCCATGCAGTTAATATGTGGTTAATATGAATATCTTAAATTGAAATGACACTACATGCACCCTGAGTGTCCAAACTGGCAGTCTCTGGAATAAGGCTGTGTATCTTGAGGGGGAAAATTCCCACCATTCAATACAATATTTTGGAAAAATATCAATATATCATGATATATCAAGTTTTTATATTAACTGGCTTCTCCACAATTATGTTTGGATTTTTAATAAAGGAAAATTATGTTTTTCAGTAACTGATTCTAATAGTCTTTAAATGCTTTCTAGCTAAAACCAAGATTACAGCACAATAAAAATTAAACTTTTTCTCTTTAATTTCTAAACTAAAAAAAGAAATTTCACTTTCCTATTGGATAATTAATGAGTTCCATTATTGTTGTTTATGCAAAAAATCTTAATTTTAAAACCAAAATTGCACATTATATACTTCCTAAATGTATTGAAAAACATTGATAGTATTGGATAATTCATTTTATATATCAATGTATCATATTGACTCCCTTTGCATCACAATACGTGAATGTATTGTTACACCCTAACACAGGAAGTACTTTGTACGTCCATGTAAAGTTAAAAGTATATGTTCAATTAACTAAATTCAGGTCATCTGATTGAAATTTCGTGTTGAATTTCAAAATAACATGATTATCGACCCAGCATGATATATGCATCTGTAAGTTTTATTGAACATGTAGTAATATATAATGTTACAATTACAGCGAGTCCAATGAAGTGGACCTGCCTTCATCGTCCAGACAAGGGACAAAGCGTTACATGGCTCCTGAAGTATTGGACAACTCCGTCCGCAGAGAGCACTTTGATGCCTACAAACAAGGAGATATTTATGCTTTTGGACTTGTGTTGTGGGAAATAGCAAGACGATGCATATCTAATGGTATTAATCTCAAAGAATCAAATGTTTAAGTTCTTTTTATTATAATTTTATTAACTCTCCATGGAGTTATTTACCTATAGAGGGATTAAAAACGTATGATATTTGTGGTTATTTACATACTGTTAATCATATTTTAAAATGTGATGTATTTATACCCCACGCAACAAGTTGCGTGAGGTATAATGTTTTTGACCCGTCCGTCAGTCAGTCAGTCAGTGTGTCAGTCAGTCAGTCAGTCAGTCAGTCCGTCAGTCCTGTTTTTTTGTCAGCGCAACTCCTCATAAACCACTGCACAGAATTTCGTCAAACTTTGCAGATATTTAGGACACAATGTGTAGATGTGCATATTACCAGGAAATTCCGATTCCTTTATTTTTGCCTTAAGAGTTTTGCCTTTTATTGAAGAAACTTTCCAGCTAGGTAATAAGAAACTCCACTGGAATCAGCTTTTTATAATGAAATTCTATGTGAAATATTTTATGACCTTAAAAGACCCCTATTGATTTTGAGATCAAAATATTAATGGTTTAACACAAACACACACTCACACACACACCATCTTCGATAGTTCTCTCCCCCCCCCCCCCCCCCCCCCCCTTCAAATTGGTGTGCTTTGCCTTAAATAATTTCATAAGTACAGTATATAAACAGATTCATATGACTACATCATAATTTTGTTTCCATCAATTATTTAAATGTGTAAACTGTCATGTGTTGGACATGGACTTACACTCATTAACAAATCGAAATCACTGAGGAATTTAAATAACAGTTTGTCAGCATAATTCCGGCACTGAATTTCCTGAAACTTTGTAGGTATTTCAGAATAATGTATAGATTTGTATATTACCAAGAAATTTTGATTCCATTATTTATCTAGAAACTTCAGCCCAGTTAAATTTGTAACATACAAAGATTTGAATGTCCTTATATGCAAGAAGTTTTGATGTGATGATTTTTTGCAAGTAATGCCCCTTTTTAGGTCACCTGAGTCACTCAGGTGACCTATTGCTATCCGTTTTCGTCCGTCGGCGTGCGTTGTGCGTTAACATTTGAACATTTTCAGCTTCTTCTCTGAAACCGCTCAACCAATTTCAACCAAATTTGGCATATAACATCTATGGGTGAAGGGGGACAAAATTTGTGAATTTCATGGTCCCTGCCCTCCTGGGGCCTGAGGGGTGGGGCAAAAACCACTAAAATTAATGCAATCTTTAAAAATCTTCTTCTTTACTCCTGGACATCAAGCAGTCAAACTGTTAGCATGATTGTAATAAGCATTGAGCCCTCTACCAAAATTGTGAAATTCATGGCCCCAGGGTAAGGGGTTCTGGGGCTAGGGCGGGGCTATATAGATCATATAGTAAAAGTGCATTATTTCTTCAAAAATCTTCTTCTCTGCTCCTGGGTATAAAATAAACTAACTAAGTACACAGTTATGATAAGCAAGAATGCCCCTTCCAAAATTGTGAATTTCATGGCCCCTGGGTCAGGGGTTCTGGTGAAAGGGGGGGGGGCTCTATTGATTATATAGTGAAAATGCATTATTTCTTTGAAAATCTTCTTCTCTGCTTATGGGTATGAAATAAACTAACTAAGTACATAGTTATGATGAGCAAGAGTGCCTCTTCAGAAATTTTGAATTTCATTGCCCCTGGGTCAGGGGTTTTGGTGAAGGGGGGGGGGGGTTATTGATTATATAGTGAAAATGCATTATTTCTTTGAATATCTTCTTCTCTGCTTATGGGTATTAAAGAAATTAACTAAAAACATAGTTATGATGAGCAAGAGTGCCTCTTCAGAAATTGTGAATTTCATGGCCCCTGAATCAGGGGTTCTGCTGTTAGGGTGGGGCTCTATTGATTATATAGTGAAAATGCATCAATTCTTTGAAAATCTTCTCTGCTTCTGGGTATTATTTAAACAAAGGAATTGCATGGTTATGATAAGCAAAAATGCCTCTTCCAAAATTGTGAAATTCATGGCCCCAGGGTCAGGGGTTCTTGTGAAAGGGGGGGTGGCTCTACTGATTATATAGTGAAAATTCATAATTTCTTTCAAAATATTTTTTCTACTCCTGGTTATAAAGCAAAGAAACAAGTGTATAGTTATGATGAACAAGGATGCTTTTACAAAATTTTTAGGTCACCTGAGTCACTCAGGTGACCTATTGCTATCTCTTTTCGTCCGTCGTCGTCCGTCGTTTGTCGGTCGTAAACTTTTGAACATTTTCAGCTTCTTCTCTGGAACCAGTGAACCAATTTCAACCAATTTTGGCATATAGCATCTATGGGTGAAGAAGAACAAAAATTGTGAAATTCGTGGCCCCTGGCCCCCTGGGGCCTGAGGGGTGGGGCCAAAACCATCAAAATTAATGCAATCTTTAAAAATCTTCTTCTTTACTCCTGGACATCAAGCAGTCAAACTGTTGGCATGATTGTAATAAGCATTGAGCCCTCTACCAAAATTATGAAATTCATGGCCCCTGGGTCAGGTGTTCTGGTGTTAGGGCGGGGCTATATAGAACATATAGTGAAAGTGCATTATTTCTTTGAAAATCTTCTTCTCTACTCCTGGGTATTATTGAAACAAATTGAGTACATAGTTATGATAAGCAAGAGTGACTCTACCAAAATTGTGAAATTCATGGCCCCAGGGTCAGGGGTTCTGGTGTTAGGGCGGGGCTATATAGATCATATAGTGAAAGTGCATTATTTCTTTGAAAATCTTCTTCTCTACTCCTGGGTATTATTGAAACAAATTGAATACATAGTTATGATGAGCAAGAGTGACTCTACCAAAATTGTGAAATTCATGGCCCCTGGGTCAGGGGTTCTGGTGCTAGGGCGGGGCTCTTTTGATTATATAATGAAAATGCATTATTTCTTTGAAAATCTTCTTCTCTACTCCTGGGTATTATTGAAACAAATTGAATACATAGTTATGATGAGCAAGAGTGACTCTACCAAAATTGTGAAAACAATTTTTTTACCGTATATTTTTTTAAAATTGATTTTTATTACTTAAAAAAAGAGGGAGATAACTCTTCAACAAAGGTCAAGTCATAAATTAGGACACTTCCATTCTTTACTGCTAATAGTAATAAATGTAGATTATGTCTAAATATTCTGAGTATTCCACCCGTACACATCTGTTATGTATTCAAATTCATTGAATCTGAGGCTATTAGGGATGGAATACCAGTACCTTAAATGTTCATCAAAGACCAAGAGTCTTACTCAGGCCAATGTAAGAGATTTCCACAAGGAATTAAAAGAGTACAGAAGCACTGATAGTTTCTTAATATACTGTCTGGTGAGAGTGATAAATGGGGAACAGATTAGAACCCAATTTATGAACTTTTAATGAATACTAGACTAATTATTTTGTTAATCCTGATCACCCTATTTTTCTTGCTTTTGGGCAACAAAGCTTCACCTTTCAGTTCATTTTATACTCTATGGATCCTCTAAATTGTTGTATTATACTCAGGTGACCGTTAAGGCCCTTGGGCCTCTTGTTTGAATTATACTGTGTATTTAAAATGCACTGTGCCATTCATTACGTGTTGCATTGTTGAGTTTTGGGGAAGCGTGGGGTATGTGAGCTTGCTCACTTTTTCTTTCATTATGCATGTGTAAGTGCACTAATCTGTCTAAACACAACAATGAAATTCTCTTCAGTAACTTTGGAAAGTTTAATTACTTACCATACAGAAGATATGCCAAATTTTTGACTTGCAGATAAATGCAAGGCTTTACTTTACTCCCATGAATATAATTTTAGATACAGCTTTTAGAAATTTACAGGACTATGATATTGGCATTCACTGTGTTTTAAATTTTATTTGACAATTCAAACCTTCAGAAGAACAATTTCTATTTCCTGAACTAATTTTGTCTCATCTTTAACTTGATAGGTATAGCTGATGACTATCAGCCTCCATATTTTGAGACTATTCCTGCAGACTCTGATCCTAGTTATGAGGAAATGAAGAAAATTGTGTGTGTTGAAAAGATGAGGCCAGGATTCCCCAACAGATGGTCATCTAACGAGGTAAAAACTAAATCTTGTAATGTATTTCATATTTTCCCAGGGATTAAGATATCATTCATTCATTGGGTGAGGAATATCACATACCTGGGGTCCGTTTAGCCGAGGACAGCAAGCAGGCTGTAAGCTACAATGTACGGTGAAACCAATGTAATCCAACACGCACTGGGAGACAAATTTTGTGTCGGAATAGACAGGTTGTCAGATTGTGCAGTGAAAAGAACATAGAAAACAATAAGATGTATATTAAAATAAGGGTCAGAATTCACAGTGAAACGGATTGCACAGGTGTCAGATTAGACAGTTTTCACTGTAATAGGATGACATCCCATGACAAAATGATGAAGGGAAGCAGTGCTGGAACTTGAATTTATTTCCTAATCCAAACATCAAATCAACATAATTTTTTTCTTTAGTAAATGAATGATGCTAAAGTAAAAACAAATCCCTCTTGCTTGTTTCTCTGTCATTTTATTGCAATGCATAAGACTTTCTTTGATATCTTTGACATTTGATCATCACTTGATAATGTCCATATCCATTTGCACACATCTCTGATATCTCAATAGCAGCCCAAATTCAAAGTTTCCCCCCTATAAGTTTTCTCTGAAGTGATTTTTTACTATTAAAATACATGTAAAATTAAAATACTATTAAAATAAGTAATTTTCAGTAGAAATGAGAGAATATTAAGTAATATATTGTGTTTACAAATTTTATTATTATTATTATGGTTTGGTAACAGGATTAGATTGAAATGTACGTGTATGTTTTAAACATTTGCATATTCATTTATTAAAAGACCTCTGAAGGACAAATTTTTTTAAAAAGGATTCTGCACAAAGAATTTGTAAGCTGTGAATTAAGGTTTATAAATTAAAATTTCCCCAATATCATTAATGTGTAAAACTGAATTTACATGTGTGTTTCATTACCAAGTAATGACATACATTCAATTTTATTTTCTTAATTTTAGTATTTAAAGATGATGGCACGCTTGATGAGGGAATGCTGGAGTCACAACCCGGGAGCTAGACTGACTGCTCTGCGCGTGAAAAAGACATTGGGGGGAATGATTCTCCAGCTTAACAAAAGTGTCAAATTGGACGAGGCGGAAAAGATCACAGAAGTTACGAACATGATCAAAAACAGTGAGTGATATTGGTTTACGGAAATAAGAACATCCATGGTTGTTAAAATGATCTTTTGTGCTGACAGAAGCAACCATTCTGTTTGCCAAACGAAAAACAAACAGAAAAAAGGCAACATTCTACAAGTGTACGGTGCCCTTTGTTGAAATCCATTGAAAAGGGATGAATTTTCTGTGCCATTTATTTGTAAGTGCAGAAGCTAATGCAGCAGTTATCCGGTTTTGAATTGTTGTGAGCAAATATAATTTGCTGCTTGTTTGTTTTGGCAGTCTTTTTCTTTTTAGAGCGGCTATGTGGCATTTTAGTTACACCATATTGATTGACTTTATAATGTATAATATTTTTGTAACCACTTTGTGATATGGCCAGTCTTGCTAACTTTAGTGGTGCTTATAAGTAGTGAATGCTAGATCTGTAATTTTCATTTTTAAAGAAAAAAAATGTTGTTTTAAATGAAAGTGAATGCTTTATAGAAAAATACCACTTAATTATATTTTAATAGTGTAGGATACAAAAAATTCATGACATTGGTGTAAATGTATATGCATCGATGTGTGTTTGTATTGTATGACTGAAGTCATTTTCAGTATACATCTGTACTGCGTGATTTTTTTTTTCAAACTTAATTGCTTCACTGAAAACTTGCTTAAGAATTTTGTTTTGCATTCCCTTACAACAATGGGCAGCAATTATTCAGGAGACACCACTTCACATTTATCACTGGTGTGGCCTGATAATTATTGTTAGTTTTATCATATTCATGGAAAAGTACAATCTATCCTGGACAGAGACACCAATTTTTGATGAAATACTCCTGTTCTGAAAGTGTGCTGTATATAATGTGCTTGCACAGATTCCCAGTTCAGAGGATTATGAAGATCATTATTTAAAGCACACAGTACCCCAGGCTCTGTTTAAGATAACAAAATTTTATGCTGAAATTAGGAAATTGGTTCTAGTCACTTGGCCTGTGTTTAGATATCATGAGATCAGGTTAAAACACCTGTAATTTTAACCCCCCCCCCTTTTCATATCATTCTGAGACATGAGGAAGAGAGAGAGAGTAACCAGTGTAGAAATGCATATGATTTATTGTTGTTATTTTGAACAATTCATGGTTGTGTTTCATATGTTTGTAAAATATTTTCACTTTATATATATATATAGATTAAAATATGGGAGTGATGTTTTATGTTTATCATAGTCACTTTTCCATAGATTTGTCCTTATGATTCCCACCAAATTAAAACTTTATATAATACATTGATTTAAAATAAAATTTTTATTTTCATATTTAACACAAGTTAAGAAACACTTAAATAACAAGGTCATTTTTAAACTTTTATAAATTTTTGTTGACTTTAAATGGCATCTGCAGTATCTCAGTGAAATTTCTATTATATGATACCATGAAGTATTATATCAAAATTGATTGATAAACAAAAAATGGAAGTTTCATTCACATTTTCAATTCTTTCTTCTTTTTTTTATTCATGCAAGAAATGAATTTTACTATGAGGAACAAAATTTAATTCTTTTTTTTTTTTTACTGCACTGTGAAATATGTTGGTTTTTGTTATTTCATTAATGTAGATATTGCACGATTCTAATACCTCACTTTACAAACTTATACTAAAGTTTAATTTTTTTTTTTTTTTTTGATATTTCTCTTCTAAATATTGTGGATTTTAGTAAAAAGCTACTTTTCACTCTGGAAGAATGACTGATGTACCAAGATCTGTTCTATCTTTATCTCCACTCAATGACATAGAACCACACTTTTTAAAAATTTTATTTCAAAACTTAAAATTCCAACACTTTTGTTTCTTGAATTAAGAAGAGAGAAGTCAGTATTTTGTTGAAAATCAAAAGTTGTTTTGTCTGTACATTTGAATTATTATTTTTTTTTTATTTCCTTGTTCATACATTCTCATCATACCTTTTTTTCCATTCACAAAAGAGCTGATTATACTGTGCAAAGCACATCTTGTAATTTATTGATACAAGTATTTATGTTTTATGTGTTTATATTAAAGCTGTTTTGCATGATCTGATGAATTAAAACAAAAATATATTATATGCCTTTGTTCTTGAAAACTTGTACATTGTATACACATGTATATGTTTGAAAGGAATTTGCATCAAACTTACATATCTTTTGAAACAACCAGTTGTTTTGTGTTATAATAATCTGCAAGTGCTTTATTGGAATATTTTTTGTTACATCCTGTAAAATAGAGGTAGTTTTTATTGTTACAGTTTTATGTCTATCACTAGTGTATCATATATACATTTTATACTATAATTACCTCACTTGAGAAGTAGTTCAATAAATTTGCATTTTTAGTGACCTGCAAACTTAATGAACTTGCAAGAGTATTTTTGTATGTAAAATAAACAAGTTCTTGCAATGACTAAATAATTTCAGTATCTTTTTATGTTTATATAATAGTACATGTATATACCCACCAAATAAATTGTAGGACATCAATTTTCATGAAACATATATATACTTTTAATAGATATAAACTTTCTTAATGAGGGAAGTTATTTCACTTAATGATGGACAGTTGAATGGTGATAGAGTATATTTCATTTAAAATTTTATAACCTGTTACTGAAAATCATGTTAATATAATCTTTCATTTTAGTTGTATACAGAGATTTGGTTCAAAACTCTCTGACATATGATATTGTGAAAGTTCCTCTTATTGAATTGGGTCCCACCAAGAATTCATTCATGTGTTTCATTTTAAATATTGTAACAAATTCTCCATTATCATGCATCATTTTAATGTAGTTAACAATGTTGTATCATTCTAAATGCAGTCTAGCCTTTAGCTGGATTCTAATGGCCACATTGTATGAAATTGTCATTAAAAAGTTAAAAACTACTTTGATGTATATATTTTTTTCAAATGTATCTCTAACAGCAATGCAGACCTGGAACTTTGTTATCTGTCTTTCTTTTTGAATCACCATGCAGGGGGTAATCTGTTTTTGTAATGTTATGTTGACATTTTCAAGTCATGTATTCAAAATTGCACTTAATTTTTAAAATTTTTGAATACTGTGTTGGACACATTTGCCAATTTTTTTTTTTTTTTTTTTTTTGTGGGGGGGGGGGGGATGTTAACACAGATAGGTTCCTCACTTTCTCATTTTTAAGTCAGAGGAGTAAAATATGTCAATTTTTTTAGTTCTTGGTGGAAAAGCAGTTCACCTGTTTATCTTAAAAGTTAAAAATATTGAACATTTAACCAAAGGAAAAAAAAGGATAAGATTCAGCTTTTCGAGAGGTGGATTTGGCAGCGCATAATGCATATTGCTTTTGTAACAGCTCAGGAAACATTGTTGGGCTGTTGAAACATTGCTGATATACAATTAATGAGTGATGACATTACATCTAATATTGGTACAAGACCTTGGCTACAACAGCAATGCAATCAACGTCAGTATTTTTGGTCAGTGTTACACGCATCACCCTTGCCTCTGGATTATGATAAAATATTTGGTTTGAAATAACTCATTTCCATGCATGTGGGGATCTAGGAAGCCCCCCCCCCCCCTGGAATTTAAGAGTTATTAAATTTCCATGTAAAAATAACGGAAAAAAATAAATTGGACCCCCTCCCCAGGAAACACGGACCCACATTAAAATGGAAAAGAGTCGTGTATGTGGAGAAAATTTACTAAGAAAACTGGGTACATTAACAACAACCCCCCCCCCCCCCCCCCATTGAAATAGGATATTCAGGCATGTCAAAAAGTTTCTGAGTCTGACATTGGTTAGAGTTGATGTGGAACCACCCCCATTCCCGGAAAAAAAAATCCTGGATCCGCGCTTGTCCATGTGTTACTAGACAAAGCACTATGCAGAATTTCTCATTTATAATACATGTGATTACATTAATCTTAGAATCAATTACCAGGCCTGAAGAATAATGATGACTGACCATTTTTTGATTTTGTCGATGTTTCCCCAGATTCTTAGAGGAAAAGGGTTGTAATGATTAATATCGTAAAGAAAGTTTATGAATTGTTGAAATTCAGTTAAAATATTAGGGACGAGAACACTGGATTTTATTTCAAAATCTAGGTTTGACGTCCCTTTTTCTAAAACAAGCAGTTTGTGCGTGGGTTGGGTCGTAATCATCATGATCATTAGAAGCGAACGAAGTGCAAACTTGATCTGTAACTCATCGAGATAGACTCGCATTCCAAAAAATCAGTTTATATAATGCATGCAAGGCTGAAACGTCCAGAAAAAGAGGAAAACTAAGTGGGATAGACTGGCCGGCAGACAATCAGACAAACGGACAGAAGGAGAGGGGAACTACAGTTCACTCCGGTTTCACCGGTATGTGATTAAAACTAATATAAAACATGTCGACCTTTCAACATCATGCCACATTACATTTTCCGGAACAACTGAACTTGGTGTATATTTGTTCAAATGTTGTTTATGTCCCTCTCGAGAATTTTTCACTCATAAAGAGACGCCACCACTTGCCGGGCTGCAAATACAGACCTATACTTAGGGCCACTGAGCAGTGCGTGATCTTTTTTCGTGCCAGCACCTACTGCGACACAGGACCTCGGTTTATACGGTCTCATCCGAAAGACCGGTCTCCACGTCCCGCAGTGGGATTCGAACCCGCGACGTAAAGATCAACTCCTTACGCCGCGACTCGAGAACAAACGCTAGTGTGAAACCCTCACTAGGCGTCTCAAACTCGAAAACTATGGTCCAAATTTCAGCATACTGAATTATATTATCGCCCAACAAAATACTGTCGCCCATCAACATATATTGTCGGCGGCAACAATTTACATCGGTAATGCCGCTATGTAACAAAACGAAAAGAAATAAGGATATAATTTGAATATAAGGGGCAATTAATATGCCCCGTTGACATCATCAACTCTTTGCCGATCACAAAATACGCTGGGCAACATTCTACGACAATGAATGATTCTGGTATATTTTTAAAACAAATTGTAACTTTGTTCTTTTTGAGATATCGAAACAATAATTAATGCTAATATGCAGGATTCTTATAGCTGCCCACTTTAACTTTTTGTTTACTAGTATTGGATCCATGTTCCTCAAAACATTGCTGAGAACTGTCAAAACGTCCCATTCAAACTCCTGTGTTCCTACTTGGCCCCACATGGGGATCATGGTTTGAACTCATACTCAACAGTAAAGCTTTTATCCTACCGAAGTTTGGACACTTTTGCCCAGAGTTTCTAGAGGAATTGTTTTCAATGAACTTACACTGTTTTTGATCCCACCCATCCGTCTCCCTTTCCCATGGTGGAGACAACTACTCAATTGTCCAATGATCCCTTGTGCAAAGTTTCATTGAACTCGACCAAGTGGTTAAACATGATAAGCAAAAAAAAAACAAAAACAAAACTCAATCTGTCTTGCCTTTCCAGTGTATGTTTCATGCAGATTATACAGACAGCACGATAAGCTCCATTAACTGTTTCGTACAGACATTTTTGCAAGAGTCGTTTTGTTGGTATAATCGCCAAGCTGAACTGTCGGCAAACTTCTCTGTTGCATAAATTGCGTGTTCGATGTACGACGTTTCCTTCTGAACAGTGCTATGTTGACAATTTTGTCAATGAATTGTAAGCTATGGAGTATCTGGACCACAGTTATTACCTGCAGTAAAACTAACAATGTATCGATTTTCACAATTTCGATCTATATCGTAAACCCAGATATTCTGGCATTAACGTGGTAAAGTCTTGATATCAAATTGATTAAATACATAATACACCAATGAAAATTAACTACTTTTTGTAACCGAGAATGAAAACTGATTTAAAATACCGATATATGCATGATATTGTCCGTATGAATTGTACAGAAAACTTTTTTTTTTGTAAGAAGTAAATTAACATTTGGATTCCTGGTCGAAATTCGTGCGTTGTCTGTCGTTGTTGATCTCGTCGTTAACTTTTCAAACCTCATCATCTTCCCTTCTAAAGGGAGATAATTAAAAAAAAACATAGGATTAGGGAAATTCAAAAATCTTTTCAAGAACTTGATTTATCAAGCATAAAAAAATGCTATATCTCTGGTTCTTGAAAATGATCGTTATGATAACTTGAATAATTTGGTTAAGCGTAATATACTTTAAAACCTATTTGATCTTGACAAGTCAACATATATATATATATATATATATATATATATATATATATATATATATATATATATATATATATATATATATATATATATATATATATATAGAATGTGAAGGAAAAATGTCTGCAGTTGATATTTTCTTGACGCCATTAGGTTACATCTATATTGATTTGAGAGATCACAATATGGACGCACTGGAAACAACACGACACATTGATAGACCACCATATCTACCATACAATTTGATTAATATGCTCCAAACACTGTGCTGCCTATGTTCCTGAATATGGATTACAGACTCAAGCTTGAAAATTACACAGTAATTTGGGCATGTCAGAGTTACTTGTACACGATAATCCTCTGTCGCATACTGTATATGATAACTCCTCACGGTGATATTAACATCAAAACTTCATAGAAAGACATAATATATGATTTTAAGGTGGCTGTTTAATGCCCGAGAGACTCTTGTTTCGTAAATTTTCATTTGTTCAGAGCATAATCGTTTTAATTTAACTTTGAAAATCGTTGTTAACTTTATATAACTGGAAAAATAAAAAGCTCCGCGGGTCACAACAATTAAACATGTTAATTCAATTGCCTTCTCGGCCAATAGTATTCAACATTCAAGAAGACATTCAAGATATGAAAATATAGTGAATTTTCTTAAAAAGGCTTCAAACCACATCCAAAAGGAATGTTTCAGCAATTTTAGTCTGCAATCTTAAAGTTCTTAAAGGCTACAATTTGTCAAAAATCATTTTTTTCAAATAAAAAAAAAAAAATAGTCGGGCTTTGCCATGTAGTGCTGGTACAAGCTCAGTTAAAATTTTTGTCCATGACGTAGGTGGAACATCAACAGAGAATATTTTTTTCCCAATCAAAGTACTAATACCAGTATATTTCGGTATATTATATACCATGTATGCATGTAAAATATGATGTCTGGATGCATGGAATGAAATTCAGGCGTCCTCATGATATAAATTAAAATTCGTTGTGACCATTGGAAAATCTGCGGTAAGTCTGCGAACATCCTCACAACGTCAGGGTTTCCGAGTCAACAAGAACCCCTGACGTTGTGAGGATGGTCTGTGAACCGGAGATCTTTCCCGGAGGTGTATGCTACATTCGACACCGCCCCCTCCCACCCCCTTGAGTCAGTATATAGGCACAACAGGGCTGTGAAAACTGCAACTATTCGGTTTCTACATACTGAAACTATATATGAAGTTCTACCAGATAATTGATATATGACAGAATTAATTGAAGACGTCGGTGTATTGAAAACCACCTCATTCTTTTGCTAGCTCAAAGGAAGGCAATGTAATAAAAAAAGATAAAAAAAAAAAAACAAAAACAAATGAAGAAAAAAAATTTCACATTGTAATTTTTGAATTAAATGCAAAAATTACAATATGACATAACGTAATTCTTGTATTTACTACCTCCCGGTAACTTGTAATTTTTGAATTCACTGGCTGGTAGTAAATACAAAAATTGCAAAAATACAAAAATTACAATATGTCATATTCTAATTTTTGTATTTACCACCACCCGGTAAATTCAAAAATTGCAATATGGCATCATGTAGCTACACATCATGCGTATACGGTATACGCGAGGGCGGATCTAGAAAAGGGTGGTATGGGGGTTCGGGTCCGAACCCTACACTTTGTGCAGATGACCCCCCCCACACACAAACACACTCACTGAACGAGATCACGTGCTCCCCCTTTTTTGTGATGGTCCTCCCTATCTCATAGGTTCCTGGATCCGCCTATGAAGCGCGCCAACGAATGTCAAATTCTTAAGCTACGTTGAAGTTATTTTTAACGCTGTTATTTTTGTTCAGATAAATAAATGAATAAATAAATAAATAATAATAATTCTTTTCTGTAGAAGATTTTTATTTTTCTGCTGAATATAAAAATGTATGCAAATTTTACGTTCATTTCGCATATAGTTTAGTAATTTGTAGGCCCTCAAGAAAGGTCATCATGAAATATGTATTCAAACCTTAAAACTGGCAGCAAGATGATGATGATAATTATAATAATAATAGTTATGGTAAAAATAATAACAATATTACTTCATTATTCATTATTGCATTATAACATTATACCATTATACATTATCATGATTATTGGCTTTTCTGATTAAGAAAGATAGACAAAAGTATACTACTGCTAGTACTGGGAACAGATACTCGGTATAATAATACTATCAAATCTATAAAAGTTAAACATTAAAAATAATCAATTTATATGATTTACTCTGTATCTTAATTTTGTTTAATCAGCTTTTAATTTCATGACAGCATTTGCTGTCTAAATATTAACAACTCAATTCCGATGTCGGTGATATTTTTTTTTCATCTTCAGGTATTTGAAACTAATTATGCAATTAAATTAGCCGTCATATCCATAGTAAACAGAAAGTATGCACAAAGAATCAAAGAAAATTGCAAAACATATTTACCCCCCCCCCCCCCCCTTAAAAAAGTCATAGATCCGCGCTTCATACAAGCACCAAAAGTGTGAATGTTAATAATAGTTTCATCAGTTTATTTCATATAATAAAAATCTTTACGTTGTAAATGTGACAATACTTCTTTCTGTATTACGCTTCCTTTTTTGGAAACGCGCTCATGCATAAAAGAAATAACATTTGTTCAATGTCGTGCGCGGCCCCGCATCAAGCAATCTGACACACAAGTAGTGGAACGCTCAGTCAAAATGGCTGATAACGGGGAAGACGGAGTATCGAAAGGTGTGCACAGGCGTGGAGCTTTAAGGCAGAAAAATGTGCACGAAGTGAAAAACCACAAATTTGTTCCTAGATTTTTTAAGCAGCCAACATTCTGTAGTCACTGCAAGGATTTCATTTGGTACGTGATTTTGTTTGGCACCCATGCTCGTAAATTCGATGCTATTAGTTTTGCGGGAGTATACAATATTACTATAGATGACAACTGCTATTTTTAGAAATATCCAATGTTTTGATCCTTCAAGAGTTGATCAGAATCTGTTCTTTATTTTAGGGGCTTTGGGAAGCAAGGTTTTCAGTGCCAAGGTAAGTTTCCGAGATTTTTTTTTTATATTTAACGTTAAAGAAGCTGAGGAAAAAGTGTAATTGTTTCTCTCAGGGATAAATTTTGAGAAAACCCTGAAAATATTTATTCCAGGAATTCATCATGTCTAAAAGCTAACATATTTTATTCTTTGGGAATAGAAATTAGTAATCATTCTAGAAAACAATTTACAACTGCTCAAGTTTTCCTGAAAGTGTGTTTTCAAGGGACATAACTCTTCAAGTCTGTTAGTAGCTGTGTCTGAGATGGTGCAAATTGGGGCCCATTTACATAAGATTAGAGAATACAAAGAACATTGCAGAGAGTTGATATATATTATATTGATGCACTTGCAAATTATTTGCATTCTCACACACCCACATAGTTCCTGGAATTCAGGTTATCAGGTTTGCAATCAGAGACATTTTAAATGGGACAATCAAAACCATAACAAGGATACAAACTGAAAATTCAATGACAATTTACTAGTTAATTGTATAGATATAGAAACCCAGCTGTCATTTTAAAACCAGCTTTAGCATTCAGGGATTCAATATCCATTTATCTGACAAATAATATGAATTCAATTAAGTGCCACAGATGTTATTGTGAGATATTATTTTTAGTTGTTGTAATGACACAGATGTTATTGTAAGATATTATTTTTAGTTATTGTATGCTGCAAAGCAATCAAATCAGGAAAAAGCTAAATCAGGATTCCTAAAGTAGAGATTTATTCAGTCATTTCAATTTTGTTACTCTATCTGAGGTATTTTTATCATTCTGAGAAATGAGAATAGGGCCTCTTTGCAATGTGTGTAGGTAAATTCTATTGTGTGTGGCATATGAAATTTATTGTGATGAATTATCATGACAGTGACCTAAAGAAGAATATTTTTAATGTAATTCATATTCACATTTCTGTGACATAGATGCAAACATTATGTACATATATTGACAAATGAGAACCAATTAAGTATGTTTTATTAAAAGTTTTCCCGGATGTCCTAAATTATCATGAAATTAAGAATGCGTTGATTTTGAAACCTTTTTTAAAGCAGAATTAATTTGCGAATGAATGGAGATTTTATAGCTCTTACTGAAGTTTAAGAGACCAAGCATAAACAGATACACATTGTATAGAATTAATTTTAAATCAGTTGTAATGTTGTTGATTTTGCTTTAATTCTTTAAGTTTCAACGAAAATATATGTATTTATATATACATGTATAAACTTTTAAAAGGTTATTCTGTATTAAGGTGTGTAACAAACCATCTAGACTTGAAGAATTTATTGCATCACTTTTCATCATTGAACTGAACATCTGTGCAAGGAGAGTCTATTTCTCATACATGTTTTTGAAGTACTTTTATTTTCTCACTTACATTTCATTGTCTGGACGTGTTTGAGACAAGATAAAAAAAAAACCAATTGTGGTAAATCTACTCTTTTGATCAGGTGCGTCATTTATTTGGCTATAAGGGAAAGACTCCCGTTTTGCTGAACAATAAGTAATAAAAAGCTGTTATTACTCAGTTGCACAGGTGAAAAGAAACAATCATTAGTAAATATCATGGCATGGTAGAAATATAATACACATCTACATGTTAATTATTAATTAATAAACTAGGCAAGAGTGACAAAGCCTCGGTAATTAGAAGGTAATAACATTTATGCTTGGGGACAAAAAGAGGGATGTCAACATGGAGTTGTAGTGTCCAATTATTACCTTACGTCAGTCCATAAGTATGTATTACTAGACTTGCGTAAAAGAATGACAGCGTAATGATACCCCCATAGTCTAGATGTCTGGAATTTCCCACCAGAGTTCAGAGAGTTTACGAGGCTAAATGTTGGTAAACAATGTTATATACACTTGCATTATCTACAACTTTATGGGGAAGAATCACAAGTAATTCTCAGGTTCAAAAGGGCCTTTCTATATATTATTTTGAATGGTGTATATTTCTGTTGAAAAACTGAGTGATGAAAAAAATTTCTGAACATACAGGGTTTTCATATTAATAGAAGAATGATATAAAGTGCTACTGATATGCCTTTATTCAGGAAGGAAGAAAAACAAAACCCCAGAACAAATCTCCCTGTGTAGTTTTTAAGTGTCAACATCCCCATTTCTGAAACCCAGTAAATCTTGATAACACTGTAATTGTGCGGGCTTGAAAATCTGTGTTATTATCTTGTCTCTCTGTTTTATCTGGTTGGTGTGTTTTTCAGTAAAATTATGTTGTCTGTGCAGTTTCCTTTGATGTAGCTGTACTGTGTGACCAATGAGGGCGTTCTTGGTGATAACACAGATTTTGTGTGCATTTCCTCATTTGAAAATTAGTTCAGCTAATGTCCTTGATTTTTTAAAGTTTATCCCAGTTTTTATTAACATTAATCATTATTTCAAAGCATTTTTATCTTTGCTGAATATGTAATAGGGTGTGCACTATAAATTTGCACCACTAAAGAAGATGTATACTTTTTTTTTTTTGGTAAGAATGTCATTTTGTAAGAAGAAGTGTGATTTGTTTTAGCAATTTGCCATTAATACAGGCAAGTGAATTATCTGTATAAACAAAAAGCTGGCATAAACCTTTCTCCTTTGGCTCTATCAGTAATTACTATAATGATATACAACCTTCCCACTTGGTACTTAGAAACTACCACACAAGAATCTAATAGAGAAGTGAAAAAATGTAATTGTATGTGCTCTCTCTACTATGAGAAAAAAAGCTCTAATATTGCAGCATTTCATTTGCTTAAAATAATCATGTAATATGAATAATATATGATGACACTGAAAATGATATTTGTGGCATGCTGATATTTGAAACATCATCAACAATTTCTTCCCTTTGTAACAGTATGATAATTTAGCCTACAGTGTTAAGAGGAATATTGACTATATTGTGCATTTTAAACATTACTCTTTTAACATTGATGTGATCATAGCTAGATTTGGAAATGGGGGAAGTTTTGTGACACAAAAGTTTTAAAAGATGAATAAATCCTTTTTTGGCCTGGACATACTCGGGGCCTTATTAAGGCAGCCCACAGACCCCTGGTCTCAAGCCTGTTGCCCCCCTTTTTTTTTCAAGAATCCTGGATTAACCACTGAGAATAGAGGAAAAAAGAAGACATGGCTTATTGCTTTATGCTCATAGATGGGCATATTTTAGAGAATTACATTTGACTTTCAAAGTACTCGGAGACTGGCTATTATTGAAATTTAATATCTTTTATCTGTGTACAACTTTCCACTACTTTGTACCAAGATCATCTGGAACAGGAGAAGGAGATAGGAGACTCTGACATATATTCAGATCATAACTTTGTAATGTTCAGATTATCAGGGTTTGACATTAACTTTTATGAGTACTAGACCAGTGGGGCTACTTCCTATAATTTGTATTAGCCCTGACAATAAAACCACTAGCCCTTACCTAATTGCACATATACTTCTTATAACCTGCTAATTTTAATGAGATAACTGTTGCTTCATTAAAAAATTCACATTTATTTATAGTATTAGTTTTTAATAATATTCACGTGTCATGATCAACTACTGCAGTTTTTGACAAACTGATAATTTCGAAAAATTACATTATTCTAAATATTAAACTAATTAAAATTTTAATAGCACCTCTTATGACTGCGACTTGCCTATTACAACCAGTCAGTGATAAAAATAGCTATTGTGTCATGCTTGGAAATGTTCTTTTACACAATGACTTGGTGTTTACAATTGACAAATAAGACAATTTCTTAAAAAGTGTTTAGAATATTTACATGTATTTGAAAGACTGAAATAGAAGTTTACGCACATTTTATCCATTTGACCAGTTGATCTCAGTCACATACACAGGGTTGTGGATAACCACTCGCCCACTCGCAAATGCAAGTAAAATTTACTGTGGGCGATTAGATATTATAAATCTGATCGCCCACATGGCAAACAATTTTTTTTTCAACACATAATCACATTTCATTTTTTTGTATGTACTTTCAGTTTTAATAAAACGCTCTGCTAACATAGATTATTTGTGTTGCATGCAAAGCAGATTTGTCAAACATGTGCATGACTTAGACCAAACATGGCAATTTATTGGAGCGGTTGAAATACAAATTACTTTGATGATACTTTGAGATTGTTCATATGAAAATATTGTAACAATCCGCTATGGTTGTCAGACATTCCATCCAGAATACTGGTAGTTATAGATGGAATTATCGTGTCAAATGCACATGATAGTAGATCGGAATCAAACTTTGTCACAGGTTGTATGTCATATATATCCCCCCCCCCCTTGTTATACCATAGAGAACATATTATTGGATCAAAGTTTTTAGAAAAGAGAAAACCTGTTGAAACTTCAAATACTGCGAACACATTGATGACTTTGAATAAAAAATCAATTTAAAAATTAAGGAATTTTTTATGCATATGATGTGTGCTCGTTGATCACATTTTGAGCTCATAAAATTTGAAAAGTTAGGAGCCCATCCCTGATACATTTTACACAATTGGACCACTCATTTACTCGGTACTTGGTAGGTTAGACGTCCTTTTGTGTTAAACTGATTATAGAATTGATAGTTTTTCAAATAGAAAAGTGAAGATCACTGGGATTGCTTATAATGTTCTCAATGCAGACCATATACACTATGAAAAGATCACAGGTACTAGTGGACAAGACTATGATTCTATGATGCAACTCCCCCCCCCCCCCCCCCCCCCTTTAATGATTTTCTTTCTTTTTTTTGAAAATTAGTTTTTTTTATATATAATTTTCTTTATTTTAAATGTCTTGCCAATTCATCTACATGTTCCTGTTAAAAAAAAATATTATTAAAATAACGACCCAGATGCAAATTCTAGTAACATTCCACAAACTTGCCACACAAAAAGACTAAACCAAGGATCATTATTGTATTTTAATAATGCTGTTGTCATAGTTTCAAGTCCAAGTGCTACCTTTCTCTTCTTTTGTAAAAAGTACAAAGCAGTAGAGCTACAGTTTCATCAGAGACTTATGGTTGTTGTATTAATTTGAAAAGAAGGTTTTCAAAAAATGTTTTAAGGTTTGACCAACCAATTTGGAAAGTATGCTTTAGGGAAGAAGGATTCATGAAGCTGACCTTAAAATGTGGAATGAATTACATGGCGATGTTTCTATGTATGATTTTTTGTACATTCCAAATAAACTGGAAAATTAAAAAAAAAAGCAATTGCAGTAATGGCATACATGAAGAGTGTAGAAGATCTACTTCAAAACTAAAGACTGTAACATCCAGTGCAAGCAGATTTGATTAGCTAGCATTGATTTCAAAGATCATTTTTCTTTTCTTTGGATCTTTCATCTGTGTCTGCAAAGAAATAGTTCTCCAATTTTGGTAATAGATCAAGATCCGTTTTTCATTGAATGCACTGGAGAATTTGGTTAGATGGGTTGCCTTTCTTAGCAGTTTGTATTGAAATTGTTCTTCCCTCACTTGTTTTGTTTTTTTTTCCGGTGCACCTCTTAAAGATGTCTTGTTTGGTGCAAAGTGTTGATTTTGATCATAATTCTTTGATCACATTCTCTTAAGCATCCTAGTGTTAAGTGAAAAATCTAATCATAAGTTTTTGCAACATAGAATTTGACTTTTTTAATTAAAAAAAAAAAAACTGAAAGATTACTTCAATATAGTAGTAGTTTACACTTATCACCCTGCAAGTAAGCAAGGTTGATATAGATTTGTTTTAGATATATATATAGTTGTAATATTTATTTTGATAAGAGCATATTCAAATTACAGCTGAGTTTTACAAAGATGTTTTTCCAGCAGATTTTTTTTTCAATGTGTCAAGTTTCCAGCCATTGCTATCAAATTTAATCCACTGTAAATTGTAGACTATTGCTGAGATGGTGAAGATTTTGTTTGTTGTGGAAAATTCATCATATTAGATTACTTTTTAATGTTTAAGTATGTCTTATAGTGAAAACCACCAAGATTACTTGATAGGAAGGAGAACTTGATTTTAAACGTATATATTGCTTAATTTTTGTAGCATTTGTTTGTCAACGTCAGACATTTTATATTATGCAGGCATAGTGCTTGTACAAGACACAACCATAAAATCACAGGTCACCCTCCTCAGCTGACATATTGTCTTATTCCTGCATTAAAGCTTACCTTAGACAAAAAACAAACAAAACATATAGTCTACAAAAGACCATAAAGAAATTCAAGTGAAGTAGTAAGAAGACAATATCTATTCCAAAAACTGTCAATGGTACTTCAAACCATTTAATTTTTTTCTTTCTATTGTCAGATGAAAAGAATTTTCGTGCTCAAGAGTTGTTAGATTTGATCTGAATGACATAACCTTGGTCTCTTTTCCAGTTTGCAGTTTTGTGGTACACAAAAGATGTCATGAATTTGTCTCCTTTTCCTGTCCAGGAGCAGACAAAGGACCCGACTCTGATGTAAGTATAATGTTGCACTGCATTAACAAAGCTAAATATTTACATTCAACATATACAGTCAAACCTCATTATCTTGAACTCAATGGGATTGAGAAAAAACTCCGAGATACCCAAGGATTCGAGATATCAAGGGTATAAAAATACTTAAAGAATAAGGGGTTGGGACTTCCAAACTTCTTGACATACCCATGGTATCTGAGATATCAATGTTCGAGATACCGAAGTTCAACTGTACATATATATTTTTACACTTATGTGTTTGTGTCTGTTGAAGAGAAATTGGCTTATATCTCAGAGATGTAGTGATGGGATGGAAAATTATTGTGGATGAACTTAATTTAAAGAAGCTTGGTTGATCCAGTATTAGAATTTTTTTGTCATTTTGAATTTAATCCAGTTGTATGCTAAATAAATGGCTTTTGATCTTGCCAGCAGAAATAAACCATCATACCCATATTTGATCAAAGATAGGAGTTCAGCTTTTAATACATTTATAGTGCTTTGTCTGAATAGAGCTATCATATTTGCCCTGTTAAGTGCCTTTGCCCTCATAGAAGCTTCTCTTAACTGTTTGAAGTCCCTGTATTATTGCATAATTCATACAATACATTTACTGATACATTGCTTGATCAGTTGACTTACTATCAGAATAACTTCTCTTCTGTTTTATCTGTAATTCTTAATGTATACTCTTCTATATGCTTGAGATTTTGTAGGAGGAATATGGTATATCATCGTATTTTTATGTATGATCTTTGTAGTACATATTGTTTGATAATTGGCCTTTGTTTCTCCAGCTCTAGTTATCATCAGGATACATAGACTGAGTTGTTGTGCTGAAAGCATGTTATCAAGATGTGCATCTTCAGTCAACGATGACAATACCCATCATTACGATTTCTGCACAACAGATTTTTTTTTTTTGTCCAGAGAACAGTAAAACAGCAGATCTCCGAATAGATTATTACAAGTAAACCAGGAAGTTTTCTAGCCCCAGTAGGAATAAATTATTGACCATTGCACTAAAAAAATATGGCCAAGAAAGAACGTTATATACTTTGTGTACCTTTGTTTCTGATTTATTCTGTGAATGTTGACAATGTGTTCTGAAAAATCACAAATTTTCGTGGGGTCAAATTTCTGTGGTTTAAGGAAAAAATAGTCATTGGGTTCGTGGGGATTTTACTTTGTGGATGAACAATTGATGAGTATATATATATATTAAATTTTACATTTGTGATGGACATGAATTCATGGATTTCTTCATACCTTGAAAACAAGGTTAATTAAACCCCCTCAAAATTAGTGATTTCACAGTACATGTTAAAAAATGTATTTTTAAAGTTTACACAGTGCTCCAGTTTTCTTCTCCCAGAAGCAATCTCCTTTTTGTCACTTGTTATTTGAATTTGTTCGACCCTTGGGTAATTGGTTAGATTCACTGTTGGTGATTTTGCTTCATTCTGGTAATGATGTTATTAGGAAGGCAATTCTTTTGGGTACTCGGAGTTGAAATTTATGTGTATAATTATGATACAAAATGTACTAGTAAAAGATAAAAAAAATAATGGTTAGCCTAACAGAATTCTTTTTTTATAAATCTGATTCTAGAAGCATCAGTGGTAACCAAGCAAGGGAATAATGATCATTTAATGCTTCAAAACAATATGCCTTAAAAAATTACTATGTCTTTATTTTACTGTATATTAGCTGGGAAAAAAGAAGTAGAAACTCGCAGTTGACATGGTTGTTAGAACTGCATGCATAGATAGGATTATATTGGTAACATTTTCCTTCCCACCAGATTTGGTTTCTTTGATGTCTAAAAGTCTGGGTGTTCCACTAAATAGCATCTGTCTCAATTACAGTATTATCAGTATAGTCATGTTTTCAAAGTTTCAGTCAATCCAGCCTTTCTTTTAACATTTCTGTTACAGATCATAAATGATCATGACAGGAAACAAAATCATTCATGTCTTGTATTCCAAGAAATTATAGGACTCTGGAAGGGTAAATTGACATATGTTTAGGAAAATTGAGTCTTTTTTTCTGAAGAGTATTTATCTTTTTTCTCATTTATTCTAGACCTATGTGTCACCATTTCATTTCCACTGGTAGAGGTTATTGGCTTAATTATCCAAGATGACCCACAATTCAGAATGGCTTCTAGATTTTTCAATAGTACAGAAAACTAAGATCAACTGCAATAGGTGCAGTAACAAATATTGGTGTTTCTGGTTCTACTATTGAGTAAAGACTGTATACACACAAATATAAGTGATTTTTTTTGGGGGGGGGGTTGGGGGGGGGGGGTTGGGGGTTGACCTCTAAGTTTCTTGTGCAGTGGCATTACAATCATGCAGCAAGCAAATGCACTGCTAGACTATTTAAACAGGTTGAACAGTAGAGTAGTGTAACAGATTTGTATCTACAGGAAGCAGGGATCTGTTGAAATGATGAAAAATCCAGAAAAATGAGATAGAAATCTGCAAACATAGTGATGACTTAAACTTTGTGCTGCACAGGTTGAATAGAGTTTCAAATTTGACTGACCTGGTCTGTGAATTATTCCACCCTTTGTAGATGAAGCTTATGGAACAAAACTCAAGCTATATATAGTTCAGAATGACTTCCACCCCCTTTCAAAAATAAATAAATAAATAAATAAAAGAGGGAAAGAAAGAACATATTAAATATTCCAAATTTTAGCCACTATTTATTGTTATTTTAAATCCCTTTGAAATTATTTGATTTTACTTTGGTTTTACTTTATGTCTCTATTGTACATGAAATTCAGAAATACTGCTTTGTCAACGTATTTAGGTTTTAATGATCCATATATATAACCTGAGGGGGAAATTTTCTTCCTGTCAAATTAAAACAGCTAATTAACATGAAATCTGCATAAAATGTCATTTCTTGGCATGAACGTGTAATATGGGTCATATTTTGTACTTGTTTCAAGGTTATTTTTGGCAGAAAATTTATTCCGGTATACTTTCCATTTTGAGTAATAAAAACGTTGATATAAAATGTTAAGAATGGTAGATCATTTGAATCTCTCTATATATCACATTTTTTGTCACTTGAGGAAGTTTTTATGAAGTACTTTACTATGTTGATATAAATAACAAGGATGTTATACTCACTTGGATTTCAAGTTGCAATTTTACTAAATGTACCATAGAATATGGCTGAATCTACACAATGTTAAAAACTTACTGACTCAGTCTAACAGTGGAGGAAAAACTATGCAGAAACTCAGAGAAGCAGCTAGGCTACACTTAAGATTTCCTCATTTCAAGAACAAATAATGATTTATAAGCAGTAATATAGAAACACTATTTGTGAAGATTACATACTTGCTGGCACAGTAATTTATTGTAGTCACCACAAATTCCGGAGATAGTGACAATTCAATTGTTAGGTATCACTGATTTTCTGTGTGTATGGTCAGAATTTAGAGACTAGACGCTCTGACATCGATTCCCAAAGGAAAGTGATGTATTTTCAAGTAATTAAGCACATCCTTTGAAGGACATGGGAGAGGATACTGTTAAAAAACAATGAACATCATTATCATGGAAATGATATTTGATATTTAATATTGATTGTCAAGGCAATTTTCAGTAGTTTTGATTGATAAAGGAAAAGCAATCAGATTTGGAGGCCATTATGGAAAATATTTATGGTATATGCTGTTGAGCATAGAACATTGTACTGGAAGAATCTATACACCAAGTGAACAATATGCTGATGGTTGGATTAAAAAAAGAATATCTGTGTATAGTCAACTGTAAAGAACCCTGAGTTGAATAGATTAGTGAATCAAGCTATTGTCTCAGCCGGTGGAATCAATAGCAAAAATTATTATCCAGGGAAATTTACGTTTTCCTGCCTGTGTATCAGAAAACAGTGTTCCGCTATCTGAGCATGCTCATGCTGGAGCAACTCTCTCCTTGGGGAGATTTTTTTCCTCCTGTTAAGATTTAATTCAAATGTAAAACGTGGGCTTTGCACCTGCGCAGTGAATGCAATTGGACTCTCGGGTTGACAAATTTGTGTCAAAGCAATGTTCAAATGATTTTTAATGGCCGTTTGTTTCGTTAAATCGTGATCAGGTACTGATGAATCATGTTAAAAACTGGTAAAGCTTCTGTTATTGAATAAAATTATTCCTGAAAAATGTGTATAAATAATCTGGATAATTTTTTTAAAATCTTCAAGGTCAAAATCCAAATCTCAATCATTAGGTCAAAGATCAAAGTTTTTCAAATGACCTTGGATTCTTGTACACAGAATAGATGGCCATATTTAAAATGGTATGTAGTTATCACCCTAATCAAATCAGAACAATCTGTTTAATAGAAATGAAGGGGACCCATGCATGAACATTAAAGGATAATGCTTGTACCATAAAAGACTGTTATCGACAGGGGCAATCATGTAATTGTTCTGATCAGAGGCATATGTATTTGAGATTTCTGCTGATACCGCATCAATTGAATCAGTTACAGAATAAATCAATACAACTTTTACTCCAAAGCATCAGAATCTAAACATGTTTGTTAAAACATCAAAGACCATTCTAAGTACAAGTCTACAATATACCATGGTACATAGAAAAAAACAAGTGCTCATTTACCATAATTGTTATCAGAAATGTTTACAAATCACATAAGGGATTAACGTCTGAACATTGTATGCAAATGCATCTGAAATCGATGATCACAGATTTTTTTTATCGCTTTTATTTTTTTTTTCCTATCATATTCAAATAGGTTATACTAATGTGTGAGTGTCAGGAGTAAAATTTGGTATTTGGCACTCTTCACTATGATATTTCTCTGTGGGGGTTTGATAAATATCATGCTTTTATGTTAGGATGAAAAGAGACAAGATACATTTTTTTTTACCCACAGAGTATTGATTCCTCATTTGACAATTGGAGACTGGAGACAAGTCATCAAATTCCATAACATATTGGTTGTAAATGAACA